TATGCTATAGCGAGCGCGTGCTGCGACGCTAGTCGTGATGGATGGTCTTCTGCGAGCACCGCTCTTAAACGGCAGCACTCTTTTAACCATATAATTGCTTCTCCGATTCTGCCATCAAAGCTTAGGCACCGTCCTACCCACAGAATTAGACAGGCTCTATCTTTAACGTTGCACGAATGCTTCGTCACTAGCAATCTTAGCGCATGGGGCATATACGCCCTCCAGATAGCCCGATTAGCGAAGTCATCTGTCGGGAAAACCTCAGCAACATGCTCTATAGCACTTTCGGTTACGCGTGCTGCATCGCCATACTTATGAACCCAAATCCTAGTCGCCAGATGCACAAGCCGATGCAAGTCATACCACTCTTCTTTCCCCTCGACTCCCTCAAGAATGACGTCATTTCGCCTCGATGCAAAGGAGTATCCGCAGAGCGTGCCAATAGCATGCTCCATCTGCTCCTCTGACTGCACTTTCGGCAATAGCGATCGTGGTATGGCCTTCCACTCGACACAAGACATGAATTCCAAGAGTTCTGCAGCTAGCTGATCGCGCTCTCGGAGCTGTTTGAACGAGACTACCCAGGTCGAGGCTATCGCATTCGTTGAGTCTTTGTAGCGCGTGTGATCGCGGAACTCTTTACTCATTAGACTTAAGAGATCCTGCTCTGTGCTCCTTATTAGATGCAGATACTTGACGATTGTGGTCCGGTTCATATTCAGGTAGGATGCTGCCTGCGCGATAGCTAGAGGCAGACATGCCAGCTCATCCAATAACTCTCCTGCAGCTTCACTGTCTTGGACGAGGCTTTTGTTGATTACAGACTTCTCCAGGAATTGTGTGGCATCTCCTCGGCTCATGGACCCAAGTTCGAGTACATCTCCTCGTGTTAGTGACACCGCTACTTCCTGCGTGCGCGTCGTGAATAGAGTAATACCCTTTTCGCTCTCCGGGAGGTAGTCAAGAATCCCTGATGATTGCTCTGTGCCAAATACTAGATCGGGATCGTCTGCGTTGTCAAGCACTAGCAACCAGCGGGCTGCGCGGTCCGAGCTTAGGTACTCCCTTAGGAGTTCCTTCGCGTCATCCTCGCCAGCTCCGACCTGCCCTATCTTGAGAAGTGCTACAATGCTCGCACACGCTTGCTCAAAGCTCTCCATGCTTAGTGCTGGAACCCAAAAGATCGAGACCGCCGACATCGATTCTTTGACGGCATATGCGAACTGCAAGGCAATCTGTGTTTTGCCTGTCCCACCAAGTCCCACGATAGACATTTTCTGGCAGTTTCGATCCACCAGCAGCTTCTGATTGAGTAGGTCCAGCTCTTCTTTCCTCCCGACAAAGTATTGGTTCTTGGGGAACGGTATGTGGTAATGCGCTTTGCAACTACCTAGGTCCTAATATTAATAAACGAAAGGTGCACATGCACAGCTGAATAACCAATCTAGACATACTAAGCTTGTCAAATGTGCTGAGTCCTCTCTGCGACACGTTTGCCTCTAGTATTTGGGACGATTCCCTTAAGTCTTCCTCGATCACCTTCTTGAGCCTTCTGAATGCGTTATTCTGTCCTTCGCCGTAGTTGAGATACGTGAAGACGCCAAATATGCCTAGTAAGCAGTATGCCATATCTTCTTCGCGTGTAGTGGATCGGCGTTCTGACCAAGACAGGCGCTCTTCGATGCTGAAGTTGTCCAATGAGGCCCCTGTGAGAGCCGCGACGGGTATGCTCGTAATCTCGTGGATTTCTTGCCTTAGCTCGTGTCGCGTTCCCAGGTGCTTGCCGTCTTTAGAGAAGAAGCTTACGACCTGCGGGGCAAGCAGCTCTTGGAGGGTCCAGCCTCGAGTGAACCACCGACTGTTCCGTAGCGCCTGTTTCAAGGTCGGTGTCTCCAGATCAGCTGTTGGTACATCTGACAGGAAGACGTAGCACCTAGCTGCCTTTTGATACCAGCGAAACATGGAGTTGATCGCATGTTGGAGCTCAACAGTATCTGCCTTATTAATGCAGCATGTGTCCACCCAGAAGTAGCGTAAGCCATCACGCTCAGCTTGTCGTGCACAAAAGCGGATCTTGTTGTAACCAGCCTCATGTCCTTCGTCCGCGATAAATTCATCAAAAGTCACCTCTTTGCCGGCGACCCAGGTGTGTGAAAGTATAGCATAAGCAGGCACCTCTTCATCCTTCATAAAGTTCCCTGTGAGGCCGAGTGTACCGTCCTGTCGAATCTCTAGTAGACGCATCTTGTGAAAGGAGTCCTAGGCTTCACTCGCGCCAGGCTAAAGGCATAGAAGCGTGCAACCATGCGTCCGCTCGTGTGCGTCGCGATTGAATTGATGGCGATGACTGTCGTTGCACAAATGTAGGTGATACTGTGAACCGGATAGTTCGCGTCGTAGGTTAGTCTTAGGGTGCATTGTGGAGAGGGCACCTTGAGCTGAAGCGGGCAGCCTAGATTGCGGCGGAGCAAGGTAAGGCAACCCTGAATGGCATCAAGCGCGCTAGGCCACTTGCTACTAGAACTAGACTCTAATTGGCAGGCGGTGAGGCTGCCTGCTCTAATCACGCGCTTGGCGAATAACGGATATCGGTTCGTGTGTGGTGCCCGGTGGAGGTCAGGTTCAAGCCATAGCGTACAAATACAGGCACTTCGGTTTTCGCCAAAAGGTTCCATACAAACTACTACATCTGGATTCGACGCTTATGGTGACGCTGACTTTATGGAAACTCCGACCATACTGGCCTAATACATCCTTGCTACTGGTGCCCTCCATGGCTCTGGCGCTTTCGCTGGCTCTATCCCATCGCTTATGCGTGTATCTCTTGCCTTCCGCGCTGGTACCGACACGCAAGCCTCTACCTCCTGCGCTTGCTCTGAGCCGGGTTCTGGCTCCGAACACTTGCACTTACGACCGCGCGTTCCCTTACCCACAGTAGCTTTAGCATTCTCCTTCTCAGCACGCTTCTTCCTTGCCTCATCAAGATCTTCGTAATTCATCACCTTAGCCTTCCCTAGGACAACAGACCTTGTCGATCGGCGGACTTTGGCTTCTTTATTCAGCTTCGACAAGAATTACATCTGGAAGTCGAGGAAGCACATTTAGCGGAGACCGTCAAGAGAGCGCCCTACTTCTCGGCAATTGCGGGGTGCACACCTGGATATTTCAATGGCTATGGTGCGATTGCTGCAGACCCGGTGGCAAAGAAAAAAGCAGCCTGGAGAGCTACGTGGTCTGAAGGCACGAGGTCGTTTTTGAAGTACATCGGAGATTGGCGGCAGGAAGGTGAGCCCCGGGCTCTGGAGGTCACGTTGAGGCCCGCAATTGAGGTTGAGAGGGCGAGGTTGGGAGGAGGGCCATTGCGCGCTCGATAGGTCGAAGACTCATTCCGGAGCTGTGATGCTCTGCAATTCTCGTGTGTAACGCTACTTGCACAATGTACTTCGTTTCGCGATGAGTATTCACATCAAATTAGCAACATAAGGACTAGTGCTCAATGAGGCTATGATACCGCACTGTAGAGCACGAAGGTTACGGTTCTTATACTTATATTTTGCTTACGCCCATTGTTCGCAATTCAATATAAGTTTGCTTGCATATGGATCGGATTTGTGAATGTGGCAATCAGGCACATTGAGGTGGCAAGTGAGCTTATTGTCCGACGTAGAAGAATTCAACTTGGCGGTATAACGACTGTTTGTGACTCAGTAGATGTGTTCTTATACTTAATCCCTGCATGAGAGCAACGTGAGGCACAGTGAAGTGGCGAGTCAACCCATTGCTCGTTGCAGCACAAGGATCTAGACTATAAGGATAATGGAACATACATGATCACGAAGATCTAGAGTAACAGAACAAAACACCAGGTTTCGATGTGAACCATCAATTGCAGGAAATAGACAGTGGCCGGGAATATATGACGCAGGCTGCAATTGCATCATCGCAGATCGAACAAGAGATTGCAGGGGCCTTTGAGCATCAGACAAGAGCTTCGGCGCTCAAGCTTGCAATCGGTATCGTTTGCCGTCCCTCCCAATATACGTCATAAGATCAATTTGATCCCTGGTCTTGTCAGACTGACTACACCATACATGATCCAGTTACAGATACTTACGGATAACAGTTATACATCGTTACACATTGTATGCGCTACGGAGTTTGGATATAAAGGTTGGCAGGGTGGAGCGATATACCGGTGGAATCATCCACTAGATGGGCGCGACTTGGGACCATGTTCAAGGCGATTATTGACACCATGTTACGACGGGTGGGCAATGACACTTATACTATGCCTTTCGGTATCTCATCGCTCATCAGTCAAAGCACTCGTGCTGAAATTTCGACCTGACGCATGAAAGCTGTGAAGTGACCGGCCAACTCATCGTTCCTTATATTAAAATCCATTGCGGAGATGCCATGCAGGCGTTATGAGTGCCTAGTTCTGTTTGACATAACGATACTCTTCAAGTCCAAGATGCGAACATCAAGCACACCTACGGTACAACCTAACCCGATTGCGGTCGGGGTTTCTTCGAGACGCTCTCCATCAATGTGCGAAAGTCATGCTCGCAAGAAGACCGGTGGTGCTGGCGGATGTGAAGCATATCTCTGGTACTTGCGTGTTTGACTTCATTTGCGCATTTGTCCACGCCACGCATTCGAGAAATCGAGTGAGGCTTCACGTTTGCCAGTATCGCGTTTTCCAACACCACGTGCGCGAGCAATCGAGCGAGCAATCGCCCATTTCCAGCTGGCGTGACACCCGTTGCGAAATGTGAATGCAGATCACGAATGCTCGCGAGAACCCTGTATGGATCGACACTGCTGCGAGTATCACAAATCAAGGGGGTTTACAAGTCTTTCTGTCATTACAGTGCCCAAATGATCGGTATCTCCTTCTTCTGCTAAATAGGTAGTGTCTACTGATCATGAGTCAAATCGGGACATTCGAACGAAGACCTAGGGTGCCAGCTTCACAACATGCTGTGATAGCTATTATACGCCAACTTCAATCTTGATGCCAAATTCATCCAACTTCTCCACGAATGGCTGTCCCAACGTTGCGGGAGTAAGTATACCTCCACCCAACCTCCCAGCTTCCGTATTCTCCAGTCTCCCACGTAAGATGACCAGTGCGGCTGCACTCAACGTCTGCGCTGTTGCAACGTACCCTCCGTGGGGAATGTGCAGTGTTCCATGCACCTTCTCCTGCCTGTCCGTATCCGCAATCGCAACCGCTTTGTAATCCATAAAGTCTTTCTTCATGCTCTCTCGCGAAGGCCCCTCGCCCGGTTGTGGCAGCACAAAGCGCTTGACAAGAGGCGAAAGGATCCAGCGAGACAGGGGGAACGCGAAGGCCAAACCGAATAGCGCCATACCGACGTTCACAGCCAAGCCAGCTATCAGGGACTTCGCGCGCATGTACTCGTTGAAGTTAAAGCGCGGTCCGTACGACAAGCTTGGTGTGGACGTGGACTTGGCGCTCGACTCGTATAATCCCCATGAGCGGTGCGTGATACAGCGGTCGACGCTGGCCATGAGCCAGGTCGTCTGGATGCCGCCTATCTCCGGGATATTAACCAAGCCGAAGAGGCGGTGGAGCAGACTGCCCTTCGGACTCCTCGCGGGGTTAGTAGGCTGCACAGGGGAGAGCGACCACGGCTTCATCGCATCCCCCAACTCTTTCATGCCAAAATTCTCGAACAGCTGCAGGATCGTGTGCGCCGTCCCCCCGCTGAATCCCGACTTCCCAGCGAAAAAGCTCATGTTCACGTTCGCGGTTCCGGCGTTCAGCGTCTTGCGCACGTGCGATGTCAGCGCGTAGGCTAGGATGTCTGCTGGGACGGAGTCAAGGCCACATTCGGGGATGATGATGGCGCCGGTGGACTTGGCTTGGTCGTGGTATTTGGGGATCATGGAGTGGATCCATGGTACCTCGCCTGTACAGTCGAGATAGTGCGTCCCAGTCTTTGCGCAGGCAGCGAGCACGGGCTCGCCATAGAACATGAAGGGGCCTACGGTTGTGATGATGAGACGGGTTTTGAGGGCGAGTGAGGTTAGTTGGTCTTCCTTGAGCTCGCATGTTTCGATGTCTGAAAGCTGTTAGTGAGGATGCAAGTGCTTAGTAGACTTGTCTTCTAGGTTTCGCGGTAGACGCGTGGGATTTCTAGGCGCGTTGTAGCACACTCTGGCACTAGGGAACCGCGATGCCCTGCAACACCACCATTTCGAGCTTACCTGGCTGCTTGCGGTCTGGACACAGCCGCTTTAGCTCTTCAATAACATCTTGCAGCTTGTTTGCATTGCGACCAGCTATCGCCCACTTCAAATCGATAGGGAGATGTTGGCTGATCCACTCCGCCGTCAGCTTGCCGGTATAGCCAGTCGCCCCGAAAAGGACCAGCTCGTACTGACGCGATTGGGCCATGGTGTTAGGAGGCGCAAAAGATATGTGTATATTGCAGTGGGCTCAGGAGGTCTTATCAACTGCCCCGTTGAAACACCTGTTGGCCGCACTATCGGACGTCATGCCGAGGCAGGGTCGGACGCGCCGAACGCAGCTTGTGCGACGAGGTGCCCATGCAGACTCGAACTCCGTATCTCAACCAGAAGCGCAGTAGAATCCAGGGTCGCATACCTACCTGGATGCAATGGAATCAAAAAACGACAGAAAATCAATACCTGTCAGCTGCGGTGTCTTGCGGGTGATCTTCGCGCTCTTCTGCATTTGGTTAGGTCGCCTATCGATAGCTCTCGGCACACTTTGAAGTTCGCAAGGGCAGGGCCGGAAGCAATACCAACTCTCTCTCTACACCGCCATCACGCTGTTCTCTGCCCGTCTGCCTTGGAACGTCGATCCCCACATCGCGAAATGTGACATGCCGTCTTTAACTAAAAGGTCCACTGACCTCCACTGCGACCAAGGCAGCCGCGCAAGAGAGGACGATTGGCTAGCAGGCAGTAAGAAGGCTTCGCTGAGGACCGTCACTGACGCTCGTAGATCCTATGGGACACCTGAAAGCATCTCATACGATCCTTGAACGCGAAGAAGAGTTGTTCGCGAATACTGCAAGCGCTTTCTACGTATCGAGTGGCAGCACGTATGTCGGTGCTCATGGCGATGCGCTCCTTCTAGGTAAGAGGAAGACAGGTTCACCAGATCCTCCGTCAGTATTCACTACAGGTCGAAAGCCACGGCCGCTCGTGGCTTCTGCAGCTACGTTCGATAGATCATAATGAAAGACATCTGTCACGACCCGAGCTGGTCTCGAGCCAGGCTGCACCGTGGCACGAATCTGGAAAATGATACTACAAGAGAAAGGTCATTCTGCAAGACATGATTTCTATGCACATTCGATCGGTTGCCTACCTCTGCAAGCGCGCCAAAGTAACAGCACTGCCTGCTGCCCATGGGATTCGCCAGGGATAGCCAGAAGTAAAGACCGCTTCGGCTGACTCATGCGCTCATGGCTTCAGCCCTGCTCAGCAGGTTGATACTATCCTGTGGACACCAATCAGCTGTCTGCCATGGTCCCGGATTACTGTGACCACCTCGTTGTTGAGCGCTTCGCACTGTGCTATTGTGGTTCCCCGCATTCGCAACATTAGGCGAGGGGCTGGCGCAATATCTCCCTGTCAAGAGTCAAGCAGCGATAAAGAGGTTCTCAAATGGCGGTCACTGAACCAGCCTGTCGGCAACGGCAGCATTTAAAGCGAGAGAACCCGAAACATTGTTTGCATTCCTAGCGACGATATGGTGACCTGAACAAGTCATACGGCTGCTCAGCAGGGTGGTTTAGGTGACACGTGGATAGGTAAGCCCCGGAAGCTGGGACTCATGCATCGGGACACAGAGTACCTTCCTTCCAGATGCCGTCAACTTATCGCACTTACGGAACAGGCACCGAAATCGCCTTGTCTGCAGCCCTGGCCTTGTCAACTGTATCAATTCGACGCAAGCGCCCGCACCGCTACCCCAAGCTGGCGGCGTACTCGGTGCATCACAAGTGGGTGCTCGGGCCACTGAACCCTGCTTAGGTAGTCCGCCAAGCCGCTAGGCCATACTTCAAAAGGACGCTGAGCCCCGCCCGTCTCTTGTTCATCCTCGACTTATGAACTCTAACGGTCACGCAACTTGCACTTCACCCACGCTTCACCGCACCAATGGCCGAGACTTGTATAGTCTGCCTCGGCGACCTCGTCCCCCAAGACGAAAGTCAGACTTCCGCCACCGATGCCACACTAGTGCAAGATAGCGCTAATGGTGTCGATAACCATCGTCATGTTATCAAACTTGAAGGGATCGTATCAGTATCCCCCGAACACGCCCAAAAAGAAGAGGACTTGGTCGCACACTTGTTGCCTTGTGGTCATCACCTACACAACGAATGCCTAAAACCATGGGTAGAGCGCGCAAATAGCTGCCCTATATGCCGAGCCAGCTTCAACATGGTCGAGCTCAGTGCCAGGATCGGAGGTATGTGACCCTTCCCGGACATCATCGCTTCAAGCTTCAAGCCCTCCTACGGAATCATACAAGTTGAAACTACCGCGAATGAGAGACCACTAGTCGTCCAGCTTTACGCCAGGATGTTCTAAGGTATCCTTCCTTGTTTGGTAGAAGCGCTGTTGACGTGATGATGTTTACTAATTCTAATACAGATACCATCCTGTCTTCATACGCCGTACAAGACAAGCGTCAGGTCGCCGACATCGACCCAACCATGCTCGTGGAAGACGACTACTTCTTCGAGGAGGAAGCGATCCCCGATCTTGTTTGCCTGGTGTGCGATGATGTTGGAGACTCATCCCAACTCATGGAATGCCACAGCTGCGCGAACTACTGCCATGTATTCTGCGCCGGCCTCGATGACATGCCTACGAGGGGGCCGTGGTATTGCCAGTACTGCATGGAGAACCCCTCTCTGCTACGAGCAGCTGGCCACCGTCCTGCAATGCGCGGCCCAGCGGCATACCTCAACTCCGGTGGCCGTACCAGTCGGTCCAGCCGCACCAGCCGCCGCGCTCGTGCCCCCGATGAGTGGGTCGATGTATGGCAGAGCGTGTGGGACCGCCTGCACTTCGACATCGAGTTCCCGTTTGAAGACGATGACCAGTCCGAGTCGCGTTCAGTGGATATCCAGCGCCGGGAAAATGAGGAATGGGAGCGACGATTTGAGCTGGCACGTCAGATGGGCGCTGGCAGTCGCCTTCGGGCCGCTGCGGACACCATCACAACCCATCGCCAACGCCCCGCAAATCGCACGCTCCATCGCGAGGTACCCCAGACGCCCAAGTCGCCGAAGGACCCCGAATCACAAGAGGAGCTGCGAGCATGGAACGCCTTTGACAAGGCCCGCGAACAAGTCGCTGAAGACGGCGCTCAACACGTTCGCCCTGCCAGTGTCAGTAGCAGTACCCGGCAGCGAAAGCGCAAGTCTGTGACTGAGTCGCCTGTCGAACCGGAAGCGCGGGAGCCCCAGCCCGAACGCAAGCTGAAGCGACCCCGAACCCGATTGAATCTGAACATCAACACAGCCGAATCATCCGCTACCGCTGCTGCGCGTCGCCCCACCGCCATATCACATACTTCGCCACCTGCCGTCACCACCAATGGCGACGAATCCATCGTCCCGGGATTTCTGCAGTCGCTCCTTCAGGAGGTTGAGGTTGATAGATTTGCGGAAGACCGCGAGATCGCAGCGCCCCAACCTAAACGCATCATTGTCGAGCGCGCTTGCTCGCCTCAGAACTCATCGCCTGGCCTTTCGCCCGTATACCCAACCAATCGCGCCGGCATGTCAACACCGCCTCCACTGAGCATCAGCCGGACGGATTCGCCGACGCAGAAAGACCAGCAGCTTTCGCCGACATACTCTCCATACTCCCCGGCAGACGAGGATGCACGCCATGGTCGCAAAAAGATTGCGCACCGCCAACATTCTCCGGGCTTGACTAGTCCACCACGGTCCAAGGATTCATCCCCAACCCGCTCGACTACACTGTCATATTCCACCAAGCGCGAACTTCAGCTCATGGTCACGGCTGTCCTCAAACCCATGTATGTAAAGAAAGAGGTCAGCAAAGACGAGTACACAGACATCAACCGAGACGTTTCACGTCTCTTGTACGATAAAGTTGCCGAAGCTGGCACCGACGCCTTGGCCAGCCAAGGTATCCGCGACAAATGGCAGAAAATAGCAAGCAACGAAGTCGACATCGCCGTCAAAGCACTTGTCGGCGCTCGGTCAGCCGCGTCGCCCCCGGCCGAAGATTCTGCTTCTACGTCTTCATAGACTGTGTACATGTCAGCTTCTTCCTTCTTTCCAGCGGATACCTACGATACCCATTTGATTATTTTGGCGTTACTGCAGAGCGATGCGATGACTTGTACATTGCGGTCGCTTTGCCTTTGGCATACGAAGGCGTTTGGGCTCACTACGGTGGGTCCGTGTTTTTGGTTGCATATGGCGTCTTGGATTCGATGGGCTCGGCGGGACATGATACCATTTCGACGCGACATTGCAATTCTGCGTGGTAATCAGGGATGTACCAGTGCTATTACGTGCGCTGTCCGATCGTGGACAGGGCTATTATACTAAATATATACACCTTTTGATTTTACATGCGTCTCTGTCCATCCTACTCCAGGCCCATTCCATTGCAATTTGTCGTATGAGAGTTGATTTGGATATCGGCGATGAAAAGCTGACTCGCCAGTGCAAACCCACTTGGTCGCCCAAAGCGCTTCTAAGATCATTACAGATCTTCCATGGGAAGGCCCAGCTGGCACCGGGAAAACTGTTGACAGGCTTGCTACCCGCTTGGTCACCTCGTATGGCCCGCTCGCCGCAGAGAGCTTGAGCATATTGTTTGATTCTCGCGAGGTGTATGTGCCGACGTGGTCATTGTCTACCCACATCCATGCCTTGCTATCATCTGGACTCCCGAGGCCGGAAATAAATCCAATGCTCATACTCTATCTTGTAAGTGGGTTCAAGCTCGCAACAGCAGGTGGAAGTGAATCGCGCCGTCTGTTTCTCAGGCAACGATGGGTGCTGCCTCTCCCTCCACTTTACCATACCTCACCGCACCTCGTTTCGCGATATCTCTACACGCGCTGTGGTACTCTCCAACGACACGGCAGTAACACACACAGCGCCCGGCAACGCGGCGGTACAATCGGGCGAGGAAAAGCCAATCTACACGAGGACCACGCACTGCGAGCGGAATCAAGCCCTACGCACGACACGCGACTCGACGGAGTGCGACGCAAGAAACAATACGCACGCCGGCCGCACACTCACCTTACCTCCCACCTCCCACCCCTCGCCCATCGGTGACCGCGGAACAGCATGCGCGGCCTCCGCTACAACGAAGCCCTGATCCTGACGCTGTTCCTGGTGGCCACCGTCCTCGGCGCGTTCATCTGGTGGTTGCACCGCAATTGCATGCAGGTTGTTCAGGCGGAGGCAGTGCATATTGAGCTGGGACGGCGGGTGGAGGAGCTCGCTGCGAGGGGGAAGGATGCGGGAAATTGAAGGGAAAGGGGGAGGGGAGAGTGGAATTCAGAGACATGGAGTGGGATATGAAGGGGGAGGCTGAAGGAGCGATGGCGGTCGGAGGACGTTTGGTCGGCGAGACGGTGAGTGGCGAAGATTGGCGATGCGATGTTTGGGTGCCACGGTGGATGGAGCATGAGCTTCTGCTTGTTTTGATGGAAGCCGTGCCACAGCAGTGAGCTAGCAAGCGCGGGAAGCGATGTCGCTTACAGTGTCACGCTGTGGGCTGGTGGGCTGGTGGGCTCGAGTCGTGCAGTGATGTTTGCTGTTTGCTGGGCCAGAGGCGTGGTCGGTCGAGTCGCACGAAGTTGTTTGCTGGTGTTGTGGGTAGGCGACTCGACAAACACAGTTTGTCTCATTCGCAGGAATAAAATCATGGATGAAGGACGTTCTTTTCTGAAATTTTCTCTGTTGGCTTTTCCTTCGTTATACTCCTGCAGTTGTTGTTGGCAAGGTTGGTTGTCAGTAACTCGCCATCAAGATGAGCACAGTGACCCTCGCAATCACCATCTCCGTCGCCGTCATTTTCGGCGTGACACTGCTATGGGTCGCAATCTACTACCTTCACCAGTACGTTCACCGCGAATGCTGCAAGATCAGGGACTTCTTCAAGAGCCTGGTGTGGACGATACCAAAGCAGGAAGACTACGCGCACGAGCGAGGCGAATCGACTCTGCGGCACGGTACCCCAGATGAATGGGTGCGAGAAGAAGAAAGGCGCAGGACATCCGAGATCGAGTGGGAAAGAGTGGAACGAGATGTCGAGGAGCGAAAGCGGGAGCGTGATGTAAGGAAGAGAGTCAAAATCAGGAAAAAGGTCGACGAGTGGGAGGACAGCGATAAGATGGGAACAGACGGGACGGCGGACTTTATATCGAAGACGAATATGCCGCCCAGCTCGCGGCGGCGTGAGATTGAAGAAGGGCCCGAGAGAAGGGGTGGACAAAGGGTTTTGCTACAGCCGTGTGTGCCGGCTTATGTGGCAGCGTTTGTACCTGTCCTGCGGTCATATGGAACTCCATACATGCCTGCCGTTTTGTCTCCTCCAATGTTTCCTCTCGTTACCGAGCTGGAAGAGAGGGATGATGGACAGTTTGTGGAACACGGATTGCCACCGCCGCTGCCATATGCGAACGAAATCGAGGAAGAGCAGGATTTCCTGTCACAGCCTCATTTGGACGTAGAAGAGCGTATGTCACCGATTGCAGAGGCTGATCAGGATGTAGTGAGTGCATCTGTAAACGAACAGTCAGCGTCGAAACAGCAGAGGGGGGATGGTGATTTCATTGTCATCGCCGACGAGTATCCAACGTACGTTCGCGAACGTATGGAAGAAAGAAGGCAGGAGATGGATAAGTCGAGGGCAGTAGACAGCAGCTCTTCTGGTTCATATTCGAGCTCGGCATACGAGGAAGTTCCGAGAGGCCCGATCCCGACTGCCACCCAGCGGCCTACTTTCCACTTTCCGCAGATACCGTGGAGGACGCACCCGCCGGACATTCCAAGAAGCTATCCGAGCCAGTGGTGAGTCCAGTTAGGGTCTACTATGGCTCGTGTGCACCATTGAGTAGCATGCTGATGGTAGCAGGATGCCTCCCGTCGAGCCGCTTCCGGGCGACCTCCTGATGTATCCACCGTATGCCAACATGGGACGCAATTCTAGACGTGAGCGAGGAGATGGGAAGCCAGGACTTACATCCAGTAATACTCCTCCTTGCCCTGTCTGATGATGTAGGATAGCCTTGCTGATCCTATGCGCGATTCTCTTCTACGCTGCTGACCAGAGTTGTGAGTAGGAAACGAGAGAAAGTTCACCCCCCAAAAGAGAGTGGAGATGTGCACAGAGTGAGGATGACTACGACTGCAACCCCTTTCCAAGACCGTTGCCCTCACGGAGACGTGACCGCGAGCGTCGAAACCTTAGACTGCCGAGCGGCAGAGGGAGTGGCTCAGACCAGCAAGTTTGTCACCACTCCGAGTGTGTAACTATTGATCGGTTCCAGGTATAGATCGCCCAGGCAGCCCCGTTGCCGGCCATATGTCGCGGGGCAGCCGATGCAGCCTCGTTTTTCGAACGGCCATCCAATTGCGAGTGGAGATGAGCGAATGGTGTCGCCGGCAGAAGTAGAGGAACCTCCAGAGGGTACCCGAGTCTTTGGTGAGGAACTAGGTGCTGCTGACAACATCGTGGTGGAAGAAGTAGTCCAGCCTGCTGTCGACCAAGAAGGGGTTCAAGACCAGGCAAGTCCATCCGAAAGACAGCCCATTCTGTTGGGCATGCCACCCTCCATGTCTCGGCATGACATGTTTGTAGACACGCAAGAGGCTTCGCCACCAGTAGCAAACGAAGAGGTGGCGCCAGTGTCAGTGCTAACTCCAGAAGACAACGAAAGGGTGGGTCCAGAGAGGCAAGGAGAACAGGTCCCAGCGGTCGATCCAGATAAGGGGCCAGATGAGGGGGTCGCAGGACAGGAAGCAGTGCCGAATCTAGCTACAAAAGAGCCGGAGAAACATGAAGCTTCGCCTTCGACCTTTGTATCCAGTCTACACGTAAGCAGTGTCGAACAACGGACCGGCGGTCCAAGTAAAGGGGATGTTTTTCCAGTCAGTGAGGGAGATCGCGAAGGTAGCGACGGGTCTGGTATTATATATAGTCTTGCCTAGGAGCAAGGAGCGTGACTTAAAACACGATGTGGGAGTAAGCCACAGCTTGAGCGGTGCGTTCGAGGAGCCACTTCTTGTCCGAGAGCATAGTTTTCGAATATTTGGCATTATTGACACTGTTTCCAAACCCCAACCGAAGCCTCTGTGGGCCATGCATCGCCCGGAATAGCTTGTAGTGCGTTGACAAAGCGTTCGGTACGTGTTGTGAATAGCTGCTGACTCTGCACATGCACGCTCCATGTCTTCACTATGCTATGCACTTTGATCTGAGTGCAGTTCCACAATATCTGCATGAAATATATGATTTATGCCTTTTCTGAGCCGGAAAATTGCCTCAAAGAGAGATAGATTTACCCGCAGGGCGTACCTGAAGCAATCTAGTTTGTAAAGCCAGTCTACTTTTCCTAAGGATTCCGTTGTCATGATGCACTAACGCTCGGTGCTGCATCTACCGCCGAATACCTCTGCAGGTACTTTCTGAATATCTCAAGATGCCTTGACGAATTCTCCGGCCATTTCTTCAAGCGCACCAATTGCTCAATGTCCGACGCCAGCTCAAGGCTAACGTGCAGCTTCGCCTGAACGCTCAAGCATCGGAGAGCCTCATACGCTACTTCACGACGATCGGTCTCGTACAGTTTGCAACAAGTATCCATGTAGACTTCTTCACAACTCATGCCATAGTCGATGGTTAGATCATGAGATGAACTAATTATTGCGCCCAGTCCGAAGATCTTGTCCCTCGGATCTACACAAGACGCTTCGCTGAACCGCAAAAGTGCCTCTGAAATATCCATGTTTGCGAGCAAGGAGTTGCGATAAGTGATAGGATTCGATTGCCACATTTCCTCGCCGAATATGTTGGTTTGTGTTCCTCGAGGAATTCTGTCATTTGCGATCATCATAAGTCCGAGAAGACTCTCAAAATCGGCCCCATCGCAATGCAGTCGGCCGCAATAGACCTTCAGGCGCACAGCAAGTAACACCTCTTGGATGATCCAAAGTCGACCCCAGTAGTCCCTTCCAAGCAAGGCTTTCACAGCTTCGAAGTTTTCCAGAAGCATCTTTCTCTTATCATCCTTCATAACACCCCGCAGTCTGCTGTCTCCCAAGAACGCAACGTCCGAAAAGCCAGAAAGGCATTTCATAACGCGCTCGCTGCCATCTTCGTCCAGGCCAAGCCAGGCCACGACCTCATATGCCTCCGCATAGATTCGATGCATGATTCCGACCTGATGGTTTCGTTCCTGTGTATTATTTTGGTCGATACACAGCTGGTCGATCCAAAGATACTTGCATTCGTCTGGCTGCTCGTGGGCATACATGTCCAAGAAGTCGAACAAGTTTTTGCGAATCCGAATCACTATTCCGTTGAGCGCGATGGCCTTTGTAGGCTCCGGGGGGCCCCATGTATATGATAAGGCGCGATAGGCATGGTATCGTGCGCGATCATCAAGACCAAAGACTTCGGTGGATAACGACAGCAGTTCCTTGCTTTGGCTTTGAAATCTGTCCCGTGACTTGGGTTCCACTTTGAGCAACCGGATACTTGTTCCAGACGCGTCAATGGGGAGCGCTTGGAGTGCCGAGATGTTGCCGGCCATGGTATAAGTGTATAGATGTATCAAATTAGCGGATCGTTATGTCTTGAACACCGTACTGTCAAGCTTGCCGATGATGATGATGATGATGATGATGATGTTCGCTACTATACTTCATAACTCTAGGACGGTGTGGCTCAAGCTGCTGCCTAGGTCGCGCGCAAAACGAGGCAGAAGAACAGTACAGGATCGTGAGCGACACGTACGCCTAGCCTGGCAAGCCTCAAATATATCGTGTGCGTGTTTGTATTCTCGCATCCGTAGAGATTGGCCAGGTCGAAGGCTCGGAAGGATATTTACTTGTGGTATCGGTATCCATGGAAGTGCATGTGGGTTGACCGGGTGGCCCGTGCACATGACGTTGCGGCTGGTGCTGCAAGTGCCTGAGCTTCACTGCCCGCGCGCACCAAACACTCGACAGCCCGACCGCACCCATCGTCTGTGCCCGCTCGATAGACATCGCTCCCGCTATACCCGCAGCACGACATCCGGCGCCATGTGGGACGACGAGGACAACAATCCGTACGGCTCGTTTGCCCGCCACGACTCCAATTCCAACGAGGTGCCTGGCCTGGCGTCGCCCGGAGCTTGTAAGCCTCGCAGAAAGCATGCCCATATGATCTGGGCAGGCATGCTGACCCTCTCGCAGTGCCGTATCGGCCCGCGACCCCGCCCTCGGAAGCATCCTCCCCCGCACAGGAATCGCCAGAGTACATTCCGGGCCGCGACCTGACCGACATCAACTACGACGACCGCGAGAACGACGACGAAGAGGAGGCTGGCGGAGAGCGCATTGCGCCCAAGAGAGGCGGCTATGACAGCCGGGCGGAGCAATGGCTGTACGAGAATCCCGACTCGCCCATTCTGATCACATACGCGGGGAAGAACGTGGAAGGCGGCGGCAACTGGATCACATATACCATCGCTACTGGGGTAGGATATACCTGATGCTCGGGGAAACGAAGCTAAACATACATCAGGGCATGGAAGTGCGGCGCAGATACTCGGAATTCGCTTCGTTGCGCGCAACGCTGGTCAATCTACACCCCACCCTCATCATACCACCCATACCCGAAAAGCACACCATGGCAGACTACGCCGCGAAGCCCACACGCGCGAAAGAGGACGCAGGCATAATCGAGCTAAGGAAACGCATGCTGGCTGTGTTTCTCAATCGTTGTAGGAGAATGAAGGAGGTCCTCGAGGATGGCGTCTTCTGGAGATTCCTCGATCCCCACACCAGTTGGGTAATACAATTCCCGGTCACCCGAATGCGAGTGATAGTCTGCTAATACAGTCCACCCGCAGAATGAGGTCCTCCATGCGCCGCCCGTCTCGAACATCCCCAAGCAGATCCTCAAAGCACCCCCGCTCGACACTGCGAACCCCTCACAAGCCCACAACTATCTCCCCGTGCCTTCCTCGTCCGCGAAGCTGAAGGCTGCCGGCTCCACTTCCTCATCTGGAACGCCAAACGCTCCTCCGGATCATGCAGTACAACCCTCGGTAGCCGCGCATAGCACATCAGGCCCGCAAGTATTTGGCAAATTCCCGCCAGAATCAAAGAGCATGACCGAGGAACAGCTGGACCCATACTTTGTAAACTTCGAGACGTCATCGAAAGAGCTGGAGAACCTCCTACAAGGCAGTATGGAGAAAGTCAACAGACGCACATTGTCGCATCTGTCAGCCCTGGGAGAAGACCTGGCTGAGTTGGGCGCCCGCTTCAACGCCTTCTCCCTATCCGAACAATCACAATCCCTCGCCGGCGCCATAGAGAAGACTGGCCAGGCAGTGGACTCCACCTACATCGCCACCGCGGAGCTCTCCTCGTCCCTCAGCGCCAGCTTCGCCGAACCCATGCGCGAAAGTGCTCAGTTCGCCGGCGTCGTCCGCAGCGTACTCCGCTACCGCGTGCTCAAGCGTATACAAGAAGAAATGACAAAAGACGAACTACAGAAGAAGCGGGCTCTCCTCGAATCCTTGGAACACAGCGAAGCCGAAGCCAAGCGATTAGAACAGCACCTCAGCGGCGCAGGCTACCCGCAGCCCGCCCGCAGCCGCGCCACCTCAAACAGCTCGCAGCGCAGCAGTGGGCACGACAGGCGACCCGAGGAGGACACCGCATCCATCGACTCCGACTTTCCACCCACCCACGCCGACGTGCCCTCGAGCTCGCAGGGCAGCCCCGAAGCGAGCACCATGGGGTCGAGCAGCCCCCACAAGAAAAGCCCGAGTGGGAATTTTGTCACGAATAAGCTGTTTGGGCCGATTACGCATGCGTTTAGGGGGATGGCGGATGTGGACCCGGAGAGGACGCGGAGGGATCAGATTGGGAAGACGAGGGAGAACCTGCATCAGGTGTGTGACCCTATGTATTTTTGGCGTCGTGCGCTGCTAACGTATGGCAGCTTGAACAGGCGGTTGTCGTCGCGGAAAAGGATACCAGGGACGCGAGTGCAGGTGTGCTGAAGGATCTAAGGCGATTCCAGGCGGAGAAGGAGAATGACCTGAGGCGGTACATGGTGAGTATTTCATACGCTGCTCTACTTTTCCCTGCACGTCCCATGTCAAAATCCTTGCTTCTTCGGTGGTAAAAGCTATTAACGCTGCCCCCCAGATCGAATTCGCGCAATGCCACATCGACTGGGCCAAACGCAACCAGGCTGCGTGGGAAGAAGCAAAGGCCGAAGTCAGCACCATCCAGCCGCACACGGCGCAGGACGAATAGAAGAGTCTTCGTGAGGGCCAGGGGGAAAAAGATACTAATGACTCGACGAGCAGCGTGTCCGTATGTACTAGACAGACAGGAAGAAGTAATGCTTGTTCAAATGCACATAACCGCCAGAACGCAAATGCAATCGAACACACTCTAGGCTCTCTCCTATCAACGTCTGGTGTAGACTGCTAGGCTACGAGTTTACAGCCATGTGTTGAATCGAGTGACTAAGGATACATCACCTTGCCTTGGGGGATGCGTGTAATAAGCACGCCGTACCGAGGTGAAGAGGGTTGATCCATCTAAAGGTCTGGTACCACGCCGCCCATCGATGACCGCATGGAAACCGGACAGCATTCACCTCTTCGACCAGCCTCCTATTCCCCTCCTTATCTACGGTCACATCCTCCATCTCCCCCTTCCGCGCCCTATATTCCTACGCACGCGTCATGTGCAATCCTGAAAGAGCACAAGGCATGTTGGTTTGGAAACATAAGCCCAGGTCGCAGCATTCTAGCTCTTGACGTGGGGTTGGTTGCTATTGAGTTATACGAGCTTCACATACCTGCCTTCTTCATGAGCCCGCCTTCGGTTGCTCGCACTCGAGCCCCCAACCCTTTCAGGAAACTCAACACGCGGTCCTCATCCGCGGCGGCCTTGTCTGCAGTCTTCGCCTCCGACGTCGACGTTTTCTCCTCCTTCTCCACCTGCAGCTTCTCCAACCCCTTTTCGACCGCTCTGACCCTCGCTCCAGCGCTCCTCAGAAGCTCCACAACCCCCGTCGCCGTAGCCTTCTCAGCCCTCCCGACCCACAACCCATTTACCTCCTTCGCTTCCCCCACGACCACGAACCTGTTCAAGAGCTCCCGGATCTCGATGGCATTCGGCACGTCCCACCTCAGCGCTACTTCCGCCGCACAAAGCACCCTCATGCCCAGCGTGGAAACTTCCGTCTTGCTCGTCCACCCCAGCGCGCCATCGCCCTCCTTCTCGCTCGTCTCGATCAGCAGCATGAGTGCCTGCACTACCCACGCGCCGAGGCGCGTTGCCAGCGCAGCACCCGCTGAGCACCGGGAGAGCACGCGCGACCAGAAGAGCGCGTCGAGCGTAGGGTCGAAGAAGAGGTTTTGCTTCTCCTGCGCGAAGAGCGTGGTATCTTCTTTTCGTTCCTGTGCGAGGGTTTCGGCGAATGGGACGTTGAAGAGCAGGGCGCGAAGCGGGGCTGCTGTGAGGCGACGGAGGGCTTCGCGGCAGAGGTCCTGTGAGGTGGAGAAGTGCGTAGTCAGGAAGGTGGCGAGACGGTGCGATGTCAGTATCGGGACGCTCGGCGCGATGCGAGTGTTAGGCGGCGAGTGCGCATTCAGCAGCGCGGTGGTGGCGCGCGCGGCGGCGTCGCGGATCTCGTCGTCGTCATCGTTGAGCATGTCGTAGAGGACGAGGGAGAGGCCGAGGAGGAGTGGTCGCGTGGGCGTGGTCGACGAAGATATGCGCCAGATGGAGTCGAGTGCGCAAATGGAGTTTGCGGCGGCGAAGCGCGCATCGAATGGATTCGTGTCGACCATTGTCATGCGCAGGATGCAGATGTATCGCGCTATCCTGGGCCAGAGGCTCTCTCGCTGCGAAGGACAGTTTTTGTACGTCCAGTCCAGGAAGAATCCGAGTAGGTGCAGGGCGCTCTGTGAGTTAGAAGGCGCGTTAGAGAGGCATTGCTCTTCAAGCTTGTCGAGCGTAGAAAGCAGGTCGGGTTCGCGGATAAGATCTAGGACCTCCTGCGGCATGTCGAGTTGGGAGAGCCCGTCTGCGAGAACGTCCTGCGCTCTGGAGAGTACCTCTGGGTCGATGGCAGACAGGGTTAGGCGGTAGATGTCGTGGAGGATGAGAGGGAGCTGTAGAATGGGGCCGCGGAGGGTTTTAAGCTTGATGATTTCGTGGAGTGCATCGATACCTGCTATACACGTATCGGGATTCTACATGGAACAACGTAAGTATATGATACAGTAGAGAAGTTTGTAGAAAACTCACCTTTGTGGCCAACAACTGGAGAGCGTTTCCTATGCCCTGGAAGTCCTTCGACAGGTAAACGCTAATCTGATCAGGTCGAATGATAGAGCGATCAATGAAATAAACTTCAGCTGTAGATTTTTGAAGCAGGGCATCAGCCCTCACGACGCTCATGTTGAAGGTCTGGTCAGGACCAACTCCAACAGCACTCGTGAGCGCCGTCCACACGTTCATCGCCGACTCATTCGTGCCATGCTCGACGATAAACATTCCGCAGACGCTCACAAGGTCTAGGAAAGCTCCTTTGACATAAGGGCAGGATGTTTGTGTATGCCACGCAGGTGCACAGATGCTCAAGTGAAGCATTGACTCTTTGAGGAATTCCTGGACTAGAGCCAATAAGTTAGTGATCCTGCTTGGTGGTAACAGTAGCTGGGAATGAACTAACCTTGATCACTACTCTGCAGTCCCCTTGTGACACAGTACTTAATACAGAGCAGCTTTCCATGCTTGGCATTGCTAGACTCCTCGAAGTTGTCTAACAGCCACTTTACGCCTGTCAAAAGCTCACTTGGTCGATATAGAGCGGTGATTGTGCGGGCTGCCATATCTCGCATGTGCCAGTGTGGGCTTGACAGGAGCTTCGTGATCGACTGCAATATAGTCATTCGATGCTCTTCAGGTGGCATTGCCTGCCTCAGAATTTGAAGAGCGGGGAAAACGCCTTCGGCACCATGCAAATCCATAGGCGAATTGCTTCCGGGTATATCGAGAGATTCTTTGATTGGGCCTTCTGGGTTAAGAAGATTCTCGATGATACGAACCAGGCTGGGGTAGCTATGGTATGAGAAACGGGAGGTCTTCGTCATTTCACGCTCCTTCCAATCCTGAGCCTCATCGCTTCCCAGCAGTCGCTCGATGAGCGCTTTGAAGAGCATGAGGCCACAGTTACGGATGGGCCATCTACAGTGTGGTCAGCAGTCCGTGTGGTCTCAGGAAATACAAGACGTACATGGTAGAATTGATCATCTTTGCGGCAAGCTCAAGGCCGTCTCCGATGAAAGCCTCAGAAGATGCTCCAAGTTTCGAGGTCATGAAAAATTCCTTGATGCAATTCAAAGCATGTACCTGCGGCAGTCGGCTCTCTTCAATATTAGAGCTCTTTGCTTCTACAGTGGCTTCATTGGTGAGATCCCGCATCGCCTGCGGGAACAGCTTTCCGCTTGATTGTGGCTCCGCAGCAACAATACCGGCCATGAGTGCAGGAATGCCACCAGAGCGACGAGTGATCGCGTGGGCTTGGGCTTGAATGGAAGAAAGCGTTTCCTGGGCCAAAATCAGAAATTTGATATGAATAGAAAGGCGGACAGATTACCTGATACCACTTTTCGGGTAGCGCCTTCAGAGCATCGTCGCCAACAAAGTAAGTTCGTCTACAAAACGCTGCGAAAGTCTGAGCTACCGCAGAGAATGCACCTCGATGGCGAAGCTCGATCAACTGGGTGAAACATGATCGGCCGAGCTCCTCGAACCGAGCTGGATCTATCACATCCCGATCTTGCCTACCTATAGGTGCTCTTGTCGCGATCACTCTCAGAAGGGTACTGCAGGGGTCAGCAGCTGAATTCACGAATAGTTGCCGGGCTACGTACCTTGCCTCCTTCAAGCCTCGCCAAGAGTAACTGAGTATCTCCTTTGTGTCAAGACTAACTTCTTCATCCATGTCTTCAGGAACATGTCCCTCGGGCGCGTCTGCAGAAAGGATATTCTCGACGATGATCCACATCGTAGTACAATCGTCAAGAAGCTGGTTGTGGATCTTTTTCAGCTCATTGAAGCCGTCAGCGTCAAGCTTGTCGAGTTCGCTGTAGAACTCGTCTTGATCTACAATATATCTAACATGGTCAGCTTGGAAAGCAATGGCGAGCGACGAGTCGCACCTTATGGCAGCAAAGATCCCATGAACTGGGCGACCATTGACCGCCTCAGCAAGATCATCTCGAGCTATTTCGAGTGTTTCCTGCAACTGTTTGTTGAGGCGCCGAATAATATCGATCTTGATGAGAACGGTGACGCTGCTGGGTTCTCGCGACTCTAGTGAAGTCGGGACACAAGAGTGATAAAGCGCATAGGCTCTTGCCAAACCATCCGCGTGATCAGCACGTCCGGTGCGCAGCATGGTAGCTTCGGCGCGTTTGATGAAAGGCGGCAGCATTGATAGCATATTAAGTTTTCCTTCTTCCGACATTGTTTCGAAAAGAATCTGCAGGATACTGACCGATGTGTCCCTGACATCATCGAAAGGGTCGAGCATCATATCCAGCAGCTTTCGAATAAGCCCCACATTGGCCAATTGTAATCCATGGGCCCAATGCAATTGACTCTGGGCACCTTTAGAGAGATAGTGATGAGGAACGCGCGGGTCAACCCCAGACTTCAGGACAACCATGAGTGCTCTCAATCCCGTTATCCGCCTTTGATAGGCAGCATCTAAGCGGATCTCTCCTTCAATAAAGCTGAGGTACCAGGTGATGAACCGTAGCGACTCTACTAGCGGGTCCTTGGCTGTTGAAGAGTTCTGATGGACGGGGCTTCCTTCAGGAAATGGATGACGACCCTCGCCTTTTCTGAGTGTCTCGTTGCGAAATTTGGCGAGAGTCGCCGTGCTGCCTCGAAGGCGATTGAACAACCTCTGGATGTAGCTAATCAGTTCCCTCCGAAAGTTGACGTCAGGATCGGTATGTAGATGCAGCAAGTTCTTTTGCAGAGACTTGAAGATGCCGCCAGTAATGGTCCGCGTCACGTTGGTAGAGTATACGCAGAGGAATAGCCCAGCTAGACGAACCTCACTCTCCATGTGGGAGAGCCAACCGCCGAATATATCGTCGGGAAGGATCAAAGCATCTTGCTCAATCTCTATGGTCTTCTGAATACGATAATCTAGATTGGCATATTAGCATTCTTCGGATTCCCCAACGGAGCTAGAGCACTTTCGGTCACTGCTCTCCACCGACGAGTGCAAGACCTAGTTTTGGAAGACGTTGCCACTTACCAGTGTCTTTAAGAACGCCCAGTTCTTTGCCAGTCTGGATGGAAGCGAGTAGTATCCTAAACTCTTCAAAATCTTCCAGAACATTTCTCTCCATTGAATATGCACTCAATTCTTCAGGGATAGGTCCCCTTGAGTCCACGTGGCGGGGGAAATGCAGATAGGACAGAAAGTGAACATATTCCTCCACATTCGGTAGAAAGCAGTGTGGAAAAACATGCGTCTTGAACTCCTGTATACGATCCGGCCACTGGTGAAGGCAGTCTACCACTGGCTTCATCCATACGGTAGCAACAGAGTCGTGAACAGTGGTCGGGCCCTGATGTGATGTTCGACGCAGCTGAGCGAGGAAATTCTTGACCACGTGACCCGCCGAGAGCGACGTGTCATGGTGTACTATCCAAGCGAGAAGTACGGAAAATAAGGGCTGGATGTCCGGCCCGGCCACTGATAGGCCGGAGGTGCTGCCGACAATGTTCGCGTGGACAGCCATGAGCCGAGGAATGGTTGCAATGTCCTTTTGTATGAAATGAGCAAGGCCTTGTAAGGCTGGCTTGACTTTCGAGCGGTCCTGTCTTAGACATATTATGTCAACAAGATTAGCTATGGCCCATTCCTGTAGTTCGTACGCCCGCGTAGTTTGGTTTCGAAGAAGAATGCTTGTAAGTGTCACCAAGACCTGTCTAACGGATTTTCCCTTGGCACCATCCGACTTCTCGAGATAGATTTTGAAAGCCCTCGACCATATAGAATCGTCCAAGATGGCATCCTGCACATACGGTAACTCCAGCGCCTGGCATCTCTCAAGAATAGCGCACAGGACATTACAAACGGCCGCTCGGTGTCCCGAGCCGAGTTCGGGCGAAGCCGCTGTATCTAGTAGGGGATCTATAACAGCGTGCAAGTTTCTGATATTTTCGTCAGATTACTTCAGGTACAATCGCGCAAAGCTCACGGACTTCGTTTCTTACTTCACGCCACTGACTGTTTCCTGATCTGTAAATTTAGGAAAGATGCCCACTATATCTTTGGACAGCTTCCTGAGCGTTTGCTCCGGTATGGGTATTACCTCAAATGAGGTTGAATCCGCCATAACGAACGTTGGCCAGCAGCGGGCGAAATCGAACAGTTTCTGTCGCTTCCAGACGCTGAAGGTTCGCGTCCAGAAAAAGAGTGCGGGGCGCTAGACTAATTTAGGCGATGACTAATATCCATCTTCCAACATCATCTTCGTTTTGAATCATCATAATCTGAACGACAACACGACGTCTAGTCTCTCATGATGATGCCCTCAAATAGTGTTCATACTGTCTTGGTAGGAGCTGACTCATCAATAATACGTGACACCCTGGCTTCTGCACTTAGCAACGTCCCGATACAGTTCCCCGCGAATTTGGCCTTGAACTTTCTCTCGGAAGTTCTCTGTATCGGTTTCAGCACGTGCTTTAAGACCACGTGCGCGGAATCGCGATGGCCTGAATTGAGGCATTTCGTGTACTCGAGTGCTCTCAAGATGATCCCATGATTTCGCTTCAGTAATATTCAAATCACCTTTCTTGCGCTGAAGCGTTTGACCTCTACAGGTGAGCTATGATCGTCGTGGAGGGCATCTTGGACCCCAGGTTTCCCTGGAGCAACTCCAGTGATGCTCCATGGGTCCGCCCTTTACCACTCCTGCCTTTTCATAGAGTCATCGGAGGTCTAGATTACCTACAGATATCTCCTTCAGCTCAATGGACTCGGCCGTTTGTTGTACACACGTAGCATTGCGCTAGTCCACAAGGCAGTTATATCTACCTCAGCCAGTCTACATGAGAAGCGCGCCGAGACTTACGTCGCCTAAAAGACGGGCCAATTGCACGAGGACACTACGCCCACAAGTGGCCGTTCAGTAATCTGCACCCTTGTGGAGCGAAGCCAGGACACTCAAGATATACCACAACCACCCAATCAGCACGAAGAGGTTCGGCGGCATGTTGTAACACGAAATTTGTACTACAGTGATCTGTTCAGTTAGGTGCGGCATTCCGAGAATCGGCGATTGAAGCGGTCTACATGCCTGTAGACGTAGCAACAACATGTGATGGCGCTGGGCGGCTGGCTGGCTCGTCGGCTACAATAGCCACTGCTGAATTCCTGCCGAATGACTTTTTGGCCTCTCAAACCTCATACGGAGGATCGGAACAACAAACTAGCTTCCGCCGATTACCATCTCCCGGACGACTGTATCCGGACAGTGACGAGGTGAGTGGTTCTGTACTTTGCGATCCTTTGGCCTTTACCTCACTCCTTGACTTAGGTAAGTGACGACGACATCCCCGAACAAGACCAGCAATCCACCCGCCGAGTCTCAGCCCAAACACCAGTCTCTGTGTGTGGTTTTGAGCTGAAAGACCACGGCTATCGCTCTGCAAGTCCGCGTTCGCCTGACCTCGAGCAATCACCTATAGCATTACAGATTGATCCAACAGATCTCGAAATGAATAGGGTAGCGCAATTTGTCGGGTACTCCGAAAGTGAGTTCGAGGAAGAGTCGGATCAAGATTCACATCCACTACGCCCCAGGTCCCATCGAAACGGCAAGCTACCGCGTCCAAACGTGTCGAAGAATGCAACTGATATTCGCTCCAACCACAACAAATCTGATGCACGAACAAATCAGCCACTCGCTCATGTCCACAACAAGCGGCCTGTGGGACTGAAAGCTTACAAGGGTACAACCAACGCTAGTAAATCGAAGCGTAAGTATTCTTCCATGCCCATTGCACAACCAACTCATCACTGATTCGTCTCATATCTGACAGCCGCACCATTTGAGCAGTCATCCTCCTCCGAAGATGACCAGCCGCCTATTGGCGACGATGGCGAAGATGGCGATACGTTACACAAGTCATCATTGCCTCAACAACAGACACCCTCGCAAGTGCGACCGCAGGCGTCACCATTAGTATCGCGGCAGACATCATCGGAAACACCAGCGAAGCCTCCATCGCAAGATGCTTCCACGAAGGATACAAATGCAGCCTTGCGTGGTCGTCTTCAAAAAGCGCTAGCCAAGAAAGGATTTCCATCAAGTTCACCCCACAATCAGGACTTCGGTATGGCAAAGAACGGCACCTCCAACTCTGGAACGCTGACGAGCGAGAGGAGACAAGAAGTCGACAACTCTCTAAGACCATTGCCAGACGGAGCCAGATCAGCGAGTACGACTGCCCAAGCGAACAGACTAGCCCCGAATAGCGGAGTCCAAAAGACCTCCCCGTGTGCAATTACGCAGCAACATCTCCAGCAGCAGAAGGCTCAGCACATCGCCCGCAGTCAAACACAAACAGCTCAAGTGGGGACTGCGCAGACTGGAATGGCAAAGAGGCTTCATGCCACGGCGAGCAGGCATCCTGCATACGGACCATTCAGTGCGTCCCAGCAGAAACCAACTGGGCGTCAGAAGCAGCCTGAATCCGCGCCAAATCCCGCTAAGCTGATCGATTCCAAGGCCGTTGACAATCATGAAGTCGCCCGGGATAATGCTGCCAAAGTGCCTCGTCCCGATGTTGAGACTCCAAGCGCCAAAAAAGACTTCAGTGGCGCAGGTCGAAACGTATCCTCGCCTGCATCGAGTTCATCATCCAGAAGCCCTAGTCGCTCTACAGTTGCAAAACCGAGCGCTTTTTTAAATCAGCTATCTCCATCATCCGTGACTAGCCGGCCAGCTACCTCAGCACGAGCAAGTCCGGCGAATCCGAAGGCCCCTCCGAAGACAGCATCAGGTAGAGATGCGCCGCAGGCTGAACTAGCTAAGGCTCAGAAAGCTATTACCACAATTTACCCCGCGAACAAGCCTGTACAGACCAAAGCAACGTCTATGATGCCGAGTGAAAGCAAATCTATTGAAGCAACACCACGAACGCAGCAGCACCAGATGAACATGCCAGGGAAAGTAAGTGTGCCGAAGCCGCCAGCGAGGAGGCGTACTGTATCGGCACTTCAAAGTCTTCTGACCGAAGTCTCTACTGGTGAGAGCACGGTGGAAAAGGTGACTGAGGAACGGGCTCAAATTGGTGAGCGCATCGCAGTCAAAAATGCTATGCCTCGCCGCAACGTACGGAGTGGCCCTACCCATGGTCCGACTCCAGCTCGTGCGAAGAGCGGGCTTGACGAAATACAATCGAGCTCAAGAGACAACCATTCCGATACTGCTGCGCACTACGCGCCAGTGACCTCTACCACTGCTGCCAGAGGAAACAATGGTAGGATGTCACAACCTAGTCCGGGCACTGGCGGTAGCAGATCGGGTACTCTAGGTCGAACCCGTGCATCATCAAATGCCAACGCAGACGACCGGAAGAAGACGACGGAGACCAGAAGGGCGTCGAAAGGGGCTCCAGCCGGACCCGGATGTCCTCGACGCAATTCTTTCGAAGCCCCTTTGCAGACATCTGCCAGACAAGGCAGCACGCCTGCCAAACCGCCTTCTACGGAAACGCCCCCAACGCCGTTTCCAGCTGCGTCGGAGACTCCCTCTGCGGTTCAGGCCACAGCTCCCGCGGCAATAACAAGAGGACCGCTCAAGACACACGCACGAGTGCCAAGCGGTCCCACCGAAGATGGTTTCGACATCTACATCCCGCCTGCTCCTGGAACTAGCAAAGCTATACCAACGCCAGCCAGAGCAGACAATGTAGCTGCCACGCCAGCTGTCCCGAAGGCGCCCGCCCAAGAGGCTTCGCAACCTGCCAAGAAGGTTGCTGGAGCGGACAACATACCATCTCTTCGGGGGAGCGGGCAGAGGTCATCGAGTGTAGCGACGACGGCTTCGACGCACAGCACTGACGTCTCGACTACCGCTCCGCTCCGTAAGCCGAAGGCGTCCACGGACCAAGTCGGAAAGGCTGCAGCTCCCATTGCGCGGGACGGCCATGGCGAAGCAGCTGGAGCTACTGGTGCTGGAACTGTCCAGGGGGGTACATCCGCTCTCGAAGATCTGTCCGCGAAGAAGCCTGGCAACGTAGCCACGGCCACGGAGCCGACGGTCCCTCTTTCAACTCGCAACAAGACCAAGTCAAACCTGGTAAGCCGCATATCACACTCTGTTAACACATGTTGAGACTGACAGACTTTGCAGCCCAACTCTGGGTCCCCCGCTACCGTCACGCCACAGCACACGACGGACCGAGCAGGTTCCGGCTCAGAGCTGCCCGAGCTCGTGTTGCGAGACCAGCCAAGGGCCGGTCCAGCTCCGGAGCCGTACTTTGAGTACAGGATCAAGCAGAAGATGTGGGCGGAGCCGGGAACCGGGCAAGATGGCAACGCACTGACAATAGGGTTTTCGTCTACGGTGCTGGAAACAGCAAACAGACAGGCCGAGGAGCTCTTCACGCAGACAAAGGATCAGTATCTCTATTCTTTTCCCGTCCAGCACCAGCAGTCTTCCAGTGCCCATGATGGCGACGGGTGCTTGGCGCTCAGGGGCACTCTGGCTACGACGGGATGGCCTGTGAAGCAGGTACACCTGAAGATCTGGGTTGAGCGAGGTGAAGGTGAGTCTTTCTGCACATGGGCATCTGGTCTAACCTGGCTAACATGCATCGTCGAGTGCCATCAGATGCTGCTACCTTGAACCCACCTCCGAAGCTCACGCCCTTCCTCAGCAAGACGTTGTACATCCTGCGTCTCTACAAGCTGACCGAAGTCCCTACCGTCGACTCCAACGAAGACAAGCAGGAAGAGCGCCACATGGTGGAGGACGCTGATGGCGGTGACGAAGGGTCCGGCTCCGAACCAGGTGATGACCCCTCTTCGGCCGACTCAGACGACGACTCATCCGAATCAGAGTCTGAAGCAGACAAGGGCAAGCACAACAAGAAGCGGCAGGCCAAGCAAGCGCTCAGAAGCTCTCCTCCAGCCAAGCGGCGCAAGACCAAGTCAGCTTCGCCAAAGCGCGCCTCTCCCAAGGCCCTGGCCAAGTCAGCAATGTCAAAGCGTGTTGTCCGTCAGCATCAGCAGATGGCGTGTCCTGAGGTCTACACCACGCTCTATGCCGCCAACAGCGCTGCTTGCGAGCTGCAGGTCGAGATCATGAACGAGCACACGCTACTGGTTGAAGCGGCGCGAGCGAGCAATGCGGGCGGTCTGAGGAGGAAGCTGATGGGCCTCGTCGAGAAGAAAGGCGAGGAGCGCTACTGGCACAACGAGTTTCCCTTTGGGCTGGTCGGCGCAAAGATGGAGATCAGCGTCGAGCCTGTGACAGTCTGTGGGCCGAGGAACGTGTAGACGGCGAGAATGGGCGTGTCTGCACTGCCCACGGGGCCACCCACGACTCCCACGTTGCTCCCTGGGGAAGCAGAATTTGACATCGGGCCGCGGTGCTTTGGTGGAGCTGTGGAAGGACCGGCGGCGTCGGCAAATTGGCGGTCGAGGTTTCCCCACGGGCTGAGCAGGCCCAGTGGCTAGGCTTGTTTTGTAGTGAGCCTGAAATCAAGTCTACTCGTACGGCTGAGCGCGCCTGCAGCATGCCGTGAAGCGAGGACATCAGCAAGGCAACGCAGACGAGGCAAGCTCTGCGAAGGGCTGAGCGTGGATGCGTGGCTGGAGGCCAGAGGCCGCGTAGCCATCCGCCCATTCCGGTTTCGGCTCGCACACGTGCGCCGCGAAACGCAGGTGCAGGTGCTGGCGACTGGTTCGTCTGGTCGGCCGCTTCGTGCGCGAAGACTTAGGGTCCTGGACAGGCAACGCTTCAGCCGTGCAGAGGGGCGCCGGGACTCGCACACAAGCATTTGTGCAGCGCCCGCTAGCAGCAACGGCCGCCAGGGGGGCGTGCAGCGGCATCCTGCGGGCGTCGCGTCGAGCGCCCGACGGCGGTGGGATGCGCTCGCTGGACGAGACTCGCAACAAGGGCCCGAAGTGGACGCAGGGACGCAGCGTGCTGGCACCGCGCGGGCCTAGCGCCTCGCCGCCAGTCTGGGGCTTCCGCCGCCGAGCCCAGCTAGCAGCGTCGGGGCCCAGTTTCATAGGGGCGCGGCCTTCTCCCGCGCGCGCCCTCGTCCCACCCTGGTCGTGAATCGCCCGGCTTAGCATCCCATGGCGGAGCCTGCCACGCGCACCTGCTCAACCCTCTGCGCCCGCTGCCTCTCATGACCAGTGCAAGCACCACCACGGCCGACTGATCCCGCCCGCGCGCTCCAACACTCCTTTGCCCCCGCCCGCGCCGTCCATGGGAAGCCGTCGTCCTCTGCACCCAGCCGCGACCCCCTAAATGTCTTCACGACTGCGTCCCTCCGCCCACCACTATGAGCTGCTGCCGCAGGCCTCCGCCGACCTCGAGGACCCGCCCGCCCGCGAGCGCCGCGACTCCAACGCCTCCAACGGCTCCAGCAAGTCGTGGCTCGGCCGCCTCGGCGACAGCATCCCCGCCGTGCACAAGCTGACCGACCCGTCCATCTGCGCCCACTACATCACCCCGCGCCGCAGGAAGCGCTCCGTCCTGCGCCTGATCTACTACGCCGTCTTCTCCTTCCCCTACATCTGCCTCTTCCTCGTGCTCGTCGCCGCCATCTTCTTCCCGTCGTACACACATCTGCCCGCCCACTACAAGGAGCTCCGCGAGCGCGCCCTTGCCAGCGACGCGCCCGGCCGCGCAAACGTACACGACCAGAAGGTCTTCATTGCCGCTTCCATCTACGAGCAAGCCGGCGAGCTCACGTCGGGAGCGTGGGGCGAGGCGGTCCTCCAACTGGTCCATCTGCTGGGCCCGCAGAACGTGCACCTCAGCATCTACGAAAACGATGCCGACGACATCACCAAGGAATCGCTGCGTGCCCTGGAGAAGAAGACGCCGAGTAGGTTGATCCTAGCCCTTGCATGCTTCCTCTGCTAACAACGCAGGCAACTCCACCATCGTGTTCGAAGACTTCGACCTGGGCAGCTTGCCGCGCATTACGCTCCCCAACGGAGAGTCCCGCATCAAGCGCATGACGTTCCTCGCCGAGGTCCGCAACCGCGCCCTCGCGCCCCTCGAGACCACCCAAGTCGCGTTCGACAAGATCCTGTACCTCAACGACGTGCACTTCGACCCCATCGACGCTGCTCAGCTGCTCTTCTCCACAAACGTCGACGCCAACGGACTGGCCAACTACGGCGCAGCCTGCGCCGTCGACTTTATCAACGCATTCAAGTTCTACGATCGCTTTGCGACACGAGACCTCGAGGGCTACGGCATGGGCATACCCTTCTTCCCTTGGTTCACCAGCGAGGGCGACGCAGCAAGCAGGAACGACGTCATTGCGGGCAAGGATGCGGTCCGAGTGAGGAGCTGCTGGGGCGGCATGACCGCTTTCGAGGCCAAGTGGTTCCAGGACCAGTCCCGCTTCACCTCCGCCGAACCCAAGACCGAACCGGAACCGGAAACCTCAGCCAACCCTGAGACATCTGTTCTCCGTTTCCGCTACGAGGAGGATCCCTTCTGGGAGTCGTCCGAGTGCTGTCTCATCCATGCCGACCTCCAGTATCGACGGTCGGGCAGCGTCTTCGCGCCGGATTCCGGCATCTACATGAACCCCTACATCCGCGTCGCGTACGACACCAAGACGCTTTCGTGGCTGTCTTTCACGCGCCGCCCAGAGAAGCTGTACTCCATCATCCACGACATCCTCAACCATGCCATGGGCTTCCCGACCTTCAACCCGCGGCAATACGAAGAACCCGGCCAGCAGGTCACCGACACGGTCTGGGAGTACGACCACCCCGTCGGCGCCTTCCTCCCCAACGCCACCGCGTCCGACTTCTCGGGCCGGTACGTCCAAGAGGAGCGCACCGCGCAGCCCGGCGGCTACTGCGGCGGGCGGTTCCTGCTCGTCATCAACGAGACGCCTGACCAGGGCGAGGGCAAGTGGGGCAAGATCGAGGCACCGGCGCCCTCGCGCCCGTGAATTTCTCTTCTCACGCAGAGTATAGTAGAGTGGCTTTAATCGTGGTTGTCATGATCCCTTTTCTTCGCTTCTTGTACGCACGTTCTCATACAACATCCACCTTTAACTAGCCGCCGGTCTTCCTTTGGGGGGGATTGGTATTTCCTTTATCTTTTGTCCTTGTGTTAGCATGCATAGCGGCGGCGTTACTACCGATTTGGAACGGCGAGGCTTCGCGGGACATGTCAAAACTCGAATTGTATTGCATAGACTTGTGGCGGTGTACCGATAGCAGCGGTGGACCGGGGAGACGGGATACCGGCGTGAGGTTAGACGGCACGAAGAATCGATCCGATGACTGCCCCTTGCGTTTGCTCGCGAGTTTTGCGTGATGCTTGCCCCGCGCTGCACGTTCCCGATGCAGCTTCGACGGCCCACGGCTGTGCCGAACTCTCATGCCTGGTTCTTGCAGGGCGATTTCAAGTTATAACATAGCTTTCGTGTCTATAGCCTCTCATATGTTATATTCTACATCTCTATAACTTTAGGCAGCTCTTTTGTATGCGGATGACGCTGGATGGCGGAATGGTCTGCCCGTGCACCGTCTGTCTGCGTGCTTTGTGATGCTGGCGGCGGGGTGGCATGGAGGGCGGGGCGTGCGTGGTATCGCGGGCTAACGGGACAGGGCTTTGCCCATGTCGTAGAGTGGGCTACTACCGGATCTTGAGTCGCAGCTGACGTGTGCACACATCTGGTCTTGGAGGCACAAACATGGCGGCATGGCGGCACACAGCCGTGCACGAACTCGCATGAACCATGTACGGAGGACTCAAACAAACGCCAGGGAACAATGCCATGGGACCATTTCCCCGCCATACGCCGCCCATGCAACGACCACATGTACGTGGCAACCCGCCTCGCTTCCTACGCCGTGAGCGCCGAACTCACCCCCAGAATCCCCATGCCCGCAAACGCACTCGCAAAGCACAGTTTGCGGCTGTGCGTCAGCTCCAGACTCTCCCCCAGCAGCTGCAGACTGACCATCGCCATGATCCCCGCAGTCACCCCAAACATGACCCCATACACCAGCTCCCCGGGCTCGCCTTCCCCCTCGCCCGCGCGCCTCTTCGCAATCTTGAACCACAGCGCCGCAACCCCCGCCCCGAGCGGCTGCGATACGCCGCCCAAGATGGTCGACCAGAACATGGCTTTCACGCGCGAGTTGATGGCGAGGTATAATGGCAGCGCCATGGCGAAGCCCTCGGTGATGTTGTGGATGAAGAGCGCGAGGAAGATGGACACGCCGAGGCGTGGGTTCGCGTGGTTGGTCGCGTAGGTGATGAAGCCCTCGGGGATCTTGTGGAGCGCGATGGCGATGGAGGTTTGGAGGCCAATGGAGAGGAAGGCGTTGGTCGGGACGTGGTGGTGGTGCGTGGCGGAAGCGTGGGAGACAAGGGAGGAATGGCTGGACTGTTTGGTGAGAGGGCGAGGGGTGCCGTTTCCGTTGGCGTGTATGGGGGAAGGGTTGGTGTGGGAGGTGGTCTCTGTGGTGGCGGGACCGGAGACGGTGGGTGCGAGGGGCGTGTTTTCGTCAAGAGCTTGCAGGTTCGTGATGCTCTGGAGGAGCGGCTGGCGCTCGGCGGGGAGAGTCTGGGTCCTTGAGCCGGATGGCCGAGTGGGGATCTTGGTTGACGCCGAGTGAAATCGCGGGACTCGATCGTGCTGGACATTCCGGAAGCACTCGTTCCCACACGGGTCCGAGTAACCGAAGCACTTCCCGTTTTCGTCGCAAAACTCTTTCGAGCCGGTCACGAGTTGCGTGACTTTGGTTGATATTTGCGTGTGCAACGAAGGTCTCCTGGCTGGGAACCCGTGGTGGTCCGTGCCTCCATAGGAAGAATGAGAGTTTTCGAGCACGCTGTTCCACTGCTCTTCCATGGGCCTACTGCTCGATGGCGAGTGGTCGTGCCCTGCATGATCGTCGTCCGCCTTGCCCTCCTCTTCATCGCCGTGGTCGTGGTCACAATCCACAACTGAGTGCGGAATAAATCGGTGCAGAACCTGCGACACGACCGCAATCCCCAGCGCTCCAACCATGAAGCTCGCAATCAGAACCAACGTCGCGACCTTCGGGCTCAGCCCCCCTTTCGTCAAATAATTCCTAGCAGACGGCAACATGCTGTACAGCGCGGAGAAGATCTGTACCACGCACGTCAGCTGATCAGTAACTCATCGTCCAAGCTCGCACAGCATAGCACCCACCATGACCCCAAAGCTTAAACTCAACCCCGTCGACAAGAATATATTGCTCTCCTCAATCTTAAAATTCTTCTTCCCCGGCAGCAGCCGGATCACCAGATCAACGCATATGATCGATGCTGAGCGGTGTTAGTGGAACTGCAACATCCCTACTTTTTTCTTTCCCCTGTGCCATTCGCCATCGCACAAACAAGGATTCCCCAACGTACCTCCAAACGTGCATGCTGCGAGCCGTTAGCCTTGGTCCTTGACATGTGTGCACCCGCCTACCTATGCCGCTCACCGCAGCCATGATCCACCCCCGGGCATCGTTGTCGAGCCCCATGTTTTCAATACGACGTCCGCACCAAGCTAGGCGTATATAAAAATCGGAAAAATGCAGCGGAAGACAGCAAGGATTGCGGAAAGAGAAGACCGAAGCGGGTAAACTGTGTGCGAGATAGGAATATCAGCAATTGATGTTGCTGTAGATGTAGGCGTCGGTGAAAGGGCTGGCCATCAGGGTGCTAGAATCCAGGATGGTTTAGCGCGGGCGATCATTTTGTCAGCGGGTTTTGTGAAACGTCATTGGTTCCTAGATGCACGATGTGATTGGAGTGCGGGGAAGACGAGGGCTAACGAGGACTTGCATGTTCGTAGACTTTCAAGTAGTAGCATGTGTGTTTGTCTCAGCCATGAATTCTTACAGCTACCTCGTGAAGGTGCAGGTCACGGAGGTTTGTGACATGGAGACCATATCGCTTGTGAATCATGACCATTTCTTCTTTCCTAAACATTACATCACCCACCCAGTCGCACCACACTGATACCACCTCCCATATCCTTTCACTCCCGAGTCCTTTGCCAATCTACACAATCGCATCCGGATTCTCCACGCGCCTCTTCGCCGTGCCGATGCCGCTGACGCCCTTATCCTGCGCCTCGCCCAGCCACGGCTTCTTCTGCTCCGCCAAGCTGCCCTGCCTCAAGAAGTAAATAATTTGCCCCACGAGGATAAGCACAAACGCAATCGGATACATCCAGTGGATGTGGTAATGAAAGACCTTGACACCAATGGCGACACCCCAGAAATTGCCCGTGAGGAGCGAGATATTAAAGAAAGCGGCCGAGGTGAGGCGGAACAGGATGGGCGCGAGGGAGTAAAACAGGCTGAGGATGAGCGTGTACCCAGTGAGGTAGCCGCCGACGTCGGCATTCCACACGGCGGCGCGGAACGAGCTGCGGTCGAAAATGCCCGCGACGGTGCCGTTGATGAACATGCCCCAGAAACCGAGCTGCCCGATGACGACGTACAGCGGCTCCTCGGAGACCAGAAACTCCTCGAACGTGTTGGACACGCCGTAGAGCGAGGCGCCCAGCAGCGCGAACAAATCGCCCTTGACGGCGTCCAGCGCGTCGTACTGGTTGAACCCTGTGATGTGGTCCGAGCCAAACAGCACACCCACGCCGCCGACGCAGAGCAAGATGCCTGCGATCTGCGTCCAGCGGTAGCGCACCTTGAGGAACAAGAAAGACAGGATGACGACGACGACGATGGCCCAGAAGTTGATGAGCTGTGCGGAGAGGATGGTGGTGTAGCGATAGGCGAGAACGATAAAGTAGTTTCCGAGGACGTCGATGAAGGCGAGGATGAAGAAGCGCCAGCCGTCCTTTACCACCATCTTGGCCCAGCCCTTGAGTCCGAGCTTGTACAGCGTGTACCCCGTGTAGACGATGTTGAGGAGGATGTAGTTAAAGAGGGACTGGAAGGCGGGGATGCTGGTGCCTTCGTTGCTGAGGAGTTGCGAGAGCGTGTTGGTCGAGGTGATGCAAATCGCCAGCGCTGCAGCATATCAGTATGTGCACTCTTCCGATAGCCATACAAAGGGACGGAATCTAAACTCACTCTGCCCCAACACCATGGCTATCCAGAACTGCTTCGTCTTCACGTACGCCATCCACGAGCCCTTGGTCGCCGCATCCCGTTCCAACACCGGATTCGCCTCATGCGACGCCACGAGCGTCGGCACGCCAGTCCCATTTTCAGGGCCCGTGGTGTCGACACCTTTCGGCTGGTGCGCGATGGTGTCGGTGGGCGTCATGCCGATGTTGTTGTCGCTGGCCTTGCCGTAGGCTTCTTGGTAGTCACCAGTTTGCGCCATTGACTCTTTTCAGATCCAATCTGGTGCAGTAACGTCCAAAAAGCAACGTCCGACTCTTTCAATCGCAGGCTTGTTGCGGGGATCTCTCTCTCCTCGGTATCGAATTCCCGATGAGAATAGTCTGCGTAATTTGGAGCTTTCCGTCTTTCCCACGAGCGCAAAACTCCAGAAGTCGCTCACGGTATCTGCACAGCAGCAATCTGTCGCAAAGAAGCGGTTCAGGGCCCCGGCTGGCGGGCAGCCCGCCACCTTATAGGACTAGCAGCGCTGCACGCCGCCAAGGAAACTTTTTGCGGCCCTGCATCTCGACCTGCAAGTTCTGTTGGAGCTTGGGCCGCTGATCTCCACCGCAGGCCCGGAGCTTGCGCAAACGCGGTAAGGCGACGCGGCGGCACCGACTGAGCGCTGCAGCTGGGCTAGCCGAAGACCAGGTTTGCTTTTTGGCCTTCGCCAGAGGTCTTGGAGGCTGATGCGCGTGCTGCTGATTTGTTGAGGTCGTAGGGCTGGCGGATACGAGACGTCGGTCATGGGATACTGTATTAGGCCAATGCTTGTTGACTTGGTGAAGTTACAATTGGAGACTTGCCAGCTTTTGCGACTTTTTACCGGGCAAACACTACCTTCTAAATACTACTAGTAATACCTGTTACAAGCAGGCTACGCGACGAAGGCTATATTTACGGGCTGTACCAGAAGCAAATACGAGCCATGAGTTCTTCACACCCCACCCCCTCCCCGCCGCCTTCCCAACCACCAATCCCTGGGCTAGCCGAGGACGAGGATTGCTTTTTGGCCGCCCTTGGAGGCTGGTGCGCATGATTCTGATTTGATAGATTGGTAGGGCTGGCTCCCGACATACGAGATATCGGTCATGGGATACTGTGTAGGAAAATCTTGCATATGTCGAGAGATTGCCACGTTCCGAAAAGAAATATATCCTCGCTAGTATACGGTCCAACATCCCTGCGGCCCTAGAAAACCGGCGCTGGGTCCGCACCTGTCAAGAGTTCACTGTGACATGCATCAAGTGGCTCAGTTCACGCCTGGTAAAGTTAAGAAGCAAGTGTCTGGCATTGATGGTCGATCCGTACATCGCTATAATGAACGCCACCAGCTTGGACACTCCCAACCTCCTGCAACAAGATTGAATGCCCCTAGTATAAACATTCCAGTGACACGGGGCCTAAACGTGTACGCCGGTTTCCACAGCCAGTCAAACGGCGAATATACAAGACCTATGCACGAGAAGGTAAGTTAACGGCCAACAAGATGCAACGCAGGGCTCTGGGGGAACTGCTTGGAGACACTACCATATTTTGCATGCCATGCAAAGAAATACAGTAGCGCGCCCAGCGGCTGTCCCACGAGACAGAAGCTGATCCAGAAGATCATGTTGCCTGCGACCTCGCCGCGAATGCCCTTAACTTTCTTGAGCATGTCGGTGAAGACGATGAGAGGGATCTGGAACATCATTCCCATGAAAGCGACCCCTGGAGGATTCAAAGTCAGAAGTGCAGTTCTTAGCGTGAGGAGACAACTTACCGAGCATGTTGTGGGTAGGAGCGCCGACCAGCAGTTCGTGCAAGACGGCAGAGATGAAGAAGACTACAATCTGCGCGAGCGCAGGGGGCATACCCCGACCAACAAGCGGACTGTAGACGTGACGGCGCATGAAGTTGGTGACCGGCTTGTTCCAGGTGGTCCAGTATTCTCTCACGCTGCTAACGTTCCACCATGGCTCGTAGAATTCGCGGTCGGCAAAGCGCATAATCTCTGCGAGCCCGTTCAAGGAGCTCTGGAATAGAGCGAAAAACCCGCAGAGCCAGCAGAAGAGAGATACGGTAGACAGCTTCATCACGCGTTCGACGATGGAAACAAAATCGAGACTGGCCATCTTCTCGAGCGAGTTCTGCAGCAACGGCGCAGCATACTGAGCGGAGGCGATCCATATGGCGATACTGAGGACGAAGACCTCGAGCGCACGCATCGCAACGTAGCCCCAGCGGATGCGGTCCGTACGGGGATAGGCGGGTTGATATACAAGCGTCGGAGCCCACCAGAAATAGCAGAGATTGGAGAAGCTGATGTTCCTGGGGTAGGGGCAGCTGGCGTAGATTTCGGGCAGTGGTTCCGACTGGTCTGGATGCAAAAGAGCGTGCCGCAGGTCACGGTTGGTGAAGGCGTATGAGCAAGCCTTGAGCCAGACCACGACAGCGTGCAATTCGCAAAGTGTGCCTATTCCTGGGTGGTGGATATGGTAGTAAACAATGTAGGAGGAGATGGTAAGATTGAATGTAGCGTGCGCGCCGTGACAAAAAGCAACAATCTTCCATATCTTCTTGAAGCTGCGGCGAGCAGCGGCTTGGTTCTCTGGGGTATTTTGCTCCTCGCCTGCTTTCTTCATGCGCGCCAGAGCGCTCTTTGCTTGCTGAGCAGCTACGAGCTCGATGAGATAGGCTAAGAATAGTTGACAGGGTATGGACAAGTACAGAGCAAGGCCGTATATGACGTCTTGGCGACTGTAGTCGTGGCACGAGAGGCAGATGAGGACGCCGTACTGGACATGTCAGTCAAGCTCGGATTGGCGCTTTACGTGGCTGGCGTACTTTGCGGTAATTCTCAATCATTAGTCTGAGGTTGGAAAAGACGAGAACGAGGATCATCAGGTTGCGGAAGCCAACAAAGCTGGGCGATTGAGGAGCACCAGGCGTCAGACATGACTGTCGGCTTTGCGAGTGTGTAGCAAAGACATGGCGGTATTTTGTCTTTGGCATGTTGCGAGGCGAGCTGTTCACCTGCGGCTCGGTGACCTTTCCGCTGTAGGATAGCGATGGGATGGGGTGAGGGGCGTCAGGCCGCTCGAGGGCGGTCGAGGTGGCAGTATTCACGATTGTCGCCATTGCGTGTCCGAGGCAGCTGCGCGGGTCGCAATTGCACTCGGTGCGGAAATTTGGGAGCAGTTATGCGAGGCAGGCGTGGGGTGACGGATCACTTGCGGCGACGGAGCGCCCGGGGTGGCGGGTGGAATGGACGGAAGCAGAGGCTTGGCCGGCAGGCGAGGGAGGAAGCGCTGCGCAGAGCATTGCGCAGTTCCATATTTTATCGCAGCGGCGTGAGACGTGCCCAGAACGGAAATGTTGAGGCAGGCGATGCGGGGACTACTGGATGCGTGAGCGAGTGCATGCAGGCGCGGGCGACGTCAGTGGCCCAGTCGGGCCCTTGTGCGGGTGAATTGTGGCGCCCGTGGCTGGTGATTTGCGCTTGGCGCAGACGCAGCTGGAGCTCCGCAACATCGCGACAAAGCCCGCGCGCGAACAAGACAAACTTCAAGCCCGCCGTGTCCTCTTCACGCCCACAGCCCATGCCCGGGCCGCTGATCTCAGCGCCGGTTGACACTCGCAGCCATGGCTGACTACCACCAGTACGACGGCCCCCCGCGCCCGCGGCCCAAGAGTATGTTCCCAACCGCGCCGGTCGAGTACGTGCTAATCCACGTCTCCAGGAGCTGTGACCGACTATGGCTCGACGACCGTGCAATGGATGCGCAACCGGCGTCCGCGCTACAAGAACATGGCTGCCCCTGAGGTCGAACGCCCCAGCGCCAGCTACATCGTCGACATGGCCCCTCCCGCCGCTCGAATCGCAAACGCCGCCGAATCGATCCCCGCAAAGGCCCTGCATTCGTCGCTAAACAAGGTCAAACACCCGATCAACGTGGTGAAGTGGACGCCCGAGGGGCGGCGACTGCTCACGGGATCTACCAGCGGAGAGTTCACGCTGTGGAACGGCATGGGCTTCAACTTCGAGACCATCATGCAGGCGCATGAGTCGGCCATCCGCGGCGTCGCCTACACGCACACCGACGACTGGCTCCTCTCAGCAGACCAGACGGGCATCATCAAGTACTGGCAGACCAACTTCAACAACGTGAAGGAAATCCAGGCACACACGGAAGCAATTCGCGGGCTGGCCATTGCGCCGACAGACTCCAAGTTCGTGACCGCCGCCGACGACACGACGCTGAAGATCTGGGACTTTGCCTCGAGCGCCGAGGAATTGACGCTCAACGGACACGGCTGGGAGGTGCGGACTGTCGACTGGCACCCGACCAAGGGGCTGCTCTGCTCGGGGTCAAAGGACCACACGGTCAAGCTCTGGGATCCGCGGACAGGCCGCTGTCTGTCGACCCTGCATGGACATAAGAACCCAATAGCAAAGACATTGTTCGAGCCCGTGCTCGGAAACATGATGGCGACGTGCGCCCGTGACCACACCGCGCGCATCTTCGACCTGCGCATGATGCGCGACGTGCTGCTGCTGCGCGGCCACGAAAAGGACGTCACCACCATGGCCTGGCACCCGATGCACAAGAATCTGCTCTCGACAGGTGGTGTAGACGGCAGCATCTTCCACTGGCTGCTCGACGAACAGAACGCCCCGCCCGGCATCGCGCCCACTACCTCCCCCTACGACACGGCAGACGCCCAAAACGCGCCCGCGCAGACCATCTACCCCGCCCACAAGGTCCAGTACGCCCACGACTTCACCGTCTGGACCCTCGACTGGCACCCGTTGGGCCACATCCTCGCCTCGGGCTCCAACGACCGCGTCACGCGCTTCTGGGCGCGCCCCCGCCCCGGTGACGCCTCCTGGACCGCAGACAGATACCATATTGGCACCGCCGCCGCCGAAGCACAGGGGACTTACGACCGGCGCGACGGCCGGCGGCAGATGCGCGACGAGGAGGAGCAGGAAGCGGAGGACGAGGCAGAGGGCCTGGTCGACCAGAAGCTCCCGCCCAAGAACCCCGGCGCGCCGCTCCTCCCGCCGGGCCTCACACTTCCCGGCCTCAACACCTCGCCCGACGGCACGAGCAGCATCCTCCCTGGCATCGGCGGACTGCCTCCACCCCCAGGTGGATTACAAATCCCGCCTCCACCCCCGGGCCAGGGCTTCCCGCCGGGCTTCCCACCTGCCATGGACCCCGCGCGTCTCGCGCAGCTCATTGCGTCCGGCGCGCTGCCTCCTCCGCCCATCCCAGGCGCGAACGGCGCACCATCCCAACCGCCTTTCCCCTTCCCGCCGCCAGGCATGCCCGGGCACCCACCCATCCCACCGCCCGGAATCAATGGTGCTCCGCCACCCTTCCCCTTCCCGCCGCCAGGCATGCCTGGTGCGCCGCCGCCGCCGCCGCCGCCCAATTTTGCGTTTCCACCGGGGATGCCAGGCATGGCGCTGTCGCAGCACCCGGGTCCCGGCACCACGCCGCCAAACGCAAACGGCACTGCGGCGGAGAAGGCAGCGTGGGAGCGTCGGCGCGCGCCGCTGCCGAGTCAGCAGGACAGCCTGAAGGCGGAGATGCGGCGGGGGAATTATCGCAAGGCGCGGTAGCGAGGGGGCTTGGTCCGCAGGCAAAGGAGGGTCAGGAGGGAGAGGAGTGTCCTGTGTGTATGCTGTGGGATTTGCGTCGACGACGTGGTCATGGGTCGGAGCTGCCAACTGTACTGTATCGGCGGAGGGCGGGGCGTGTACGACTACGTAGCACGGGCTGGGCTGGATGGCTCAGCCGGACGGAAGGCGCTTTGGCGTTGGCTCGCGCGGGCCTTATGCAAATTACCACGTTCTCCATGTTTAACCCATCCAGTTTGGTGCAAGGCCGCTTGCGTCTCGAGCTGTTTACCCAGCACTCCGGCTCCGGGAAGAGCGGCGCGTGGGAATGCTGGCCCGGGAGCATGCGTGGGATAACCCGCGACCGCGGGTCCCAAGGAGGTGGGTGGAATAGCAGTGGGTAGAGGAGTGACTTGATGGACGGGCTAGCACTAGGGTGAAGTAGGTAGGACACGTGACACACCCCGCGAAGCGCATGCATTCATACATACATACATACATACATACATACATACATACATACATACACCACGTAGAGCTCAATGATGGCAGTATTGTGCAAACGCAAGACTTTTCCATAGGTTTAGAAAGACTAACTAACTAGCCCACGCCACTTGAGCGACCCACCGTGTATGAGGAGTAGAGATACCACGCGCCGTCAACTCAATACCCAATGCAGACAAGCAAAGCAGCAAGTAGACAAGATCAAAGCGTCCAGGCCCCTAGCCGGCCACGCGGCCGTCACATGCAACAGGCGGCGGATGGACCGATGACCTCCTACTCGGAGTCCTCGTCCTCGTCCTCATCCTCGTCATCGCTCTCCGCCTGGTCGAGCCACTCGATGAACTTCTCCGCCGAGCGGCGCACCTGCTTGCTCGTCTTGATGTCGACGTACTTCTTGCTGGCCTTCGAGCCCCACGCCTTGAGCTGCTCTTCCTCGACAAGGTCGTTCTGGTAGTACTTGATGAGGATGGCGGAGACCTGGGGGATGAGCTCGGGGTGGTCGATGCCGACGAAGCGCTCGGTGCCGCCGAGGAAAGCCTTTTCGTGCTTCTCCGAGGTGATCATCTTCTTGAGCATGCCGGCACGGCTGTCGATCTGCTTGACAATGTTCTTGTCGAAGATGGTCTGTGCGAGCACCGTGAGCGTGCGGTGCTTGCTCTCAATGCCGAGCTCCTTGGCCTTGACGTAGACCTCGACACTGTCGACCTTGTCGACGCTGCCCTTCTCAGCAGCAGTGTCGAGAATCCATTTACCAAACTCGTCATAGACGGAAGGACCGCCATCGCCATCTTCGGCATCTTCGGCGAACTCGGCGGGGTTGATGGCAGCACGCTTGAGATCCTCGGGAAGGACCTCAGCACGAGACTTGACGGCATCGGCGGAGAAGTCGGTGGCCCACTGGACCTCCTTCTCCTCGGGCACGTCGTCGATGTCAAGAGCGCCGTCTTCAATCTGGCGGGTGAGCTCATCATCGCTACCGGCTGCAATACCGTAGTCGCCGTTCTCATCACCGTGGTCAGATGCACTATCGCCAGGGCTGCCGTTCTGGGACGCGTTCTCATCATCGTCGCCTCCTTTTCCGGCCGCCTTGCGGGCACGGCGCTCAGCCTTTTTCGTGGCCTTGTCCTTCTTGCCCTTCTTCGGCTCGTTCTTGAGGATGAAGCCGCTCAGCTTCAAGCGCAAGTCGACCTGGGAGATCTGGCCGCAGGCCTTGCAGTCCTCGGTGATGCCCCCGTTCTTGACTTCCATGACGGTCTCGGGGTTCTTGCATTTCTTGCAGAGGACGAACTTAGAGATGAAGCCGTCCAGGTAGTCCTGGAGCTTGCTGGCATCGTGGGCGCCGTTGATGATCCAGCGGTCGTCGGCTGGGTTCGTGTTCGTCTGGGCGCCCAGCTCGAAGCCGAAGTACTTGATGAGGTCTGTGGTAAATTAGCTTGGTTTGGTCATGGATACAGGGGCGAGACTCACAAGCAGGAGGACGGTCGAGCGAGTTGGCAACGCTGGTCAGGTTGACGATGACGGTCTTGATGCCGTTACCCTTGCCCTCAATCTTGGACTGGATGCGCTCCATCTTGTAGCGGTAGAAGGGGTCGGTAACATCGCGGCGGACGTTGATGGTGGCCATGGTTGCGGTGGTGGGGGTCTGGTTGAGCTGGAATTTATTTCTGCGGTAGCGGGCGGGCGGCTATGGAAACACTGCGAGTGTTTTTGAGGGCCGAAAGAGACATGCAGTAAATGCAGACTCTAGGTGCGTGCAGGGTGGTTTGTGGACGTGCGGACGTCGTGAGGTGGCCTAGCCGTTGGTGCAGTGGTGGATACTGCTAGGTTTCCGCGTACTGCGAAATGATTGCAGCTCGGGGGGAGGGTCGAGTCGGAAAGCGTTCCTTTGGCGCGAATACATATGCCAGTTGACGAGGCGGGCTGGAGGGTAGTGGGGGGTCTAAGGTGCGAGGTGGCGGTTTGGCAGGCGGTCGCGGGCTTGCGACTCTGCAGTGTGCGTGGCGGGGTTTGCTGGTGCGGCGAGGGTTTGCGCAGTGTCTTCACTGGCGGGCGTGAATTTTGAGCGGGCTTGTGTGGCTGTGTGGGGAGTCGAGCGTGCAGCGGGCGGGCGTGTCGAAGAAGAGAGAAGCCTTCAGCCGGCGATCCAGTTTTTATAAGAGGGCTCGCTCGCCGAGAAGGGCATGAGCCACGGTCCCGCGGTCCTCGCCAGCACCACGCCAACGCAGTCCAATTTTACGCCCAACCGCCTGCACGTCATTTGCTCTGCAGTCTGCACACGTTGTAATTGGCTTGCTTGCCACGGCGGGCTTGCCTGCACCACGCGGTTCTGCTGCCTGGCAACCGGGAGTCGGCGTCCAGCAGGCCGCGCAGGCGCACAAAGGAATTTGGTCTGCTTGAGCATGCGGTTCACAGTTGCCCAAGACTAAGCATTGATGCTATGAAAAGACCATCGGCTGCGTCTGGACTCAGGGCTGGCGCTGATATCCACTTCCAGGCACATCTGCCCTGGTGTCCCGCGTTCTGAATCCGCTGTGCGATGCAACTTTGATGCCCCAAAATTTGTACGGCCGCTCTACCCCACGACAAAATCGCGGCAGAGACCCTCGCAAATGGGCAGCGGCGGGCAGGCACCAGCAGCCTCTGAGTAGTCACGCGAAGCCATACGCTGGCCGCAGGGGTTCCAAGCACATCCATGACGGCCTCTTACGGCTGCAGTTCCTCCCATGTGGGTGCAGCGTGCAGCCAGTAAATTCCCCGCAGCCACAGCCTTGAGTGACAAATCCGAGGAACCATTCTAGCGCCTGCTAGCACTGCATTCGACGACCGCCGTCCGCCATCCCCGCCCCGTCTGGCAGCCTTGCAGAAATCAGCCACAGAGGCCGACGCTGGTGGACTACCCCTCGCGAGACGCATGCAAAACGCTCCGCACACCAAATTGCCGGTCCGGGACGTTTCCGCTATAATTGCAAGGATGAAGGACCAGGTTGACTATACCTTGTACCTCGTCACTGACTCGACGGAGGCTATCTTGGGATCACGGGATCTTGTTGAAGTTGTCGAGCAGGCGCTTCTTGGAGGTAATCTTCGTCTTCACAGTTTAGCGGTTCTCTTTCCTCTGAACACTTGATACGCCATGTTTCAAATCAAGCACTTCAGGTACCACAAACCCATAGTGCCGCTCGCTGACTCAAGCCAGGTGTGACCGTGGTACAATACAGAGACAAGACCAGTGACACAGGCGCCCTCATCGCAACCGCAAAGGCCCTCCACGAGAAATGCAAAAAGCACAACATCCCCCTTCTCATCAACGACCGTGTCGATGTAGCCCTCGCCGTAGGCTGCGAGGGCGTCCATCTAGGCCAGGATGACATGAACCTCACGGAAGCCCGCAAACTCCTGGGCAGAGACAAGATCATAGGTGCCACCGTCTCCTCCATAGAGGAGGCACGCGTCGCCGTCGAGCGCGGAGCAGACTACCTGGGCATCGGCACGCTATATGCCACCTCAACGAAGAAGAACACCAAAGACATCATCGGCGTCAACGGCATACGCAGGATCCTGCGTTACCTTCACACGTCCGACGACGAGGCTGCCAGAAAAATGAAGACGGTTTGCATAGGCGGTGTCAACGCACTCAACGTCCAGAGAGTGACCTACCAACTCCACGCCCCCTCGGACCACTCGTCACCGCCAAAGTCCATTGACGGTGTGGCAGTAGTCTCCGCTATCGTTGGCGCAAAAGACGTAGAGCAGGCTGCCGCAAACCTCAAGACGCTTCTCTGCACACCCCCTACCTTCATCCACTTCTCTCCATCAACCAACAACAATGAAGACTGGACCTCCCTCTCCCACCTCCACACTACATCCCTCGCCCTCACAAAAGCCGTCGACTCCGCCTCACCCCTCTCGCACAACATGACCAACCTGGTCGTCCAAAATTTCGCCGCCAGCGTGGCCCTCGCCATCGGCGCCTCCCCCATAATGTCCAACAACGGCGCCGAAGCCGCCGACCTCGCCCGCCTGAACGGCGCCCTCGTCATAAACATGGGCACCGCGACCCCCGATGCCCTGAAGAACCACGCCCTCGCCATCGCAGCCTACAACGCCGCGGGCCGGCCCGTAGTCCTCGACCCTGTCGGCGCAGGCGCCACCTCGGCGCGCAAAGAAGCCCTATCCTTCCTCCTCGCCTCGGGCTACTTCTCCGTCATCAAGGGCAACGAGCGCGAAATCCTCGCCGTCGCGCAAGCCTCGGGCCTCGCCGTGGCGTCCAGCGAGCACGCAGCCCAGCAGCAACAGCGCGGCGTCGACTCGGGCCCCGCCTCTTACACCCTCCCGCAACGCGCCCACATGGTCCAGCGCCTCGCCCGCCGCGAGCGCACCGTCGTCCGTACGTATGCCCCAAGTGTCTGCCCTCGCTGTTTGAGCATCCGTCACCCAAGCACAACAACTGCTTCAACCCCTCCGTACTCGACCGTACGCTAACCCCGCACCCCTAGTCATGACCGGCGCAACAGACCTCCTCTCCGACGGCACGCGCACCTACGCCCTCTCCAACGGCCACGCCTACCTCGGCATGGTGACGGGCAGCGGCTGCACCCTCGGCACCACCATCTCCGCGTACCTCGCCGCCGCGCCGGGCGACCCGTTCATGGCCGCCGCCGCTGCGGTTCTGCACTTTGAGATTGCGGCCGAGGACGCGGGGCGCAGCGAGGGGGTGCGGGGGCCGGGCACGTTTGTACCGGGTTTTGTGGATGCGCTGTATGCCAGGCGGAAGGCGATTGTGGAGGGGCATTTGGAGGAGGGGGCTGAGCGGCTGAAGGTCGAGGTCTTGAGGGAGGTAAAGGATGTGGGGATTTTGAGGGAGGCGTAGCTGTGTACTTTGGTGCGATAGATAGGAAATAGACGTACATACTGCGTGTGGAGGATGTATGCACCAATAAGACTAGATCTTTATCGTGCCGATTCATGTCCAGCTTTTTCCATGCAATATGCAGTCCTTGGCCGAGAACTATCAAAAAGCCAAATATGCCACGACTTGCCCCCTCCCAAATTCGTGCCGGACGTCTTATATCCTCAGTTCCCTATCCTAACGCTGAGGACTTTTTGCGCGCAGGCATAACCGCTACCACCATGGCTAGATGCAGCTCTTTGAATCAATTTTACCGGCCTCACATGTCCATAAACTAGAAGAATCCAACAGACTTCGCCTTCTCGTCCTCGTCCTTGATATGAACACCTTGAGCGGTCTCGCACGGATCGGGCGCGTATCCAATGGTGCAATGCTCCCAGTCCGGATCATCCATAAGCTCACGCTTGAACTGAAGAGCTCCATAAACGTTCGCAAACCGGAATTCGATATAGGATCGCTATTGCAGAGTTAGCAAAGCTGGTCAAGATGGTATGTAGGACTAAATTACGCCTCTAGCAGTGCTTCCGCGCTTGATTGTGTCAACCTCGCGCTTTGGCTGGCCACCCTTGGCGCGAGAAGCAAGCTTCATAAGTAGGACATCGCCCCAGTCCTCGTCCACGTCGTAGGCTCGAATACAGCGCGTAGCATCGCCCTCGGTGCAGGCAGCAAGCACGTCATTGACCGAGTTCGGACCCTCTGCCTTCTCCACCGAGACGACGATCTTGGTACCGGGGATGGTAATGCCGTTTTCAGTAGCGTTGAAGTACTTCTCGCACGCTTCGGGAGTAAAGAACTTGACGACAGCCGTCTTCGAGCCGGGATTGGGGAGTTGAAGCGACTCGATCCTGCCGCCCCAGACCTTCATCCACCGATGTCAGCGATTTCTAATTTAAGTGAGAGACATACTGACCAAAGCTTGCAGCTTGTTAATGCTGAGATTCTCAGGCAAGCCGGTGAGAAGACAGGTCCGACATCCGGGTGCTAGACCAAGAGTCAGCAGGCTTCAATGATGCGGCAGTCAGTAGTCTTACCGTTCACTCGCTTCTCGCGAGCCGGCCATGAAGCCATTCCATCGAGAGGATGCTTTGAGGCACCAACTAGGACAGGTGAAGCCGATTTTGCGTCGTCAGCCTCCGGGAGAACGCCTCCAATTGCCCTGCTCAAGCCAACGATCTAATGATTTCGTTAGTAGTAAACCAAGTTAGCTTGCGTGCTACATACCTGATCGAGATTCTCGATGGAGATGTACTCTTCATCCGCCAGCACAGCACAGAGGTATAAGAAGTTCCCGTCGCTGGTGGCCAAGATCTCTCCGATCTGTTCCTTGGTAGTACGCTTCTTGTCCCTATTGATCTCGCCGAGGAACGTGACCACTGCATCTACATATCGAGCCTTGAGGACTTCAACGACTTCCGGCTCAAGGACTGCCGAAGGAGCGTAAGGGCGACGAATCTTGTCAGTCACACTCTTGATAATCTCAGCAGTTGGGCCTACGTCCGACGGTAGCGAGGTGATACATTCCGCGGCTTTCTGCAAGAACTGGCGCTCGAAGGACTGAGGAGAGAGCTGCTTTGATACGGCTACTTCTTGGGTCAGTTCGTGTCGGAACTCACCTTGAATGAGGGACTTCCGGGAAGGTAGTGTAGCAGAACACTTTTTGCACTGATCATCACCCCAGCACTGACAATGCAAAGGCCACCACCACTCGATATCTTGCCCTGTGGCTGAATTGGGGAGAGCGGCTTTGAATGACTTACCAGTGGCGTTCTCAGATGCGCGCGCCTCACGCTTCTCCTCCAGAATGATCTTATCAATGTTGGATGTAGCAGGGGCAAGCAACGCGTCCTTGTCATCCGGCTCCTTTTTGATAGTCACCAGTCCTCCCTTAAAAGATGCCTCTGCCTTAACACCGGATATGAAGGGCATAATAGCGGTTGCGCTGTCCGCTTCTTTGTTGACACCGCGTGTTGTAGAAGAGGCGAACTTCTTGGCCTCAGCGGCAGGTGCAAACGACTTGCTAGATCCCTTCAGCGTAGAGGTCGCGATCTTTGGCGTGGACGGCCTGTTCAGCCGCGCGAACAGCTCCTCGAGCGCATCCGCCTCTTTGGACACAGATGAGATAGTGTTCTCGAGGGTAGGAGCAGATGGCGTACTGGCGGCTGGGGCTGGCAATGCATGTCTGCAAAGTGGGAGTCAGTCTTGTTCTAGTACTAAGTTGGTGCAACAGTCAATCAATCACCTGGAGATCTTCCATTTCCGGCTTGTTTTTGGCCGGAAAGGTGGACTTGGAAGATCTCTAAATCCCTGGTTGAGCACTAGAGAAGCGTAACGTACCCATCTCCGTCCTTCGGCTCGGCCTTGACAGGAGGCGCGGGCGAGGGAGCGCTGGCGCGGCTGGGCGTTCCCGGAGAAAGTCTAGCAGGACGCACAACGCGAACCGCCGGCTTCTTCAAGCTGATGCCTCCGATCGGCGCAGGTGCCTGCGTGGGGAAGCTGCTACCGCCGCGAACATCCTGGGAACCGCAAGGCGGACACGGCGGGGCGCCAATGTGAGGGTTGCGATTCATCCCGACGGGCGGCGGAAGTGCTGCTGGTCAGAATTGAGGCTGAAGAAGGGAGTCGAGTCGTGCCTGCCTACCTTGGGCTGCAGGAGCACAGTGAGTTCGCTTGTGCGAAGAAGTTGATGCGGGCGCGGATTGTGTGGGAAACAGTCGAGACGTTGCTTGTGTTACTTGTCTGACGGCCGGTGAAAGTTCTGCGTTGCCAGGGTGAGTGCCGGTTAGTGGTGTCGCAAACGCTGCTGATCCGTTAGGGAAGGCGCGGTTGGGGTGAGAGACACGGACATGCTCACCTGCTAAAGAAGGGATTCGCTGCGACACAGGAAAGTTTTTGACACCCTCCGTTATCTCATCGAGAGCACCTTGGAAGCCTGCCTCAGCAAGTCTCTCCGTGCTAGGCGGTACTACAGAAACGTTAGATCGGGCCATAAGGTCGCAAAGGGGGGCGCGCGGACGGAGAGCGAGCGAACAAAAACGTCGAAGGTGCAGTCTGTCGAGCGAACAGAACATATAGCTCCCCTGTACCAAGCCTAACGCAACAGGGATCCACCAAGAGCACCTCGGTGAAGCTCACCGATCGGCCGTGGATCCGACGTCGGAGGCAGCTTCCTGATAGCGGGAAGAGAAGGTGAACGCCCAAATCATGTAATAAACATGAGTATCCAGGGTGTAGAGACGGATGAGTACACGACGGAACTCACAGTGCTGAAGAAAGCTTGAGGTGGAAAAGGAAGACGCTCGTCGTGGCTTTTGCCCACTTACAATATCTCTTAACACGTAGCTTACATATACCTACATCGCGCCAAGTGCATGCTTGCATTCTTCAAACATCCACATATTGCACGGCTCTTCACCAACTTCCGAAGCTCACACAAACTCCCTCATCGAATCCACAACCTCCTTCTGCCTCTGCGCTGCCATCCTCTCGAAACCATCCACACTCATCACAAACGTTCCCCTCCCACCCGTCAACGCACGCAGCTGGTTCAGATACCCCACCATCTCCTTCAGCGGCACCCTCGCGACGATTTGCCTCTGGCTGTCTCCGAGTCCGGACCCAACGTCGCCCGTTCCAGACGCGAAAGGATCAGGCGGCGTGTATATTTGATTCGGGTCGACCGTGGGCAGCTCAGATGTGAGCGATGTCGTAGGAACTGGGGCATCGGATGTGTCGAGGGAGAGCACTTGGCCGCCGCGGGAAGAAGAGATGTCCTGAACGACGGCGCCAAGGGAACCCTCGTTCACAAAGATGGTAGCAAGCATAACGGGTTCCATGAGAACTGACGGGCTAGCGTCGTTTGCTTCCTTGAGACTGTTTTGCACAGCTGTTCTGGTAGCCATGGAGATTGCCGTTGGTGTGGTCTCGCCGAAAAGATGAGCTGCTGCGTCTAAATTAATCTCAATCCTCGTATTGGACACAGGATAGCCATTGTAGGGCCCGCGAGCTAGGGCTGCTGATGCACCGGAATGTATGGAGGCCACGATTCCCGGAAGGCTGAGGTGCGGCGGGATGTGATTTTTATGACCACTGGAGTCGTGGCGCGAAAGGTTCGCATGCGTGATATGTACTGTGCAGTTGTCGGGGAGAGAGTATGTAGTTTCGAACGGACCGTCCTCCGGCAAGGTTTCTCCGGATATTGATACGGGTACCATCATGTCATCGGTAGGTGTCAGAGCGACTGTGATGCCGGCTTTAGCCGGTTTACTTGCTATCGGCTTATCGAGTATGTACGTATTAGGAGTGGTCGACGAAGTGATCGTCTCACGGTATCCGATCTCGATCTTGCCAATGCGTGCTTTGGCCTTGTAGTCATTAAGCAGGCGATCTCGCGCAATCTCCAAATGAAGATCACCCATCCCTGCAAGGTGAGTCTGTCCACTTTCCTCGTCAACGGTTAGGTGCAAGCTTGGGTCTTCGCGTAAAAGGATAGCCAAGCATTCCTGTACATGTTTTTGCTCGCTCAGGCTGTGCGGCTCAATGCTGGTGAAGAAAACAGGAGGCGGAACGGTAATAGGCTTCAGCTGTAGGCTTTTGAGACCACCTGGAGGCTGTGCCTTCAAGGCTAAGCCTTTGCACCAGATTAAGGTGTCTCCTGTACGAGCGTACTTGAGGCCGGGGATGACACCGATCTGGCCCGATGAAAGTGAGTCAACTTCGACAGCATCATTCGCATACATCTTCAAGATGCGAGGGGCGCGCTCGGCAACGTGAAGATTGGTGTTGTAAAGATTGGCGCCACGATCTAGCTTGCCGCTGTAGACACGAACATATACAAGCATGCCTCGTTTGGGATCATTGACAACCTTGAAAGCCAAGGCACAGGCCGACAGACTGCGGGCTTCTGCCGGACCGATCGCATTGTCGTCCTTGCTCTTCTTCTGTGGCTGAGCCGGAGCCTTTGGTGCTGCATTAAGAAGATTCGCAAGGGTACCAATCTGGTTGCCGACGCTAGTCTCTGGATCCGGTCGTTCGAGAGGAGAGGGAAGTAGGTCTACCACAGAGTCGAGGAGAGGCTGTACGCCGATATTTCGGAAGCTGGCACCAGCAAACACTGGTATAACTGACTGTGGAGCCTGCAGCACGGTCCGGCGAAGTGATTGCATGATTTGAAGTCCAGTGATGGCAAGATGATCCTCGTCGTGCTCCAGGAAATGTTCCACCATCACATCATCGTGCTCGCTCAGAAGCTCAACTAGTGCGATGCGAGCTTTTTTGATCTCATCGGCAAAAGTCTTGTCAATAGTCTCAAGCTGTTCGAGAGTGTAAGGCTGAATCTGGCTGCCATCGGTCGAGCCTTGCCACAACAATCCTCTCAAGTGGACAACATCACCTACGCCGACAAAGTCGCCATTGCCACCTTTCCACCAAGGAATCTGGCAGACTGCAGGCCATCCATGCAGTCTCACGCCAATCTCTTTGACGGTTCTTGAGAAAGCTGCACCGACGCGGTCTAGCTTGTTGACGAAGATAATCCTAGGGATATGATACTGGCCGGCTTGGGTCCAGACTTTCTCAGTTTGGGCTTCGACACCGGCAACACCATCAAGGATGCATACTGCGCCGTCGAGAACCCGGAGCGACCGGAGGACTTCAAAGGTAAAGTCTGCGTGGCCAGGCGTATCGATAAGATTGATGTTATGTGAGAATGAAGAGTATGGCACAGTGTCAAAAGAAGCAGGTGGCAGCGTTGGCGAAGCTTGAGGGTTCTTTGGAGGCCAATCGAAGGTGATGGCCGCTGATTGAATGGTGATACCCCGTGCTCGCTCTGCAGGCAAGAAATCTGTGACGGTCGATCCTTCATCTACGTCTATTGAGAGTTAGAAAGAAACTCCTGCCCTATTGGTGCGATATATAGATGATAAAAGATAGTTGAGGTTGCAACCAAGATTAGCTCCAGACATGGATTTCTGGACGAGTTCCAAGTGCACGGCTCGTGGGCTTGGTGAGGATGGAGTTTTCTTACCTCCTATTCGTCTCGTATAGCCACTGTAATAGAGCATACGCTCTGTCGTGGTTGTTTTCCCCTAGTTTTATCAGTCGTTGTCATGTGCTTGATGACAATGTACTCACCGCATCGATGTGAGCGATGATACCAATGTTTCTCGTGGTCTTCGAAAGCGGATCCAATTGCGGGCTGGCTTGCGTCGACAGCAGCCTTCTTGGAGCTTTCACATTTTGTCGAATGACGCGGCGAGCACAACATGCCCATGCAAGCCACATACCCAATGCTATCCAGACTGCAGCTGATGAGGTTGAAGAGTGCAGATGGCGACGACGCGACACGTGACTGTGGAGAAATGACGCGCTTTCCCCGTCGTGAACAAGCGAGCCAAGGCGCTCGATCAAGCAGCAGACAGCAGCCCACGCCAGGCAGCTTGTCAGCCCGTCCACGCCCCACGCCGTGTTCCAATTGCTGTCGCCGCCATGGACTACTCCGCGCATGACCCCGACCACCCAGCAGGAGGCGATCCATGGGCATCGTCCCCGCAACACAACAGGACGAGCTTTGGCCAGCCTCCCACCAACGACATCCCCTCGTCTCCGCTCCCGCCACAAGCATCTCCCTACGGACAGGACTCGGAGAACTATGGCTACATGGGCGACCAGAACTCGCACGGCAGACCGAACACGGCTTCTGAAAACGGCGATCCAGCGCGACCCCAATCGCAAGACCCAAGGCAAGACGGCCAGGCAGCGCAACAACAACACCAAGTTGCGGCACAGGGGCAGCAAGGGCACCATCAGCCCCAGCGCTACCATGGAACCCGCCCGCAGAAGCCCCAGACCCAGTACAAGCTTCAAGCCAAAGTGACTGGCCTCGAGCGCACGGGCAAGAAGGACCCCATCCTCCGATTTGATGTTTATGTACGCCATTGCAGCGGATGCTCGCATGAGACCTAGCCCTCGGTTCTGAAATACTTGCTAATCGTCCCCAGACCAACCTCCCCAAATTTCGTACGACCCAGTTCCGTGACGTCCGACGGCTGCACTCTGAATTCGTTAAGCTAGGCGAGCATCTGATCTCGGCATGTCCGGAAGCCATGGTACCCGCAGTACCGCCTGCCACCACAGCCGCTGGCGCAGGAACCGACGAGGATGAGGCGCGCGTCAAGGCATCTCTACAGCGATGGTTGAATGTGGTATGCAGCAATGAGGTGTTGATACGAGACGAGGAGATGGTCTTCTTCGTGGAGAGCGACTTCGGATACAGCCCGGTCGTGCGAAGAAAGCAACCTGCAACTGGCGTGCGCCGGAAGGTCATCAAGCAGTTCGCACCCCCGCCAGATGACACCCCTGAGCTCGCTGCTGCACGTCCAATTGTCAAGGCTTTCTACCTGGGAACCATGGACACGGAGCAAAAGCTCGAGAAGGCTGTCAAGTCCCGGAGAAGTACGTTGCATCAGACTCTCCTGTATGCTCACGCTAATATTGTCAAGATCTGGGTGCTGCCGAGTCTGAACTCGGACAAAAGCTCGCAGCAATGCACGTTCAGGAAACCCATGTCGGACTTGGTTTAGCATACAGAAAGCTAGGAAAGGTCGTTCAGGCAACGGGCGATTTTCACGCTGCACAAGGCACAGCCGAGGCGACAACCCTGGGCGACCCTCTCCAATACCACAGCAGTGATGCTTTCATTGTCAAGGAGACTCTCACCAACCGACACATCCTCCTCCGCGAGTTGCTGCAGGCGCAAGCTTCAACCAAGTCCAAGATGTCAGCAGCAGACCGTTTGAAGGCCAGCTCAAGCGTGAAGAGGGACAAGGTTGATGAGGCCATCACAGCATTGGAAGAAGCCCGCAGTCACGAGCAATACCTTCTTCAAAAGTCTCAACGTGTGACAGCAAATCTGCTCCAAGAGCAAAGGAAATGGTTCGACCGAACTGCAGCCGATGTGCGATACGCGATACGGGAATACGTCGTGCGCCAGATTGAGGCGGAACGTCGTACGCTCGCCACACTCGAGTCCGTGAGGCCCGATATCCGAGCGATAGACAGTAGTGGTGGGCTTTCACGTTTGGGCCGTGAGGCTCATCCGGCACAGCGCCGTGTCTCTATGGCGAGTTCGCAAGGTCCCAAGGGCGACGCTTGGTCCGGCGTACCAAGGCGGCCAGGCGATGGACTCAACCGAAGCCTGAGCGGTAGCTTCCCCGCGATCCCTGGAGTGCAAGAGGAGGATGAGGCAGGCGATGAGGAAGGCACTACTGGAAGGAAGCGCGCGACCAGCAAGGCCGGTGCCGACGATGATGACGATCGCATCGATGCAAAGAATGCGGCTAGCAGATTGGCCACGACCACATTTTAAGCTAGTCAGCACAGTAATACCACTTTAAAGCCCCTCTGTATAATGTAAACCATATGCCACGAGGCAAGGCCCAGCTCAGGACGTGCATTGATAGCTTAAAGCTAGCATTTCCTGGATCCATTTCTATTTATTGCGAAGACGTGGGTTCTCAGCAATCCAGGATACAAAATTCCAAGAACTTATGCGATGACCTCTTTGAAGCATGTTTTCAACTTTCTTCCACCAGTGCAACGCTTCATAAGCAACCTCGATCCAGGTGAATAGTCTAGGCGCTTGCAGACCCGACAGATATTCCAAGATCTACAATCCTTCATGCAGAGAAGCGGCGGAAGCGAGCCGCTTCCGTATGCCTCTCAACACCATCGATTCGATCGAAAACGCCAAGAGACCATAATTGCACGACAGCCACATGAAAGCCGGCGCAACTACCCCGCGGCCCTCCGCGCTCTCATTGAACGCTCTATCTATCTATTCTATCGCGCAATGCCCACCTTGGATCGTGCTCGGCACTTCACTCTTCCACCGGCTGCAGTACAGCGTCCCAGGTCCGCGGGTGAAAAGGATAGGTTAGTTGATGAACCGACGCTGAGATGTGCCGCTAGGGTGTGCAATATGCGTGGGAATGCGCTGCCAGCTGGGCAGTAATATAAAACTTCGTGGCGTCATTACTGGACGACAGTACAAATGCGGGTCGTTTATATGAGGGTTGATTGCTGTGGTGGTGGACAAGGATGATGGGCTGGTAGCTTTCTATGGGCGACCAGTGTGTGATCACTGATTGGGTGCGCAACCTGGATGGAAAACTTCCAGAACGCTGTTGACGAGACGCGATCAGCAGCGGAAGAATTAGACTGTGCGCGTCTATCGGCGGACGCGTGATAGGAGGTGGAAACGGGCGGGATGCCGGCTGCGGTCGTGAACAGAAGCCGATCCCCGCAAACTGCACGTCTTTGTCGGTCCGCATTCCCTTTATACGACGCACGCTATGCCTGCGAGCGAGCCATCTGACCTCGCATCCTCCAAAGAATTCCCAGGAGAAGAGATTGCTTTTCTCTGCGTCTGACGCGGAATTCAGCTTACCATGCCGCCGAGGTCTCATAGCATCGCACGTTAAGAAGCGTAGGAAGATGAGGTTGCGAGCTCGGGTGCTGATCTTAGCCCCGTGGATGCCCGCATAGTGCCAAAGCTCTCGGTAAAAAGGAACACCTTGCATCCAAGCTGGGATCATGACAGAGTCCCAGCTGTGGCTTGCTCTCCGTCATCTCGTCGATGTTTCTGCCGTCTTTGGATGCAGAAGGATGCAGGAGGGGGCACAGGCAGCTCCCCCGCGATCCCTCACGACGGCCATAATACTGGACAACCGGCCGCCAAGCTGGAGAAACGCACCCACGCTTCCATACAGCCTTCGATCTCGACGCACTCTTTCTCGCGCAGCAGGGATGTGCCGCTTTTCCCAGCAATCAACAAGCGGTGCTCCGTGCGGGCCTTCGTGCCGGGTAAACAGCCCTGGAACAGGGGTGCCCACCACGTTTGCTCCAAGAAAGGCTTGGCGATGACTCGTAATTGGCGCGCAGGGCTTCTGGAAGGATACGAGGGTAGCCTGGATTGGCTAGAGGCGTGGCAGACCCCCAGTCTGGGGAAGTGCTCTGCTCACGCGTGCGGGTGGTGAAGCTGGCAAGGGCATCATTTATGAGGATGCGGGCTGGCTCTCGCGGGGCGTGCGAGCGCCGCCAGGTCTCACTGTCTTTTCTACCTTCGTTTTGTGCTCTCAAAGGTCCAGTGATAGGATCCAAGTGACTGTTGTCTAAAGAAAGACTACGGACTGCAGATTACATCCTCGCTTCCCTTGGCCGCGCCGACGATCCCGTCGCTCGCAGCGACTATGTGGAAGTCCCTCAAGAAAGCCTTCGCACCATCCGCCTTCGAGCCCGAATTACCCCCCGAGCTTCTCCAAACTATACACGTACATGCCGCACGCAAAGGCTCCTTCACATCCTACGGCAGCGATGCTTCGGTTCTTCAGACAAGCTTCGACCCGCTCGTCGCTTCCGCGTTCGAGCTGGCGGAAATGCTGAATGCAGGCGCCATCACCAGCGTAGAAATAGTAGAAGCATACTTGCACCAAATCGAGCAGCATAATCGGAGAGGGAGACAGTTGAGAGCATTGATTAGTGTGGCGCCGAGACATGAGCTGGTACGCATTGCGAGAAGATTGGACGATGAGAGGGGTAGGGGGAAGAGGAGGGGGCCGCTGCATGGGATCCCGATTGTGTTGAAGGATAACATTATGACGGATAAGAATTTGGGAATGGATACTACGGTTGGTATGTCAAATCATTTCAAGTTCATTAACGTGTTTTATTGAGTGAACACCAGGCTCGTACGCTTTCGTGGGATGCACACCGAAAAGGAACGCTACCATCGTCGATCGTCTTATCCGGAGAGGCCTCATCATACTAGGCAAATCAAACTTGACCGAATTCTGTGGACTGAAGAACCCATCCATGCCGCCTGGCTGGTCAGCTGTGGGAGGCCAGTGTCAGTCGCCGTACGTGGCGAGACATATTGCGAAAAAGAAGCTACACTGGGAATTGTCTGCGCCAGGAGGTTCATCTACAGGCTCAGCTGTGAGCGTCGCGTCCGGTTTTAGTGCGCTTGCCATCGGTACAGACACATTGGGCTCGCTCATCACGCCTGCGAACCGCGCCGGGTTGTATGCTTTGAAGCCTACAATCGGTGAAGTTCCCATGGACGGTATTTTCACGCTAAGTAAAAGCTTCGACTCAGCTGGTGGAATGGTATGCTTTGCGTCTGGACCTTATGCAGCCCACGTACTAATGTAGTCGCAGGCCAAATCCGCAAAAGACCTGGTCGCCCTCATGGACGTCCTCCTCTCTCCAACCGGCAAAGAAACAAAATTCGGCGTCCAAAAGCCCAACTACAAGATCCGCTCCGACTTCGCCGGTCTCCGCATCGGCTTCACAGAGCCCACAATCTGGACCTCCTGGCGCAAGAGCGGCCGCATCAATGCCGACGCTGAGCGCTTCATGCTGCAAAAATACGACATGGTAGTGCAATCCCTCATTGAAATGGGCGTCGACATCGTCTACCCCGTCGAACTCCCCTCCCAATCCTCCCTCAACCACGACGGCGCCAACGCCTTCGAGCCCATCGTCTACTCCGAATTCAAAGAGTGTCTCTCCGAATTCATCCGCCAGTTCAAAACCACAAAAGTGCACTCCCTCGCCGAAATCATAAACTTCAACACCGAGCATCCAGAGCTGACCCTCCCGCCGACCTGTCCGCATCAAAACGACCTGCTCTCCGCACTCCAGGCACACCCGCCAAAGGAACATCTCAACCAGCTTCGTACACATTTGTTGACTGCCGGCGGCCGCGATGGACTCGACTTCGTCTTCAACACCCACCAGCTCGACATCCTGATCGCGCCGGGCGACTCCGCGCTTTCGACACTGTCGGCAGCTGCATCCTACCCGACCGCTGCGTGCCCTCTCTCCGCGCTCAAACTCAACGGCCAGCCTTTCGGCCTCACACTCACATCCCCGCCCCACACAGAACACACACTCCTACACTTCCTCACCGCCTACGAGGCCACCTTCCCACCCCGGGCTTTACCCCTACCCCTCGCCTCGGTGCCGCTGCAGTCCGCGGCCGAGCCGGGCATTGATGCCGGCATCGTGGAAGTCATTTTGAGGGCGTGGGATGAGCGGCGGTGGGGATGCAGTGCGGATGCGCTGGCGAGCTGGCTGAATCGGCGCTGGAAGAAGAGCGGGTACGAAGTCAGTGCTGAGATGGTGTGTGAGGTTCTGCGGGAGAATGGGAGGATGGCATTTAGGGGGATGGAGGGGGAGGGGGAGTTTAGTAAGAGTGTGGAGGGGAGCAGTAACGCTTCTTCTCGATAGAGACACCTTTTTCTTTTCTTTCTTTTTTCGTTGTTTTTGCGGAGGGGTTTTGGTTCCATTGAAGGTGTTTCGATCATGAATGTGGCGTTCTGGGTTGGGTTGGGTTGGGCGCGGGAGGTATTGGATTTGGTTGCATATGATATCCGCTTGCTGCATTTTTTTGGGTATTTGGGTGCATTCTGGAAAGGCACATAGGGGTCAAACAGCACACTCAATCTTTCGGACATGAGTACCGTATGAAAACTCAACACATCAGGATCTGGTTCTCACCAAGGCCTTTATGATGCCTCCATGGAGACGATTAATTCTACGGCGATACTAAGTAGTCGCTGATCACTTGCATATGACGGCTCAACATTGAGTTCATCTCGCTGACTTGGCTTTTATATTGCACTCCGTTTCGACGCGTTGTCATTTGCCTGGGCTGGAGAGAAAAGGAGTGAATGGCTTGTAAATCCCCGAGTTTGTTCTTTTGTATAAGTTGGATCTGCGTGCGAAAATACCTCTAGCTTCGTTCGAAATTTAGTGTGACTCGTTTGCCACAAGAATACTTGCGAGGACCCAGATGCAATGGTATTGAAGTCTGGTGATATTCGAGTGACCGAGCTGAAATCTGCAGACGAAGTCTGGTAGACGAGATCGAAAAAGCACTTATTCAACTAGGAGTCAACATAGCATGGAAGAGGTCGTTGTTCTACATCGATAGGGTGGGTATGTACCAGATCAACCACAAAGCTTGAAGCCAGACAAATTGGCAATGTAACGGCGAGTTCATAGCTAGTTGAAATGCATTTTAGAACATCAAGAATGAGATTTTAAGAGCAATGTATATCCCGTTGAGATTCGCAATGCTACTAAATTAGTGGGATGGGAAGCAAATGATGTACGCCTTGGGAGTTCGCGAAGCCCGCTACGACGGCAGGTCATGCAGATATGAAAATTGCATATCTAATCCACCATCGTCGATCTCCTAAGCACCGACTAAAGAATTGCTGTTCCCCTCTCCCTCGTCATTTCGGCCTCAGCTAACACACGTGAAAAGCGTAATGAGTGTAGTCGTACTTGGGCGCCATACAATACTGCAGGATATCGAACTCGCTGTAATACGCCTGTCGGTCATTATGCCCGCAGCCTTCAGCGCTGTACAATCCAATATTGTCGCACCCGCCCATGTCCGTGACCTTGAAGGAATCACGCGACCCCTCAGGTGCCTTTGTGCAGACGTCGCTGGCAGGCGATTGTTCGGTTCCATCTTCGCAGTTGTCGTTTGAGGCGAAGGTGATAGTGCCGGCGAGTGATAAGACCGGGAGGAGGGCGAGGGAGATGAAGTAGGGAAGCTGCATTGTGGAATTACGCGATGGTAGATCGTGGATCGGGTATTGGTAACTTGAATCTCAGCAGTAGTGATGGATTCTTGTCTAGGAGCGTCCATAGAAAGACTTAAGTACTTGATCGTAAAGCTACGATGACGTGTTGGGTGATCACGATCTAGGCCTCTTCTCAGCGTTGCATTCGTCTCAGCTCAGGAACTAGCATAGGTGTGAAGGGCTGAAGTCGTGGGGAAACGTTGCATTCGAAAATTGATGTTTTTCCTATTAGGGACTCGTCATGGTAGTTTTCGAAATCTTATTCGCTCACAAGAATCCTAAGTGTTGCTAAGTTGGGAGATTTCATACTCTCACCCATGGCAGCTGACGCCAAGTATGCTTCCCCACTATAGATCTTCACTATCTTGCCTCTTTCTAGCCATTATAGCACACGGTACTGCTCCATCACGGATGTATCGGTACTCAGATTGGAAATATGACTGTGTACAAGGTCGAGTCACGTAGATCGCTTAGATATCGCCAGTGAATCTACCAATCGGCATCGCGAGTTTGGATTGTGGTGTATGGCCCGGGCTTAAGTGATTGGGTTTCTCGATTTTTTTCGGTATCACCACATTGTTGACCTTTTCGAGCCTATGTCTGGTTTAATGTGTCACTTAGAATAAAGCAACACTATTACTGTGGAAACATTGTTTGAAATTGTACAATTATTAGACTCTATTTTTGCATCTTTCAATAAATAAGAGTTGAATCTCGGAATGGAAACTCTGTCGACAACCACCGGCCGATCGCCATCTTTCTCGGTTGTACCGCAAAGGTGTCAGACAATATCAGGTCATTTGCCGATGTCTATTGTACGAAGAGTTCCCACGATGTTTATATGGACTAATCACGAAACAATTGTCAACCATATAACTTGGGATTATATTAACAGACTGACACATCACGTTCTCCGAGCATTGTATGAGGATATTGAACTGGACCTTGCTAAGATCGTTTAGTAATACATACAGCCAACAGTGATCTAAGCTACTAATGTAAAGTATGTAAAAAAAAAAAAAAAAAAGAGGAAGAAGTGAAGTATTGCATGAGCCAATCTGGCATTTGTTCAGGAGAAATAGTGCTGCATCCGGTCAATTATGAATATCTGGCGACATCCTGATCGTCGATTAAAGTCTCAACGGCACCATGCTACTCCATGCCTAGGTTGATAAATTGTACAAAGGACCCAGGGTTATCTATAGCGGTAGCAGGAAGCTATGAAAGACTGTATTGATCTATGAAAGTTGATACTTAAGACTGCTTTTATACTTGCTCATAGGTGCCCTAGAGACCCGGATGCCTCGGAGGCTTACGTACGTCAGCTTGCGTATTCCCTATCAGCCTCAAACAACCTCACTACTGTCACATTATCAGGACGGCAACAGATGGTCAGCATGTCAACCTCTCCAGGCGTGAGCAAAAAGCCGTCGCTCAGCCTCTGATTGGATAGTGCCCCCTTATCCCTAGCCGTCCGAAGTTGCAATCAGCCAACATTGCTTGGAATCAACGTACGTCTCTTCCAGAAAGCACTTCTGGGTCCAAGAGCAGGTGAGAAACCTCAAGAAGGAGGTTTCATTGGGCCAATCCAGATAGTCTTTACACAAGGCCGGCACCGATAAGCGAACGTATAATTCATGTGCTTGTACTCGACGAATGTACCAGGTTCTCCAGCCTTGTGCCACCTTTTACCGAAGTGAACTCAATGCAATGCTTGATGCGCAGTGGCAATCTCTAGAGGATATCTTAATACAGCGTATAAAGCGTCTCGGCCGTGTCGATGTTCTGAATTCTTAGAGAGATTGTGCGTGCTAGCACGTGGCCGTGTTTATGAAGGCTCTCCATCTTCCATTTCATACGCCCGGGCGAGGTAACAGAACGCATGCCCGATCTCATGCATGATGGTGATCGCCAGATGTAAAAATGAAAAGTTTTGGAACTGCAGATTTGCAAGAATAGAGGGACCGATAAAGATGCAGTGGACACTGCCTTAGATGCTGAACTTTGCAGGGTGACCATGTTCTAAGTGTTTGAACTTAGACTTGATCATTTCAGTTATCTTGTCCAAAATTCGATCCACAACATCATCTGTGGCGGAAACCGAGGATGTCATGTCCAAATAGCTGCTCTCAGTGCTTGAATCTTTCCTAATCTTAGCTGTAGTAATGTTCGAACCTTGATTGAGCTATCGGGACAGTTAGCATTAGAGACACTAACTGTAACACTTGGCTCGAGCTGCTCCCACTTGTCAGCGGTAATTTTCGAAAAGCCACTATCCGACCACCGATCTCGGCCTAGTAAAGGGTGGATCTCATTTTTGAGCTCATTGATTCGGTCATTGCCGTCGATAGAACCATTCAACGCAGTATCAGCAAGGCCCTTCTCAAACTGCTCCGAGGATTTGTTACCCTTAACGAACACCTCTAGAGGGCTGGCTGCTTCTGAAATTGCTTCAGCAGGCATGGAGTCAATGTTTCTCTTCGATTGTTCCAGAACATCTACCCGGTGATTGCTCGTAGCTGCAAGCTCTGTCACTTCTTCAGGGAGTATTTCAGAGGAATCAATCCGAAGGGCAGCCATGGTTGGATGCATTTTCTTCCCGATAAGGTCGGTTGCGGCTTCGGATCTGGACTAGAATAATAGAAGTCTCTTTCTGATTATTGTTATATGGTCGAAGAACGTGATCAGCTGACGTAAAACAGAACGACTGGTCACCTATTCACGAGGATTGCGCAAAATGATGGCGCTCAGTTGCGACATGAAACAGTGTAGCTCAGAGAGTGCTTCTAGACAGTTGATGGTGATTGATCCTAGACAGTCCTCGTAACACCACCTCCAGGCACTGGCACTTCCTCGTCCTGCATGCTTCTCTCCAAAGCCCTCGTCTCCTTCTCATGCTTCCTCTTAATCAGCGTCAACATCACGCTATTATACAGCAAAAACAGCGCGGAAGCAACGACAGACAGCGCCGCCGTGACCACAATAGTCGCGCGCGCAGTGACCGAGTACTGGCCTACCACCACCCCATTAGCATCCATACGACAACAAATCGCTCAATCGAATCAAATGGACCTCCACCGTGTGTCACCGGGGCAGCAAAAGTAGATCATCAACTTACCACTCTGGGCAGAATACACATTCACCAGCGTCGATATAAGCCCCGCAACACTATTCATTAAACTCGGCAGGAAAATCCGATTAATCACCCATACATAGTTGCCCCTATGCTTCCACCACAGCCAAACACACCCCAGCACGCCGACCCCGCACGCAAACGCTGCGACGTACAGCAGCGGCACGTTGCGCACCGTCGCCAGCGCGTGCTCTTTGAGTGCGTTGTCGGCTTTGGCATCGAGGTCTTTGTCGCTGAGTTTGTTGAACGTCGCCGGGAACACGATGTAGCCAGCCAGCAGGATCCAGGTGAAGAAGGAGGCGAGGATATTGTGGAGTTTGGGGACGGCGTCGAGCTCGAGGAGCATGGTGATGTAGCGGGTTTGCGCGGTGGTGCGGCGGCGTTGGAGGCCGGGACGTTCAGGGGCAGGTTTCTTCGAGGAGGTCGACTTGGTGCGGTCCATGGTTGAGGGGTTGCGCTTCATTTGGGAGGGTGTGGGGGTGGGTTCTTGGATGCGGGTTGAAGGGTTGCGGGACGGTGCTGGTTTAGTGGGAGGCGTGATGGAAGCGCTATCTTTGCGCTTTTCGTCCATACTGTGGGGGACTGAGCGGGAGGTGGTGGGTTCGCGGACGGTGGGGAGGATGGGCGCGGCGGTGTTGGGGTCTTTCTTCCTGTGGGAAAAAGACATTGTGGATCAATCGTTGGAGTTCAGCGAACTGGTTCAATGAGAACAAGATTGTTATGGAAACTACAAAGGATGTGAAAAGACTCGCCTCATCTGGACCCACCTCCCGTTTATCATTTCTTAGGTGCCTCACCCACTACATCACCGCCTTGCCCGTCTTGTTCCCACAACCCATCATCCAGGTTCCAAACCTGTTCCTGGAACACGGGTCAACATTCGCCACTCGCATGGCGAGATAAAGCTCGGTCTGAGCCGAGCTGGACAGCATCAAAGCGGATAGTCCAACGGGCGTGTAACTTGTTTCGTGAAAGAGGGCAGTGCGGTGGACGAGTGGTTGGCGGACATGTTGGTAGCGAGACAGGGGTTGGCGCCGATCACTTGTTGCGTCACCATGCAGGGCAGGCCAGCAAGGCTGGGAGAACGTTTTGTTCGCGGAGAGCACTGCACCGTCAACGTGCAGAAGTACCTCCACCACTATCTCTACCTGAGGATGGATCTGTAAGCTTGACGAAGGTGGAGGCTTAGATCTCACAAACAAGATTCGCACGAACGCCTGCCCCATTGGTGGAACTTCCCGCACGTGACGCCCAAACTCTACCCCGTGATTTCCCACCCACTCACGATCAGCTCCCCGCCTCAACTGCGAGGCACATGTGTCTTCCGCTCTAGTCACCAGACTCCGTAGCTTCCACCGTGTCCTGTTAATCAATCTGCAGTTGGCAGCAGTGGACCCGCACCCCGGCGGTTAATATGGAAAGCGGGAAAACGGTGCGGCCGCGTCTGCGAACTACCGATTATGGCAGGTTTCGAGAAGAACGCGAAGAAAAGGACAGAGATGCATGTGGCTACAAGCTCCGGGGCATTGGGGGAGCTTGGGGTAGAAAAGTTGGACGTAGCCCGTTTATTCGGGGAGCATTTGCTCTACAGTACTATTCAACTATACCCACCGTATTCCTGTCCCAACTGTAGCTCCTAGAGGAACTCGTAACCAACCGGCGAATATAGTCTCTAAGCATACCTCAAAGCGAAAACAAAACGCAATCCTCAAAATGCGCTTCACCCTCCTCCCCCTCCTCGCCGCGGCAGCCCTCGCCTCCTCCGACTCCTCCGCCCCCGCCTCAGAAGAATCCCCCAAACCCGCCGATCCCACGCCTGCCGGCGAAATCTGGGCTGCAAAATGGACCGACGCGGACCTCACCTCCTACACCAAGCACTGCGCCAGCAGCTCCACCCTCAAAGCGCAGATCTACACGCTCGGGGAGATGTACCCCACGCTCAAGGAGTGGGCGCCGCAGCTCAAGGTGTTTTACAACAAGCAGCTGTACCCCGGGTCGTGGGAGGGCAAGGATGCGCACGGCGAGGGGAGGGAGTTGTTGAAGATGGCGTATGAGGAGTTGCCGTTTGCGGTGCGGGAGTGGTGTGTTTCCTACCCTTTCTTCCGTTTCAGTTCGTCTTGCGCTGCGCTGCTTTCCAAGCACAGATGTAGTCTGCGTGGAGAATGCTAATGAGGGGATAGGTTGACCAAGAACCCCAAGCAGCGCCACTTCAGCGTGCAAGACGACATCGTGTTCTTCGCGCCGGGTGCCATCTATCCGATCCTCCCGCTCTTCGTCGAGGAGCCCGAGAGCGATAAAATCTCCGACTGTGAGGGGTTGTACGAGGATCTTGAGAACTACAGCGCTGAGCCGAAGGAAGGCGTTGTGCTGGGAAAGGTGGCACACAAGACATTGGGGAAGAATGAGGTGGAGATTACGCTGAATGCGTTCCAAATCAAGGGAGCGGCGGGGAGTAAGGATGAGTTGTAGTGTTGCCAGGTACGAGGTCAGGTTGGGAGAGTTGGGGCGTTTGGTATAGTTAGACTTTCCTCGTGTATATAGCTTCCTCTTTGGTTTTTGGTGGAGACATATGGTTGACACGAACGTTCGATGAGGATTTAACATTGGAGTTATCATCGACAGATATTGCACGGCTATTGAGCCAGCCATCTCGTGCACTTTCCCGACAAAGTTGTTTATTGGCATACATGTCGTCTGTAGGGGAGGGATCCCCAGCACGTGCGGTGAAAGTCGTAGACCAGGCTTTGTCGTGATCATATATTGATGCGTCAAATCATATAGTCAGCAACCCTGCGCTCCAGACCAGTCTACCAACTCATCCTATCGTGCATCAATAAGCATTCCAACACCGCTGTCTTCCTCATCCGCAACGTCGACTAATCTCATTTTGCCGCCTTCAGCCTTCCACTCCTTCCCTGGGGGTTTCCAATCGAAAAGATCAAATGCTTCACTACTCCAAGGTCCAACGTCGGTGTCTACCGGAGGCGGACTGACTACCTCGGGCGTCTCCAAACCTGCATTTGCCAGCGGGGTATCCACGTTCAGACTCTGGGTACGCTGGAACTTACGCCGCGGGTCGGTCTTCTTGACTAGCGCGGCGAGTCCGCCCGCTTTCGGCTTTGCATTTCGGCTACCGGAGGCGGAAGCAAACTTGGTCGTGTCTGAGGGTTTGGGCAAACTTTTTTGCTCCCACTCATCGCTGGTAGACGGAATGGGCGCGTCGTTCTCACTGCGCGAACGATGGAATCCCGAGGAACGCTTTGAAGGCAATACGTTGCTGTCTCCTTGCGTACTGTCGTCGATGGGATCGTCTTCAGGTCGCATCGACTTTGGACCATTTTGGAGGAGCGCGGATAGCTCGGTTGTGCTCATGAGAGGACCATTCTTGCTAGAACGGAGAGGATGTGGTGGGAGGGCTACGGTTACGGGTCGTAGGGGTGGGGCGGGGTCAAGGTTGTCGGAGGCAGTCAAGAGTGCTTTGGTTCGTTTGGGCTTTTTCTTGAAACCACCCGTTGACAATGCTGCTAGCTTACCAGGGGATAACGAAATGGAAGTCGTTCGTGATCGTTCATGTGGTTCAGATAGCACGGCACGTGGGTTTGACAAGGGTGGTTCCTTTCTAATACACACTGCTGCAGGAGAGGATGAGCGCGAAATGGCAGGCGGCTCTGCTTTGTCGGCTTTCTTCCTTTTCGCAGGCCTAGCCGCTGGGTCTTTGGGCTGCGTAGCTTTGGCCTTACTCAGTTTGGGTATTGGGCCTTCCGTAGGTGTTTCACATGCTCTTTTCGTGCTCTTGGGGAGCTTCGTTGATGCGCGTTTGGTGATTTTGGGTTTGGCTGTTGCAGGAGATTTGGAGGCAGTCGACCTAAAGTGAAGATGGGGTGACGACGGCGTCACCAGCAACTGCTGATCCAAGAATCCATGCGCCAATTCCAGGTCATCCAGAGTCTCCAAAGGTGACTGGACAGTGCCTTCGACAGACTTCGTAGCTTCTCTAGATGGCCCTACGGTAGTCCAGACATCCATTCTACTGTGGCTGGCCTTTCCCATTGCATCTTGGATGGCAATGCTTTCTCTCCGAGAACCTTCACCGAACATGACTCTTTGCGGAAGCGCATTTTCACCGTTTCGTACGGCGGTAGAGGTTTGCGGATCCAGCTCATCTGGACTTGGCCGCCTCCTGATTGGCGCAGACTGACATAGGAGCATCCCTCGCTTAGCTCCTGTTGACAACTTGAGAGCTTTGGTTTTCCTCTTCTCCACGGGCCACGGTTTGGGAGGTGACGGGATAGGAGACGGTTCCCTGGGAGGATCAGACACAGGTTCGATGGTAAAGTCGACGTTTTCAATGCGGTTCGATGCACTGACGGGAGGGGAAGAAGGCGGTGCACGTGGTTGGGGCTTCTGCTGTGCCTTCACGCTCGATATGGGAACCCTTCTCTTTGGTATATTGGGTGTCCTTGGAGCAATTGGTTGAGGTGGGGACTCTCTCTGAACTGGTGGAAAGGAGTTAGTCGGTGGACAGACCCCCGATTGCGGTCTGGCAGGCGTATGAGGAAGGGTGACGTCGGAAGGGATGTTGTCTGTCTCAGGCTGGGAACTCAAGCTAATGACGGTTGCGCCGCGTGGAATGATCTGGACAGCCTGCGGCCTTGGAATCGTGTTGCTGTGCATTAGCCGAGCAGACAGAGACGAAACTGTCTTTGACGACGTCTCGCGAGGTGCAGGCCGGCTGGGTGCCTGTTGTTCCTGCCTTTCATGTGCCGTCTTCTGTCTCTTGGGCGCTCTTTCCTCGACAGGATGGTTCTCCTTCTCCATCCGCTCCTCGAACGGAGATTTTATTGGCGCTGCCTTGCCAATTGGACCTCTCGAAGTACCCAATAATGCGTTCAAAGACTTGTGTCGTGGCTGCGACACCGCTCGCAGAGGGTTGCTTGCGGGGAGGGTCGGTCTAGGCAGCGGCCTCGGAGGGCCTGCAGGGTTGTTGCGTTGTGGCGAGTCCTTTGTTTTCCGCTCGAACAGAGGAGTGAGGTCGGTCTGGGTGACGCCGACGGGCTCTGCTACCTCGACCATGACGCCCTTGTCCAACATGAGCTCGTCGCCTTCGTGCAGCTCATTGCTATCCTTGTAGTACGTGTCGCCGACAGTAAACCGCGACGCGTCATAGACAATAACGCGGCTGTTGAAGGAGTGGAACTTGAGATAGCCATCCTGCCATTTCTTTTGCTTCTTGCGCGTGTCGTGAGTAAAGAGGCACCGGAATTCAGCAACAGGCGCGGTGTTCTGGGACGCGGGGATGCCAGACAATCGGGGCGTGCCGCGCAGAGGGGCTGTCATCGCGTCGGAGACGAGCAGAGACGCGTCGTGGGCGCTGGGGCGTGCATGAGGTGGGGCGGTGGACGATGGCGGGCGGCGTGCAGGTGAGAGACGCGAGGCGTGGCCATGGTGGCGGCGGGCAGGCGGCGCGAAAGCACATGACCTGGACCAGACTACAGACGGGCCTGAAATAGCGCAGCGTTGGCCCTGCGTTGCGCGCAAAAGCACCGGTGCAACGCTCAACAAGGCCCCGCGGGACCATCTGTGTGAAGTGGACTCATCCCCCATAGGCCGGGCTGCAGGACTCGGTGTGATGCCCGCCCCCGTTACCCGTTCTCATTGCTTGAAACGAGGAGGGGCTCTGCGTCTGCCTGCCCACTCGGCCCCCAGTTATTAGTCCATGCATGTCCGCCGTCGCCCATACATGACCCTCTACTAACGGCCGACCTCCGTGCACTCTGACCAGTTCGTCAGCAGCTGCACCGCCTCCTCTCTCATACACGACACCCACTCTCGTTTACCTCCCGTCGCTCGCTCCTCACGCCACATTGCATTCGCGCGCAGCCCGCCGCCGCCATGCAACGAATGCAGAGGAAGTTTGGGCGTCTGCCCTTCATGGCGCGGACGCCCAACGAGGCCGACATCGAGGCCATGCTGCGGGACTTCAATGACAGCGACCAGATGCTGAAGAACGTAAGTACACAGACGCACGCCTGCTGACAGGTTGCCGATGCCGCTCGAGCGGACAAGCTATCGTAGCGGGGTCGCGACTTCCTCCACCAGCACGCAGTGCGACGCAATGCACCGCGTCGCAACAATTGCGGCTGCCCTCTGCCAATTGCGTCGCTAACGCAGACAGATTGAGGAGGCTTCTGCACAATGGCGCGATGCGTGGACCAACATCCTCAACCACCAGCTCTCGTGCGCCGAGGGCCTGCACAGCATCTACAAACCCGTCGCCGGCGAATTCACACGGCACGAACATGCCGACACCCCCGCTGAGACCATGGAGCGTGCCGTCAAGCTCGAGGAGGCATTCGCGGAGCTCAAGACGGACATGATGGAGGAAATCAAGGACATCGACAAGAAGCTCATCCTGCCAGCCAAGATCGCTAGGGACTCGCTGAAGCCAATGAAGAAGGCCATTACCAAGCGCGAGGATAGAAAGGTACGTTGTGTAAGCTCTTTGCCTATCCATTGCTGAATGCACAAACCTAGGTCGACTACGAACGCTACAAAGGACGCGCCGAAGCCCTTCAGAAGAAAAAGACGCGGTCCGACCGGGAGAACACGGCACTGGCAAAGCACGAAGCCGACCTGGAACGCGCTATTCACGAATACAACTACGCCGATGAAGGCCTCCGCACCCAGCTGCCCAAGCTCAACGCCGCGACATTCTCCCTCCTCCCACACCTACTCGCCAACCAGATTATTCTCCAAAACAACCTGATCGGCAATCTCTACACTGTGCTGCATCAATACTCGCATGAGCAGGGATATCCTGACCCGCCACCAGAGCCCGAAGAGGTCATTCCGGAATGGGATGCGAGCTTCACATCCATGCGCAAAGAGATGGAAGAGAACTTTGAGCTCCTCAGGACTGGAAAAGCAAGGACACAGCCGATGCGACTTCCGGACAAAGGCGACACAATTACTGGTGTGTACTCACGCACAATTCCTCGCGTTTGGCACCTGCAATACAGCAACTAATGCGCGACAATAGGTATAGGAATTAGAAACAAAGTCTTGCCCGGCAGGAGAACGAGCAGCAGCGAGACGATCCCGATCCGTGACCGATCGCCGAGACCGCAGCGACACAACCTACCTCCTACGAATGAGGACGATGGACCACCTGCACCGAAACTGAACCTCGCCAGCAAGCCTTCGATGAACCAACTCAACGCGAGCAAACCCAGAATCGGTGGAGCATCGCCTGGTCTGATTCCGACCCCAACTTTTGACCAGTTTGGCAGACGCACCTCTTCATACTCGGATGCGTCGTCAACCCACACGAACGGTCACGACGATTACTTCGGCAACAGCAATGGTAATGGGAGACCGCGCATCCCTTCCACAAGTTCATCATATGGTGCAGGATACCCATCTCCGCAAGCATTAGCAGCGAAGAAGAAGCCGCCGCCACCTCCGCCGCCGAAGAAGGTGGGATCGTTTCATGGAGAGTACGTCACGGCTATGTATGACTTTGAGGGGCAGAGCGAGGGTGATTTGTCTTTCCGAGAAGGAGACAAGATACGTGTGATAAAAAAGACGAACAGTTCGCAGGACTGGTGGGAGGGCGAACTGCGCGGCTACAAGGGAAGTTTCCCCGCCAACTATGTGAAGTGAGTAGCGCATGATGCTTGTCGTTTTCAGCGAGCTTCGGCATATCTAGGGAGTGAATCGGATTATTGCATGGAAGGACACATACGACTGCATAGGGAAGGACACGGTATAACGATCGCACGAGGGATACCCGCGTGGGTACGAGGTGTGGTGCATTTACACATCAGACTGCTGTCGAAGTGATTAAGGTAGCATAGAAAGGCTTGGGAGTTTAATGGGCGCCAAAAGGTTTCCTCACCGAGAGGATACCACTGCTTGAACCTAAAGGATCCACTGCTTCGTCCAAAAGCTCAGTCGTGCATAGCCGCACATGTTTCGAACACAGCCATCCGAGCTCCAGCCGCCCCCACACTGCCTGATTTAGCTCCCGTATCCCGCCTTCCCGTTTGTTCCATGCATTGATGGCACATGAGAGCAGCCACGACCTGCAGGTCAGCCGCTCGCTGCAGCAATGAAACCAAACCCTCCCGCTCGTGCTCATGGATTCCACACGCATATTCACACGCGCGCATTGATCAGCCATGGCGGGTGAGAAGCCCGCACAGTCTGTACGTGTGCCCCTCTTCCGCGCGTCGCTTTGCGCGTTACCTAGGTGCTAACCCTAGCGGACCCAGATCGCTACACCCGCACTGCAACCGCCCTTCGCTCCGCGTCCTATCCCGCCCAAGCCTGCTGCCACCGTTACCACATCGCACGCCTCTCTCCTCAATGGCGCCGCAGACTACGGACAGCAGCCCGTCTTGGACTCAGCGACTAACATTCCACTGACTGATCTCGAGTCACTGCCCACGCTTACCGGCGACCCTTACGAACCATTTCTCGCCAACGAGGACATTAAGAAGTTCCTCGCCATCGATTTGGACCTTAAGCGGCTGAATCGCATACATGGCCACCTCTGGATGTGCGGGCGGCCCATGCGCGCCAGAGCGCTGCACCGTTACAAGATGCTCGGCATGGAAGCCCTACCCACGACGCAGATGGACCTTCATCTGCTACGTTTTTCCAATAAGCTGATGATCAAGCCTTTGGGAGAGTACATGCTGAGCTACTCCTTCTGGCTCGACCACCTCTGCGACAAAGAGGAGTTGCACAAGGCAGCGTGCGGCTTCCTGCTCAGCTACATTTGGCTACTTACTACACCGCTGGACCTTAAGCTCGCGCACGAGCTGTTCCTCATCCCAAGCTTCGTCACGTGGAACTGGTGGAAATCTTTTGTCGCAGATTTCACAAAGGTAATCGACGTCAGAGCCCTCGATCAGGTGAATAAGCGCTTCCACTTCGGTGACCTGCGCCTCGGACGTATCAATTCCGTGTACAGGATTCGTTACGCTCACACGCACTTTGTCCGCGGCTACCTGTATGGATACAATCGCTACGTCGTGTTTTTCCAGCGCAAGTTCAGCTGGATCCTCGTCGTGTTTGTGTTCTTCAGCCTCGTGCTAGCTGCCATGCAAGTTGGTGCCTCCGTGGATCCGCTACAGCAGAATCACGAGTTTTTGAAGAGTTGCTATGGTTTCGTAGTGTTTAGCATGGTGAGTGTGGCGGCGGTGTTGGGTGTCATCGGGGGGCTATTCTTCTTTATTTTCTTCTTTAATATGGTGACTGCAATCGGGCAGGCGAAGAGGTGGGAGATCAAGAGGATGAAGATGGCGGAGGAGAGGAGACTCAAACAGGCATGACCCTCTTGAATATACTAAGCTTGGAATCGTCTAGCATAGTGACGCGCTCAAATGGAGTCGTTCTTCGAGTTTCAAGCTCACCATCTCTAGAAAACGCTCAGTCATCTCCTTCCGATCGATCGATTTCGTGGGCCTGATCAAGGCACAAGTGTCTCGCTGTGCTATGCCGCATTGAAAGGTTTGCCCAATTACAAAACACTACAATCAGACTATAGCCACTTGCGACAGAATATACATCTTCCCGTTGGATGTTGACAAAATACCAATGCACGCAGGTAAAGCGCTTCCCGACTCCGAATATGAATGCTCTGAACTACTGAACTTGCACACAGGCTCTTCTATTTCCATTAAACGAATCCTGTAATAAGACTCGTGCTTTGCGAGCCTCCAAATTCCGACATGGCACACAGTTCGTCGTTGCCACCAAAAGCCGCCCAAAAGCCGGTGTGTCTGACATTACCACTGGCGTATCTGCCCGACATACCATACAAATTGACTTTCCTACGCAGCATCAGTAACTGTGATAATGAAGTCGAACCTGGCAAGCAGCAACACAACACACCACCGAAGAAAAGAAAAATTATAATCACCAACCAAGTCGACTACGCTCTTCGTCCAGGCCGCCAGCATCTCCACCGCCCTGGCCGCTGCCGGCGCAATCGCAAACATGTCCGTCTTCGACGTCCCCATGCTCGCATCTCAACCCGCATCCCGCTCCCTCCCCCTCATCCGCTGGCTCTTCAGCCGCGGCTCGCATATCTTCCCCACCGCCGCCTTTATCTCCAGCTCTGGCTTCGCATACCTCTCCTACGCCGCCTTACCCCCATTCACCCGCAGGATGTGCACTCTGCTCTCAAGCCTAACAGCAGGCGGCCAGCCGACCTGGTACGCCGCCGCCGCAGTGCTGGCCATCAGCATCGCGCCCTGGACTGCGCTTGTTATGGTGCCGGAAGTAAATTTTGAGCTAATCAGGCAGAATGAGGAGAAAGGCGGAAAGAGGAGTAAAGACACGCCGGATGAGGCCACCGGAAGGAGTGCGGAGGAGAGTGTGAATAGCGAGGGAGATAGGAGTCAGTGGACGGACTTGAGTGGGCCACAGGAGCGGACGAGGGAGGATAGCACGGCGGAGGAGGATGCGGAGGTCAAAGGGCTGTTGGAGGGGTTCGGGAGGCTGAATGGCGTGAGGGTGGGGTTGATTGGGGTGGGAGGTGTGATGGGGTTGGTTGGGGCGCTGAGTGGGTAGGGGGTGAAGAGGGTCGATGGTGTGCTTGATTATGGGAGGGGATTTTAGAGGGTGGAGTGTTGGGAGAGACTGCATGCCTTTTCCGGCTGCATTGCACGTGCAAAGGTCGACTATGTCGAGGTGGGTCTTTGGGAGCAAGAATAGAACGAAGTCTGCACTTAGCTGGGGGTATACGAACACCGACCTAGCTAGGAGCCAGCAGTCTTCTGTTTGTGATCGAGTATGTACTTTCATTCCTGCTATTGACTTCGTACGTAGCCGGCCAACTAGCTCACCTATGGAGTAGTTTTTCTCGCTCGTTTCCCCCGGCAGGACAACTCCAGTAACAGCAATTCCCTGCGAAGCTGAGGTGAACATGTTCATTTGTGTGTTCCGGATTTAGCTTAGCTTAGCGGGGCTAATACGAGATTGCCTATTATAGTCCAACACCGAGTCAGCGAGAGCAACACCCACAGGGACGATTGAATTTGCGCTTCGAGCATGTCAGTTGCACCAGACTGATCGTACAGTCATACTTCAAGATGGATATGTTGCTCGACGACGTGGGTCAGCCCCTCGACGACGTCGTTGTGCTTGGTCCGAAAGATATAGACATCCCACCCCAAAGTGAAGCCATTATCGCCGGAATTCGATCATGGCTCAACCCCACACAGTATGCAGAGGATGGTAGCGAATACAAGAAGCATTTATCCTCGCACCTCAAAGGCACCGGCCAGTGGGCCATAGACTCAGCCATTTTCCAGGAATGGCGCGACAGCCCTGACCAAGGGATACTGTGGATTCGAGGAATTCCCGGCGCCGGAAAGTCAGTCCACGCAGCAAACCTAATCCACCATCTATCAAAAGATGGTTGTCCGGTCCTCTACTTCTTCTTTAGGCATACCATCGAGGCGAACCATCGCCCAGAGGCCGCCCTCCGAGACTGGCTCGCACAAGCACTCCCGTTCAGCCCGCCTCTGCAGCTCGAACTGAAAGATAGAATTAAGGAGGCTGTTGAAAAACTTACAATTTCCGACCTCTGCCAGCTTGTGCGAGTAGCACTGGCGGGTATCTCACAAGCATATTGCGTCGTAGATGCCCTAGACGAGATGGACCAAACAATGCTTGAGCCTTTTCTTCAAATGCTCGACGACTTGGGCCACTGGCGGCCCGATTCAATCAAGTTAATTATCACAAGCCGTCCTGTCGCTATTGTGGAACGCATAGTAAGGAATATTCGACTTCTCGATGTTCGACTAGACAAAGAGCTGGTGGAGCCAGATATCGTCGTGTATCTGTGGCACAGACTTCGCCAGTCATACCTTTTGCCGGAAAGTCACTCAGCCGTCGTAGCCTACATTCTCGACAAGGCTGATGGCTTGTTCCTCTACGCAAAGCTGGCCATGGATGCCATTTCGCACCTTGAAGACGATGTCGAGGTTCAACAAGCTCTTGATAGTCTGCCAGCGGACCTGACCGACATGTACTCCAATCTTCTCCAAGAGCACCTAAAACGCACTGGAATCGCCCCACAGCTTCAGATCCTGATCCTGCAATGTGTCACTCATGCAATTCGGCCATTGCGTCTGCTCGAGATCTCAGACTGTATCGCTGTTACTCACCCGCAACATGGAAAGGACGCTGGAACATTGAAAGCTCTTGTGAGGTCAGCTTGTGGCCCACTTTTGGAAGTTCTCCCAGATGAGACTGTTAGAGTTGTACACCATTCACTCACAGAGTATCTCCTGGGAATCATTCGGCCTGTCAAGGATACCATGGCCCCTTTTGTTGTCTTCGAATCGGGCCCCACCCACGCACGAATGGCCACGCTCTGTCTGTTGTATCTTCAATTGGGTGGCTTGGCTCAATTGAAAGTTAAGCAGAGATTCTGGGATCTCGAAGTGATCGAACAAGAAATATATGCACCCTTCACAAACTACGCCTTGACAAATTGGCATGCTCATGTCAAGAAAGCAGCGGCCTTGAGCCATGATCTACACTCGATCAACGATCATCTTCATCAACTAATCGTTGGAGGCGACAAAGACAATGCACGGAAGCTTTCACTCGCCGCCAAATTGGGAGATAAGTCTGATAGACAACCCAGTGGGCGACTGCCAAAAGCACATGCTGATGCACTTCGACTCGCTATCGCATTAGACCTACCGTCTTTTGTCGATAGCCTGCTTGAACGCTATGGCACTGAACTCACAAATTACGACCCTGATATTGACTATTGTCCCTTGATCTTTGCAGTCAACTCGGGCAATTGCGACATAGTCCAATCCCTCATTCGCCATGGCGCGGACGTGAACGAGTATGATACACATGGGGCCACACCGTTGCACACAGCTGTCGGCTGGGGTTACAGAAGCGGCAAGGGTAATGCGAAGATGGCAGGAATATTGCTCGACGCAGGTGCAGATCCGGAAAAAGATACAGGGGTTGACCATCATGTCTACGATAACACCATAGGTGGCCGCCCCGAGTACCCAGCCTGTATGGTCGCCTTTCAAAGCGGGAACAAGGAGCTGGCTTCTGTTTTCATGCCATTTATCAAAGGAGCGACTCAAGCCAGCCGTGCACTCGATTGGGCTATAGATCGAGATCGTGCAGGAAGAGCAGACGTTGTCGATGTCATCCTGCGCCACCCCGATCTGGACGTCAACGGGACACCTAACAACAACAGGAGGGCCTCATATATGACGCCCCTGTACAAGGCGTGTACGAAACGTAACTCTGAGCTCATTCGCAAACTCTTGGCTTCTGGTGCGGACCCGAATATTCCACACAATGGTGCATCCGGGTTTGGCGCACCAGAAGCCAATCATGTAGGGTGCAACGTGCTGCACGCCCTAGCCAATTGCGGTGACAGTTACTCAAACCCGACACCCTCTGAGGTCAGTGAAGAAGAAATACAAGAATGTTTCAGATTGGTTATCGCGGCGGGCGCGAACGGTATGTCTTCTTCTTCCACATTTCTCCTCTATCAAGATATTATTCCGTTCATTTTCCGCACATTGACTTAGGCTCATGATGAGCCATGCACCAGGCCCTGTTTCTGTATCGACCGAGCCAGCTGACAAGATAAATCAGTACATCAAACCGACTTGAGAGGATCTACCCCACTTCACGAGGCCGGAGACAAAGTTGCCGCACGATGTCTTATAGAGGCTGGAGCGGATGTGAATGCAAAAAATATAGATGGTGAAACCCCGGTACATCTCCTCACTGATATCGACCTCTTGGAAGCACTTTCAGACGTTTTTGACATCAACACCAAATCATCGAGGTCTGAACAGACGCTATTGATGCGAGCAATAGATCAAAGTCGATGGTTCAGCCTCGGAACGCGCAGTGAGAGCAAGGAACAGCAGTTTGCGAAGGCATTGAAGCTCATTGAATTGGGAGCAGATGTGTCACTTGTTGACAAAGAAGGTAGGAGCGCCCTACACTATGCTGCCCAGATGGATGCAGATTTGCCAAACCTCAAAATCTTGTGGAAAAAGCTTATCGATGTCGGGGCAAACCCAAATGCTCAGGATAAAGACGGAGAAATACCATTGCACAAGCTTGGGAAGCGATCGTGGGGAAACGAGACTACGAAAGAGAGTATCGAAGCGTTCTTGGACATCGCGCAGCCTGATACTGAGATCAAAGACAATAAGGGACGGACCTCTTTGTTTAAGATGATTGACACTTCGGGTGACACAAGCACAAGCGAAATATTGGCGGTTCTCGAGTTGTTTGCCAAGGCAGGTGCTCGATTCGATGCAAGAGATTTGCGAGGAAGGACACTGCTCCATGCAGCAGCGCAGCATCGTCGTGAAGATACGACACATCTCAAGTTCCTGGTTGATCAAGGCCTCGATCCGAATAGTCAAGACGCAGAAGGGAACACAATATGGCATGAAGGGGTACCGATGTTCTGTAATTGTAGGGTATCGCCAAATCTCTACAAGGGCTTCACAGCTCTGGGTGTAGATCTTGCGAAGACCAACAATCAGGGAAGATCGCCGCTTCATGTACTGAGTAAGTACAATCAGTGGGTTGAAGAAATGGGCAGCTGGGAGAAGCAAGATGATCCAACCTTGTTGGAGTACATCCTCAATGACGGACGCATCAATGTCAATGCCGAAGACAATCAAGGCGTCACTCCTTTGCACAACGCGTCGACATTTTCTCCATTTCTGGTCCAGCAATTTCTCCGGGCAGGAGCCGACGCAACAAAGCATACGGCCGAGGGTCTCAACGCCTTTCATTTAGCCGCACGATCCCGTCAATCCAACGTCATTGGGATCCTCGTCTCTTGGTTGCGGTCGCAGGATGACCAGGATTCACTCCTCAACGCTGTCAACTACAAAGACGAGCAGGGCCGGACACCTCTGTACTATGCCTGCGCGTCTGGTCGATATGAGTCTGTCCAGCTACTGGTGCAAGCTGGTGCATCAGTTGAAAGTGATAGCTATCTTGGGTCTGCTTGGCACGGCTGTGCAGACTTTGAAGAAGAACAGCGGAGTGGAACTTGGAGGCGATGGGATGATCCCAACGATTATGGACGTGTATTTCCAGAAGCGCCCGCTGGGGGTGTTCTGATTGCCGACACACTCCGACCCAAGCGACCACTTCCAGGTCGCGGGCAGCAAGTCCAACATTTCCGCTTTGCTGTCGAACGCATTGACGAAATCGTGGACCTGCTCCTTGCTTGGGGTCCTGATACTGCCTACAAGTATCTCGACGAAGCCATCAGATGCTCTCTTGAGCAGCAATTCGACTACACTGCCACATGCCTTCTACGTGCACGCGAAGCGCTCGGAATCACAACAACTCTCGACTGCCTAGACAGTGTATCAGAATGCGTTAAGAGGCGAGAGGCCGACATGGAGCCGGGCAAAGCAAATGGGAAGCATAAAGATGTATATCACCTTATCCGCATGAAGGAGTTCGATGCTGCGAGCGAGCTTTTGCTGGAGGACCCTGATAGACATCTGCTCAAAACTGCGAGCATACAGGGAACCCCATGGATAAATAATCTCACTGAGCTCGTCAAGAGCGGTTTCGCTTCGCTTGTCGACACTGCGCTCACTGCCGAGGTGATGGCGAAGCTGAGAACTGCTCCGAAACAAGAGCAGAAAACAGCTAGAAATATTTTCCAGTCCCAACCGCGTGACGAAGAAAATAAAGAAGAGCCTGTTAAAGAGGAGGAAACTAATACTCAGTCCGACGAAAAAGTAGCCCAGCTACTTGAAGCTGCTTGTCTAACCGAGAGGCCCAATATGGAGGTCCTGCGTGTCCTCGTCGAGAAAAAGGGAATTGACGTGAACAGTGCAACAACTGAAAATTCTTACTGCCAAAGGACTAGACGAAACACAGTGCTCCATGCTCTTGCTAAGAGTAGTCGTCTCGAGTGGTGGCAGCTGCACCAGGCATTGCCATTTCTGCTGGACAAAGACAAAGGCGCGGACACTGAAATCTGCAACGGTCAAGGAATGACTCCACTGCAATTGTGTCTCGAAAGGATCGGCGAGCCCTCTTTCAGCAAGGAGATGGCCAAGCTTCTTCTTGCTGCGGGCGCAAATCCCAACGCCGTCGACGATCGCGACCGCTCATGCTTGGCCATCGCTATGAATAATAGAGAAGTGTTCGAGATGTTACTGAATCATGGCGCCAAAGTCTCACATTCAGCTCTTGCGGCTGCTATAGCTGCAAAAGACCCAGATCTTTTGCAGCTTATGCTGTCCTGCGAAGGCATCGACCCCAACATGCGAAAAGTGGGCAAAGAAGTTCCCGGCAGCCCGTCAGCGAACGGCATGCACTTCACTCCTGCCAGACACGATCCGAACGGCTCAAACGAGCTGTACCCAATCGACTATCTCTTATGCAGTGTCTGCAGAAACGACGAGTCGAATGCAAGCGCACGCATGTTTGACCTCCTCCTTGCCCATGGCGCCGACCTCGGTGCCAGGTATGAGCGAACAACTATAGTGCATCGACTTCTGGGAAACCAGGGAGATTCTTCTAGCACAAGCTACGGTGGCGAGAACGCATTTTTGCTGCCTGTTCTGAAGCATCCCAGTCTCGATATCGAGATTCGCGATAGTGAAGGTTCGACATTACTTCTACATGCATGTCAGCGTGGAAATTTGACCGCGATCAACGCCCTTCTTGATCGCAGCGCCGATATCCGTGCAAGAGATAGCAAGGATCACAACGCCCTGCATCTCTTCGTTGGCAACATCTACTACGCGTCGTTATTCAGCCAACAAGTGAAACCCGACAAAGCGACACTTGGAAGAAATATCATTGAACGCATGACATCACTTGCGCCTCAACTTCTGACCGAAGTAGATGCCGAAGGGTGGACGCCCTTACACTCCAGTCTCCGACGCCCGTTCAACCTAAGCGATGTGGAGGCCCTTCTCGATGCAGGAGCAGACGTGAACGCTTCGAACACGAAAACACATGACACTCCGCTTCACCTTCTCCTGGGCGGTGCATTCCACATCGATGTCGACAAGCAAGGCTCGGCAGTGATTACTGGAAAACGCAAGGATCTGTTTCAGCGCTTCATTTCCTTGGGAGCAAATATCAACGCGCGCAACACAGCTGGTGAAACACCCGCTTTCAACTTTTTCCGCCAGGGTAAAGTGGAAGTCAGTATGATTCTGTCCGATGCTGATGAGGCCGCCATCAAGACTGTGCCACTTGGAGATCAACGCTGGCAGCGTGACGAACTGGAACGGAAACGAAAGCGCGCTGTGGCCGTGGCACACGAACATCGCCTCTGGGAAATGTTTGAGATGAGCGGGATGGATTGGTCGGCAACGGATACGTCGCAGAAGACTTTGCTGCATGTTGTGGCCGCGACCGTAGAACAGGAGTACGAGAAGCATGTTGGGAGGGGGCCAGCACGGTTTCGGTTCCTGATGGATAAGGGCATCGATGTTTTGGCTGAGGACGATAAACACCAGACTGCGCTAGACGTTGCGGCTGCCCTTGGAGCTGAAGACATCTTGGAGATGTTCAAGAAGAAAGACTGATAGGGATGTGGCGTTGAATGTTGCCAAGTCCAATTGCCCTATGCTTCTAATTGCTCAGAACGATGGTGCACTTCTCTTTAAAACTCGGCTCGGACACTTTGCGTGTAGCTTGCGAGCAATCCATATTCCACGTAAAACCTGAACAAGTCTCGGAGAACAGCGCTTTGGTAGTTCAAGACACCCCAGCCATTATCGATAGTCTGTCCAGGCACCCAGAGGAAAGGTATATAATCCATCCACAGGCCTGTCCAAATTATAAGCAAACTACCAAAAGCTCTACCCCAGATACCTTCTACCTACAGCTCATATAGCTTACCAATCTGTGCTTGCTTTACGTACACGATTCCCGTTACAACAAAACATATCCGCAAAATTGACTCTCTCCCCTGGCTCCACAACTGCAACCCCTGGATGATTTCCCCCCACGTGTCGCACGCGATCTCCCCGAAAACACATCGCCCCCTCCGCACTAACCACCCATGCACGTCACCAACCCCCAGAAAGGCGACCACGTCGTCCCCTCCCACGCCGCCCGATACCCCGCTCTCCCAAACGTGCTCTCTGCCTATCCTCGCACTCGCTCCGACCGACGAAGAAAAAGACTGGACGTGCATCCGCCAATCCCGGGCTATCAACCACGTCTTCTCGAAGCGTGCGCCGGGTGCTGTGCTCGCCCATCTCCATACCAGGGCGTCAGTCCAAGGCGGAAATGCTCTGGAACGCACGCGCATTGCAGAGCCCCCAGCCCTCTTGGAAGAATTACCCCTCACGTGGAGTTCAGTGCCGGAGCCGGGGCACCGGAGGGCCCCTCCGGCGCGAAAGCGATGCTGAGATGGGTGGGGCGAGGTGTCGCTGCTGTCGACAAGCTGCTCGTTGAACGGGGTCTGGACTACGTGAAGGATGAGGGGAGCCGTGTTGCCATGACGGATAATGTGCTTTTCCGCTTTCTTGACTTTGTGGAGGACTTCTACGGTGTTGAATTGACGAGGGGGACTGGGGATGTGGTAATTGATGTGTATGGGAGAGGCAAGGAAGGAGTATCCGAGGGTTGAGGCGTTTCATGGGAATTTCTGGAGGAGGGGGCGTGCGCTGGGAAGATGTGGTGGGGTTTGTGTGTGTGTGTGTGTGTGTGTGTGTGTGTGTGGTACCACTAGGTTCATTGCGTCTCATCGAACCTCTGGATCGACTACTCCTACTCGTCACTCTCCCCCGCCAGTCCATGCCCACGTCTTCGCCCCAAGATCCCATGCACACCATGAGGCAACTCCGGAATACCCGAATCCTCAGTCCACCAAATACATCTGCGTCAAATCCACCGTCCGATGCCCCGTCCGATTGAACCCCTCTATCAGCACCTCCCCATAATCGCTGACAAAATTATCCCACGTCGTGTCCGGCTTCATCGTACACAACCCCACCATCACGCCATTAAAGTACTCCTTGACGTCCTCCCTCGGATACGCCCGCGCAATGTCCTCCCACTGCGCCTGGCTCACGGTGATGAGCTCGCCGAACGACGTCCGCGCGACGGACGGCCCGAGCAGCTCGGTCAGGATCCCGCCCGACGCGATGGCGACTTCAGGCTGCTTGTAACGCGCGATGCTAGCCGTGGAATGCAGCGCGATGATGTCGAAGACGAGCTGCAAGCGCTGGGCCGAGCGCCACGTGGGGCCGCCGTGCGCTTGCAGGAACGTGCGGGCGGCGATGGCGCCGTCGATTTCGAAGCGCTTGTCCGGGGAGATGTAGGTCGTGTCGTTGCTCCTGTGTTACGTTGGTCGGGCTGGCACGGTGCATACATACGTAGTGGGAAGGGGTGTTACCAGCCGAGATCGTGCAGGATGGTCGCAATGCCAAACGCTTCCTGGTCGATCTTGGAGCGATTCGTGGCGGGGAGGTTGTTGATGATGGCCTGGCCGTTGAGCCAGGAACGCATGACGTGGTTGTAGCCCTGGTCTGGGAGGGCGGCTCGCGTGAGGGCAATGGACGAGTTGATAAGGGGCGTGTTTGGGACGGGGATGCCTGCGATGACCCGCGTGAGGAGGTGGGATATGGCAACCATTCTGGCCTTCTGAGTGATTGATATGGGGCAGTAGAATAGAGAGGTCAGGACCTGTCTGGGATGAAAATCTCTCGAGCAGCTTGGATACTTATAGGAGACTTTTACCATTCGTATGCCCTACCTCTCCACCGTTTGAGAGTTATATTTCAAATCAGTTCCGCATCCCCATCGCAAATGGCCCACTCTCTGCATCATACGCTGCCGATGCGCGGACGGATGCAGTGAAGCGCGTCGTCAGTGCCACACGCTGTGCTCAAACTCCAGGCAGTTGTGAGCATGTTTACTCAGCTTCTGTGTAATTCAAATCAATCTGAACCAATCACAAGTAGTCATTTGGGCCCTCCACGGTCTTGATCATAGTATTTGGGTCGTGCGCAAACTGTCTGGTGTGTAAGCGGAAGGAGAACACACGGCACGGTAGCAAATTATACACCCGGCCGCTTAAACCTTATGAAATCACCACCCGGTCAATCACTCGTCAACCACGTACGCCCCCTCACAATCAAAAGCCTTCGATTATCAATGTCCTAGGCTAATCCTCTAACCAGCCACCTCGCCTACCAACGGTTCCAGCTCAGTCCAGTCCAGGCCCCGCATAGCATGCTACTTTTGAATAACACCCAGAGACACGCGAGGTAAGCGCCAACTGACCAGGAATCCGCCCACCTACTCATCGACCACATGTGTCCTGCACTTCAGAGAGAACCATCCACCCCGCGTGCCCATCGCATACACAGAACGACCAAATCACGCACGCAACTTCTCAGACGAGCCAAACCCAGACAGACAGACAGACGTAAGCAAACGTGACCGAAGGAAGTAAGATGCGCGCCGCCAGTTCCCCCGCCACGGCGCAGAGGCAATAGAAGCGGACCTCCAGCCTCGTCGATGTCGGATAGGACAAGTAGAAAGAAATTCACACCATAGGTAGATAGATGGATAGGGAAAGAATACATTGGGTCCGGCGGAAGTCGTCGGCCTTTTTCATTCGATTTTATCTCGCGTTAACAGATCCGTGAGCTCGTGGCCGTGGCAGCCGGGCATTTCGCAATTGCACTCGAGAAACGGTCCCGAGGCGGGAAGCGGGCGGTTCCGCGCGGGGTTGGCTAGGTAAAGCAGCGGCCTAAGCCGGGACGTTAAAAGTCCAGGAACAAGGGACCGTGTCTGTGAAATTCATTAGCGCGCATGCCGATGGAGGGATTGAACAGACATACGGGTCTTCTCCAGTCTGTCCGTACGCCTCTGTCTCTTCAGGGTACTTGTCAAACTGGCTGGCATCACCGACGCCGGCGCGAACCGGCGGCACGTACGGCGCATCGATGTCTTTCTTCTGCAGTCTTTCCCATGTCACCTCAGCGAACCACGGGTGGTTCATGACATCCTTGCTGCCTCCGTGGAGATTGCCAAGCCGCTTTGTGAGGTCGGGTGTGATGAGCTTCTGAAGAAGATCCTGCGCGTCGGGGTGGATGTACGGCGGGTATTTTACACGGCCTTTGAGAATGTTTTCGTAGATCTTCATGGGCGAGCCACCGTCCCAGAAGGGCGTGAAACCGCAGAGCATCTCGAAAATGAGGATACCGAGAGACCACCTTTCCGGTTGTTAGTCACGTGTCGAAGATGCGCAGCAGACAAAGAACATACCAATCTACGGATTTGTTGTAGCCCTTTGATGCCACAACCTCAGGCGCGAGATAGTCGGGAGTACCGCAAAGCGTCCAGGTGATGTCTGGCACTTCTTTGGCGAATCCAAAATCGGTGATCTTCAGGTGGCCGTGCCGGTCGAGCAGCAGGTTCTCGGGCTTGAGGTCGCGGTAGATGATGTTCTGCGCGTGCAGGTAGTCGAGGGCAAGGGTGACTTCGGCAGCGTAGAACTTTGCGACCGGGTTGGGGAAACGCTACAACGGTGATAAGCACAGGCTTGGAAGGAGTCGGGCCACGCTTACTTGTGACTTGCGGAGCAAGCTGAAGAGCTCACCGCCCTCGACGAAGTCCATGACCATGTACAGGTTTTTTGAGTCCTGGAAGGTGCCCCACAGGGTGATTAGGAATGGATGCTTGACCTGCTGCAGCATGCGGCGCTCGTCGTTTGTGTGCTCGACCTGCTTCATCTTGACCACCTGGGCCTTCTTCAGCACCTTGACGGCATAGTAGCGCTGGTTGTGCTTGGACTGCACCAGGTGCACGCGGCCGAAGCTGCCGGTGCCGAGGGTGCGCTGGATGGCAAAGTCCTGCAGCGTGTACTTGCCCTTTGTCACGCGCGGCTGCGCGGGCGGCTGCGCGGTCTGCAGGGCGCCATTGGCGGGCTTCGCGGGCTGCTGGGGCTGCTGGGAGCTGGCGGGCGCGGCATTGGCGTTGGTGGGGTGTATTAGGTTCTGGATGGAGGGCACGTTGTGCGAGGCGGACTGGTAGGGCTCGGGCGAGGCCTGCGGGGTCGCGTACGCCTGCTGGGGCTGGGAGTTCATCGAGTCGACCTGCTTGTGGGAGGCGCCGGCAGACGCCTGGGAGCCCTGGGCGGGCTGCTGGGCGAGGGTGTCCGGGTTCGTCTTGGTCGACGCCTTGCTCACGACCGAGGCGCGCTGTGTCTTGGAGGTGGTCGGGAAGATGGGCGACGTGGTGCTGTCCTTGACGGGCGAGGTGGGCGAGTCGGTCGAGTCCCGCGTCTTCTTCTTCTTCAGGAACCCCAAAGAAGGCATGTGAGCGGTCGACGGAATGCCTGGCTGCGGAGGCCGCGCCCTGGCCTGGCTGGCAACAGCTGCGTCGGCGGGGTCGCTGCTGGACAGGCGGAATGGCGCGCGGCGGCGGCGGCTACGAGCGCGCGGCGGCGAGGGCTGCGGGTGCGGGTGCTGGAGGGCCGGTTGGGGGGAGCACGGGGGGCATAGGCATGCGACTTGCTGGGAGCGAGGGCGACGCAGCGTTGGGGAGGCTGGGTTCGGACTTGAGGCTCGCGCTCGCGGGGAAGCAGCGAACCAGGCGCGGCGCAGGGCGACAAGCGACCGGCGGCCAGGGCAGTGCCATCGCATCGATCGGCCAGTCTCGTCTGGACAAAGCTCCCGCGACAAAGAGCTGCCGCCTTGCATCATCCCCGCCCGCGCCGCGAGCTCCCCACTGCGATTGCTGCTGCGCCTGGCTCTGCGCCGTGGCCTGCGCCGATGCCCCAGCAATCGTGGTGCGCGGAGCTGCGTGTGCACTGGCACCGCCGTGCAGCGCCCGCACGGCGCCGCCGCATGTCTCTCTGCACGTCTGGCCACGGTGCCGTTGCGTCATGCCCGGGCCTCAGCGGCGACCCCAGCGAGCGGCACTGGGCATCGAGACTCCGGGCGGCGTTGCGCCCATTGCTATCCATGCTGCTCCAGTGCGCCGTCTAGCCCGTATGATGCCGAGAATCCGCCCTACCCCAGCACAGCCGCACCCGCCCGCCAAATACATGAACAAGAGTAGCCCGCGCCGCCTCGGGCACGACAAAAGGGTATGCTACATGCAAGCTACAGCTCCACCGGCGCCGCAGCACGTGGCTGCTCGGCTGCCGGCGGCATCCAGTACTCCAGATCCAACCCGCACACCTCCATGCGCCGCTGCCGAAACATCTCGTACACCTTCTCCCATGCCTCCCTCGCCTGAGCATTCTGCGGCCGCAGCCTTGCCCGCTCCGCGTACGGCACATCGTACTCTGGGCCGGGCATGTCGGGCTCTCGCAGCCGCACAAACGTCGTCATCTCGTTGAACGACGTGGCATTGAAGTCGTCGCTGGCGTCGCGCAGGCTCTGCGATTCGTACACCACGTTGCCCATCGCCAGTGTCGACTCTGCAATCAGCGACTCTGGCGTGTCAAATGCGTGGCGCAAGAGCTCCAGATCGGTCGAGGGCTGCGACACCAGCCTCTCCCTCAGCTGTTGATATGTCTCGTGCGAAGGGCTTATGAGAAGCAGCGACGTTGACAGTTCCTTCCGCTCAGGCGTCGCCGGGAATGCACTCATTGGCTTGGACTTGGAAAAAGCAAGCAGCGAGTCCAGCGCCGAAGCATCGAGCACCACGCCAGGCGCGTGCAAGTAGATAAGTCTCTCGTACGTGGTCAGAGAATACATGGCTGCGATTGAGTACGAGGATGCAAGAGCCTCTGCGACAAGTCAGTTGCTGCCGATTCGCCAACATTGTCATCCTTACCATCTGCACCAGCCTCTGCCGGCTCTATTGGTACCAGCCTTGCACCATGGCGTCTCGCAGCTGTTCTCAGCAGTCGCTTCGTCGTCGTCATCTGCGGGTCCCAGTCGTCCTCGCTCGTCTCCTTTAGCCACGCCTTTGGAAACATCAAGATGCGCTTCGCGGGACTTCTTTTTTCTTGCAGATCTGCCAGCAACATTATCGCGCTGCACAGCTCGCTGTGGTCCTTCACAACCTGCACATATCCCAGCCCACTCCAGTCGATTGACGGCGCGTCCATTGCCTGCTGCACCGACTCATCCACCTCCAGCCTCTCCCCCATCCCTCTCGCCCATTTCACATCTAGTGTCGGCGGTTGCAGTGGTGCTTGCGCTGGTAGCGGCTTTGGGAGTCGTGGCTTAATGGCCAATTGCAGCGAGTGCACATAGCGTTGTTGCAGAACATATCCACTGAGAAATAGCGCGAGCGTGAACAAAAACACTATCCATCTGTTAGCACTGTTACACACATCCATTGAGCTCATGCACTCACCGATCACGGCGGAAAATAATATAGAGACCTGGCCCTGGGAGAGCAGTAGCTTGCCCATATTCAGGTAGATGGCCAGCTATGATATGCAAGGGGGTATCAGAACGCTAGATCAGGTCATGAAGAATGAAGGTGTGCTCGTGCAAGTGTATGCAGAAGGTTTGGGCAGTGTGACGTTGTATGCATGGCCCGCTGCCATGGTCTATTTACGGTTTGGTTGGACCAGCAACGCTATCGATAAGCATCCATGCGACAATTTCGCCCGCCATCGTAGCTTGCCAGCTTCAATCGCAGCCACATAACGACTGGAGCGTCCATCTACCGCGCGCGAATCCCGGAAGTATCGTCCCGCTCGGAATCTCGCCTCTTGTCCACCTGTTGCGCATCCGCTTCCGCGCGCGGACTTACCCCGACCTTTCGAGCCCGTATCTTCACCACGAAGCTTTGCGCAAACCCACGTCGACTACTGTCCGCACGTCGCATCCTCCATCCGGTTATGCGATAACCTAACTGCGAGCCTCACATACTGCGCGCAATCAACACCATGGCGACAATCAAGGCAGACTCCGGCAACGTCTTCGACGACCGGGGGTACTCAGGCCCAACTGTCCGCGGCGGCGTCAACCCCGTCACGCTCATCGAGAAAGCCATGCGCGAGCGCATAATCGAGTCCATGTACTGGAAAGAGCAGCTCTTCGCCGTCAACGAAGCCATGATCTGCGACCGCGCCGTCTCCCTTACGCACGTCGGCGGCAGCGTGAACAACCGACCCACGCCCTTCATATGCATTCTCCTGAAGCTGCTCAGTCTTGTGCCGTCAGAAGAGATCATCCTCGAGATGCTCAACTACGAGGAGGAAGGCGACGAGGGCGAAGAGCCGGGAAGCGCAGACCCAGAACAAGAATTACAGAATGGCGATACGAACGACATCGAGAAAGAAAAAGCCGGCAAGAAGGGCTCCTTCAAGTACCTCCGCGCGCTCGCCGCTTTCTACGTCCGCCTCACCATGGAGCCCGTGCAGGTCTACAAGACCCTGGAGCCCCTCCTCCTCGACCGCCGGAAACTAAAGTATCGGAAGCAGGCCGGCTTCACGCTTACCTACATTGACGAATTTGTGGACAACTTGCTGACCCAGCCGCGCCTGTGCGGTACGAGTCTGCCGGCGCTGCCGCCGAGAAGCGTGCTGGAGGATTTGGATTTGCTGGATCCGAGAGAGAGTCCGTTGGCGGATGAGGTGGAGGATATGGATTTAGATGGGGAGGATGCGAGGAGCAGGGGGAGTGGCGGGTCGATTCGGAGTAGGAGTAGGAGTAGGGGGAGCAGTTGGAGTAGGGATAGGGACAGTAGGAGCAGAAGCAGGAGCAGAGCGCGGAGCTATACGCGGTCACGGTCGAGAAGTCGGACTCTAGATCGAGACGGAGATGGCAGGAGTAGGAGCAGGAGCAGGAGCAGAAGTCATGACTACAGGCGGAGGTCGAGGAGTGTGGACAGTCGGGATGGACGGTGAGCACGCCGCCAATATTCACGCGTTCTGCTATAGTATTCTGCCCACCCATGATATACCCCATCGTTTCTGCGTTTCCAATCGCACTTCAGTCATACTGCACATGGCCTTCCTGTTCTTCCTGCCTCTACACATCTGCACTTGGTGTCAGCATGTTGTACATACATCCCTTATTGTCCGACGCCTGCCACGCGAGCGATGCGGCTCTGTATGAGCGAAGCCAAGACAAGTTGTGCATCTCCGAGGAAGGGAGGAACGCTTGGGCCATCATCACGACAGACGGTCTCTCACTACACACAACTCCACCTTGACAGGCTTGCATGAGACTGCCTCATGCAAGTATGGCAATACTGATGCAGCCTAGGAATTTCAGGCTCAGGCAGCGTTCTCAGTTGCACCATACTTTTGTCCTTCTCCGCGGGAAGTGCGACAATGCTTAGTACCATGGCCAGGCCTCGCAAAGAGACGGTTGCAGAGAGAGGACACGGTGACCTGGACACTGCCATGCTAAGACAGCCGGTGATTAGGTTAGCAGAGCCGGATGGCGTTCTGGATGGGCAGCAACAATGACACTTGTGGAAAGGTTTATAAGACAACGTTCAAGCTCTTCCGTGCCCAAAGATGGTCCGATTTCGCTGCGGCAGAGGTTTCCGAGGAGATTCGGTACCCAATACAGCCATGATTCGAAGAGACATATCGCTTAGTATCTTCTCTCCAATCCTCTAGGACGTACCCATGCGATGATTTGAGTATCGCGGAGATGCGCCAGCTCTTTGGTTTCCGCGGATTCCCGAACGTCTTTCCAGCTGGAGCTCCAAGGAAGACATTCCAACTCCTAGTGTTCTGGTTCCAAGCCTCTAGAGCGCATGCGACGGCACTGAGTGGTGTTGCAGAGATAAGACCGTTGGGACGATCTGATTGGTACCTAAAGGTGTTACAGAAACACTCTTTGCTTCGCGCGCTGCTTTCTTCGACATGCCGGCGCAAGAACCCCGGAATTAGAACACAAGGCGATGCTCGCATGCCTTGTTGCGCTTCCAAGAACATCTTGCTCTGGACCGGTACCTTCAGACGCTTCGCGGCTCCAATGCGAGCCCCAGAGCATGATCGCCCATACTGATGTTCGGCAAAAAGAAAGATTGGAACAGCTCGAAACACGAGAATTCTCGCCTATCAAATTGCAATTTTGGTCCTTTGTGCCCAGACTACCTACATTTTCGATCGAGCCATCCAAACTCCTCAATCGCAGAAAGCCAAGCAAGCGACTCTGATAGTGGAACGACACATTGGTGCAACCTAAACCGCGGAGATGTCGCGAGCATGTTATATCTCTAGGTGTAGATAAGAGTTGCATTTTTTGGGGGGCCACCTTGATAGCCCTAGCGCCGGATATTTGCCAAGAGATAAGAGCGCCGTCCCGCCAGCTGAACGATCCTCCCGTTCCCACATCAAAACGCTGCTCGGCCAATCTGATGCATCCAAAAAAAGATCACACCAGCGCTGGTTCATAACACGAGTTCTTTTCATGCGGTATCGGACTACTGTTCTGAAATGGCGTGGACGCCACGAGGCTGAATAGACTGGCTCCGGTGTAACGCACCCTGCGCTGTTCATCCCACGCCGTTATATAAGCCGCGCCAGAGATAAGGAATAGGAGATCCCTCACTATCTAGACACCCTTACCCTGGAGAGGAGGCGTAGTCCAAGCTCGCGCTTCCGTTGACTGGCACTACGAGTCTTGACTGTGCTTGGTTTTGCCTCAGTGATGATCACCGCGGAGGTACCTGTTGCAGCAACTAAAGGACCAGTTGTATAAACCCTCGTCTGTCCTTATCTGTTCCACTGCAGCAAGTACGGTCTCTCTACCTTCATCCTTAACCTTGGGCCGCGACCCCGGTTTCTCCACCACCAACTCGCCCCGCAGAAGTTATTCGCAGTTCCCCAGATCTTCAACATGGGGTTCGAACTGAGACAGCTCTGGAGTGCCCCGGAGATCAACCCTATCAACAGGAAGGCGAAGTCCATTCCTATCTTCAACCCTGTCGACAAGTATGGAAGAGTGTTCTTCTTCTCGTACCTTGGATTCTTCATCGCATTCTGGTCCTGGTAAGTTTACACCTCGCTTATCTGTGTTGCCTCTTACTGACGCTGATACGCTGAAGGTACGCCTTTCCTCCACTGGTATGGCCTTCCCCACACTCGCGCTACTGCAGTGGATCAGTTTTGACCTAATCTTGCAATAGCTCTCCGTCACAATCAAGAAAGATATGCATCTTTCGCAAAACGAAGTAGCCAATTCAAACATCATCTCGCTGGCGGCTACGCTCGTGATGCGTGCAGTCGCTGGTCCTCTGTGTGACAGATTTGGGCCGCGCTATACCTTCGTTGGCTGCTTGTTACTTGGTGCCATTCCATCGGCTCTAGCTGGTACAGCACATAACGCTGCTGGTCTATACGCCATTCGCTTCTTTGTTGGCATTCTCGGTAGCACGTTCGTCCCTTGCCAAGTATGGACTACTGGCTTCTTCGATCGCAACGTTGTCGGTACGGCAAATGCGTTGGTCGGCGGCTGGGGTAACTCCGGCGGTGGTATCACCTACTTTGTGATGCCCGCCATCTACGACTCATTGTAAGTAATTTTGCTGTAGTTGTCAAGAAAATACTAACATTGTCTTTACAGAGTACATAAGCGCGGCTTGACTCCGCATGTTGCCTGGCGCGTGTCTTTTATCGTGCCTTTCATCCTCATCACTACCGTCGCTATTGCGATGCTTCTGCTTTGCGAGGACACACCCACGGGCAAGTGGTCTGACAGAGAAAAGGCCATTCCTGCTGAGCAGCACCACACTGCCATCGTTTCGACGACAGGCAATCTCACAGATAAGGCCACCGAAGGCTCTATCTCATCTGGTGATGACAAGGAGAAGAAGACCTCAGCTGGCGCTGACGTTGAAGCCAACACTGGTGTCGGACAAAGCGTTGATGCCATAGACGCAGCCCACGCCGAGATCGTGGTCAAGCCCTCTGGAAAAGAGGCTCTCAAGGTCCTCTGCTCCCTCCAGACCGTTACTCTGTGCGCTGCCTACGTCTGCTCCTTTGGTGGAGAGCTCGCGATTAACTCTATCCTCGGCTCCTACTATCTCAAGAACTTCGCATACCTCGGACAGACGACATCCGGTCGTTGGGCCGCCATGTTTGGTCTTCTCAACATCATCACCCGCCCCGCTGGAGGTTTCATCGGCGACCTGGTATTCAAGTGGTCCGGCCACAACCTGTGGGCAAAGAAGTTTTGGATCCATTTCGTGGGTGTCATGTCCGGTATTTTCTTGATCGTTATTGGGAAGCTCGACCCCAAGGAGCTTGACACTATGATCGGTCTCATCGCGCTGATGGCAATTTTCTTGGAGGCGGGTAACGGTGCGAACTTTGCTCTTGTGCCACATGTGCATCCTCATGCCAACGTATGTTACTTCCCAACATTTCAAGGATTAGGCATCTTACTAACAGATTTATAGGGTATTGTCTCTGGTCTCGTTGGCGCAAGTGGTAATCTAGGTGGCATCATTTTCGCCATCATCTTCCGCTACAACGGCACGCACTATGCCCGTGTGTTCTGGATCATGGGATGTATCATCATTGCTTTGAACGTTGTCTTCGCGTGGGTCCCTCCGATTTCGAAGGCTCAGCGCATGCGAGGCGTGGGGTTGTAGAAGCCCCAGGTGCGATCTTCTCTCCTTTGCAAAAAAGATACCTTGTATAATTTTATCATGCCCTTCACATGTCTAACCTGTCCACGAGCCTTGAGTGTGCAATTTGTGATTCCCATTGACCAATCGGGGATGATCGCAAACTAAGCTACTTGTGGCGGCGGCACTGCTTTAGGCCTAATGTAGCTTGGTTTTGTAAGCGTTGTGCAATAAACGAGACGTGGCTTTTTGCACTCCGCTCACTTCTGCACTTCATCGCATAAACCCGCAAATGCAAATAAGAGCACTGCGCATCCTCCAGCACATCCGCTTAGATGCAATTTCCACTCCCTTAGCTTTGCGCTGCGACGGCCTCGATTGCGCATGCCTCGCTCCAGCTGGTACGACATCCGCGTGGTGTGACCGCAGAATAATACTCTACCAGTTTTGCACATTGCCAGAGCGTCTTGCATCGATCACTTTTAGCACGGGACTCTGCAAGCTACATATCCCGAACCCGCTCGGGCGATTCGTGGGGTATTTGCACACCTGAAGATGACAAAAGATTGGGACTCGGTTAAAGGAGGTGAGAGGTGCCACGTTGCTGCCCACCTGTTCTCCTGCTGATCCTCCGCTTTCTTTTCGCAGAGATCGAGAATCTCTCCTGGGTGCAGAAGAAGAGACTTGATGAAGTGAGAAAGATCATGGAGACTAAACATGGGTTCAAAGCTTCGTGAGTTGGCCTGACGACATGCTGAGGGATCCTGCTAATGGGGATCTAGCACAAGAGCGTATCGTATGAAGTTAAGGTAAGCTTCCACGATAAGCTTCTCTACGAGAAGATGCTAACGTTACTGGACATAGTGAGTGGGGTTTGACCACCAGGACAACGAGCAAAAATTCTGCCAAAGACCCCAAACGAAAGAAGCGGAAGCGAACCCGAGAGGACGAGGAGGACGATGGTAGCGACAGCGACTCGACTGTGGCCGAGCTTGGTCTGGACCATGATCAAACTACGGATCCTGATCCCCCACCAGAAGACTCAACAAATCTGGAAACCGTTCTGCTTAGTAGAGCAACTGTCAGAGCAGCGTCGGTAGATGTGGATGGGGACGCTAATACCGCTACGGCTACATTGGAAGGGGCTGAAGAGTGCGTTACTCGATGGCATGACGATGAACGCAGATTAACGGCTGGCAGTCTTCTGCCTCCTGTCGCTAACGAAGACTCTGCAGCCGCTTCAGACGCTACCGAAACTTCAATGACTTCTGATGGTGTCAGAGTAAATGGAGTTGTAATGAGCATGCTTGCAGCGGTGCTCGACAACGATTCTCAAACACTTGAATCACTCCTCATGAAGCACCCAAATCACATGAACCTCCCGATCGGCGAGCCATTTGATATCCCCGGTAGTCGCTTTTACAATCATCCCACAATCAGCTCTTGCGTCATTCTCCAACATCCCGAGCAAAGGCTGCTCGACATCGCGTGCGCCATACCGACCAATCCAGTCATGTGGGTTCTACTGGCACATGGAGCCTCAGGCTCAAAGCACCCTCTCGGCACTGATCTATCCCTTCACAATGCAATTAAGAACGGGCGCATTTACACCGTGCAAGCGATGCTGGCGCCTGGTCGCTCAAATATACACGGAGAGCCAGGCACGATGTGGAAGCCTATCTTACAGGCTGTCTACTGGAATCAGCCGCAGATAGTTCGCGTGCTGATTGATAGAGGTGCAAATGTCAATGAGACGTCTCCGTGGGTGGATGGCACAATGAAGAATACGCTGCTGCACTGCACGGAGAGAAGAGAGCGCGACTTTCTGAAACCAGCGGTGAAGGAAAACTGCAACAAGATTCTCAAAGTGCTGCTCAACGCTGGTGCAGACATCCACGCGCAACCAGGCGGTCCAGGATCGCCGACCGTGTTCGAAACATTTCTTCGCCCGTGGCAGGGCGACCCGCATTGGATCTCTAAGCTCGATCCGGAGGAAATGGAGTGTCTTGAAGCGTTTATAAGAAAGGGCGCGGATCTGAAGACGCCGTTCATGGGCTTTACTTGCGGCGCACAATCGGATGGCCAGTTTCAACATCAGATCCTTTGGCATACCACGCCTGCGGCTGCGCGGCTGATAGTTGACCACGCGGCTCCGACGCCTGAAGGAAATGGAAGCACCCTCTTACATGAGATTGTCGGGTCTTGCCCGGACGCGAAGAGACATCCCTCCGATGCTCTCAGAGATATCGAAGTGCTACTAGGTCGCGGTGCTGACCCGAACATTCTGGATGAGTCTCTATTTTCACCACTCCGAAGATGCATTGAGAAATGTCCCGCAGTGGATATCATTCCGCGCTTGCGGTTGCTTCTAGATGGAGGCGCAGATCCTGAGCTCAAGCATAGCAATCGTTTGCCTCCCTATGTTCTTGCGGCACGGACATTCGAAGAGCCACTTCGCTCTCAGATTATGGACTTTCTGGTCGCAAAGATAAAGGGACGTCAGCCTCGTGTAGTATACGATGATACTTTTACGTGGACCACTGGATACTTTCCTATTCCAGACGAGCCGAGTTGGGAGCAAGTTCAGAAGTACAGCGGGCAGAATGGCGATTTCAATGCTAATCTAGAGCGGATGATTCCAGAGGATGTAAGGGCGGTATTCCAAAAGGCATGCTTCAGCGTTGCCAGTATCAACTTCCTCAACATCGCAACACTAAGGGCTAAAATGTCGCATCCACTACCACCAACAGCTATGCAAAAAGAAGAAATCTACCAGGCCGTCGCTCAAAGGCAGGCTTGTGGTCTACCCGTCTACACTTTCGATCAGGACTTCGTCATGCTCCTTCTCAAGCCAAATATGGCCCCAATCCTCCCCACGTTCACGACATCAAGTTCGCCCGCCATAGAATCCTTCCTTCTGCCTCACCAAACTCCGATCACCTCGACCGCACAAGACGAACCGTCCATTCTTGCTTCGTCGGCGACCTTCCGCTTCAACCCCTCGCCATCAGTCCAGCAGTCCAAAAGCATGCAGCGTCCCCGCAGTCCGCAAGATAATTCCGACATCGACTTCTCTATGCCAGAGACTACTATGATTCGATGGCCCTACCTAGGCGACCGGACGCGTCCCGGCGACATCCGCAAGGCGAAGGAGAACGTGCTAAGACATCGGTGCGACGAGTGCGGGAACGGCAACCTGCTGACCAAAGGCGAGCTGGACAAGCATGTTGTGGAGCATGAGCATAGCAAATGGTGTGTCGACCAAGGCTGTAGGAGGAGATTCTGTGCGCAGCGGCCGTAAGTGTGTCGGGGCTAATGTTGTCCCGGATCATGGCTCGGTTGCCGAGTGAGACGAAAACATCTCCGGGCAGTGGCATTGCCATGCAACTTTGGCAGAAGGATTATGGAGCTACAATCTCGGCATCTCGGCCGAACTAGGTAAGCGCTTTGGTTGCAAGACATGACATTGTCTACCAAGCACTCAAGAATGGTGCAGAGTGTGCAGGAGGCAGCAATATTAGCCACCACGAACAATCCACCATGGCAATCGTCTCCCGCAAGCCAGGAGACCTGCTCAAACTCGCAGATCTGCTACAGGACCTTCCTAGCATGAGAGCTGCATGGGAAGCAATCAACCAGCGCTACCTTAAAATGCTCACCGAGGGCTTCACTGCCGACATCAACATTGAATTCCATACCGTCCCAGCAAATGACGGCTACTATACCCCCATTCACGTCTACCGACCCGCAGCTGGACCACTTCAGGACCCCTCATCGTCGGTGGGGGAGCCCATTGTTTTGGCGCTGCCATGGATGTTCACGAAGAAGCCCACTGTCTCCTCTCCGCCCACAAATTCGCTGCCACAACCGTCAACATCAACTACCGCCTTTCCCCCGGAGCACAAGACCCCTACCGTGTTCCACGATTGCTGAGCCGTCGTGCGCTGGGCCGCCTCTCAGGCGTTCTCTCTCGGCGCAGATCCCGCCAAAGGCTTTATCCTCCAGGGCTCTTCCGCCGGCGCGCAGATGGTGGATATCATCGGGCATCTCGCCCGCGATGAGGGGCTTTCCCCGCCACTCACACGACTCCTCGAGATCTGCACAATGCGTGTATGTACTGCGCCATCCCGCCTTAATACCGCGCCTGATTCCTCGGCTGGGCGCAGGACATCAGAGGCGCCATCTCTCGCAAGGGTCTCGTGCGCTTCTTCGATATCACCGGCGCAGCTGTTCATCCTGTGCGTTACTTCAATGTGGCTTGTAGGAGATAAGAGATCACCGAAAGGTTTTTCGCAGGCGTGGAAGGGATTTTATTCAGGACTCGGGGATCGTATATGAGAGGATGCTGCGGGAGGCGGGCATGGAGGTCAAGATGGCAATTTACCCCGGTTGTCCGCATGGGTTTAATACGGTTTTCTGTGAGACCGGATTGGCGAGGGGACATGAGAAGGACACGATGAAAGGGTTGAGGTGGTTGAGGTGATTGTTGGGGAAGGGTGGGGAGCATGGTGATGGTGTTGTGTAGATTTATTGGCGATGTCTGGGGAGGTCTTTACCCCGTGCACAACCAAGGGGGAATACATCTTACAATGCACACCTCAATGCATGTCGAATTTTCCACTTCGAGCGTGTGTCACGCTCCATTGCATCACCGCACACTTGATCGATGATGCAGTGACATTCTCAAAAGGCATCAATAGGGGTCTTAACGTCTCGCATATACACACAGCACTACCATATACCCACGAGTCATGCTAAATTCAACCACTTAACTCGTGGATTTTCAAGACTTACATCCAAACCGCCTCCAACGCCTAGCAATCGCACCACGTTCCTGCCCCTCTGGTGCTCAACCTCCCCCTCATCGGAAGAACTCTACAAAATACAAATCCCACCCTCGTCAACTTCCACGAGTGCTTTGCCCATCTCTCCCACCTGCGCTCTTCGGCCTAGGCCACCCCTACATGTGACGCACCGCCGCGCCCCCATTTGTGAACCCCCGGGCACGCTAGCCCGATGCGCAGCGCTCGCTTATCGTTGCGGTTAATACCCCGAGCATTGGTTCATGCGTTTTAATATCGTGGCAGCCACGTTCTCCGTGCTATTCGCTGCGGGAACGCGAAGATTCAGGTACGCGTGGCGGAGGCTCGGTTGCGCGCAGGTGGGTAGGGTAGGGGACTTGGAAGGGAGTCGATATTCGGACCTACAATGCTGGTCGGCCGGTACATGCATGGTACGCTTCGAGATGGCGATCAGCATGTGCGATATAAACCTCGCTGTGCGCCCACCAAGAAGAGCAGCCAGCCAGCCAGCCATCGCAACATAGCGACGCTCCGCCAACATGCTCTCGGCCACGTCATCCGCCGCGCTCCTTTCGCTCGTCCCCCTCGCGCTGTCTGCGGCCACTACGGGCACCTTCGACGCCATCACGTTCAATGTTGCTGGTCTGCCCGCCATCTTGAACCCCAATGGCGAGGGCGACAAGACGAACAACACGGCCACCATTGGCAAGCTGTTTGCCAAGTACGGTACCGATTTCATCCACGTGCAGGAGGACTTCAACTACCATGCTACGCTGTACGCGAATGACAATCACCCGTACCGCACGGCGACGAGCGGGGGCGTGCCGTTTGGGTCTGGCTTGAACACGCTGTCCAACTTTGACTGGGTCGACTTTGAGCGCACCAAGTGGGCTACTTGCAGTGAGTATACAGACGTACGGTGGAATTGAAAAGACTCGGTCGCTTACCACGTTCTTCCCAGGCGATGCCAGTGAGAATGACTGTCTTACGCCGAAGGGCTTCACTTTCATGCGTGCGCATGTCAGCGAGGGAGTATGGGTCGACTTGTACAACCTCCACGCAGACGCTGGGTGAGTGGACGCTTCTGAGCACAACCCCACTACATTAACATGCAGGAGCTGACCGTTGTTGCCAGCACCGAGGATGCAGATAACACTGCCCGCGCGGCCAACTTGCGCCAGGTCTCCGACCACATCACGACCTACTCCGACGGGAACGCGGTTCTCGTCTTCGGCGACACCAACTCGCGGTACACCCGCGCAAGCGACATCCCCGGCATCTTCACCACCGCGAACGGCATGACGGATGCCTGGGTGCAGCTCGCGAAGGGAGGCGTCGCGCCGGCCGCCGGCAGCAATGCCCTGCTCTGCGACAACCCCTCGCCCAACACCACCTGCGAGATCGTCGACAAGATGTGGTACCGCGGGTCGCCGGCGTTTACGCTGGCCGCGACCAAGTTCCAGTATGCCGGGACCCAGTACCTGAACGCTGACGGCACGACGCTGTCCGACCACGACCCCGTCCTCGTCGACTTCAAGTGGACTGTGAGCAACAAGCTGCGCGTGTCCGACCCGCAAGGTGGTCCCCACGGCGACTTCTACAACGACCTCAATGCCGTAAGTCGTCAAACCCATCTCTTTCTCTCACGCCCCCGCTGATCCATGCCTCACAGCTCAACGCCATCGCCTCCCCCAAAGCCTCGTCCATCACCATCCGCGGTGCTAACCGCGTCGACGCCGTGTCCATCACCCTCACCTCAGGCCAGACCTTCACGCACGGCGGCACCGGCGGCACCGCAAACACGCTGAAGCTCAACGCCGGCGAGAGCCTCACCAGCGCCGTCATCTGCCAGGGCGCGTACAACGGCAACACGCGCATCTTCTACATGCAGGTGACGACCAGCGCAGGTAGGACCGTGGCCGCTGGCACCAACAACGGCGACTGCGTAACCCGCACCGCGGAGAGCGGATGGGGGATCGTTGGGTTCACTGGAAGGTCCGGGGATGAGCTCGATCGCGTTGCGCTCATCTATGGAAGTCTGTAGAGCGCTCTAGCAAGCGGAGGTTATGTTGGCAATGTGTAATGTCGTTAAATCGTAATAGTAATCCTTTGGTGCGAGATTGAATTTTCTTTTTTTGCTGCGCTGTCGTGACTTCGCGACCTGTACGATGTGGCATGTATCTGCTCGTCTCAGAACGCCGGGGAAAGTGGCTTCGTCCCGAGCGTCGTCCATCTGATGGGTGTTCGAGACCGATTCTGGCAATCGCGCGCGTGCTGACCATTTCAAACTGCAGAGTTTCGCTTGCGCTCTGAACGGGCAGAGGGTCTCAATTATGCAGAGCCCGCTAGGGACACCAGCAACGGGTCGATCATCTGGGGCGTGTGGAGCATATTCGTAGAACGAACCTGGACGCCTTGGAACGTGGGTTCGCAAGGCTGAAACGTAGATACGGAAGGGACTTCCCGTAGGATTACTGCTTCGGAGTCAGTCTCATGGAAACGTTCCGAGCGGCGAGAGAAAGATGGAGTCGTCGAACGCATGTGGAGCTTTCCAGACGTCACTGCCATGAGTCGTGCATGTCACTGTACTCACACGATAACGATAAAGCGTCGCACTGGTTTGGATCCTTGTACGTGGCGTAAATCCTGTACTTTCCTTCTATCAGTCGTAAGTGCGAATCGCTAGTTAGTTTAAAGCGGTCGCTCTCAGTGGTTGTTACCTGCTAAAAGGGTAATAGTCCTGTAAGTGACCTGTGTAGATCGATGCCTGGATGTTGTAACATCATGTGATATCTTCTCGTCCAAAAAGACTCATCGTTCTGGCAGGGGGCAGGCGGTATTGCTTTCGGACCGATTCCGACGGTGACAAATAGCCGGCTGCCAGCATTGACAATGACGTACAATAAGGTCGCAAGCAATTTACACTCGGTCAGATGCTGTGCGCTGTGGCAACTGCAGCATTGCGCCTTGCCACGATGATGGTCCCCGCAGAGCTGGAATGTAAGACGCCAAGCATTACCCCAATTAAGTGTGAGATTACGCCCGATGGAGCGTCTGCCTAGTCGGGCGGAACATTGCTGGATATCCAATCAGAGCTATCTATCATTAGGCCTTTTGCCATCCAGGCGAAGTCGAAGCAGGCAACTCAGGGGTGGTTTGCGAAATCAGGCGATTGTGTATGAGAGGAGGTAACGAGTAGAACGTTCTAAGCTGGGCTTTAAAGAAGTTCAAATCGCCACATGCACTGCAACATTTGATCGCTTGAGCAGAATTGTTAAGGTTATCAAAAACTCCTGTCAACTTATAAAGTTGCAGGCATTAGGATGCCCCATTACGTCAGAACCAACCCGAAACGGGGGCCGTGGCGGTTGCGCACAGCCTGGGCTTTTTTAATGTATGCATCACAAGCCAATGGCTCGGGACGGGCTGTGGCATGGCCCACTCGCGGGGGCTGGCTTGGGGCCAATTTCAACTTTGGATCGCCCAAGACCAACAGTTCCTCCTACAAGACTCGGTCCCGCTCTCCTTCACCACACGTGGCTCCGGCGGGCGGCAACTCGCTTTGCAAAATGTCGAACTTCGACGGGAATCAGTGGTATCATGTGTACGTCGGTGGTAGCAAGGACAACAGTTTCGTAGGGACGTACCTCGTCTTTGGCGATCCGCACCTCGAGGATACAACGAAACACAACACAACCGTCGGTGCTGTGTTCAAATCCACAAACCAGATCGAGTCAAAGGCAGAGCCAACTCAATTTTGGCAGATCATCCCCGTAGGTGATGAGTATTACGTTCTGAGGACACAAGCTGGAGGAGTCAACGGGTACCTATCCACATTTTATGCAGAGGGCCGAACAAACTTGACGAGTCGGACGCTGGCGCGCATGACGAGGGACAATGTCTCGGATGCCTCGGTGTACTGGAAAATCAACTCGTGGCGGGACGGCACATTCCAGCTGACGAACAAGAAGAACGGAACGGATTGGCTCTTGGAAATTGGTGGCGAGCACGATGATGAGGACGGCACAGAAGCGCGTATGGGGTCAAACTTTACCGTGGAATCCAGAAGGCAATTTTCGTTTGATGCTATCGGAGAGGTCAACGGTACGGATATCGGAAAAATAGACAACCAAGACTGGGCGTCATCTTTAATAAGTGTAGGTTGCTTTGATACGAGGAATAGCGGTTGTGATGCTGACATGCGCGTAGTTACCGGCCACCACAACACAAAGCTCGACAGCTTCCGCGACAGTAACTGTCTCGGCGTCTACCACGACCAGTACATCGAACACTTCGAATACGTCGAGTTCACCGACAACAAGCGCATCATCGGGCGGTTTAAGTACAGGTGCCAAAGCGGGTATCGGAGCCGGCATTGGTGCCGCGGCACTCATCGCACTCGTCGTGTTGGGCCTCTTCCTCTTCCGAAGGCGAAAACGGCGCGCCGCAGCGCCCGCCGAGCTGCCGAACCCGTACACAACAGGATACAGCGACGAAGGTGGACAAAGCGCCACGACAAAGTATGGACACGCTGGAGTCAATGAAAAAGCAGAACTGGACACAAACGGACAGCAGCGAGCCGAGCTGCCTATGTTCCAACCGCCGCCCGCTGAACTTTCGGGCGGGGATGTGCCGAGGCAAGAGCTTGCTGGAGGAGACGCGCATACTGGTGGTCAACTTGATGGAGTGAGAGTATGAAACCATAGCTACACATAAGAGGTGGAAGAAATACAGAAGTAATGGCGGCGGCCTGAGGCTAGGAGCGCGAAAGCGGACAGAAGACGACTAACACCTAGTCACGTGATACCCAAACTAAGCGCACAGTCCTAGAATCAACGGGAAATCCTCATTTGTAATTGATTTGGAAGACATAAGCATTCTTGGAGGATAAGTTCAGCCTGATTTTTATACAGAGCATTACCATGGAAGAGCCCGGACTGAAAACGGCCCGTCTACGGATGTCTCACTTGCAGTCTTTTCATAATTATAGCATCGCATTAGAGCATGAAATGAAACGTTTCACGACAAGCAGATGAAGGTCATTGATTGTTCTGATTCAATGGCCAAGATACCAAACTGATAAGATTCGGTCGTGGTCCCTGAACGAGATTTTATCAACTGAGAACCAACATCTAGGTACCATGTGGGAGATACACTGCAGCCGTATTGCCTAGGGCCGCACCTTCTGCATACGTTCTTTCACCCCTTGGGGATCATTAGACCGAGCCGTGAAGCGGCCTCGAGTGATGCCACTAGGGGATGGTCAGCGTCTACTGACTTAACTCCACTGCGGGGTAACTCCACCTCGGCTGTATTCATAGTACTAATGGCAAACGAGTAGTATCCGAGCAACTTAATGTGTTCACAATCCAAAGAAACAAACTTGAAACCCATAATGTCGTTTGAATTGAAGCAACATCCAAATCGCGAGCTCACTGGCGGCGACCTCCTCGCCCAGACTTTAAAGCGCATCGGCACTGAAGTCGCATTCGGTGTACATGGCGGTCATCTCGATGCTTTCCTTGTCGGATGCGAGCATTCAGGTGTAAGGCTTGTTGATACAAGGCACGAGACCGTAGCTGTACAAGCGGCGGAGGGATATGCCAAAGTTTCGGGGAAGTTGGGGGTGTGTTTTGTGACGGCAAACAGCGGGTAAGTCTGGGACAGGACTCGGCATGAGCATACTGACAGGAGGAGATTCGGTAACGGTCTTCCTGGACTGGCCACCGCGTTTGCGGACAGAAGCCCTATCTTCTGTGTCACCTCGAGCCCGCCTCTTCGGGATCTGGAGAACAACTCGCTCCAGGCCTTCCTCGATCAGGTTGTGGTAGCTAAACCTATCACTAAGTTTGCACATCGAGTTACGCATGGTGAAGAGATTCCGAGGCTGGTCAATCATGCAGTGAGAATTGCTCTCGGTGGCGCGCCCGGTATGGCTCGAGGCTTGTGGAGTGACAGTCATCTAACATGACCAAGGCCCGGTCCTCATAGATTTCCCCATTGATGTGCTCTTCACTCCGATCCAAGCTAAACTCATTTCCTGGGGCGCAATCACCTCTCAGCCTGTGTTTAAGCCGGGTCCCAGCACCGCAGCCGTTCAAGAAGCTGTTAAATTGCTCAAGACTTCTCAACGACCGGTGATCATCACTGGCACAGGCGTTGGATCGTCTGAGGTACTACCAATACCAGCAATGGAGACCACTCTAACTTGATCTTAATAGGTCTCGGAGAAACTCCTGGTTCTTGCTTCGGAAGCGAACATCCCTATCTTCCAGTCTCCAAAATTCTCCCCCCTTCCAGCAAGCCACCCCAATGTGGCCGGTCTAGCTGTCCTCCTCCCTCTCGCGTCCCCAAAGCCAGACCTCGTCGTCCTCCTAGGCTGTCGGACTGGCATGTTCCTCGGTTTGCGAAGCGGAGCAATCATCCCAGACTCGGCGAAGATCATCCACGTCGACATCGATGGCACCGAGCCTGGTCGAACGCTACCCACCGCACTCTCAATTACATCTTCCTCATGTGAATTTCTCTCCGCACTGCAGCCCGCCCTTCATGCCGAGTCCTACCGTGCTCCTGACGCTTGGCTTCGAACTGCTACGAGTCTCCAAAAGATACCGTCCCCGCACGAAGACGAGCCAGACTACCCAACTCCTTCTCGTATGCACCCACACAAGGCCCTCTCAACCCTCTTCCGCTCCTTACCCCCGGACTCTATCATCATCAGCGACGGCGGCGAAGCCGGCGCCTGGTCTTTTGGCCTCCAGCACCTTGCAAAACCCTCACTGCACATGATTCCGACCGGCTATCTCGGCTTCCTAGGTAACGGATTCGGATACTCCCTCGGTGCGGCCATCGCGAAGCCTGGTTGCTTGGTCATCAATGTGCAAGGCGATGGAAGCGCGGGGTTCCACTTCATGGAATTGGATACGTACGCCCGATCCGGTGTCCGTGTATGCACAGTTGTGGTGAATAATTCTGTGTGGGGCATGAGTGCGCATGGGCAGGAACTTGTGTATGGTGAGAAAGACGCGGCGAGGCCGGCAAGTGCGCTGAAAGATGTGAAGTGGGCTATGGTCGCAGAGGGACTTGGAGTCCGGAGTATCAGAGTTGAGAAGCTGGACGATGTGGAGGCGATGACAAGGGAGGTACTCGGTGGCGAGGGACCGAGCTGTGTAGACTTGCGGGTGAGCTCGAGGCCAATTCATCCTGGGACGACGGCGATGGTGGGAATGACTGATGATCCCAATATGGTAGTTGTTCCTTATTACGATAATGTGCCTAGGGCGACGTATAAGTAGTAGTCTTTTGTAGCTTTACGCGGAATCAAGAAACGCTAATGGTGGATATGCTTCACCGAAGCGCTTTCCGAGAATGGGAGGGAAAGAATGTTCTTCTGTGCTACCTACTCGAAGGATCATATAGGAAGGTCGGTCTTCATCATGCGGTTCGCTGAATAGTGGAGGGTATGAGCCTGTTTCCGCGTCCCGTGGTTGACTGTGATCTTGTGTTTGCCGCGGCACAATCTGCGGTCTTACCTCCGCTGAAGTAAGGTCTCCTTGAGGTACGGGAAGAATTCTAACATGGCGGGGTCCCTGGCCTTGCAATAACTGCGCTGTTGTCCGATGTCCGTTGTCAAGTGCAGTGTCTTTTGGCATCATATCATGATTACATTCCACCCAGCAATCGGCTCCAAATTCTATCAAGGTGGCAACGACGGCGTCGTTGCTCTCGCTAGCAGCTAATGCCATTGGTGTTTGGGCCGAGTGATTCCGAGGCTCACTTAGCTTGATGCCGTGCTCATAAAAATGCCGGATCATCTCCAGGGAGCCGTTTCGTGCCGCATAATCAATGCTCTTCCGTTCGGATCAATTCTGGCTGTGAATTGTTTGAGGAGGCATTCCATCATGCGAGTGTTGCATTTTAGGGCTGCCAGTTGAAGTAGAGATAGGGAATTTTACCGCGGGATTGGACGGTTGAGCTGATTTTCAATAAATCGCCCTATAGTTTCAGTAACTGTTCTTAGTTGATTGGGGGTGAATAAGTTCAACCTCGGCCAAGGGCAAGTGACATTGCAGAACAGACCATCCAAGCAAGCCTAGCTCATGAGATTTTAGCTTTTCCTCGGCCGACCAAGGGCGTAAGCTCCACGATATGCTTGGATCCAAAGCAAAATCAATGAACTTGTCCCCTGCCGGTGATTCGATGTGAATTTCGGTCGTCAAAGATGCTCATTGCTCTAATGCGAAGTTGAAGCGTCAGTTCACTTTCTCTCTCTCGATGACTCTGGCCGCAAATTTGGCAACTAAATGGCGAAAATTGAGCTGGGAGTCTTGAGCGGAATCCACCCAGTCTAAACGGGCAGCTCTGGGATATTTGCTAAACCGCTATATTGGCCTTGTTGCGATGCGCTTCCAATTGTCTAGGTTGCAAGGCACGCGCAAAATCCGAGCTTCCAAGGTGTAACACGTATAGCTCGCCGAGCGCGATGAGCGATCTATTGAGCCTGTCCGAGAACACACCATTTCGTCCTGATAGTGTTTGGCGAAGAAATTGTCGAGCCGAATGGTGAACCAGACCCACATTCCCTATATCTATCGTAGCTTACGCGAGTGGCGCAATTCTGAGGATTTCCGCCGCATCATGCATAATGTTTTCGGCTTGGAGACATTTGATCGTCGCCTTGATGGCTAAAGCTTCCTGCAGCTCACCCAGCTTGAAGGGCCTGACCGCTTCGCTCATCCAGGGCATAAAAAAAATTATGCTAATCTGCAGTACCTTTAGTTTCGAAATACCCAGTACATAAATCGTTCATATGTTTCATCGAGACCGGAAGTTCCTCCAGTACATGTCAGATTTCTGAGTCGGCAGTGCAAAGTGCCCAAAGCGTCTAACTGAAGGCTGACCCACGTTATCCTGATTCGATTAGCGCAATGCTATTGCCCCTGGAGCATTCCATCGTACATCTTATGCACTTTTTCATTTAGCTGAGTGCGAGTTTCTTCAAGAAGGTCCATATCCTCTGTCAAGCTTCTTTCAGTGCCGACCCTTGATTCTCCAGTTGACAAACGTTCGAATGTGGTTTCATTCGTTTCTTGGGCGTTTGACAAGCGTGAAAAATATGCATCTCAAGGTGACCTAAAATTATCGCGATAATCCTAAACTCATGAGAACCTAGGTACCGCCACGCTCCGAAAAGTCACTCACCCGGCAGAGCTTGCACTACCAATCAAATCAAATTTCGCATGGCTTCACAGGCTGAAATCCCAAGATCTTTTGGGTATCATTGACTCTTAACATCAAGGCGCTCCAGCTGTACAAGTTGGAGAGTCCTCGTACACCGCCGCCAACCGGAGGCAGGAGACAAAAGCCTCGTCCTGTGTCGTCTGATGGACCTCCTTTTAGTTGTTAGGCAGCCTGTCCCATGGCTATTTGTCATAAAGGATAGAAAGTAGCCGTGCAGTCAGGATGAGATGGCATGCAGCGCATCTCCGCCTTCAGCGTTGGGGGCCAGCCACGTGAGCTAAACGGTCCAATGGCATGCTCACCGGTAGTGTCGTAGACGTCCTGGATTCTGCGACGCCATAAAAAACAAGAATCAACTTGCAGTTGATGGCACGTAAAGTGAATTGAATCATAGACGCCGGTGCCCAATTGCTGACTCTGGTATTGGCAGTGTGCTTGCTGGCGTTGGCGGAGTTTCGGGAGTCGTCCTTGCCGACCAAAGTGCATGTGTACGTAAGCGTACCTATTCTTGCTTGGATTCCTGCGCTTCGTTCCACTTCACTTACTTCCCTCCGTTGTGCCAACTTAACCATGCGGGCACATGCATGCCGATACCTCACCTTGCAATTCTCGCGACTGACATGGCCATCGCATCGGGAGATCGCAATCGTGCGATACGTGGGATCCTGTTCGCTTCTGCAGTGTAACCGTCTTGGAGTCCGCGCCAGCTTTTGGCTGAATACGAAATGAAAATGGAGTCCAATTCTGCAATCCAACATCGTGGAAGCAATCAATGCAGCCTAGCGGCGCGTGAATACGAGATCGTTTACAGTTCAGATTCCTACGGACGAATCAGCAGTTGCGTGCGCGTCTTTGCCCGCATCCGCACCGAGCTGAGAACTCTCACACTATCTCTTAAATAAGCCCGGAGTATCCGGACAAGTAGCCTCTCGATGGTTCTCTCATTTACGAGTCCTCTGGTGGAATAGCCACTGATGTCATGGCACGCCAGTCTCGCCATTGCCTGTACAAGCGAGCGACACCGCTACCACGTGTCAGGCGCCGCTAGTTCCTCCTTTACGAAAACAGCTTCATTTAACGAATCGGTACGCAGATCGAGCTCTAATTCATGTGAGAAACCTGGTTGACAGGCGCAGAACTGCCGTGCTGGGTTCTTTCGGGTGGCTCTTGTGGGGATGACTGAACGAGAATAGAACTCCATGAGGGCTGCTACCCGTTTTGGACACGGATAACTGAGTCATTTGTTGGCTCGGGATGCTACTGACAGTGGGAGGCGCTCGAAGTGTACGCCGTATACGCCGACGGACGAAGTGGCAGGCACAAGTATAAGAGGCTTCCATTACGTCCCTCGGCTAGAATGTATAAGCACCTCTGCGATGGCAATAACATCCTCCAATCTGGGAGTATTGCTTTGCCTTGCTCTCTTTTCGCATCTCGCATTTTCAGCTCCTATCGATCGCAAAGGCATTCTGAGCTTGCTGCTTGACCTCTTGACGAAGAAGAACGACAATGCATGCGTACGTCTAGATGTCGTCTTTCCAATCTTTTACCAAAATTGACGTGCTCAGTGCACAGCTTTGGACCGCTTTCTCCCGGGGAAGGTTTCTTTTCCTACTAACTTGAGCTACACATCTTCTCAAATCACTTTCTGGTCGGCACAAGAACAAAGTTTGCACCCATCATGTATTGTCATCCCGACCAGCACTCAGGACGTGTCGACCGCGGTCACCATTTTAAACGTTGGCTATCAGGCAGCCATACCTGGTTGTAAATTCGCCGTAAGGGGTGCGGGGTAAGGGAAAGCCACTTCCTGCTACTGCAGGCCATACTGACCACAATTTCAGCCACACTCCTCACGCTGGAGCAGCCAACATCGATGGCGGAGTTACCATTGACACACAGAGCCTCAACCAGGTGACCGTTTCGAGCGATCAGAAGACAGTCAGTGTCGGACCAGGCAATCGATGGGGGAATGTGTACAGTACTCTCGATGCCCTTAATGTGGCTATGGTGGGCGGTCGCTTAAGCCAGGTAGGCGTTGCTGGCTTGGTCACGGGAGGTTTGTCTTACAAATGACTGATGTGTTTATCGCACCTAATTCTTCTTACAGGTGGCGTCTCCTTCTTCTCCGGTCGCTATGGCTTCGCTTGTGACAACATCAAAGCCTACGAGGTCGTTCTTGGCAACGGCACTACCGTAACAGCGACTAGCACCAGTAACCCGCGCCTCTTTCGCGCTCTGAAAGGTGGCAGCAACAATTTCGGCATCGTGACCCGCTTTGACGCTGTCCTGTTTCAGCAAGACGCCTTCTTGGGCGGCCAAATCGACCAACCCATCACCAACAAGGAAGCCTACTTTGACTTCCTGGCCGACTTCACGCAAAGCGAGACCTATGACCCCTTCTCTGCCCTCATCACCGTCTTCGCCTGGCTCCAAAGTGTCCCTATCGTCACAATCATGCACACAGTCACTTACACCAATGGCTCCGCGTCGTGGCCTCCACCTGCCTTTAAGCCGCTCGATGACATGCCGAAGCTATCATCCAGCGTCCGCAAAGCCAAACTCAGCAGCTTCGCCAACGAAATTGGCGGCGACGCGGCGATTTCGCAGGGCAAGAACAACTTCTTCGTCACGCTGAGCTTCGTCAACAACCCTGCTGTCACGCCCGAGTTTATGAAGCAGGTATACAAGCTCGTCGACGACGCGGCACAGGACCTCTTCCTCGCGCTGGGCCTTGCCCTCACAATGGCCTTCCAGCCTCTGCCGCACGTTCTGTACTCCAAAGGCGGAGACGAGAACGTGCTCGGGCTAGGACGCTTCGAGGATGACCTGATCAATCTGCTTTTCACAGTGATTTGGCCGGATCCGCTTAATAATCAGATGGTGTATGATAGGATGCGGACACTGGAGAATGCTTTGATTGGGCTGGCAAAGGACAATGGGATATATAATGAGTGGGTGTACTTGAACTATGCGAGTCAGTGGCAGAATCCGATCACGGCGTATGGGGCGAGCGAGGTGGCGTTTTTGAAGAGCGTGAGTAAGCAGTACGATCCGCAGGGTATCTTCCAGAAGGCGGTGCCTGGGGGTTTCAAGCTTGGGCTGTGAACGTGGACTGGACGTCTAGATCAGAGAGTGGGGAAGGCGTAGAAACGGCGAGAAAAGGATGATCTGTTGAAGCACAGTCGTAGAATTGCTCGTGAGCGCAGATTCTAGCATCTATCGTAGCATCAGCGAAATCGCAATCGTTTACAGTCTGGCCCGATCGCCTTCCAAGTCCTTCGCCACCGCTGCGTATCGTTCATAACAGTCCTTCTCTGCGTCAAAATTGAGTAGCCATGCTTCCCTTGCGAGGTGGATCGCCTCAGGCGTCTTTCGAATCTCATCCCAGTTCGCCTTGTGCCATCTTTCCCTTGTCTTCACGCCCATAGCCTGCGCTTGATGCACCCTTTCATATCGAATCTTTTCATGCGATTTCACTGCAAGCGGGATGTTCTTCTTACCAGCGAGCTCCAGGCATGATGCTAGCACGACACCGTCCTCGATTGACTGGCTTGCTCCTTGTATCGACGTCGGGAGGAACGGGTGCGCCGCGTCGCCTATGAGCACGATGCGCGCTTTGGGCGATATGAACGTCGGCAGCGGATCCCGGAACACAAGTTTGTGATCGATGAGTCTCGCATCCTTTGGTGTCGCGCGCACGATCTCCTGCACCACAGGTGCCCAGCCCTCCACATACTTGAGGCAGTCTTCGATCTTACCGGGAAATTGCCAGCTCTCTTCTATATTTCCGTCGTCGACGTGTGTAAAGACCCAATTGAACTCCTTCCCATCTTTCAATGAAGAAACGAGGAAATGCAGATCCGGCCCGATGTAGCCAGAGTGCGTGTCTCCGTTTGCGACAAGGTGTCTGATGAGCGAGTTGTCTTTGATAGCGTCACCGCGGAACCAGCACCGGTAAACGGCGTAGCCGGAGGACTTGGGCTTGTCGTCAAAACCCAGCACGATCTTGCGGCCACGTGACCGCACACCTTCAGCTGCGATAACCACGTCGGCCTCCATTCTCTCTCCATTAACCACGACGCCAGCTTTGCTATCGTCTTCGAAGTAGTCCGTGACTCTTTGGCCTAGTCTAATGTCCAAACCTCGATCTCTCGCATGCTGGTAAATTATATTGTACAACTCCCCCCTGTGACCGTTGATTCTAGGCCCCCAGCTCTTCTCATCTGCGAAGGATTGTCGCGTGACGAACTCGCCCTTCTCTGAGTGAGGACCATATTGTGGGGAATCGGGTGATTGCATCTAACCTTCCAATGGTACAAGTCTAGCCAAGACGTCTTGCGCGCGACTTTGTACATGGCCTCAATAACGCCTGGCCAGCGTTCGAACAGGCGCGCGCCATTTGGATCGAAACTAATGATATCGCCGAAGCGTGTTATTTCTTCGATGGCCTCGGCTTTCTCGAGGAGTGTGACGGTGTGTCCTTTGCGGTCGCATTCTATGGCTGCGGCGATACCAGCAAATCCAGCGCCGACTATGATCACTTTGATGCCTGAGGGTGGGCGTCGGGGGAAATGTGACATTATTGCAATCGTACAATGTTATTGAGGATTCAATCGAGTGGAACAATGTCCTCTTTTGAAGGCTCGTGGTGGTGCTGATGAGGATGTGGCGGTGGGGTCGGCTAAAGTGAGGAGGTGCTGTACGCCTGAGTGTTCCTTATTGCCCTGGCCCCACATGCCAGGCTCTTCGCTGCTCACTCATCGCCCATTATCAACGATATAACCTTTCGCTCGAAGGGGTCTATTTCGGATTTTGGCTCTCGACATAGGTTGTTCCGTGGTGTGGTCCACAAATGTTGTTTGTTCACCCCTCCGCGGCGCTAGGAGTACGCGTGTGGCGTGCCGGAGCGTTCCGGCCACTTGCATGAGATGCAATTTCATTACACCAACACACCCTCGGCTCGTCTAGGCATGCCAGTCACCGTTGTGCTGCGTGGCCATTCCATGATATTCATCAATCGTGAGAACCCATTTCTTTTAACGGCACTATAGACTTGTGGGCCGTGTCTTGTGAACAGATGATAAACGGTGATCATGTAGTGAACGGTGATCATGGCTGACCAGGGGAGCTGAGAGTCTGACTGTTGTCGAGAATGGTGTTGCACCAATAGAAGGAGGTGCAATCTGAGACCATGCGAGTGCGACTCAACACCTTTTCGGGCTGCGCAGGGCGGTGTCGAGTGCTTCCATCAATGGACCTTCGTCTGTTAGTAAGAAAAGATTCTTCTTTTACCACTGCAATCGCGGATCACGGATCCAGAGTGAAAAGCAAGCCTTTAGCCCGGGCTCCTGATCAGGATCGTTCGTACCAGTCGCCAATCACGGAGAGGCTAGCCTTGGCGCGCACGAACCTCCTGGAATGCGACCGTTTCGGCGCTCTCCCATCATCTGTTCTTCTTCATGATCACTCTGAATACCCTTCTCATCGTCGGCTTGCATTAGGGCACTCGTTGCCTGACTACTTTGGCGCATTGTAACGACCGATTGTCGTCTGCAGTTCAAAGCCTGATCCAGACCACTTTCATTCGCCCAGCCAGCGCAGCAGCCGAGCGCCCGACTGATAGCGCGACACCTTCATTTCGACATCTAGACTGGACTCGATTCTCAGCCCAAATGGCGCGCGACAGCTCATATCTCATGCGAGATGATCTATTGCAACTTGACGACCAACTTTTAGACGAAGGCTTCGGGTTTCTCATGTCACTCCTGCCACGAGAGCTCTTCCACTTGTACAACGAACGCATCGTCATCAATTCGAACGAGTATGATTTGCAGGATCGACCAGATGACCTCGTAATTGCCTACGTCACAAGACCAGGAGACTACGTGCGAGCGTTAAAGATAGGTGTCGATGCCAACGCCATCGAGAAGCACGAATTTCCGCCCTCATTGAAACGGAAAAAGGGCGACCAACATGTCGAGCTTGTCCATCTGGGAGAGGCAGATATCGAGAAGCTAAACAGTATTCCGCCACTTTCGTGGGATTATAAACTCGATGCAGGCTACGAGCGCTCGCCGGAGTGTCGCGATCAAACGATCGCTCTCATCAAGTATTATCTCTTGGTCTGGGCGGCAAAGAACTCACTGGAAGCCCCACTGCCACAACCCAACTACCAACATCTTGTCGCAGCTTTCAAGCGCCTAACGACGACGCATTATTACAAGCATCACGAGTTGATTGATGAGGATGATGAGCGGAAGGATGTGCAGATGTGCTTACGTAAAGGTGAGGATGACCTTCGCCCGCTCGATCGTTCAGACGGTCAAAAAGAGCCGGTGATGGTCAATATAGAGAAAGACGACGCTGAAGGCGGGCATAGCGCTCGCACAAGCCGAGAAACATCGGGATCCTCCTATAAGCCAAGCGCAATCGAGCCAGGACGGGAGCTCGCTCATGCCGCAAAACTGCCCACCCCGCGACAAACCCCCAAGCAGCAAACATTAGACGTCGACATGGTGGATGTGCCGGAAGAATCGACCCGCGCTACAAGCGTGAACTCCTCCGAACTTGCCACGAGTTCGCTCGACGCTGACGTTGCCTTGAGCTTCGAGACGGAAGCACTAATTCGCCAGTCCCTCCCGACGCCAGATACGCTGGTCGAGGAGGCTATCGTCGAAACTGATCCCACATTGAGAGATATTCGAAAGAAGATGGGACCCAGCACACTATCGCTCCTACCGCTATTGACGACCTGCACATTTAAGAAAATTCACACCAAAGATAAAGGCTTTCTCGGCTTGCGACTTCTTCTCGGAACATTTCGGGAAGATACAAGCCGACCAGAGCTCGAAGGCTGCGAGGCTTGGGCGTCTTTCAAGATGCACGATAAGAATGACCGCGCTGCTCCACGCATGCACGTTCACGCTTTTTGTGCAGGGACAGATAAAATCGTGGAAGATGATCTGAAAATCAAAGACGTGCTACCAGATCTTCAATTGGGCCCTGCATTCACCAGTATTCAGGGCGGAGACCGCGCGGAGGAGCTGCTATTGAAGGCATTGGTGAAGTATTTCTTCATTATCGCCGCGAGGGACAAGGTCCTTGGGTTCGATAAACACAAGATGCCCTTCAATGGATCCTTTGTGGATCAGCTCAAGATTGCCTGCAAGCGCGTCCAGATGCACGATTCAGCGAGAGACGACCAGCGCGCGCACAGCCGGCCTCTCAAACGTGTGAAGCGATCTCACAATCCTACGCCGAGACCATCCGCCTCGTTGTCTGATGCAGACGAGGATGTCCCCGCGGTACGCACACGCGATGCGCGGCGATCAGGACGGCGCACGGGCCAACCATCAAGCGCAGCCGTTAGCGAAAGTGAAGACAACATCCCCGCCTTCGTCCCGGTGGTGCCCCAACAAATTCCTCGTCGTCTCGCGCTCGGTGTTCGTATTATTCCTCTCATGGAGGGACACACGGTGAATGAGTTCCTCGACCCCGACGCCGAAGTCGCCGACTCAGACGGTGATTCTGGGGACGAGATCCCTCCGCCCATATCGAATGACATGCGCCTCTTCCTCGAAAATCGTCACAGCTTCACCAAGCAAATGAAAAATCTCGGTGAATCTGTCAAATACTACAAAACCAGGAAAGAAAGTACTATCATGGGTATCCGCAAAGTGAAGGGCATGCTGAATAAGAACACCATGGCACCTCCCGAGCGGGCAGAGTCCGAGCGAGGGCTTGCGCACCGTCGGTTCGTCGAGACAACGATCGGGACGCATCTAGCGATGAAAGAGGAGGGGCTTGAGGGCTGGAAAACGCGGGTGAAGCAGGTCAACAAAGAGGCGGCGCATATTGACCCTAGGGTCATCGACACCTGGGATTTATTTTACCGGGTCTAGTTTCATTCTTTAATTTTTTTTTTTCGGAGGCTTCTGCGGCATTTTCATCATAGTACGGCGTTACGAGGCACATGATATATCCAAGGGTGGCGACTTCGGTCTGCTTCAAGTTTCCGTGTAAAGCATACCTATTAATGCATATCTACTTGCTACTAGAGCAATCTTTCATTTATTGACCTAGCTTTTTGTTGGAATCAAGTTTGAGCAGGTGCACGAGTCGCATTCACCTAGCGACTTGCCTAACGAGCAACCTTTGAAAATGTGGGCGCGCAAGGCGATGATGTGTTGAACAGCTTGTTGCAACAGGTGACGACACTTAGCTGCTAATGAGCACGGAAGACGAGCTCCTACTATGTTGAACGGCCTAGTCGTCTCGAAGCCAAGGGATTGTCCGCCCTTGAAACATCGCAAGTGCAGCAAAGCGCTGGAGACACGATCTGGGCTGAAGGGGACAATGCGATCGGAGTAGAAAAAGTAATACTTAGAGGAGCAACTGCTAGAGTTAGACATCTTCTCCTTTGTTGCAACCAAGATAGTTGGAAAATTTTGTCAGACTTGTTCGCAGAAGCGCCTCACTGTTTCACAGCGTCGTTATCATGTGAAACTATGCTATTCCAGATTACAAGATTGTGAAAGTTGATCTCTTCCGCCTATGACCTGAGGATCTTGGTCACCTTGGTTTCTGAACTCTGTATACAAAATTTGGTGAAGCCGAGTGCTCAAGCCTTGTTCACCTGGATCAACTGTCTTGCTGACTTCTATAAAACCCACCGCCCTCCGCCTCTAATTCCTCCCCCGATAGACTCCGGATCTTGACCACACTCTCTGCTACCACCAGCCTAATGCTTGACAACTCCATGACCGTCAGCACCCCCGACGCCGACCTCTCTAAGTCACCTTCCGATTCCTATATACACGAACCTTGCATGCATCAAATATGTCTTTTTCAACCAAGGTTAAAGCTCAGTGTAAGCTATACCCACCAGATGTTGCGAAGCTCTTGCTGATATCTGTCCAGTCGCTGCTCAACCCTCCGAGTCCGGCCAGGAGGCATCCAACACCAAGGGTAACTCCAAGTCCGCCGACACCACCGCCAAATCCAGAGGAAGTAACGCCAACGCCAACGCCAACGCCAGCGCCAGGTGTAAGGTCAAATGTGAGTCCCTCATATCATATGGCAGGCAGCCCAACTAACATGAGCACAGCGGCTACAACTCCCAGCAAGTCCACCCAGGCCACCACTGGTGCTGGCGACGACGGTGACGACTCTGATAGCGAGGAGAAAGGCTTCATCTGCCCGCACTGCGGCAAAGTCTACGCGCAGGAACACAACATGAAGCGCCATATGCGGGACAACCACGGCACTGGCGAAAAGCCGCATACCTGTCCTGCCTGCTCACACCGCTCGCAGCGCAAAGACAACCTTAAAAAGCACATGAAGGCAGCTCATGGCAGCGAGTGGGGCCAGCGTCTGTACGACGCGGTGAATGACGTGCTCGCCGAGGAGGAGGGTCAGGGCTCCGGTACGGGGGACGACGAGGGCGAGGATGGTGACGATGAATAGGATGACTAGAAGTATCCGCTGGATACAATCATGCCTGTGGGAACTATGGAGGAAGTTTTGGCATTCATGACAATTAATGGAGTCTTGACCAAGGTTCGCCTGGTTGGGTCTGAGCAAGCTACGGGATAGACATTAACAGTCTATGATACAACAGAAATGATAGAGAGCGTGAATTTCTATATATAGAATGTGGAGATATGTGCTAGTTCAGAACGTGTATTGAATCGCATATACAGCAATTGGAAGGCTATGTTCTGCAGGATCAAGCTGTAGGAGAGGCACTATAAATACCTTGATCAGGATGTTGTTTGAGCATATCTGGTTGTCATCGGTTATGTGGTTGGAACAGCGAAAGCAATTGTGTCTGTTTGATCGCTCGAACAGCCACGAGGGCTTCACGAGAGATGCCTTCCTTGCCATCTACTTCAAATGTGCTGCCACATGACTATAAAGCATCAATTGACCTCGATGATTAGTATTTGGGCTATTGTGATACATGTTTGTGAACTTAGGATTGTGATCAGCTACGAGATATTGCGCTCGAACACTGCCTGACTGAACACGTCTCAATGCGAGAGAAGTCTTCAAACGGCGCGTTTCGAGTCCAATTGTCAAGCTAATCTCGAGAATTCCACTCGCCATTGCAAGGCACGCCATGATGCAATCAGAAGCACTGGCATCCCTATGGCATCACTTCCCAACTAGCGTGACGGGGCAGTCTATAAAACGACCACAGACTCGATAGGCCATCACCAACATAAGTTCAAGAAACTTTCGCATCTCACAACTTCTCCACTACCCATCCTCGGCACCATGTCTTCCAACAAACCTCAGGGACATTCCCGCGGCAAGCTCTTAGATAAAAATGGCAAGCGTATGTTTCCTGCTGATGCAAATAAGGACACTCAAACTGAAATCTTTCCAGCTCGCTTCAAAGCCGCAAAGCTCAGCACCTCCTTCATCGAAGATGACTTCTTCGACCCTGCTACCGCTACCAACGAAGATTTTGAACTCAAGCTTCCGAAGAAGGCCACCTCCACCAATGCCAACAATAAAACCAAGGATGAAAAGGGTGAGAGGCTATACCTTGTTTCAACTTTGAAGTGGCTACCATTTCCACAGGCGCTACAGGCGATGCCAAATCCTCGGGTGGCGTTGCTGCATCCGAGGCCTCTTCTTGAATACCATCTGACATCTCTTGCCGGCTGTCATGGCTGTCGTCACTGCTGAGGGAATTCACGGCTCTCGAAGCTCCATAGACCTCAGGGTCAACGCAATGGGCGCATGATTTGATATGTATCCGCATGTGATCTTAATTTGGGAAGATGGACATACACGTATGGCAATAAAATGATATACACGAGATCGATAACTACCCGTTACAAATCGTCTTACTGTGTTGAAACATCGAGCGGTCCCTGTAGATGCAATGCGCTCTACGTTCTAAGTTTTGTCCCCGTCCCTCGTATGTCTTGAAGAAGCATTCTATGTGTGGCTGTATCATTGCTCGATCCAGAAGCCAAAGACTACCGTTGCTGTCTTTCCTGCTTTTATCGCCATGGGGGCAAATATACCTGAACTTGGCGGAAAGCTCAGGCCAATCCATTACATCCTCTCTGTACCATCTTGGGTCATTATATGGCAGTAGGGACAGACCACCGCCACTTACGTAGTCTGTCTCTTGCCAGCAGACGTCTTGCGCTGAGGCAAAATAGTCTACCATGTTTCGCCCATCCCTTGGCCATATTCAGACTGACCGGCAAATGTACCGTTGAAACCGGTAAAATGCAGCGTGATGCTATCGTCGGCCAGTTCCATTGCTCTCGTAGCCGTTCTCTCGAATATGGTCTACTCTTTGCTGAAGCGCTCGGGCCATGGAGTGTCGCCCCACTGCCTCTAGTTCTTGTAGCCGTTCCTCACTACGTTCCTCCTCTGGTATCCAAGGCAGCTTCTAAGACCAAGTGTGTGTCAGCAATAGCAGGATCATCATCGACATGGCGTAGGAGGAACTCGAATGTAAACTCCTCCGGCTCGGGAAGGTCTCTATTCATAGATCTCTTGGTATGATTCAGGCATTGCTTGCTTGTGATCTCGAAAATCGAGCTGTATGTGCATTTGAACGAGCAGGCAGCAAGCAGCTTAAAGAGGTTGGTGCTGACATCATGTTTGTGGTGCTACCGCAATCATGTAGCAGCTTGACGTTCTTAGAACACGTGCTGTAGTTGCGTGATGAAGCAGCTTTGATCTGCCAGACCCTAGCACTTGCATGCCTTCAAGGACGCGCCTTCACCGCTGGGACGGTCATGCTCTATGGCATCATGTCGCTGGCCAAACGTAAGACAGAGCCTCGCTATACGTGCTCCATCGCGTGCCAACATTACCTACAACAAGCGGGTCTTTTGCAAGAGCTATCTTGGGGTCACCGCGCGCTGACTGAAAGCCGACTTCACCTGTCTTCACACACATGCCCCGTGCTACATGACTAATGCCCAGAAGCGCCCCTGGCCAACACCCGCACACGTTGGCGACATACCATTGACCCACCACATGGTCAAACCTCCTTAGTCCCGATCGCTCGTTCCGTTGTATGACCATCCTGCTGACACCCAAAAAAGAGTACCATAAGTAGCTTCTTCACCAGCCGCAAGCAACATCCGCATACCTCGGAAATCTGACACGGCCGCTGTCCCACGAGCATCACGAAAGTGATAGAATCATCGCGAGGTAAGTTTTTTTTAAGGCTCTTCGTAGGCGTTGCTAATGAATGCTCGAAGCGGCCATGAAGGGCGGCCAAACGGATCCGGGGTGGGGTGGCGGCATGTCAGCAGTCGGTCGAGGCGCGCAGGCAGAGAGTTCCGGAGGACATAAAGAGTACGAACTTGCACTCCAATCGACCAACACAGACATCCAGGTTCGATACGTGGATCGACAAGACGAACCGTCGTCCTATCCTTACTGGGTCATCACCGACAATACCACGCCCAAGTACGACCCGTATCGCGGCTTTTGGTCGCGCGATAGGAAGGAGGTAGAGTCGGACTCGATCGGGAAGGCAACAACTACAACCGAGTTAACCCACGATGTGGTAGCAGATGATTCCATCGCCGGTACCGCTGACGATGTGGATTACGCTGCTTCTGACGTGGAAGATGAAGAAGATTCTGAACAATTCCTCCGTGGCGCAGCTGCTACGAGGAACAAGAAATCCGTCCGCTTTGCAGAGATGCGACTTTTTCGAACGAGCTTCCCCAGCTCTATGTCCAACCCATCTAAGTCCGACGACTTCACAGCCCAGATATCTGCCCCTCAATTGGGTACAGAAAGAGCAAATCGTCCTGTTCGAGCAGCAGCTAGAAAGGCTAAGCTGAACAACCCAGCTTCTGATGTGTCCGCAAATATCTCTTCTGAAGCTCGGCGAATATCTCAAGTAGCAGAACGTGACTACGCATTCGATGTAGACAATACCGTTGCGAGAGTTCGTGTCACCCGTGATCGCGGCCTACGTGTCAGACAGACTAAACCTGACAACGCTCTTTACGCTTCTCTTGCATTTGAGGAGGAGAGCGGAAAAGAAGAAGAGAGACAAGGGGTCAACAAAGACGATATCCACGACACCCAAGAACATGGCGTTTTGGCACAAATTTTGGCCTATGGTGGTAATGCCCAAGGCGGCAGCAACCAGGCAAATGAAGCAGACGAGGCGGATTGGACTCCAAGAAGCAAAACAGGAAGGCCTGCTACACGAGGAAGACAAGGCAAGGGCGTGCAGGAAGATGTAGTGAAAACGGCTGCAGCTGTAAGTACATACACATTCTGCCAGCTCCGTCTCGGAAGTGGGTTTTAACAAGCCGCAGAAACTGCATAAGCCAAGAGGGACAGCAAGGTGGAAACCAGACCCTATTATCGAGAGGCCATTCGTCTGCAATATCTGCTCAGCTGCATTTGTACGCCAGCAGCATCTGAAGCGCCACGAGCGGTCAGTGCAGCGTTGCCAACGTACCGTACAGTTTGAGGCGTATCACCGTAACGTACAGCGGTTTTTTGGTGTTGGCCCGTACGTACGCACCTGCATGGCGACCCGTACAAAGCTCCGTACGTACTCATTTTGGATCGGGAAAGTACGGTAGTACGGTACTACGGAACGTCGGATTTGGCTGGGGATTTTGTTGCAATTGGTGGAGATTTCCCATGCCCTCTACTAGCCCTGTGCGCTGTCAGATATTGCCTTGTGTAACAGTGTCGTAAGGAAGAAAAACTCTGATTTTCTTGTAGTGTTGCCCATCGTCCGAAGTACCTATCGCCATCGTCTGAACCTACCCATCGTCAGTATCTATCAACATGGATCGCTTTTTGACTCGCTCGCAGGCCTCGCAGGCCTCTCAGTCCACCCAGTCAACTCAGGTGGCATCTAGCAGCTCTGGCAGCTATCACTATGCCGGGTCGCGTACGGCAGCTGTCATGGCGATGACCGACAGCTTCGGGAGTGTAGACGACTCACTATCGGACGCTGATACCGCTGAGGTGTCAGCTGACCCACACGTGTGGCCGGGAGACCTGAGGGCAAATGGAGCCCAGTTTCCTATTGTATGGGGTCGCCTCTGGAGTGGTAATCGTAAGCTTGACCCATCGCGTGTTGGGTACAAGGTCAAGAGCAAGGCGCAGTTACTGGGTAAGCGGAGAGTTGCAAGCTTCTGGCAATATGGTGCAGAGCTTGAGTACCTCGAGGATAATGGGTCAAAGTTGACGCTGTTTCTCTGTCAGATCTGCCACGAAGAGAAGAAAAACCAGTGTTGTTGGACGTACGACGGCACCACTCATATCAAGAGGCACCTCCGCAAGGCGCACCTGTTGGATCCGGATACTGGCTTGCTGCCTGTCGCAGAGGCCCTGCAGCCCAAGGATCCCTGGCAACACGCTGCTGCCGTCGCTGGGTCGTCAGGCTCTGTTTCCCATGACCTTTGGCAGGAGGAGGAGCTGCAGAGGTCGTACGTAGACTGGGTGATTGTCAACGACCTAAGCTTCAAAATGTGCGTCGATCCGTCGACAAGGGGCTTGCTGACATGGAACCGATCGTCGTTGCTGCGCGCCCTGCCAGCAAGCCACTCTACACTGTCAAAGTACGTGGTTTTGCAGCTGGCGGAGAGGAAAAAGGATATCCTGAAGCTTCTGGCCGAGTCAGATAGTAGGATTTCTGTGAGTTGCGATATCTAGACGTCGCCGAATAATTGCGACTTTCTTGGAGTTGTCGCTCACTTCGTCGGTAAGTCAGTGCCCGGCAGGAGATAGACGGAGTTACGCTTTTAGCGTGTTTCTAGTAGAACACCAAACCTATCTATCGCCAAATCCATCACCGCTAACACCTCTGCCAGACGCTCTCCATCACCAACGCGACCTCCTTATTACCTTTCGGCCTCTTTTCTATGATCATACAGGCGCTGCGCAGGCTCAGATTGTTTTTAACGTCATTTGCGAGTACGATTTTATCAGGAAACTGCACTATTTTGTAGGCGACAATGCAGCTAATAATGGCAACACCTTCATCAATACACTTGACCGGGTCACCCCAGAGGACCTCTATATCGCTGGAAATCGTCGGATACGCTGCGCTGGCCATATTATCAACCTGCTATTAAAAGCTCTTATCTACGGCGACAGTGTGAGCAAGTTTAAATCAGAACTAGCAAAAGCGTCGCCCCAGGATTAGTACAAGATATTCCAGGCGCGCGGTGCTATCGGTAAGCTACACAACTTCGTTAACGCTGTCTGTAACTCCTACAAACGTCAACACCTGTTTCAATTAATACAGAGGACGGTGCTCAACGAGGATAAGCTGTTCAGCTTCTCTACACTAAACTTAGTCAGGGACGGCAGGATCCAGTGGCACAGCGTCTATCTTATGCTACTCCACTGCCTCGACCTTCGCGACAGTATCCGACGTTTCTTCAAGCTTGCCCATGCCGACAGCTCCACCATGGGCGGTGAATACAACCCGACAACTGACAGCTTATCAGACGACGAGTGGGATGAGGTACACGTTATATGCGAGGTCTTGGAGACTTTCTACAAGAACACCAAGTCGCTGGAGGGCAACGCGTCGCTCTCCGGCTTCGGGTCACTATGGCAGACAATTGTTAACTTACAAGAAATCTACGCCTTTCTCAGCGGCAGCGATGAGGCAAGCGTCCATCAGATCGACGGCTTCTTACAGTCTGACTACATGGTCTCCGGCGTCAAGCTTGCCCTCCAGAAGCTGATCACATACTTTGAAAAGCTAGTGTTGACGTCCGACAGGCCATCTCTCTACTGTGTAGCGACAGCCATGCACCCACTCCTCCGCCTCTCATGGTTCAAGACGCAGTGGTCTCGCCACGCTCTATGGCACAAGACCGCCGAGAAGTCTATCCAAGAGACCTTTGCCCAGTATATGGCCGCTGAGGGCACCGCTAACGACAACGACGACGAGCTGCCAGAGCTCCCACGCACGCGCAAGGTGCCTGGGGCGTACACTAGCGACGACCGGAGACTCCGCACAATGTTTGTAGACGATCACCTCCTCACAGGCAAGCGGAGCTTCAAGCGGCAGAAGCGTACAACGCAGCTTAACGAGTATTTCAACAGCCTCTACGAGGACAAGCTGGCTGCCTCCGCGTCGCCAGACATGTCCAAACTGATGCAGGACCCACACCGCTGGTGGGTGAGCGTCGGCCAGAAACGCTTCCCAATCGTATACAAGATGGCCATGGATCACCTCTCTGTGCCAGCTACGTCGTGTGACTGTGAGCGGTGTTTCTCGTCCACTAGGAGAACAATCACCTGCAATCGTAACTTACTCTCGCCAGCTACTGTTGAAGCTATACAGCTTCAGAAAAACTGGCTACGGAGAGACGCCGTATCAAGTCACCTAACAGCTCTCCAGCAACACGTCAAGAGGAGAGATACCCTCAACACCACAAACATTAGGCTTATGGATGAGATGCAATTCACCAACACTTCCTAATCAGGTAACGCACCCTGTACGGTACGGAACTACGGAGCGCACAGTCTGCATTTTGGCCCGTACAGTACGTACAGAGTTTACTATGTGGTCCGCACGTACGCACATGACCCCTGTGCGGAAGGTGGTGCGGTACGTTGGCAACGCTGGGTCAGTGCACCATGGCGAGAGAACGCATGTTTGTGAGGTCTGCGGAAGGGCTTTCACGCGAGGCGACAACCTCAAGCAGCACATGCGGCAGGTACATGCGGAAACTGTCAGCCAGGAGATGGCAGTCGGAACGGCGTATCAGACGTTGCAGGTCGAGGAAGCTGTCCGCGCTCAGCAAATGCGATCGCTCTTTGGTCAGGAAAGAGCGGACGAGATGGCGTATCGAGCTGGGCCCGCTGAAGAGGATGCCCGCGCTCAGCAAGTGCAGATGTACGAGAACCATCAGAATCTTGAAGATATGGGTAAGCTGTGAGGGGGTATGGCTCGAACGTGCCGTGCAGGAAGTATTGCTCGACGGCGGGTGGACTATTTGAACGGGCGAAAATTACAAAAGATTGGGGGAGTCGGACAGCGTGAGACTGTGCATTTGCTCCGGTGTCTAACGTTCCAGGTTTAGTCTCAAAATACATCGTCCTGCAGACGGGTTTGTTCGCATACTGTCGAGCTTGACGAGAAAATTCGAGCCTCGCGCCTCGCGCGGCCCATTCACGAAAAGGCCCCTTCCTTCCCTTTCCGCTGCTCAATTAAATAGAACAGCTGAAGCTTTGACCCCTACGCGCAGCAGCCACTGCTACTGCAGATACAGAAAAACCAGTACTTAAGCCCACCGACGCGAAAGCCACCGTCGCTTCAAGTGCCATAGCAATCCCTCATCAACTCCCTGAAACGACCGCTGCCGTCGTTGCACAAACGGGAGCCACTTTACATAAACTGCCCAACAGACCCCGAGCACATCTGCCCACCCTACGCGCGCCACCCCGCACTCAACACATTGACAGTGCCACCTCAGGCTAGAACATGTCTGCCGTTAAGAGCCGCTTCATGCGCATGTCTGCCCTGGCAGACAATGGCACAGAGAAGGGTGAGTGTCATATCAAACACTGGTTTGGTGATACTGACATCTGTATAGACTTTGCAATGGACGTTTGGGGGTCGGACGACGACAGCGACCTGTACGAGCCGCCAGCAGATTTCGAGAGCGGTAGTGGCAAACTCAGCAACCTGCCGGCGGATCCAGAGACTGATAATGGCGAGCTGAGCGACCCGCCGGCAAATCTTGGGGGCGATAGTGGGAAGTCCAACCTGCCGGCGGATCTTGAGAGGGATGACGGCAAGCCCAAGACCGCTAAGCGTAAGGGTATGTGACCTTTCAAATGTTTCCTTGATTACCCGATCTTACAAATGAACAGGTCGTGCGATAAACTTTCAATTCAAGCAGGTGGATATCGACGCCGATTCTGGAGAGCAATTTGAGGTACGCCAGAGCGACGTCGACGAAGGGTCGGGGGACGAATGGAATCCGTCCGGCGGCGGCGCAAGCTCCAAGACGCGCAAACCAACTCATAATTACACGAAGAAGAATGCCTTAAAGACGAAGAAAGCTCTCAGAACTGCGCCGGTGACTTGTACTTGGCCCGGCTGCGGCGCACACCTCGCCCGCATAGACCATCTTAGGCGCCATATCGCCGCTCATATATCGCCAGATGGAAAGCCCTTCAGGTGCCCGACAGCTTTCTGCGGCTTTGCCGCGAAGCGCCGTGACAGCCTCGCCGCGCACTTAAAGCTGCGGCACAAGCTTAGCGCTGCGGCAGCTAGGAAGAGCGCTGCCAGCGCAGCTGAGGCTGCTAATGACGAAATCCGAAGTCTTGCTCGTGCCGTTGAAGCCGCCATCAAAGTGGCTGCGAGCGATAGCGATACTGAACTTGACCAGGTTGTCACTGCCGGTAGCAAGCGCAAGAACAAGGACCGTGGCCACGCTACAATTCACGGCAAGAAGCGAGCTCGTGTCTCAAATGGCTCAGGTGCCACAGAGAATGGAGAAGGCCAGACTCACGCGGTAGTCCAAGAGGATGAAGAGCACATCGCCGCCATGAACATCGGCAAGAAAAATGCTCGTATCTTACGTAGCACAGTTGCTAAAGCGAACGCTACCGATGAAAAAGGGTTGCAGTCCGAAGAGACCGAGCATGGCACAGTGGTTCACGCTGCAGACCCCATCGATGGCTCAGATCCGGGTGACGATGGCCCTGGAATGCTGTTGCTCGAAGATGCATGCGATGCCGACGATGACGATGCTTGAGACAGATGAGCACTCGGTTCATCAGTCGGACCTCAGCGGCGGAGACGATGACAAAGCTTAAGGAAAACTCCAAATGATTCGGAGGCAAGAAAAGGTACAAGTGGTGGACATGGATTATATGAGTGAAAGGACATGGAAGCAATATCTCACAGGTTTCGACCCTGGGCAGGGGTCATGGCCTCATTCCAGATGAATTTAAGATCTTAGAGCATACCGGTTCGATCTTTGGTAACGGAGTGAATGTTGCATGATCTTTCAGCTGGGTAGTGGCGTTTCTTTTAGCCGGTTCGCGCCTACCTGTAGTGAACAAGAGATGTTGTTTGGTACAGCTTTCGAAGGTAGCAAGAGTTTTGACAGTTTGCAGTCAATAAATGGATCTGAATTCACAGGTCTTTTGTGATTGATATCAGTGTGTGTGTGAGGAAGGAATGTGCACGTCTGTGGGGAAAAGACGCGTGTCTTAGTCAGCTTTGCGCTAGCTCTACAAGCATTGGTCAAGGCGAAAACATCGTGGCATTCGCAGAACATTCGTCACCATCGCCATCTCGCGTTCTTCCTTAGGCCTGCAAAATATCACATCTGGGATGACCATCGCAAGGCCACATGCATGCCTCCTCTCGTTGCCCATAGAGTTGCGGCTCCAGATTCTGGAATGCGTCATCGATGGATCACCAAACGCTGGCCTCAAATACCCGAAAGTATGTGCGACCGTTAGACCAGAATCAAACAGGAACTTCCAAGGTCTGATCCTGGATCTCGGGTACTCTGCTGCCGCGACCCTAAACGTTCTGCTCGTGTGTCGCCAACTGAGGAACGAATTCACGAAAGCGGCCTTCCAACGCACTGTCTTCGTCATCCGGGATCCCTACTATGTGAACGCGAAATACTTCCGAAATCTTCAGCGCGTCCAGCTAGACAGCTTGAGAAGAGTAATGATTGTCTTTCAAGCATACCGTCTTAGCCAGCTGTCATCGTGGAGGCGACCCTTCAACCTTGAAGGTCTGCACCTGGATAATCTCACAATCGCATTGCAGTCTGCAACCCAGCACACCGTCGGGGGAGTGTTGTCGGAGGATTATCTTGCCAACAGTACACGCGATGTTGTAGGGCTTCTACGACAGTTGGGGCACGTGAACAGCTTCAAGATTGTACAGAACGCGGCGTTTACCACACAGCGTTTTCAAGCGTGGTGGTACCAGATCATTGGCCTCATTCTGAAGGAAGATCATTACCAACGGTATGATGCACCGGACGCTCCACAGATCGAGACAACATGGTGGGATTGGCATTTCGATTCTGCTGAGAAATCCTTCGAGTTCATTGCTCGCCCAGCGAAGCCCGTTGTGCCTGAACCAGACTACATGGAGATGGTGGCGCCGCTCGTGGCGAGCCTCATGAGCGCCATGGAAGCCGGATCGTCATGAAGACCTTGAATTACCGCCGCCTTGACCGGGAACCGGAGCAAAAACGTTGGAAACACTTGAGTGTTGAATCCTTAGATACCAGTCCAGATCAGTGTGGGCGTGTAGAAATTGCAGACGAATGCGCGATAATGCAAAAGACCGAGTAGTATCTGCATTAGCACCTCCATCGGCATCTCATTCTGCATTTGAATTTGCAAGTGAGGGACTTTGTTCGACCATTGCGGGAGGTTTACATATATGAAGGGCGTTGCCATTTCCGCATTTCCCGAGCGAGACGCGAACCCGACTGATGTGGATACCCGTTGGCGCTGTTACTTAAGCTCCACGGACGCGGATGAGATAAACGTGCGCCGTTATCTGCCCGAATGACAACACTTCCGAGTCATTTTCGCCAAAGATTTCCTCGAGACGAAACGAATAGGGCCCCAGCTTGAATGGACTAGTCATTGTGGGATCGTGGCTCAGGCTTCGGGCAAGCCCGTTCTGCACAACGCATCAGCTTTGGGTCCAGAACAGCCTAGAAATCAAGCATTCAGCGACGAGAACTAAGACGGCCAAGATGGCTTATCTGCAGCTGTGGGGTGGTTGAATAGGCCACGTGACCAGCGGCGACTTCGGGAGCTTTCGCGGACGTCGACACGAGTCCTTGTTGAGATTCGCAACCTGCTTCCAATGAAACGTCATCAACCGACACTAGTCTGGCGAGCATGTCAGATCGGGCGTATAGCTCCGACTGTGCCCTCTCGAACGCTTGGTTCTATTTGTGCTCGGACGCTTTGAAGGTCTTCACATACGGACACTATCAGCTAGCTAGTCACGATTCCTTAGAGCACATCACGTACTGTCAAAGTGATGCTGTGTAATGGCCATGATGTTGACTGGATTGAAGGACCTGAGCTCGGTCAAAGACCGACCGATCTACGTGACTAAAAAACCCTAAGGCGCGCTAAGCATTTGCCGCGCGCCGCAGAGCCGCACCACTTCTCAAACCGCCGAAGCTTAATACCGCAGCTTTGAGACCCACTTATTGGTTCACTTCACAACGGAGCCCCCATGTTCCAAGGCAAGATTTTACAGATCATCTGCATGCGCTTAGACCGCGTAGTGGAACCATTCACCCCTTTTTCTGGGGCATTTGCCATGGTCACCGCCGTCTGGGGACGGCTAGTCAGGCCGTCGGCGCACTTGCATGGTGTTTTGATCAAGCGTTGAGGCGTGCAGATTGGGGAATTGCAGTAGGTAACAGTTCGATAATCCGGAGCGCCCGGAGAATCGCCAGCCGATGAGGAGCCCCGTGGCAGGCTACTCCACCCTAGGCTGGTACGCCCACAGAGCAATAATGTGGGGAGGGGACTGAGTACAAGTACTCTCGCTCTCCTACATCGTCCTTCGCTGTTCACACTCTCTGTTGTCACAAGGAGCTGTGTCTAGTGTCGTTCCCAGTCTTTGCAGCGTGCTTTCCATTCACGAGGCGAGGACTACTTCCCCTGCACTAAACGCGACCGCATTCGTCAGTCGCAATCCATTTTCCTCGGACATCCGTCCCAAAAAACAGACCCGACTCCTCACGATGGGTCTCCAGGGCGGCTCCCTGCGCATGGCGCAGCTCCTCCTCGTTGTGCTCCCTGCTTTCGTCCTGTTTGGGTACAACCAATCCGGCGTGGGCGGTCTCCTCTCTCTGCGCGACTGGAACGACAACTTTCCGGAAATCGATACCATCGATGCCACGGGTGCGGAGAAGTCGCACACATCCACTGTACAGGGTGCAGTCGTTTCCACCTTCACCATTGGTGCGCTTTTTGGTGCACTGAGCTGCTCCTGGGTTGGAGACGTGCTCGGCAGACGCAAGACCACTCTTGTGGCTGCCATTCTCACACTTATCGGCGAGATTCTCCAGTGCACCAGCTTCTCGCTCGCACAATTTATCGTTGGCCGCTTCTTTCTCGGATGGGGAGTTGGCATGTTAAGCACCACTGTCCCCGTTTGGCAGTCTGAGTGTGCGTCCACTGCAAATCGAGGCAAGCACGTTGTCTTGGATGGGTGTTTCATTAGCTTGGGCTACACCCTAGAGGCCTGGATCAACCTCGGATTCTTCGAGCAGGACAACTTGCCCCTGCAGTGGCGCCTGCCCTTGGCTATCCCCTGCGTGATCTCAATGGTCCTGATTTCTGCTGTTTTGTTCATCCCCGAAAGCCCCAGGTGGCTCGTCAACAAGACCAGGGTACAGGAAGCCAAGGAGAGCTTGGCCAGGTTCAAGGGATTGAGCACTGAAGACCCTGAGGTCGTTGCTGAGATCGGCGGCATTGAGCTGGCTCTTGAAGAGACTGGAAGAAGCGCGGCGAAGCTGTCCGACATCTTCACGAATGGCAAAGAGCGACTACTCTACCGATTCTCGCTATGTATCTTCCTGCAGTTCCTGCAGCAAATGTGTGGCAGCAACCTCATTTCTACATACTCAACCGTAAGTCACATCCGACGCTTATCCCAACTACTATACTCACCACCCTTGCAGATCATCTTCCAGCAAGGCCTCGGCATGAACGCCGAGATGTCCCGCATCCTCAGCGGCGGAGCCCTCACCTGGAAATTCCTTTCCTGCTTTGTTGCTTTCTTCACCATCGACCGCTTCGGCCGCCGCAAGCTCTTCATGTTCAGCGGCGCAGGCATGGCTTCCTGCATGCTCGCGTTGGCCGTCGCCTCGAGCTTCCCCAAGAGCAATCACGCCGCGCAGATCGCCTCCGCCTTCTTCGTCTTCCTCTTTAACTTCTTCATCCCCATCGGCTTCCTCGGCGCAAACTTCCTCTACTGCGCTGAAGTCGCCCCGACACGCCTACGCGTCGCCATGTCCGGAATCTCTACAGCAAACCACTGGCTTTGGAACTTCGTCGTCAACATGGTCACCCCCGTGGCTATCGAGACGATCGGCTGGAAGTACTACCTCGTCTTCCTCTGCATCTCGGCCATCATTATCCCCGTGGTGTTCCTCTTCTACCCCGAGACTATGGGCCGCAGTCTGGAGGAGCTCGAGATGATGTTCTCCGAGGGCAAGTCGATTACGGGCATTGTGCGGGAGTCGCGGAAGCCGCTCAACGGCGGGCTGCTGCCGGAACGGTACCAGGAGAAGCTGGAGAAGACCGAGGACGAGTACGCGTGAAGGGCACTGGATCTGAGACGGCGAGATGGATTTTTGATACGAGGGAGAAGTCACGAATTCATGAGTTATGTATCGTTAGCCAAAATGCGCTAGAGAACGAAAAATATGAGGCTTTTCGGGAAAATTCGGGTGGTGATCCACTTAGTCCATGTTCCTGCCAACGTGCGCGCTGATAATGTCGACGCTTTAGAGCTTCGTGCGAGGGGTTGTTGTGTCACATGGACAAGTAAAGTGGGCTTGCAAGGACCGGTGGAAGAGAATAGAAAGGCCGATCCATGCGAGTGCACATATGCGGAAGCGTGAATGGAAACTCGAAGAGCTGTGGTACCTTGATATGTCTATTCCCTTTTTTTCGATTACTATCAGCGTGCCGTGTGGCATTATTTGCCATTACGTCTTGTCGCCCTTTCATCGTTTATAGCCGGTTGATCATGGATCTGGCGGTGATCTTCCTCCAACGTGCATATCCTTCGCTAGTCCCTGAGTGTCCGATACATGCCGAGTGCATGGTGGGCGTCCGTCTCTAGACGTGCTGTTGCATCTTGCCATCCTTGCACTTACCCAAGCAGACGAGGGGACAAGGCTCGGGCGTCGTGCAGTTGCTCTGCTGTGCGAGGCCTGATCGAGCGTACACGGTAGCACCTGGCGCTCTCTGTCTTCGCGCTCGTCTCTCCGCCTGACGGTATTCAATCTTGCTTCTCGTCGACATTTCTCTCTAATCAAGGTGCACCATGGTGCAGCGGAACCCCACGCCCCTCAGGCAGCAGCCATTTTCCTCTTCTCGTGATAATTCATCATCTCCCCCTTCTTCGCATTCCAAAGGTCCCGCAGCGGCTGCGGCCCCGTCTTCCACAGCCGATCATGTAGCGTGACGACACCCTCCTCGAGATCCCGCTCCGTCGGCCACGTCGCGCTCCACCGCCAGTGCAGCTCGCGCCACGGCATCCGGCCCTCGCGGCGGAACACGTAGTTTAGCAGCCCCTGCTCCATCGTGTGCGTGTCGAAGCGGCCGACGAGCGCCATCACGCTGAGGATGTGAGCGAAGACCTGGCGGTCGGGTTTGATGAGGAAGAAGCCGGCGTTGAAAGACTTTGACTGGAGAGGGGGTGTGGGATGCGTGCGCTCGCCTGTCAGAGCCGCGTCTGAACGCGCGGCGAAGAGCCATTCGGATGGAAGTTTGGCTTCGCCCCAGCGCACCTGGTCTTTGCGGTCCAGCGTCGATGTCAGGCTGACGACCTCGGGCTCCGCGAAGATGCCGTCTACCGGCCCTGTGAGCACGGTGTCGGCGTCGAGGTAGAGAATGCGGCTGTACTCCTCCATTTCGAAGACGCGGAGCTTGCTGAACTGCTCCTTCCAGCGCGTCTCTGCGGAGCGGATCCACCAATTCACGGGGACATCGCGAATCTCGACGACGGTGGCGCCGTCACCGCGGAGCGTGGTCTTTTGCTCTGCGGGGACGGTTTCCGAGCAGAGGACGAGGAAGGAGGTGTTGTTCTGATTTACCTTTGTTGATTCGGCGTGCAGGAGCTGATGGGTGAGGACGCGGGTGGCGGTGAAGTAGGATTCGTCTGATGCCTGGCCGGTAAGGAAGGTCACGATTGCGTAATTGGTGGATGGCAGGTGTGCGGTGGAGTTGAAGCCTCTGTAGGTAGAACCTCGGGGAGTAGCGTGCGCGGCAGCTTGTATGCGTATGTGTATACACCAGGTGATGCCGAGCAGGGCTGCAGATGCCACAACGAAGAACAGTCTGAACTTGAAGATCATGGCGCGGGGGGCGAGATAGGTTCGAGGTGGTGAATTTGTCCAGGAGACATGGGGTTTTGGATCATGGAGCAGAAAGTAGGATCCGTGGACTGGTGGTAAGGCTGGCATTGCGTACGTATGCGTGTGGGAGCCTACTGTGAGAATTCGGTGTACTCGGGGTAAGAGGTGCATTTGAAGCACGCCTTGTGTGTGGAAGGACAACACTGCGCACCACGAAGATCTCTGAAAATTACGGCCGTATAATGAACAAATGGAAAAAAGGACAAATTAGCGAGTAAGAAAGGGGGCCATGCACCCTTGGCCTCACGAGCAAGACCCCATCTGGCTCCATAGTCGAAACCTTGACCACGAGTAACCGTTATGTCTGGGGATGTGTAGAGCGGATGCCACATGTATGACTAACGCTTTAACCTATTGTAGTAACTGTGCATGGCTGATGCATCATGTAGGAAAGGAGAAGAGGAGGCGCAGTAGCAGGTCAATGCGAATGGCAGCTGGATCAGAGCCACTGTCAGCAAAAAGTCTCCGTGCACTGCACGCCTGGTGTGCACCGGCAGCTAAGCCATGTCGGGCGGCGGTCGCCAATGTTGGCTTGCACGTAAAGCAGCCTCGAGTATGCCTTATCGCACTTTCACTCCTCTGTGAAGAAAGCAACGTGGAAATGCCTATGGTAGGTGAATGGAGGACGCAGCACCCTGCGGAGCAGTGCTGTTTAGGGTGACCAAAGTCGATGACATTCACGTCACAGCCTCGTGAGGACGTCGACATGGACTGTCATACCGTTGTGGTGGTTGGTTTTGGCTCTCTTAGGTGCGCCACCAGGCCGGCAACCGCAGGGCGCAGCCTGCTCGGTTGTTATTTTAAGCGAAGGTCTTTCCGCGACCAAAACGTCGGCCCCACGGCGGCCTTGAGATGGAACGGAGTGGACGGATAGTTTACCATTGTAAGCTTCCATGGAGGACCACCGTGACTCTACCCTCTCACAAATACAACATGGCGTGATCATCCGGGAGAAGCAAGAGTCACGTGAACACACATTGCCGTCGATGCCGATCTCCAACTCATGAGCATTCTTCCAACTAGTAGGTCCTCCAGTGAAGCATCTCTTTCAAATGACCAAAGGCTACCTCCCCGTATCCCCTTATCTAGAAATTCCCCTTATCGGCCATCGGCACTTCAAGTTCGTCCGCAAGACACTTGGCGCTGCAATGAAGGAGTATAATACCCAAATCGTGAAGATCACATGCGGCGCCGACTATTGGACCGGCTGTCGTGCCGCACAATCACGATCGATCACCCCACAGCTCCGCATCACTCGACAACAAAACAAAAACATGCGTCCGCTCGATAGCTCTCACGATAGCCGGTGCCTGCTGTCAATGTGCCTCCCACGGCTGCTACCCCCACCCTCGCGATGAAATATCGATGAGCCAAAGACATGCAGCATGCGTCCTTTCCGGCCACTACTTCCAGCCAAACGCGGCTTCGAAGAACCACAGCCGACGCCCCCCGAAGCTCCGCTGAAGAAGCGCAGCACCCTGGCGTGCGACAGTTGTCGGGGAAAGAGAATAAAGGTCACTGATCTGCCGGCACCGCCGCCGCTTGATTTCCGACGTTCGTTTATCTGACTTGCGCACAGTGCAACGGGGCGCGGCCGACCTGCGATGCGTGCAGCCAGCGCAGCCTGGCCTGCCACTATCATGAGCGGAGGTCGCGGAACAGCCAGGAGGACGAGGCGGCCAGGAAGCGAGAGTCTATTGTTGAGATGTTTTTGCTGCTGATCAAGTCTGGGACGGAAGAGCATGCCTTGGGGGTCGTCCGGAGTCTGAGGGCTGGGAGTTCCATTGAGGCCATTGTGAGCCAGCCTGGGCCGGGAGAGGAAAGCGTTTTCCCGCAGTTGGGCTACGGCACGCCTGGCCTACCAATAGCAACGAGCGTCCAGTCCGAGTCGAGCTTGACGGAAGCGGAGACAGAAACTAGTCACGCGGCATTCCAGGGAGCGGACTCGCTTCTGCAGCGTGAATACGATGCTCTAGCAAAGCGAGTGGAGACGCTGCAAGAGATGCTGGACCTACTGAGGTGCGTCTGTAATGCCGTTGCCTGCCCACAAGCAATGCTTACTTCCTCCAGAAGCATGCCCGAAAACGACGCCCAACGCCTCCTCCGCGAGCTGCGCTCAGCATCAGAAGTCGACTCTGTACTGAGGGCTACCAATACCCACGGGCACGACACACGTCCTACCGAGCAAAGGCACGCACGCTCGCTGCCACCCTCCTTGCACGGAAACAGGGAACTTGAGCTCAGCATGCTGTACCCCAGGGTCTTCCCAACCATGGAACGCTTCCACGATGTCGGTATCGTGCCCGGTCTTACAGGGGGAATGACGGATGTCAATGTCCAGGACCCTTGGACTACGGATCCCGTGAATGTATGGGAGCTCCCGAGAAGCTGAGCGCCCCGTTCTCGTGCTTGGATCTATTATTGTAGCTCCTGCCCGTATTACTACGGACGGGAGTTTTACAATGAATACCTACGCTTGGAGTGACCAGATTCGGGTTCTAGCCGGATCGCAGATTTCTCAGCAAAAGCGATCTCGATGCCTTTGTAGTGCCTTTACACGATAGATGTTGCCTAGCCTCCATTTCTCGTACACCAGCAATTGGTTGGAAGAGCACGTTTTAGGAAGGAGCATGTGTCGCGTGTGGTCGGCGGACCATCCATGGATCGGCATCGTTCACGAGACAGAAAAACACGCCAGCCCGCACATGCGGTGCTTGGCGTAGAATACGATATCGTGGGGTGACGCGCAGGGGAGGATGAAGTGAGTGCTCGGGCGTGACTCCCTGTGGTCAGCCTGCGATCAATCGCACTTGCCTGCTCACCGATAGGACCCGCCGCACACGCGAGTATGAGCCATACAGAAATTATAGTGACAGGACTGACAGGACACGTCAGGTGGATAGTATGGCAATAGCTTCCAAGCTCGTGAACCAGGCACTGAGGCAACGAGTAACGAATTTCATGTAGTCGTGCTGACTAATCCCGATCCCATCCCCTCGGTAGCTCACCTCCGCAACCACCTCCGCAACCCCCTCCGCAACCACCGCAACTTCCCTCAACACTCCACAATGGCCGGCGCACGCAGATCGACGCGTCAATCCGCTGCCACAGCCCCAAAGTATGCGGATTCAGACTCGTCAGCGTCCGAAGAAGTACCGAAAAAGCGCAATGCAAAGAAGTCGACGCGTCGCAAGCGCGCGCGAGAGGACGACGCCGAAGATGCGGTGAACGGGGACAGGTATGCGTGTTCTATTCTTTAACACATGCAACCACGACACGGTGGCTAATGCGTGTGTCGCCCCAGCTCTCCGCCCAAAAAGAAAGCCGCGAAACAGGCCTCACAGCCCGCGGAGACCACCGCCGAACCCACCGCCTCCACCCCACCCACCACGCAGCCCTCCTCCCTCGAGCCCACCTCCCCCTCCAACCGCACTCCCACCGGCGCGCAGGAAATATACTGGCTCCTCAAAGCCGAGCCCCTGCCGCGCTTCGAAAACGGCGTCAACGTCGCCTTCTCCATCGACGACCTCGCCGCCTGCACCACCCCCGAGCCCTGGTCCGGCGTGCGCAACCCGCAGGCCTGCAAGAACATGCGCGCCATGCGCAAGGGCGATCTGGGCTTCTTCTACCACAGCAACGGGAAGCCGAGCGGGGTTGCGGGGATACTGAGGGTCGTGGAGGAGGCCAAGGTGGATGAGAGCGCGTTTGATAGCAAGGATGCTTACTATGATAAGAAGAGTGAAAGGGAGAAGCCAAAGTGGTACTGTGTTGGGGTGGAGTTCGTGAGCAAGTTTGGCGAGGTGGTGGATTTGGCTACTATCAAGGGACATGCTGGGAAGGGTGGGAAGCTGGAGAACATGCAGTTGGTGAAGCAGGGGAGGCTGAGCGTGAATAGGGTGAGGAAGGAGGAGTGGGATTTTATCCTGGAATTAGCCGGGGAGAACGGGGACAGGTTAGAAGAGAAGAAGGGAGAAGCCCTCCCGGCACCTGCTGGAGAGAAGAATAGTAAGGAGGACTGTGATTCAGACGGGAAGAAGCCGGAAGACGGTTGCTCTTGAGGCGTGAGGCCGGGTGTGAGGGACAAGCTTCGACACAGCAACGATTGACGACGATTATGGTTGCAATTTGGAGACTGCTAGCCCAGCGTTCACCGCAGCATGAGCAGCCATGACCTACATCCACGCTCTCCACCATGATAGAGCACACATTCTTACACTTGCATCTGGAATACCGGCCGGGTCTACGATAAGCGGCTAGGTGCTCAGCGCGCACTGCGGCTTGATGATACGCATGTCTGCCCGCTCACAACCGCGAAGAAGCGATGACGGTTCATATGTCTCATCGGAAGTGTTTCCGTCTCTTTAGATTCATCAATTCGTTAGTTTGCCTCCAGGCATTGGGACTACTCCTCTACCTTTCTGTGCCCTTACAGCTCTCCCAGCCCTCTTCTAAAACCCAGCTCGCCTGATGAATTCCGCATCGTTGAAAAACGCACACTTCTCCTCCAACCCCTGCACCCGCACCGCCTCCACACTCCCCTCCCCATCCAGCGGCCACAGCCCCTCCTCCGGGCCCCCGATCGTGTATACATATGTGTGGCCCGGCCTGCGAGGTGTGTACCCAGGTCCGCGAGCCTCGGCCTCGTCGAAGCTCCAGAACGCGGGGAGCCAGCCCTGCAGCGCTTTCGACTGCTCGGCTGCGGACGGTCCGGCGGCAGGCGATGGATCACCCGCGTACGCGAAGCGCGCCCAGGAGCGGGACGCGCGCTGTGCGAGGTCGTAATCCGACTGCGCGGGGTGGAACGGGTAGGCTGAGACGTTGTAGTGCGAGAGGTTGGCGTAGATGTATGCGAACTCGGATGTGTGCACGACGCCCATGTGCGAGATGTTGTAGACGGACGCGATGATCGGGTCGAGCAGCGTCTGGTTGAAGTTGTACATGTAGACGCGCTTTTCCTTTTTGTGGAGGGCGCGGGCGAGCAGGATGGGCTCGCAGACCATGAGAATGTCACGGAAGACGCGGGCGGTGCGGTAGAATTCGGCGGTGAGGTTGGTGCCATTTGGTGGAGCGAAATCCGTAACTGGGTAGAGCGAGAGGTATTCGGTTATGTGCGGGTCTGCACCGGGAGTTGTAAGGGCAAAAGGGTCGATCTTTGGCAAGTACGTTTCAAGGAACTTCTTTGTGTCGTGTTCGGTGCGGATGGTGACGTCCGTGAAGAAGTTCACGTCCCCTTGGGTCCAGCCGAACATGTACGACGCGTCGCCGAATCTGCCTTCGGAAATGAGCTTGGACGGTGCGTCTGGGAGGAAATCGCCATCGACAGAAGGGAGCCAGACATCGCCGATGTTGTGAGCGATATCGCCCGTATACGTAGTCGCAGACGCATCGTACAGGGTCTGCGTATCTTTGCTTCGGAGGCATGCAATCACGTCCGGTGAATCGGTTGAGCCGTTGCCAGGGTTGCACTTTGTATATTCGATGACTTTGTTCATCGCATCACGCGTGAAATTGCCGGTGATTCCGGGCTCGAGAGCCTGAGATTGGCAGATTCCTCGCTGGTATGGCAGTGCTTTCTCGCCACCGAACGCCAACAGCTGCATTCCGACCGCAAGACCGCCTGAAGACTGACCGTGAATGGTGATCTTGTTTCCGTTGCCGCCAAAGTACTTGATGTTGTCGCGGACCCATTCAATGGCTGCTCTCTGGTCGCGGAGCCCTGCGTTCTCACTGCGCTCGTTCCGCAGTGCGCCAGATTTTGCGAACCCGAAGAAGCCCAAGCGATAGTTAATGGCAACGTGGATGATTGGGGTACCCTCGTCGACCGAGTTCAATACTAAAGCGTCCGGCTCGTGTGTCGGTTCCATGTTGCTGCCGACCCAGAAACTACCTCCGTGGATCCATACCATCACAGGATAGCTCGTAGTCTTGTAACTTGCTTTCGCCGGGCGCACAATATTCAAGTTCAAGCAGTCCTCTGAAATGCTCTCCTGGGTGACGTTCAGCAGTGTCAACGGCGCGTTCCACTGGCCCAGCTGTTGAGGGCAGGCGTGACCAGGCTTCGTGGCATCCACGACTGCGCCTGGGGGCACCTGAAGCGGCTGTGGTGGCTTGAATCGGTTCTGGCCACCGGTATCTTGTGCATAGGGAATCCCGAGGAAAATTTCAACGCCATTGCGTTCAAAGCCCTGGTAGGTAATGCCTGCTGCGTCCTGGGTGGCAGGTGCCGCAAGAACAGCCGCAGCTGTCACAGCGAGAACGAGTAGCTGCATGTTCGTTGACACGTTGAGAAAGCGTGGCCGACTCACGCCAGTCTGCAAGGGAGATGTATGTTATGAAGCAAGGAGTGAGGGGGTGGACTAAGTTCAGGAAGGTCCATGACGTAACTAGCAGCCACGATTGGATCTCGCAAGATATAACAGCTACGTCCCGATTATACGTTTATGTCCTGGCCACATGAAGGGATTTGCGCTGACCTCTCGTAAGATCGGCAAGGTACCTGGCTTTAGCGCCCATAGAGTTTCGCACCTTCCTGAACAAGCCGTGCGGGTAAGAACAGCCCTAATCTATGATGCAATACGCGAACGAGTGCTTTGCGAGGAACGGTTGTTCTTACGATTATACTATCCAATCCGATACACTCATCTTTGTGTGCTAGATCCCGCGATCCAATCTTGCATTCGGTGGGAAACCAGGCACTATATGCGTCGATCAAGGCACTGGAGTCTGGAGTATCTAGCACGCACACTCGGGCTGTTCTCTGCGGTACTTTTCAGTTCGCCCTTACCTGTCGCGATAACTATGGGTGCCTCCTTATTATATCGTACATCTGCGTCTTCCATGATTTTAGCCTCGACGGCTCTGACATTGGAAAACTGGCATCACCGCATATCAGGAAGTGCACCATTTGCTGACAGCCTTCATTGACTATTGCAACAACTTAAACATGGCCTTTTGTAGGCACTATCATACGTGTCTCTAGTTGTCGCTGTATAGATATCCCGCATGCATCGACCTCCTCTCCGTAGATGAAATAACAACCTGACATCGAGTTTCTCAAAAAAGACTCACAAACTTTACAGCACGATCTAGGTTCTGCATATAAGAAGCACCAGAACCATGATCTGCGCAAAGTTCTAAACTACAACACCTTCACCCGTGTCGCTGATAAGGCTGCAAACAATCAACCAACCTTCCAACGATCATACCCGGCTCTGCGACAAGCACACGAAGAATTTCGCGAACGAGAATTGCATCGCATACAAGATAGCAGAGCCAAGATGGCAAGAACACTGTGGAGAGAAAGTGGGCCAACACTCGGAATGAACCACCGTTGAAGCACATCAAATGGGGCTCTGAGCGTAGGAGGCTCTTCTGGTATGGTCTAAATCCTTGCGTATTTCATTGCCAGTATTCGAATCGCCAACCGTAGCTGAGCGCTGGCTTGTATTTCGCGGGACCTCAAATCCCTAGATCGAAGGCCCAGATACAGCCTCTGAGCTTCTAGCACTATAGTCCCATGGATCCGCCTTTGCTTGCCACTGGGGGCTATGATCCGAAACAAAGCCCGCGTACAAACCAGAAGAGGTAACATTGAGAGACCGATAGTGGCTCCAGCCACTGCGCCTGGAAGTGTGGGCAAGGCATTCTCACTTCTCCGTGTCATACTGTTGATGGAAGGACGGTGAAATAGACCGTCAAGTCTCCGATTTGTTTATCCCTTTTATATAGGTCTACATAGGAATAGTGATAGCCAATCACTCTTTCCCTGCATCCAATCCAACTTTCCACCTCAAGTTCGATCTAAAAGACCTTGAAGCACATCAGCCCTGAAGTTCTCCAATCAACGCATTGCTCCCTTCTCTCAATTTCTACTTCCACAAGAAGCCTGCACAAACCAGGCCACCATGCCTTCGTGAGCATCTCCCAGTCAACCACCCACATCCTCTATCTGACATAATCGATTTAAACGCCGCTACCTGGCCCTTTTCAGGCTCCGCAAGAACGAAAAGATTCGGGGGGTATCTAGTTGCCGTGGAGAGACACGATAGAGACACGACTTATTCGTGGTACGCCGAACAGGGCTTTGAAGGTAAGAGTGGGAGTATAAAGGACAGTCAAAGTCGGACTAGCAATCAGATAAGCTACGAAAAGTCCTGCGAACAGGGAAACAAGCTCAACACATCATTTTATGCACCCGGCGAGTGGAACGGCTGATACAGAAAACGAAATGGATTGCGATCAAGGTATAATATGGTACAAAGGCGGAGTGAAAGATAAGACTGACATAGATTCAATCCGTCTGCAAGCCCGACGTGAGCATCACCTGTGTGTCCCTTTTCACCCGCTAAGCCTCGCATACTGCCTCGCCCGCCTTGTCTTAACGCACCACACAACAAACAGTAGCAAATTGGCCAGCTCGAGAGCCGCTAAGCCCACAGCAGCCCAGAAAGCGAAGCGCTGCAAGCAAACATTGTCAGTGAATTACATATTCGTATATACACAAGTATCAAGACTCTTACCATCTCGATGCAAATCTCCCCATAGTTGACGTGGTTGTAGCTCGCTTGCGCCACGTGATGTCTACAGGACCACGACATCAAATCCCAATGCGTCTCCGTAGTATCCCAGGAAGCGTAGTATGCGGTCGTCGCAATCCACAGCGCGAGACACACGGCAGAGATGACGATGGTGGCGATGTTGCCCGTCTTCGTCATGCGGCGGACCTACATGTGCACGCGTCAGCACAAGACCACCCCTTCTTCTACGCCTGGCAAGAGGACTCGTAAAGAAGGAGCCATACCCTGTGGTTCACACTCGCCACGCTCAGCACCAAACTCAGCGCCGCCGCTGTCGCCGCTACAGAAAGCAACAGAATCGTGGGCTGCATCTTCATCAGCTCCGGCCACACATTCATGATACCGCCGCCATCCCCGTTCCTGAACGCCTGCTTGATGTCCCTGGTCTTGTTGTGCGTGTTCAGCGTGTCCAGCAGCACCGCGACAATCGCGATGCTCACGCAGCACGACAACACACGCAGAGCCCATCGCGAGACGTAGAATCCGCGGGAGTTGCTAAGTTGCGGCGCAGGGAGCTGAGCGGCTTCTTTCCGGCGCTGCTGCTGGACGTACGCGTCGACGTGTGCGTCGGCGTGTTTTCGAGCTTGCGCGAGGAGACGCTCTTCGTCGCTGGGAGGAGTGTCATCGCGTTCTCTGGACCTGCCTCTTGGCTTCTCGACGTGGATGGTCGGTGCGAGAAGCGTGGTGGTGTCTCTGTTGCTGTGCGGGTCGTAGTGCGTCTCCGGGCGGGAAAGGTCGATGTCGCTATGTCGCATGGGATCGGCGTTGAAGAGTGTGGTGCCCAGTGCCGACTCGTTGTGTTCTCTGAAGCGCGACGTGCTTCTGCGAGAAGTGACCGCCGGAGACGAGTCTCGCGAGCGTACAAAGTGCTCGTTGGTAGCTAGAGATTCGTCGTAGTCGTAGCCGTCGCGGAATCGAGAGATGCGTGTGTTGAGTGATGCTTCACGGGAGTGCGACATCGTGCGTGAAGTAGACAAAATCGAACCAAACTACACTGCAAGCGGAGCAAAGCTTCATGACGTGCAAGACTTGAGTTATATAGCTTCTCTTGCCACGTTGGTCAGATTTGTGTATTTTGGAATGGGGCCCGTGAAGCGTAGGTCAATTAAGGGTTTAGGGACGATTGGTAGGACAAGCCAAAAATACCACCATTTGTAAGTGATGAGGCTGAGGCTGGGTAGAAAGATCCCGCGCCACGAATGGGAGAAGCAGAAGCCAAGCGTCAGCGACACTGCTGAGGCTGAACGTCGTTGAAGCTGTTGCGGATTAGCGCTTACACTTCAGTGCGCGATGCAAAGCTTGTATAAATCAGCAATCCAGACTATTGACTTGATGGAATAATCAATGACCTAATCCCAAGAAGCTAGGTTCCGTTGTGCGAGAACAATGGTAGGCCATGCACAAGAGCTCGTCCGATTGGCGAGGTGTTGCCAGTGGTGTATAGACTCTTCATGTTAGTAAAGTATAACACAGATCAGAGCGCTGTACCTGAACATTAGACCCGTCTTTCACAATACACCATTCCTGAATCTTCATCACCTCCACCGGATACTAATTGCGCCATGCCTAGATCTTCGCCCTACCCTCGTTGTTCCCATAGGCAGCCAACCTCTCCTTCATCTCCTCCCTCCCAAACCTAACCAGCAAATCCCTCCGCTCCCCACCCCGCCCACCTCGCCTGTAAATCCCCCATCGCATCCCCCACCAACCTCTTCGCCATCTGCAGCGCCTCACTGCCGTACCCACCCATCCTCTCCGCCTTCTCCACCACCTTCCCTAAAAACTCCTCTACTGTCGGCGCCTTGTTGGCCCCCCTAACAGCAGCGCATTCGCAACGAACGCGCCCCATCGCTGTTGAAAACACATACGACGACATACGTATGTCGACCTTTTTAACCTCTACACTCAGCTGGCCCAAACACCAAGAGATACATTCACCAGCCCTCCGACAAAATCCCCACTACACCCTCTCCTCGCCCCGCCCCCTCTCGTCCACACCCCCCACGCACCATCATCGGAGATGAACAGACAGAGGACGCTTGCTCGAGTCGCGAAAGTTGACCGGACCTAGGGACACGGTTGAGCCTACATCAGCTCGCAACGCTTCTTGTTGCAATTTGTAACACTTTACACGAGAAGTGGTCCCCCATAGCAGCCAGGGCATGCATATTTTACAGTTTTTTATTTCTCGATTCCTCGTTTTTCGACTCGCCTTCAGTGGAGCCTTTTGCATTCGTCCCCATGCCAATCGTGTATCTATACATGAGCACTGCCACGCTACCCCTGAGAACCAATCTACCGGCAGAGCAGAGCAAAGCGCCTGAGCCACACACCATGTCCAGACCTAAGCTCCAAAACTCAAGATCAACAGCCACCAGCACCGTGCATACCCGGGAGAAGACCGACGAGGCGGTGCAGCGCTCGCGTTAACAGCAGCGAAAATCCGGATCCGTTTGCAATGACACCAATGCCGCCCGATGAGAGGAAACAAAACCAGAAACAAGACATGGAGTCAACCCTCCTCATGCTGTGCTGAGAGACATGCAATGCTTACCAAAAAGACCAATTAAACACAAACTCATTTTCGACAACTCCGGAGCACCATGCTGAGGCGCTGACCGCCTTCGTTAAGCGCATGCAAAAAAAAAAAAAAAAAAAAAAAAAAATCTCAAGGGGCTGCCACAGAAGGCGGCATGTAACACTTCTTCCATTTTGTCGATGTTTCGTGCTGGAGCTTTTGGTGCTAATATCTTTTTTCAATTTTGAAGCACTCGCTGTTGATTCGAAGTAAATCGAACGCGGAGAACGATATACGTATTTAAGCCCCCTCAAATTGCCGGGTACGGCAAGAACGGCGATTGGAAATTCGAGGTGACGATCGGGTTGTTCGAATGGTCGCCCGGAGTACCCATTGCGGATAGCACGCTCACGCCCTTGGGAAGAACATCGAGTTTGATGGAGTAAGCGAGCACGAATAGTCGGAACGACGGCCGAGTTCATATAAGTATCCAGACCGTGGCCCATGGCAAGGAAATATCATATCAAATAAAAGCCAGTAGATCCAGGGGACGGCGACGGTATTTTAATTTAGCCCCCTTTGCGGTCAGCTGCATTCGCTGGCAGCGGCTCGCCTGATGTCTTCGTATCGTTTGATTTATTCCCTCCTTTGTTCTTGCGCTTCTTATTGCGCCCTGATCCCTGCTGGTGCCAGTTATTTGAATTGTTATTATTGTTGCTTGCGTTCGATTTGTTCTTGTCGTTCGGCTGCGGGCCGTTTTTGGCCTGCTGTTGCTTGGTGTTCTCCTTTTGGCTTTGGGTCTGCGCGACAGAATGTGAAGCACGACGCGGCTGATGGTGATTCTCTTTGGACTGCGTCTTCGCACCGTTCACCAATTTACTACCTTCTGCCTGACGATTGACAGTGGGAGAAGGCGTTCGGGTCTCAAAAACAGGTGAGAGCAGGGGTAACGTAGCGGATTTGATCTCCTGGGGCGGTGCCCGTGGCGCGTTTAGGGTATCCAGGGTCGCGAGGGCGTTGTTGTAAGGCGGGTTCCGCCATTGAGACGCCGCCGAAGGTTGCGTCTTAGTCGGTGATATATCTTCGGTCTGGTTCACCCGCCGATTGTTGCTGAGTTCGTAGTTCATCCAGGCTTCCGGGAGCATGGAATAGTACTGCTGGTTGCCGCTCGGTACTCGGGTCAGCCCATTCACATCAACGGGCGATACACCATTCATCGATCCATTGGCGTAAGCAGCACCATGGCCGTTGTCACCGCGCTGTCTCTGCATCTCCTCCATAACCAATGCTTGCCGCTGTTCATGGGTGGCATTCCGATACTGATCTTGGTCGTTGAAGACACCAAGGTTTGCCGAACTGGTTGTATCGATTGACTGGAACGAGTCAATCGTGTCGCTCCTAGAACGTGTCTCCAGAGGCTGTTGCGGGAAGGACCCGTTAACGATAACAGGGCCACTATCGCCGGGTGGGCGCACTGAGTCTGTACGACCATTCCGGGAGTCAACGGACTGGCCATGCGGCTGAGCCACATTCGTTGAGTAGCTGCGTACATGGCCACCAAGAGGGGACGGTGAGCGCGACACTCGCCTCAGAGCGGTGTTGAGCAGCGGCTGTGTGATCTCCGAAGAAACTCGTCTACGTCGCTGCACGAGCTCGTTGAAAGACGGGATCTGAGGCACCGTGTATTCCTGCAAGGAGCGCGGCGTGGCCTGTTCGTCAACGTAGTATCCAACGTACTCCCTAGGAATGCTGGTCTCAGACGGTACAGCATCATTGTAACCGACAACAGGACTAAAAGGTGTGTCTGATGTCACTTGTGAAGCAGGCGCCTCCGGGGTGGAGCGAGCTATAGGATACCCGGCGACTAGAGAAGGGTCGAAGTACGGCATCGGCGGATAGCCGGCCATGACTGCATTTTGTGGCATCCCACGCGCCGGCTGGGACTGCGAACGCAGGGAACCTGTTTCGCTCGCATTGGACGATCTATGGGCTTGTCGCCGTGGCCCTGGCATGCTGTGGGGCAGTGAAGGCGACGATGGATTCGTCCGGGGACCATCCGCGACAGCTGATCCTTGCTGCGAAGGATCGAAGAATGCCGGATAGTGATAAAGGAAGCCCTGTGGCATAGTGTTTGTTGGGATACCAGCTTCGGCCAGTCGGGGGCTGGAACGGCCGTTCACATAGGGCGACTTCTGCGGAGATGCATTTGAGCTGCTAGGTCCACGGTTGTGTTGAGCTTGAGCCTGTGCTTGTGCTTGAGCTACGGCCTGGGCATGCATATGCGCAGCCTGTTGATGTGCCTGTTGGGCACGTTGCTGCGCGACAAGTTGCTGCCTCAGGGAATTGGACTGCATCTCTAGCATTTGATATTGCTGATAAAGATGGTCGGCCAACCGATCATTGAGCCCTTGCGGAAACCCGTACTCCTGTTGACCTGCCATCGCACCAATGGGGGGACTGTGGAGGAATGGCGGACGGTTAAACGAGGCCCCACTAGATGCCCGTCGTCCATATGAGCCTCCTTTGTTGTTCATGCCGCCGCGTCCACCACGGTGATTGCCCTGATTACGACCGTTGCGGTTGTTGGGTACGCTTGGAGCTAAAGTGACTTTCGCAGCCGTTGACTTTGGGGGACGCGGCCGTTCCTCGGGAGCTGGTGCGGGCGGAAATTCGAATTGCTCACACGCCGCTCCCAATTGCTGGCCATTGCCAAGAAAGTCGAACGCTCGTCGAAGCTCCAGGTGGATTCCACGCCAGGCAAATTCATCTGCCGAGTTTCCCAGATTACGATCGGTGTTGAAAGGTTCCTCAACGCAAAGGCGGTTCCTAGCCTCCTTCTGGAGACCAGCCCTGTGCCAATTCTTTTCTTCACGAGTGAGTAGACGGCCCTCTCGTACAGACACGACGTGTTTTTCATAATCGACTTCATGTCCATAGTGGCGGAAGAAATGGAAGAGCAGCTGACCCAGCGATTCGGTGTTCTTGCTGCCGAACCCAATCAATGCATCCAAATCGTCGGCAAATTCGGATTGCGAGGGCTTGCCCGTCTTGTCTTTTGCGCGATACGGAAGCGTGTGAAGTGCGGGCAGAATTGGCGGGTTGCGCGTCTGGAGGAAATTCAAAATCATGCACATCCAGGTGTAGGAGCTAATGGTGCCCCCGAGTGCTGCAACAAGAGTCAGATGGGTCTGTCAAAGCGTGCATTTGGCCTACCAGCGTCGTTCAGGATGCGCTCCTTAGTCCAGTGCTTGATAATCATCGCCAGGGGCCGGACACGCTCATCTATCTGAATGTAGGTGTTGATCATCCGCGTGTTTTCCAACGCAGGTGTGTTGTTTACATTCATGTCGCACGCCAGCTTCAGAACGGGATCCCAGATCTTGACAATCCGTACCTTGGCCTGCGGTATGCACACGACCTTCTCCATGCCATCTATCATTGTGTCAGCTCGGGCGACCTGGTGAGACCGTGACTATTCCGTACTCTTCGCGAGGGCTTCGGCTAGTGGGTGCATGTCCTCTAGCCTCGTCAACGGGGTCTGGATGCAGACGTCGACTGTTACAGCTGTCAGCAGTGGTCTGTACCAAAAGTCTAGCCTGCGGCCTTACCATCGCTTTCGGCGGTATACAGCTGGTTCCCTGAGGAGCCGAACACGTGCACCTTGTGTTCATGGCCCGGGAACTCGGTTTCGAGGATGGTCTGGAGCTTTTTCACAAACTCATGCCTCCTCTTGGTGTTCTCTGGAGTCGGCTGTAACCGGTCGTACAATTCGCGCATGTCGCCGCTCAACTTGTCGTCCTCGTGCGGATTCAATGTCTTCTTCGGCTCCTCCTTGGCCTTGTCTAATACGTCGGACGAATCGTAGGGCATGCGCCTCCGGCCAAACTGAGTGCTCGTCTCATACTTGCAGCGCAGCGTACGTCCAATACGTGCAGGCAGGGTAGCTGGATTTGCCTCGGAAGAAACCGATCGCGGCGAATGGCTGCCTAGACCGCCGCTCGGGGACGGCGAGCGCGAGCGCGACTCGTACTGGCGAGCATTCTGGAGTGGCGTGGAGGGCACTGAGTTCGAGTGGTGAGACACGATCGAAGGACGCTGGGCCCTGGCAAACGGCTGGGCGTCGTCGCGTTTGCCACCCATGCTGTGTGCGCCGTTGGACGTCATCGGCAATGCGCTGCTGCGAACGCTTTGTGGTCCGGCTTTTCTCCCATGGAGGTTCTCGCAAGCCTGCGCCGGTTCCCTGTTTTGTGCACGAGCTGGATCCCGCTGTGAGTCGTGGGCCTGCACGGCCGCCGAGGGTGGACCCGACACCTTTACGGTCGGGTTCGGGCGCGCTGGATGCAGAGGCCTGGGGTGCGGGTGTTGGGGCTGCGAGAGCAGCTGTGTGTGGGGGGGCAACAGGGCAGGGGGAACAGCACTCAGCGTGCCGTGGTACCTACTCTTGACTGACAGTCCCGCGGGATCCTGTCCAGGCGCAATGCCGTCGGCGCCGGTCCGGGCGTGTGCGGAATGAATGTGGGTGAGATGCGGTCGGTATAGATATGTGCACTGGACGCTGGCGTGGCGGGGGTCGTTCATATAACGTCGCGGTCAAAGGAAGTCGCGGCGCGAGGGTGCTCGAGGGCCGGGGCAGCGCTGGCGCCGCGGGGAGGACAGGCGAGCCCGGTGAGGGTCAAGGTGAAAGCGAGACTCGGCGGGTGCAGGACGAGCAGACGGTGCCGTGGACGCGGTGCGAAGGAAGCCGTGTGGCCCCTGGTGGAGGTGGTGCAAGTCGATTCGCTGAACGAGGGGCGAGGGCGACGTCGAGCGCTAAAAGGAATACAGCCGTGGGGGGGGGAGCGTTCGCGGTACGGCGGGCGTAGATGGCGGATTGCAGAAGACGCAGCGAGCAAGTACACGGCACAGGCGAGGGGAGATGCAGAATGCGGTGGGCCGTGGACGCAGTCGCAGCGCAGATGGCACGCACCGCACGCACGGGTGGTCAACTACGAAATCGCGGACAGACACGCGCACGGGCCCGCGTCTGGTACGGAAAGGCTACTTGAGCAGTGGAGCGGACGGCGCCCTTTGTTGTAGGCACATGTGCGACGCTGCACGCTGCGCGGGCGCTGCGTGAAGGGGCTGCCGCGCTGCCGTTGCGGTGCCTGCGTCTGCGAGCCTGCGTCTGCACGCCCCGGCCGGCGCTCTCCCACACTCGCCGAGGCGGTCTCGCACCTGCCTGATTGCTGTTGTGGCCGTGGTCGCCGCCGTCACCTGGCGTCGACCTCAAAGAGCCAGCAACGAGCCCCGAGCCCTCGATGAGACACCAAACAGCCGGGCGCCTCCCCAACGCCTCCAAGCCGCCCGGTCGAAGCTGAAGCCGAGCAGCATGGCTCACTACGCTGAGCACCTCAGGTCGCACCGGCAGCGCTCCAGCCCGCGAGATCGTGTGCTGGGCGAGTGCTGAGCAGTGTCTTCTCCGCCTGCCAGCGAGGACTGGCTCCCGTGCTCTGCTGCGCACCCCGTCCCGGCAGCCCTGTCCGGACTCTGGCTGTTGCGCGAAAACAACCGTGCTGACCGAGTCCCTCGACGGCTGAGCTGAGACGAGCGTCTTCATGACTGACCCCTTTGCCAATTCAACGCGACCGGCACCAGTGGGCTGTCAGCGGGCCGGTGGTGCAGTGGTCGCTCCAGGGCTCCAGGGCAGTGTGCCGTCGCCGGCCATCAGCCATCTCCTGGCCCTGGGCGATGGCGGCGAAATAATGGCAGAGGCTTCATGTTTCAAGTGAGGAGCGCCCGGACTGGCTCAACGAGGCCGTCGAGCAGCTGGACCTGCATCGTACCTGCCATGCCCAGGCTGACGTCTGTCCATGGTGCCGCTGTGCACATCTGGCATGTGCCAATCTGCCAAACCGCAACACGCCGATGCTGCGTCCCAAGCTTCACAGCACCGTACAGTACGTTGCGGGCGCGGCCGGCGTGACGGCTCCCGGCAGCAAGCCTCCCGCGTCCGGGCCCTGGCATCGAGGGTTCACCGTCGACGACGTGCACGAGTTGCCAATCAAAATGGCGGAGCAAGGACGGAGCAATTAGCGCAGCTGCTGAGGCTTCGATGCCGCCGCGACATTTCTGGAACGGCCGCTGGGCTGGGGCTGCTACGGCGGGGCACTTGCAGATTCGCCATTGCTGGTGACGACTTCCCCGCGCCGAGCCCTGCTCCAAGCGAGCCCTGTCGTCAACACTGCCCGCAGACCTCAGCATGCTGCGAGTGCTCCCGCGCGTTGCACAAATCAGCACTTCTCCCAGCCACATTGGGGCCCTCACCTTCAGCACAATGGCTCAGCGCAGGATCAGTAAGACGCTCCCAGCCAGGCTCCTCGACACGCGCTCACTGCCCGCCAGACAACCCCGCTCTCTTGTACGCTGTCTCTGACAAACTTGGTGAGTATCCCCGGCCACATTGCAGCATTCCACTAATCATGTAATTGCGGATAGCTTCCGAATGCTGAGAGTCCGCTAGCATCTGCGACCTGCAGGAGAAGTTCCGGCCTGCCATTCATGAGTTCTCCAAAGTCGTCGCGACGACCCAGAAGCTGCTGAGAGCAAGTATGCCAACCCCAACTGCCCCATTTGCGCCAGCACCTGGGGGCGCATTCGCTTATGCAGCCCAATCGTCTCCATCATGAGGCGCCTGATCCAAGGGGGCCAAAACCATGGAGGCGGACGATCCCCACCACGTGTCTTGGCCATGCTAACCAGGCACCCAGGCCAGATCCTCCAGATCCCCGTGTTTGCAACCACGCAAAACAGGGCCAGGCTGGGTGAGACGGTGCCTGAGTTGATGCTCGATGCACCTGGTGGCATCAAGACTGTCGTCCATGCCGACAAGACCCTCTTTTCAATGCTGTACGCTATATACTTCCTCAGCTTCGTACCCCTGAGCAAGTAGCGCTGACTGCATTCGCTGTCAGCACGCCTGAAGTCCGCACTGGTATTGCCTCACTCGGCTCGCGGCTCTCGTGTGTCATCGTCGGCATCGAATCCCACATCTGCGTGACCCAGACGGCACTCGACCTCCTCAGGGAAGGCCACAGCGTATACGTCATCGCGGATGGTGTGAGCAGCGTGAACAAGGAGGAAGTGCCCATAGCATTGGCAAGGCTGCGGCACGCAGGCGCTCAAGTCGTGACTAGCGAAAGCTGGATGTACGAGGCCGTGGGCGACGCGAAGATCCCAGAGTTCAAAGAGCTTATCAAGGTTGTCAAGGACTCTGCCGAAAGCACAAAGGAATCGCTCCAGGCGCTGTGTAAAATCTAGAACACGTCGTATGTAGGCTTCAGCCAGCCTTAGTGAGCCGCTGTCTCGATTGTACAACAGGATACGTTTGCATGTCGGTCGTTAAGAATGCGTTAGCCGTCACGCGTAATGTAGACTTGGATAGCTATACGGTCGTTTACTTGTAGACCATCGCTCAACGATCGATATTGATATCTACGCCGCATGTGACGTTGTTGCATCGTTTACGCCGCATGTCGTCGCACCTCCCCCGCCTAGGTTTTGTTGTTTTTCGTTGGCTCTTGCGAATAAAGACAGTACCTTTCCTGTGGATCTGCTACTTGCATATCCTTACCTACATTTTCCCGGTCACAGTTCCATCATCATAGGCCCGATCCCACAGCGATGTCCCCAACAGTCCACGTTGTGCATCAACACATACCGAACAACGATGACGTCATGCTTGAAGACACTCCAGCCCATCCCCTCAACATCACCATCAAAGGACTTGGTCTTGTATGTGCCATAATTTTTCGAGACACGTGTATAGGCTGCTGTTTCCATGGTTGACATCCTGGTTATCTCCCGCCCGGATCTGCAGGGCTGCATTACTGCGGGATGACGAAATGCTGTTGTAGCTGCGCGAGGCGCCGCGACTTCCCGATCGTTCGACTACATGGCCCGATCCGAGTATGCAGATGCAAGCTTTTCGACCACATGTTTAGACCTTCTTCCCTGACTGCTCGGCCCTGACCTGCTCTGACTGGAACCAAAGTTTCAGTTCCTTGCACGCCTTCTAGAACCAATTGAGGAAGGATTCCGGAAAGAGTCAGGGCTTCGTGAAACCCGCAAAAATGGAAATCATCCTCTCCATCAATGCGGGCTCCTCCAGCGTCAAGATCTCCGTCTACAAAGCCGAGCCTTCGTCTTCCAGACCTCACCAGCTCGCCGAAGCCACCATCGAGGGCCTGACGGCCCCTCCCGTGAAACTCAAGTACTCACGTGGCGACGAGACCATCAAGGGCAACGAACTGCAAGATATCGCCTCCCAAGAAGACGCCTTCAAGTACATCCTCACCCACCTCGAGAATGACCCCGGCCTCCCCGAGCTCTCCAAAACCGATGACATCCACTTCACGTGCCACCGCGTCGTGCACGGCGGTGACTACCCGGCCACGCAGATCATCGACAAGGAGACGTACCACCACATTGAGGAGCTGAGCGATCTTGCACCGCTGCACAATGCGCCTGCATTGAGCATTGTGCGGGCTGTGAGCAAGATGTTGCCAAATGCGAAGAATGTGGCGTATTTTGATAGCAGCTTCCATGCGACGATTCCGAGGCATATTTGCACGTATCCGATTGACCAAAAGGTCGCGGAAAAGAACAAGCTGAGGAAGTATGGGTTCCATGGGATCAGCTATCAGTTTATCACAGATGCTGTAAGTGGATGGCTCATTCGTCTTCCATGTTTCCTCCCATTGTTGCTCGTTTTGCCTCTTTCGAAAGCACACAGCATATCTATGAAAAGCAAAGCTTCCACTAACATCTCCCCAGGTCGCCTCGCACCTCAAAAAAGACCCCAAAACCCTCAGCATCATCGCCCTGCACCTCGGCTCTGGCGCCTCCGCCTGCTGCATCAAAAATGGGCGCTCCCACGACACCTCCATGGGGCTAACCCCGCTCGCCGGCCTCCCCGGCGCCACCCGCTCCGGCTCCATCGACCCCTCCCTCATCTTCCACTTCACGCACTCCGCGGGCTCCCTGTCCCACGCCGCCGCCGGCCACATGCACATCACGCAGGCCGAGGAGATCCTTAACAAGAAGAGCGGCTGGAAGGCGCTCACGGGGACCACGGACTTTGGAGAGATCAGCAGCAGCGACGAGGAGATGAAGACATTAGCGTTTGACATTTTTGTCGATCGGATCACGAACTATGTGGCGCCGTATTTTGCGAAGCTGGACGGGGAGGTGGATGCGCTTGTGTTTGCGGGCGGGATTGGAGAGCGGGGTTCCAAGCTCAGGAAAGAGGTTGTGAGAGGCGTGGAGTGTCTGGGGTTTAAGCTCGATGCAGAGAAGAATGAGAAGCCCGAGGACGAGGTGGTGGTGGATATTAGCGCAGCAGATGCGAGGTTCAGGACGTTGATTTGCCAGACAGACGAGCAATTGCAGATGGCGAGGGGGGTATTGGGGGATAGGCAGCGGCTTATGCAGAAGAAGACGTGAGGCTGAATAACGTCTCCATGGTACATCTCAAAGAATGAGGGCTAGCTCTGAAGCCTTACGGGCCTCGTCACATTGCGAACCAATGCGTAGAACTTGGAGTCAGCTTAACGGTGTTGAGTCTGGTACCATATGTATCAGCAACGGACAAGTAGAGATTCCAATGCTATGGACGAAGACACAGGGGCACTTTCAGGTGCCCAAGGCCGTCGATAAGGAAAAGATAGTGTAGGAGTCGATGGAAGTCTAAAACGTGTTGTTGACGCCAGTGAGACCCTGACAGCGATGTGGAGGGCATCTACATTTACACGACTGAATTAAGCCAGGTAGCTAAGGTATCCAGTGAAATGCTTAGCCTTACTACCAGCCACGCCAGGACCATCTTAGCTGTAATTGCATCTGCACTGCTGTAGTAGTATTTGAATCTCGTCTTATCTTTGGGGGCCAGAAATGGACGTTACGTCACACGCGGGGGAAACCTACACCACATCAACACATCCCATTTATCTCCTCCAATGCCTTGCTTGCACAATTTCTAGAACGGTCAATAAAATGAGAACACAGTGCAAACTCCAGCCCCGTCTCGGCCTCTTGCTAACCCTCGTGGTTCTCACCCTCCACGTTGCAGCGACAGCGGCTGGGGAACAACAAGTCTTGAATGACAGCCCCCACGCCGGGCTCCGCCTCCGCAACGCGACCATCAACGATGCAGCTGCTATAGCTAACGTCACCATTGCCGCGTTCTTCGACTTGCCAAATTGGGATTACCTGTACCAGTTTCGCCGCGAGTACCCGAGGGAACACCAGCGCTGCATGACACAGTTCACCAACAGGATTCTGGCGCATCCCGCTGGGCGAGGTGAAGTTGTTGAGATTGAGGCTGGAGCAGATGGCGAGAGGGTGGTGATAGCAAGTGCGCTGTGGCTGCAGCTGCAGCTGCAATGTGCCCTGGCAGAGGCGGGAGGGGAGGAGCCGATTCCTGTGGGTGCGTTGAGTGAAGGTGAGTTGGTAGGAAAAGGGCTGGTCCCATCTAATAGAGCTAAGTCGCGTGCTGGTACAGAGATGGCAAATTGCACACACAGAGATTTGAACCTCACCCGCGCCGTCGCTTGGGACCACCAATGGAACGCTCTTGCGAGGAAGAATCTCGCTCCCTTCGGCGGAAACCAGCTCTACCTCGAGCTGCTGGGTACGCATCCCGCGTACCAGGGGCGCGGGGCTGGGTCAATCCTTGTCAAATCGGGGCTGGAGCGTGCCAGGAAGGAGATGGAGGAGGGTGAATTGGATGTGAATGTCACGCTGATTGCGCAGCCGACAGCGGAGACGTTTTATATGGGCATGGGGTTCAAGGAGATGCGGAACATGACGATGGAGGGAGTCGATGGGGAGAGCTTCGTGTTCAATGTCATGGCGTACGACATGCAGTCGGAAGATTGATGCCGGGCAAGTGCCGCATGCGAAGCGCTTCGTATAGACACCGTTTCCCGCCCACCAGCACCCCTCAAAGTCCCGACTCGGAGTATTGGATCCACCTATGTCCCTCGTCAAGCACGTCGATGCTCTTCTGCAGCCACGCATCGTACGCCTCCTCCTCCTTCTTCACGTACCCCTCCGGCCGACACACATACAACTCGGCGCTCCCGCTCCCCTCGATCATGTCCACAAACGCATCCACCACGCCATCAATCGACGCCAAAATCCCGTCCTTCTCAACGCTTTTGTAAAAGCTCTCAGAGTTGATGCCCGTCCGCGCTATCCCGGGACACACCGCGTTCACGCTGATGCCCTCCGCCGGCAACATCTTGCCATACGTGCGCGTCAGCCCCACGACGCCGTACTTGGCCGCCGAGTACACGGGCAGCGCGGGGACCGGCGAAATCCCGCAGATGCTCGCTGCGAGCCCGAGCTTGCCTCGCCATCCGGCGGGGTCTGGCTCCTGCCGCCGGAACTGCTGCACCCCAAGTGCAACCGTGTACAGCACGCCCGTCAAATCAACCTCCAGCGTCTGCAGATTCGGCTTCACGAACTCGCCCCGGGCGCTCTCCTCCGCGAAGGGAAGCCACTTCCGCTCACCTATCCCGGCAATCGGGAACACGTAGTCGATGCGGCCGCCCAGGACGACGAGGGCCTGCTTGAAGGCCGAGAGCTGAGAGTCCCAGGACGAGACGTCGGTGCCTGCGTAGTGGACTTTTATGGCAGAGGGCGTGTTGTGGGTTGCGGCTAGCTCTTTTGCGCCGGATAGGGAGATGTCGGCGATGAAGATGTGGTAGTGCTGTGAGAGGAGGCGCGCGGCGAGGGCGTAGCCTAGGCCGCTGGAGCCGCCTGGGGCTGTCAGACGGAGCATCGGGTGGGATACCAAGGCAGAACAAGAATACCTGTGATGAAGGCTGTTCGTGGGCGGGTGGTCATTGTGTACTTGTGGCGTCAGCTGTCTTCGAGGTGGTTTTGGTAAGTATGTAATTGGTACGATGTGTGAAGACGCGTACGAAGCTGTGTCTGGATGTGAATATGAGCATGAGCTTCCCCGCACCGAAGTGTCCTACTGCGCGGGGTAATGGAGCCGCATGACGCCCGCAGGAAAGCAGTCACATTCTCCATATGGCTGTTTTTCGGAAAAGTCCTTGCACACAGAGTCGTCCGCAAGTGATTATTGAATCCGTTCGAGATAGGAGTGCGCTGGCTAGGTGAATCATGGATATCTCATATTCGCAATATCGATTGATGGGTTGGCTCAACTCTAAAGACGCTTAGCTGTAGAAAGCTCGTCAACCAAATAATGGCCTCGCGGTATAGTCCCGAGTTGCTGTTCGATGGCGATACATATTGCACATATTCCACGTCCCCCAGCTAGCTCGATGGAAACCTGTGACTGTAGGCGTTTCCCGGGTCTCTGCTCAATATGTCGTCTCCATCGGAGATGAGATCGCGGGCCAGCGGCGAGATGCATGTTATACAGAGTGCACCTTTCAAATGTTTCTACCATAGACATGAAAGCGCGTAGAGAATGGTGGCAGAAGGATGGGCCAGCATGAGTAGGATGTGGAGGGAGCTAAAACAAATAAGGCTAGTTTCCTAACGGACATAGTAGAGATATGGCACTCAGTACCGGAAATAAGCCAACCTCCGCGTGCAGCCCGGCATCTCGTTTTGTTTGCGATCGGTCCTTCAGTAACGTTTTCTCACTTCGCCAGGGCCAGGAGTGCCATTGGTTCTGTCTCTGAAATAAGAGATGAGGACTACCAGAGGTCATGATCAAAATATGCCTGGAGCAAGATCTTCACTTGGCCTCAGCTCAGCTGCGCGATGTGGCGATGAGAATGCGCTCAATTTGGATTTTATTCGAATACACTTCATTCTGTACAAACTCCGGTATAGTTATATTGCTATCGCAAGATTCTATAGCTGTATGATGAGTCCGGAATGGGTCGGTTATAATTGGGGGCGGTTGTAGGTGTGATGAACATGGCTAGCTCTCTACTTGAAATCGCCATAAAACGCCTTTGAATACCGGGAGTAAGCCGCACTCCGTGTAATATTACATCCCCCAAAAACAACTCCTGTCCTCTCCCTCTTTCATAACCCGTCAATTACAGATGTCGCCGGTATACGCACTTCCAAGATCGAAAGCATGTCAAAATTGCGCTGCTGCAAAAGTGAAGTGCGAGCCGGCTATTGGCTATACGAAATGCAAGAGGTATGGCCTTCATAGTGAAACGAGAGTCTGGCTGACAACTCAGATGTAACAATCAAAATGTTGCCTGCGTATTAAGTGCTGCTGAGCCGCGGAAGCGGAAGAGAGCCGAATCTTCCATAGTCAGTGGAAGCATTGCGATTCCGATGGGCGTTGTGAACGGCTCAGCATCGCCAGGCTCATGTCGCCTATTTGAGATCGAGCGTGGGATGTACTATTACCGGACGTCGCTATTCGAATTCTTTCCGTTTGTGATCATGCCGGACGTCAGACAGCCAGCAGCAGACTTCGCGAGCACGAAGCCCTGCATGGCATTGATGGTGGCGATGCTCGGATGCACGAAGGATCGGGCTAGACAGCGCGAGTTGACTGCGCATGCTAGGGCGTATATTGCTACTCACATGGTGCAGAAAGGGCAGAAGTCTTTGGATCTGCTTCAAGGGCTGTTGTTACTGATACATTGGTAAGACATCCCTCATGAGGCGAAGAAAGACGCGTTCGGCCGACGTCTATGGTGATCGTGTTCGAGGTTAACCTGCACCCTGTGTCCATTCTTCAGTAATTTGAATTAATCGTTGGATGGTAGGTCGCAGTTACAACTCGAATTGCGAGGTCAACGAAGCATTTTTATGCACATGGCAATGAGCCTGCTTGTCGATTTGCATCTCAACAGATCACCTTTTGCAAGACGTCATTTCGTAACGGCGACCGAGGGAACTGATGGCTTTGAACTACGAACTGAGTACCACGCTGAAAATCTCGCCGAAAAACATACCTTGGAAGAGCGGCGCGCTTTCCTGGGCTGCATCTATCTGTCGTCTGTGTAAGACTGTGCTTGATGTTGCTTCTCGTTTGCTAATCACTGACAAATAATCAGCATGTCGAACACATCCGTGAACCTCAATCCCGTGAAATTCAATGACTATGCAGAGCAATGTTGCGATGTCCTTGAGAAGAGTGGCATCGACACTGACCAGACACTGATCAGCCTCTGTCGGCTCCAGCACTCTGTTGAACAATTTCGCGTCGTCAACTGCTGGTTCAACATGACACAGCGCCAGCGAGGCAGCGGCTACGAGTTTATTTACAATATCTTCCGCCAGTCGTCTTCCAGCGAGGACATACTGCACCACGTTCGAAACTGGGATGCCAAGATCTCTGCGCAATGGAATGCAACTCCTGAGATTGTCAAGACCAGTGAGTTAGATTGAAGTCACCAGGTGGATCATATTAACAGAACCAAGGACTTCTGACTATTCAATACGGTTACGCCCGCGTCTGCCTCTACGAATGCTGTCTTGAAGAATCGCTCTTCCCATCCGCAGAGGCACGTCATGAGGTCCTACGCAACTGTATCTCCGCTATACGATTTCTCAACGATGCACTCGTGCCGATATCCCTCGATCCTCTCGTACTTCTAGACGTGCCAGCCCACATTTTCGCGCAGTCAAACCACAACACCTTCCTAGCACTGCTATTGTGTTCCGTGAAGTGCGGTGACAATTGCACGGAGACAGTCGATCGGGAGCTCAAGCTACGCGATTACTTTGCTAGGACGTCTGCAAGATTGGGTGCTCTGCTGGATGAACCGTTGGACGAGATACCGGCATTTTACAGAAAGTTGATTCCCATGGCGAGGGGAGTGCAAAAGTGGTTTGCTGCCAAGTTGCGCACTGGTGAAGAGGTGGCCGATGAGATGGATGTGGACAGCAGGGTGGGTGCGTCTGGATCGGATCTGGATGTGGACTTCTGGGGACAGTTCCTCAACATGGATGGTGATGAGTGGTTGCAGGACATTCTATCCATGGATCACAGTGGCTGATGATTGATGCTGGAATCTAGCAGGCCTGCATGTGAGAACATTCACGTAGATCATCGAGTGATGGTTTTAGAGACCCATGAAGGCGTGAAATCTGACCGTATGAGGTTCGTCGTGTTATCCTACACCTATCGAGCCAATCCAATGTCGGCCTATATCCTCGCTTTCATTTCGCTCTGCCGGAAGAACTTCCCCCTCCACTGCAGGACCAACGTTGGTATCACACTAACCACAACAAGCATCGCAACCGCAACACCCGCACTGTTTGCTATCCCCACATGCTCAAACATCTGCGGGAACCAGAACGGCCCGATGAAGCCCCAGATCTGCCTCACAAAGCTGATGAACACGCCAATGCTTCCAGCCTCTTCGTGGTAGCAATCAACCGCGTACGTGATCAACACAGTGGTCACGATCTGGTTCCCCGCTGCGGCAATGGCAACACCCACCAGAGGCGTGACGTTCCACTTGAGCGGCGCCGCCTGCTCGATGCGCACAAGGAACACAACGATCCCACAGATGACCAGCGCATATCCCAGGTATGTGAGCCACAGGCGGAACTCCGGCGCGGGTCGTCCGTCCGCGCGCTTCCTGCCGCCCCTACGCATCCACATGTCGCTCGCGCGGCCGCCGATCTGCTCGCCGATGACCGAACCGATGATCAGGCTGAGGAACTGCAGGCCGATCTGCTGGGCGTTGAGGTGGAATTTCTCCCCGAAGAGTTGCGGGACTTCGACCGTCGAGAGCACGCTCGCGAACAAGAAGACCATGGCGTAGGAGGCGGCGGGGATCATGACACAAGGGTACATTACGAGCCTCAGCGGCGAGACAAACTCGTACGCAGTGATAGGGGTCGGGTCAATGCGGCGGAACCTGAAGTACGAGTCCTTGAAGCTTGGGAGGTCCTGGATGGACTTGTGGTGTCGGATGAAGCGCGTCTCGGGCCCGAGAAAGATATATAGGAAGAGCTGAACGCCGTTGATGATGGCGAAAATCCAATAGATCCAGCGGTACCCGACGTTGTATGTGACGAACCCAAAGATGAATGGGGCTAGGGGAACTCCGATAGTCAACATAATTGTCCAAACGCCCATAAACTTGGCGCGTTCGTGCTTGAAAAAGGTTTCGACAACGACGGCGGAGCCGATGGCTGCAGCGGGGGAGATGAAAAAGGAGACGAAGGCGCGGCAGGTCGCCATGGCGGCGTAGGTGTTCGTCTTTGCGCATCCGATGTTGAAGCATATGCTCCCAATCAAGGAGATTATGAAGATGGGACGGCGTCCGTAGCGGGTGGATAGTGGTCTCCAGAAGAGTGGCGCGCCGCCAATAACGGCAATTTGTATTGAGGTGAGGTAGGAGGTCTGCTGTAGGGTGACACCGAGATCTTCAGCGATGTTCTCGTAAGCAGGAATGATTCCCTAAAGTGCGGATACAAAGTTAGTAGGAGACCACACAGGGTGATACATGTCTCGGTCGAGCGAAACTTACCGAAGCCATGAAGGTGGACATCAGCGCATGGAATGCCACCAGCAGCAGGTTGATGATTTTCTGCGAAATGGTCAGTGATAGGAGCAGTGAACTATGTCAGAGAGTACACTACCTTCCATCGTGGCCAGTTGTAAGGATCTGCGTCCGTCATGGAAGGGACGGGATCGAGTTCGAGTGTGCCGTGTCGTTCGAGGAGATACTGGCGATGCTCCTCAGACAGCCTGGCTATCTCGTCTCCCGCCAGGTAAGTGCCGTGTGTGTTGGCATTCTCCAACTCAGGAACAGCTCCATTTCTGGAATCGTGAAAGGTGGTGCTTTTCTCCAATTCCGACATGATGAGTCAAGCAGTTAGAAATCAAGTTCTAAACAGAACGCTGGAAGGCGGGCAAGCTATTAAGAAAGAAGAGAAGAGAGCGCCCATCTTTTGAAAGAGAAGGTGGACCATTCGCCCCTTTGTACTCTCTCCACGTCCCGCCTCCAGGTCCGCGGTGACCCAAACGAAAGTGATAGAGCTGTGGAGTCCCCGGGTTCGCTCGCGTCCCATGGGGTCCAGGCAGGGATCGCAGGCGTCTATCGTCACAATGAATGTGCTAGGCTTTATTCGCCACTCATCTGGCTCGCGCACTAATCCACGGCAGGGCAGCGCCGCACACGACTCAAGGGAGGGCGAGAGATCGTTCATCGTTAGCGGTCTGAGAGAATTCGGATGAAGATTTCGGTATGTGCATCTCGTGAAAATGCCACTAGTAAGGGGCCGCGTGGCTGCATGCGTTAGTAGGTTGGCTGGTGTTTCGGTCTGGCTGTCGGATGCTACCGATGGAGCTAGCTGGTCAATCCAGCTAGGATTTTTGGTGGTGGACTAGGGTTGCATGTGCGAGAGACATGATGAAGCGGCTGATACCAAGGCGGGAGGCTGCGGAGCGGCTGGCACCTCAAAGCTTGTCGCTTCAAGAACAAGCGCCGATGTCCGCTCAACGGAATCTTCACCACACGACCGGGAATTTTCCTGTTCCTTCACATTTACGATTTTGATACTTCGTAAGGTGAATCCTTGCGCAGACAGATGGAATTTCCGACAGAATTTCGGGAATCCCGGGGTTGCGGCACGTCAGCAGTGTCATCCTCAGTGCCGCTGTGGACCCCCGTGGGCCCCCCACGAGTCTATTATTGCGGGCCATCTTGGGCCGAGGCTTGATTTGTTTGGCACCAACTCACGATTAGCGCCTCCAAGCTCCGAGGAATTGCTCTTCTGGTTGTTCTGCATTATCTCGCGATCGCGCAGTCTCGCATCACGCAGCAAAGGGAAAGATTCAATGAACACTAATCTCATAGTTGCCAAAAGTATGCAGCGAAAATTTTGAGGACGCTACTCACAACTTCGCAACGAAACCCTCCTCCTTGCAGAGAGCTTCTGCCTCAGCTATTATGTCTACTCCATAGATCATACGCTGGACATCCGCATCCGCCCACTTATCTGGCACAGGCCCTTTGCCGGTCTTCAGTGCCGCAAAAATCTTATCACGCTCCTCCTTCGCCTTTCCAGACCCCAGATGCATTGACCGTCCGTTCTCCGCGGCCAGCTCCACCAGTGCCTCCGCTCGTTCTTTCCGCACCTTCTCGTAGATCTTAAGGGCTCTGGTGATGGTGGAAGGGTTGCAATCTGCAATGCGCTTGGGGTCAAGCACGACGCCGAGAACTGCTCCGTCCTCGATTGCTTGTGCGGCTCCCTGGGCAAGATGTGGTAACGTAGGGTGGCATGCGTCGCCTACTAGCGCTGCGGACTCGAGCACCCAGGTGCTGAGCGGCTCGTGTACGCGCAGCTTCCACTCGACGACTTCGCCGTCCGGGACCAGGTCCAGCATCCGATGGATCATGGGGCAGAAGTCTCCATATACTTCCATCATCGCGGACTTGGAACCTTTAGTCGTGTATGTAGAATTCGGTGCGCCTGCGAAGTTGACGTCCGGCTGTGCTGTGGAGATGTTGTAGATTTGCTTGTTGTGGATGGGGTAGGCAATTATGTGTTTCTTCTCGCCTATCCAGCGCGTGACAGTGTCCGCATCAAGGAGTTTGATGAGCTCGGGATCGTCCTTCATTTGCTCCCGAGTCAACATGATGCGGTATGCAGCCTGGCCCGAATCTTTGACGTCTGCTGTCTCTCCTAGCACTTGCAGCATAGATACGCGAGTTTGGCTCTTCACGCCATCGCAAGCCAGCAAGATGTCGCATTCCACACGTCGAGCTTCATCCGGAGTCTTCAATGGTGTCAGCTTGAAGCTGGGCTTTGCTCCGAACTCCGCGTCCGTTATCAGGCTACCAAGCTCGAATTTGATTCCGGGCTCTTTCAGACATCCATCGTACATGGCACCCGCTAAGCTCGCTCGGTGCCCGACCATGTGTGGATATCCATAAGTCTTTTCCACGTAACCTAACGTTACATGGCCTAGTTCCTTGTCGGAGCTGCCTTCGCGAATAGATGTATCTGCGCACTGAACGGCCTCGGCGGCAATCTGCTTCCAGCAGTCGAGTCGGTCGAGAATCCGCGCCATGTTGGGAGCGAGCTGGATGCCTGCGCCTACAAAACCTAGGCCGGGTGCGGTTTCATAAATGGTGATGTTCTTGTGGCCGGCTTTTGCTAGAGACAGCGCGGTTGCAAGACCACCCATGCCTATGGGAGGTTGTCAGTTGCTGCTGCATAGTTCGGGGTGATCGAGCATACCTGCACCAATGATTGCTATCCTCAAGTTTTCGGCCATTATGATTGTGGAACACGAGAGAGTGACAGGGATGTGGATGAAGCGCAATCCGCTGGCTGGGTATCTAGGTTAGGGAAGTGTGCTTCGACTACGATGCCCCCTTGCGAACTTCTATACTTCTATAATTTGGCGCTTCGAGCTCGTAACAATATTTCTTCTCCAAACCATAAACCTTCGTACAATGCGCGTCCAGAGTATCCGCAGAGGCCGAACAGTCGGAGCTAGACCTTGGATAAATGTATCTACGCGTACAACGAGCGGACAAAAAAGCGCTCGGGCAGTGACGTTGAACCAGGGTTCACGGCAGCGGGATCGGCATCCTTATTATGTGCATGTGCGCTTCCCCAGTCAGCTGATCGCGCGCCTCCGTGTAGCGTCGGGTTGTGGCGGGGATCGCGGAGGAGGAGAGAGACTTGGGGCAAAAAGTTCAAATGCCGATCAGAGAGGCCGGCGCGAGGCACGTTTGTCCCACACCTGCAGCTTCCCCGCAGACGCCCCACCGCCAATGAGCGATCTTGCGGCTCAACATCGGGTTCCTGTATCAGATGTCAGCAACACCAAAACATCTTCACCATGTATATGCGACGTGCGAGATGCTAACCCTTTCTCCTGGTGGTGTTGTTCGTGTGACTGTGTAGTAACGGTGCCTAACTTAGCCAATGGACCGAAATGAAGCCATGGGGGAAGATTACGTTGGTCCTTGCTGTCCCAGCGACCGGTACCTTGACGACCGGGATATCCGCAGGTCATCCAGGTTCAGTAGCCCGTCATCCAGGTACAGTAGCCTCTGATCCCTTCGCTTTAAGGCAACGCGGCCGAGACTAGGAGAAATCGTTCGCCGCCCTCAATAACACTTTTAAAGATGTCGAGACCCCAACCTGCCCAGTGTTCGCGCCAACTGACCAACTCCCGTTGTTGCCGCTTTGTCGTGACAGTCAAAGTGCCCAAGCAGACATGCGATCCTCAATCTTAGGTTACGGCGCGCTTCTAGGCGCTGCAAGCGCGCTCGAGTGCTCCCCTGCTGCGATACAAAGCGCGTTGCCGCACAACGCGAACGTCAACTTCGCGTATCCAATCCAGGCCAATGGAACGTTCCAAGTACCAGCAGGCGACACGGGTTATCCTACTAGCCCGTTAGGACTGCCTGCGCTGTGCGCCGTCTCGGTGCAGGTACAGTCGGTCGGTAACACGACTTTCGGCTTCGGTCTGTTCCTTCCCAGCGAGTGGAATGGAAGATTTCTTGCCGTTGGAAATGGAGGATTTGCTGGTGGCATCAATTGGATGGACATGGTACGTGTAAAGGTGTAGTGGTTGCTATAAGACACTAACATTGTTTAGGCACCAGGAAGCCGGTATGGTTTTGCGAGCATGTCCACCGACACCGGCCACAACTCATCTAGCAGCGATGGAACGTGGGCATACAACCAGCCGGACAAGGTCGAGAACTGGGGTCACTTGGCCATGCACGGGTCGGTCGTCGTGGCGAAGACCATCACAGCCGCTTTCTACGAGAAGGAGATAAAATACAACTATTACTCAGGGTGTTCGACTGGCGGGCGTCAAGGTCTCAAAGAGGCGCAGGAATATCCTGAGGACTTCGATGGAATTCTAGCGGGTGCACCTGCTTGGTGGACATCCCACCTTCAGCCTTGGACTGTCAAAGTGGCTCTCTACAATTTGCCGACTACCGCGGATTACCACATACCGTCATCATTGTTTCCCGCGGTTGCTGCAGAAGTTATGAAGCAGTGCGATCCCCAAGATGGCCTCAAGGACAACATCATCTCTGATCCCCAGGGATGCAACTTTCGCCCAGAAGAGCTTCTTTGCGCGTCGAACGTCACGAATGCCACAGCTGCTGGCTGCCTTACATCCCCACAGATCGACACCCTGTACAAGATCTACACCGATTCCATCGGCGACAACCAGACCTTCATTTTCCCGCATCTCAACCTCGGAAGCGAAAATCAGTGGGTCCTTATATCCGGCAACGCGCCCAACCCTCTTGGTCCGGACTACGTCAAGTACTTCCTCGGCCTCGGCCCAGACTGGGACTTCTACAACTACAGCGAAGACATCCAGCGTCTGGCCGACAAAGTGCAGCCCGGAAATGCCACCGTTGGCTTCGACCTGTCCGCATTCCATGCGAAGGGCGGAAAGATTCTGTCGTACCACGGCCAGGCTGACGGCCTCATCCCTACTGGCTCAACACCGTACTTCTACAATCAAGTTACGCGCGAACTGCAACCACGAGGCATCGACGTCGACGAGTTCTTCCGCTTCTTCTTTGTCCCAGGCATGGGTCACTGCGCTGGAACTTTTGCTAACGTGAATGCGCCGTGGTATTTCGCCGGCGCGAACCAGGCGCTCAACCTGGGCAACACAGTATACGGTGTTCCAGGGTTCAGGGATGAGAAGCATGATGCGCTGCTTGCAATGGTGGCCTGGGTTGAGAATGGCACGGCGCCGGAGCAGATCATTGGGACTAAGTACGTCAATGATACGACACAGGCGGAGGTGATGAGGCAGCGGCCGCTATGCATGTACCCGAAGCAGGCCAAATATACAGGAAGTGGGGAGGTGGACAAGGCGAGCAGCTGGGAGTGCAAGCTCCCGTACTGAGATTTCAATGCTGCTCTAGTACACAATTGAGACGTTTTATGGTACTACCACCTCGTGCATTATGATTTATCATTTCTATAACCGCTTCAAATCTGTCACGCCCCCGGGGGGTCTCGCTATAGCTCCACGGAGTCAAGTAAAGGCGGTACGTTTTGCAACAAATACTCGACGATCGCGTCCGGACCTCTCTCTACTTGCAAGCCCTGCGGTATCGCGTGGGTCTTGATACCTGCGAAGCAACCTATCAGTGTCTACGCATCGATCATCTCATCGTTACCACTCACCCGAACGTTCTCTCTCCGCAATAGCACGAATTTTCATCGCTTCCTCCGGCGACCACATTGACGCTGAGAACTATTCCTGTATCAGTGTTTCGTCTCTGCCAGACAGAGTTGCGGGAGGTCTGACCAAGACATTCGGCTGATGCTGCCGCACTTTGGCCGCGACCTGGTCGATGGAAGAGCAGTTGTCAACGTGGGTGATGTCGTAGCGATCACTCAGGCCCTCGATCATGCGCGCTATAAGTCTCTTTGCGCGGTCTGGCGCCGTGTTGACGGTGACGAGCGTGAATGGTCCTTTGCGTGTGTCTGGCATTTTCTTCTGCTTTCGATGGTTTGTCAAATTAGATACAAGGGAGCCACAGAGTCTCTGGATCGCCAATTGGTAAGGTATAATGGTTTATTGCTACCGCTAGCCTATATACGAGTGCTATCGTACGCGTCTCAACACTCTAGTGAATAACAAGCCTTACGATGGCATCGTCGCAGTGCAATGTTCGCAGCCGATGTTTTGTACGATACTCTGACCGAAGTTCGGGTGTACATGTAGCGCCGACCGAGGACCGGCGATGGTGGCGGTAGTGCGGAGGTCATAGTGGGGCAATTTGGAGCGCGCGAGGCTGGTGCGGGGCAGCTGCGATCGCGGTCGTAAACACTGCACGTTTTCATCGTACGAGGCGTTAGAGGGCCATTCGAAAGGTGCCATTGTACAAAGACGACGCGGCAACGCTGTCGGTAGACTATTGAAAACGTAGGAGCTTCAAAGTGACGCTCAGAAGCTTCGGGACAGAAATATCAGGAGATATCTCGAGGTAAGAGCTATATTAATGTTTTGCGAAGGCATTGCGCTGAGGAGCACAGTGGATTTGTTTGACACGCAATCCGACTTCAATCGCTGTGTAATAATCATCCCTGAGCTGGTGGATCATGCCTTCTACTCTCCATCGAATGTCTTCGTTCGAAGAGGCTTCAGCTGCCTTCCGCGCACATCTCCCCGACCTCGCCACTCCACGTTTCACGACTGCAGCGGAGCAGGACGTCTACGAATACGCGAAGTTCTTCCAGGACAATCACGCGCCGCCGTGGTTGTTCGAGCTTACTCAAGCATGGGCGAAGCTGTATGAGGAACCTTTCAAGGGCGTTACGAGCGATGGCAATGTGAAGGAGGGCTTGTATGAGGCAAGAGATGAAGGTATTGATATTGAGAGCATTGTAAAGAAGGCTGAAGACTTGTTAAGCAAGCTGGATGAGCAGCAGAGCAAGAAGTTGAAATATCCTGTCAATGCGAAGGAGTGGAGAGCATGGTCGAACCCGGAGATCCTGCTGAGGCCGTTTGGGCTGAGGCTCGAGGAAGGTAAATACAGGCGCCCTTAACTTTGTTCGAAGGGGCCGAGCTGACATGCAAGTAGTACCTGAAGCGACGAATGACGCCATCCACAAAGTCATTGAAGCCTCATTATCCCCAGAAGGTTACCAGAAAGCCCTCGCCTCGATGCGGATCAACCACTTCTTAGGCGAATGCGTCAAGCTACCCAAAATAATGAACAAGGACTCATACAACTTCCTCCTCTTCGGTACCCCATCTGCATCTCCATCATCACCCTGGGGATGGCTCCTCTACGGCCACCACCTCGACATCGCCTGCTTCTTCCGTGGCCCCCAGATAACCATCAGCCCAACCTTCACCGGCGCCGAGCCCAACATCATCGACGCCGGTCCCTGGAAGGGCACCGAAATCCTCCACAAGAAGGGAAACATTGGCCTGAAGCTGATGCAGAGCCTGACGTCAGAGCAGCAACAGACCGCGCAAATCTACAAAAATCTCAGAGACGATGGCATGAAGCAGACAGGTGATCTGGCTACTGACCGCTGGAATAAAGACGACCAGCGCCACCTCTGCGGCGCCTTCCGTGATAACCGCATCGTCCCCTACGAAGGCGTCACCGTGTCGTCTCTCACCCCAGATCAGCAATCCCTAGTCCTAGAGATCGCGGAGGAAATGCTGCTCTACCTCCCAACCAAATCGCGACAACTGCGCCTCGACCAGATCAAATCGCATTTCGAAGAGACGTACTTCAGCTGGATCGGCGGATATGGCGACGACGACGCGTTTTACTACCGCATACAGAGCCCTGTAGTGATTTTGGAGTTTGACCATCACTCGGGTGTGTTTTTGAGCAACACGGAGCCGAAGAAGTTTCATACGCATACGATTGTGAGAACGCCGAATGCGGGGGATTATGGGCAGGCGATTAGGGCGACGGAACATAGGCTATGAGCGGAAGAGATGGTTCTATTATTTGGATTCTTGTGCTCCTCGTATCAAAAATTCGCAGATTAATCAATCTCAATGAGATGCGATCAATCATCATGCCCTCCACTCACAACTTCACAGCTCCGGATCAGGGTTATCTGCTAATCATGCTAAGAATACGATTAGAATGGCTAGCGAAAAGGATTGAGACTACGCGGTGGGGATTTCGCAAAGATAGATGCGCTGTATGGCATGCCTGTGGAATTCGGCTAGCGCCACTCCTCTTCATGTAGCCTTGTGGTTTGATCGCGTAACGGTGTCACATCAGCACAGCGCTACAAAATCCGCCTCATGTGCAATCGAAATCGCACACTTCAGCTTCCGACCGTGGGCCCTCTCTTCAACATCCCTGAAGGAAGAACGAAGCAGAGCGTACAATAGATGAATTGCTGGCATATGGTCGGCATGTCGTCTTTCAGCTGAGTATGCCGAGCACCTGCTGCCGGCGATCACTTCTACTATGGCCCTGCCAACCAACCCCTACGATTCCAACCCTTTAACACATGACTCATGTACCAACATACTCCTATTGAAACTCAAGTTGGATTCTAATCTTTATGACTTCGATCTAAGTACGTGCGGTCTTTGCACAGTGAATACCGAGACTGCACCGCCGTACAAAACCCTGTTCTACGTGTGGGGACCAGAGAACAGTTTGAAAGAATTCCTGCTCAATGGGCAAGCCCTCGACGTCCGAAAGCATCTCTGGGATTTTGAAATTCAGTGACGTAGGTGTGTAGCATCTGAAACGGGAAACCGTAATGATGAACATAATCAAATGCCTGCAGAAAGATCCAACCATGGCGAGGAGAAGGAGATGAGTCTTGGGTCACTGTCAGACGACACAGAATATATATGGATAGATGCACTGTGCATCGACCAACGCAACCTGAAGGAACGGCTCCACCAAGTTGCAATCATGGGGGACATCTATTCTTCGGCAACCCATGTCTTGGTCTGGTTAGGCATTAAGGGCGATAACATTCAGATAGCGGCGAATATGCTGTAGAATTTGTGCCCCTCTAGCTATACGATTATCATCCATCACAAAAGCCTAGAGACCTTTTGCCCGACTCATGCGTACATGGCAGTTGATGTTCAAGTATCCGCCATTTTTTAGCCACAACATGCATGCTGCGGAAAAGCGTTTGAGACGGAGGTGAAGAGTGTAGGTTTCGGGTTAGGGATTTCATATCAAGCAATTTACCTGCAGTTGTATGTGTTCTTGGGTTCGTAGCAGAGCTCTGCTTGTCAGTTTTTGAGACTGATTCAGGACATTAAGGTACAAGTTCCCTTAAATCAAACCCATTTGCATTGGACATGACATAACTCTTACCTAAAGTATTCATGAGGTATGGCTCCAAACCTGTTTCGAGGATCAACAGTGGACCAAAGAATTAACGCATAGTGAAAAAGATCGATATCTCTAGCAGGATCAGAAGCGAGGAAGAACGGACAATGAAAGTGCATTTGGAGAGTCTGATCCGGCTCAAGGTGGAACTCAAATGCATCGGGACAATATCTAGGAACAAAGAGATTATCCATGGAGCGGCGAGCAGCGATTTTGATGCAGCATATACTAGTACTAGAACAAAAGAAGAGGAAGTAGTGGAGGGCTTGTTAGGGGCAATGAAAGTGAAGAAACGGGCAGCACTTGAGAATGCATAGCATCTACGTGCGTCAACATGTCGCTCAGAACGAAGACAAGAGCAGCGAGAAACTTAAGCAGTCAAGGTTTCAATGAAAATAATTCTGGAAGACATGATGGGTTCTTGAGATATGGAGTTAGCTGGACTAAGCTATCCTAACCACGAATCGCACTTATACAAAGCTGGGCATGGTGAAGCAGACGCTGACGAGAGTAGTCACTTTATCCCAGTAGTTCAAATCCTCTTCGGCAAGATCGTCTTGCGTCCACCCAGCTTGCACCAATGCCTCGACATGGAACACTGACCGGGAGGATGGATCTTTCTTGGTCCGTTCCAACATTTCGAGGAAAGTCGCTCGCTGCTCATCGGTCCGTGCCTCCCAGCCTATGATGTACATTGGGAAGTGTGGCTTGCATGTTTCCAGCTCAGATATGAGCGTGAATGCGTTGTCGATATATCCTTTCAGCTTTGAGGTTTGCTTGAGGATATTCTCGGTGACGCGATTGAGGTAGATGAGCATGGCGAGCTGATATAAATAGACGCTTGCGCTGGACTTCTCGGTAGGAGAAGGCATCGGAATGTCTCTAATCCGCCAGTCGAGTATCTTGATGCGGTTTGCGTATACATCCAGTTCTTGTGCACTCATGCTTTGTAGGCACGGTTTCGTTGGCACTGTGTCGCAGAGCTCTGACATCAGCTTCAAGATCGCAGGTATCCAGGGTGCCGATGACAGTGGCTCGTCGCAGTATGTGAGCTCTTCCCTGCTTACTAGCTTCCGGGTGCTGGATTCGTTCAGAATCTGAGGCTGGCTTATGGACGCTATAACTTCGTCTTCTCGTTCCGGCTTCCAGTGCCGGATGCTGAAAACCTTCATGATATCATGGTAGTAGACCCAATTCATCAGCATTGTTTTCTCTACGTCGAGTGTGCATTTCCGGTGGGGAATATCAGAGTAAAGAATTTCTTTGATGCCGTTGACGTACCACGTCCACTCGCTGGCACTGCAAGAGGCCATGTGAACCTGTGCATCGCCGTTTTCGCGTCAGGACTTCGTGTATAAAGAAAGGATTTGGGATGTTTATATACCTCAAGGGAACACAGAAGCATTCCTGCCGCGACATGATGCGTGCCTTCTACCGACTCTTCGAACGTCTCTGACGCCTGGGCTAGAGCTCGCAAACTAGAAATTTTGAATTCCATAGCTTGAGCATTCCAGCCGTAACGATATACAGATGAGAGTCCGAGGATGGAGTGGAGAACTGCTTTCGAAGCCGGCGATTTTCCATTCTGCGATATTTGCATGAGGAATTTTGCGAGATGCTTTGGGTCGGAACCAAATGTAGTGAGAGATCGGGATGCTTCCAGTTGAACTTGAAGATCGTCAGCCAAAGAAATGAGATCTTCGTTAGGGGCTTTCACAATAATTCAGCAAGTCCCACTCCACTTCTCCCATTTGGTGAGGGTTCCATCGTACCGGCTCATGAAGCACGGGCGCACGAGCAGCTAGGGCTGACAAGAACATGTACATCTCTATGTCCCAATTCGTGGCATGGACCATGGACGCATTTTTTACTCGCTTGTCTGAATGCTTTATATTATGCCGAGAAGACTGGAGCACGATAGCACGTCTAGCATCTTTCTCTCTTGGCCACGACAGTCGCAGGCCGTAGCCTTTGCATTCGCGTTTTGTCCGTGTACATTGAGAACAAGTAGGAGTAGTTCTATCGCAGAGAATTTTTCGATCTAAAGTAGCCATTGAATGACAGGTCTCTTAAAGAGGTTTTCTGGTGAACCCACCTTTACACGTGCCGCAGCTTCTCTTCCCTGTTGCCGCTCTTCCCATGTCTTTACTTGCGCGCCGTTCCCGGAGTTAAGACTGTACCAGATTGCAAAAGCAAGGATTAACGAATGGAAGATGCACGACGAGGCGGAGGGAGTGGAAGCTGCAACTTTCAGCGAGCGACTATGAACGATATCGTAAGCAGACACGTGATCGCTGGAAGTTGCTCAGATGTTGGTGCTCAGAGCATCGTGCAGCGGACTAGCACGGAGCGAGGTAGCACACGAGGATGTTTAGACTCAATCTGTCGCTAGCGCTAGATACGGACAATTGTTCGCGGACCATTGCCCCGTCCACTTCAATTAGTACGGATGACATAAGCACTGATTATGTACCGGGTGCCATATCGTCTCTTCGCATTTAGTTGCTCTCATGTTTATGTCGCATTTATACAAGGATTTGTATCGCAAAAAGTTGCCAAGCAACCTTCCTCGCTGCCTTTCGTCTCCACTATGACGATATGGTACTGAGTAGCATTTCTAATCTGGAGCCATGTGTGGACACGCTTTTTGACAAGAGGCTTCTCATAAGGTGGTATAAAGGGAGCTTTTACACACATCTTGTATCGACATAAGCACACTCGCTCTTCACCGCCTCCATAGCCAGAGATTTCTACTCCGAGTTCTCACGTACTTTTGCAATGCCATCTTACGCCATCACGGGAGCTTCACGAGGCATTGGTGTAAGTATCATAACAAACTCCACATCTTCCTCTCGCTCACTATCAGCAGTGGGGCTTCGTCAAGCATCTTTCTGAAGACCCCTCGAACACGGTCATTGGACTTGTCCGCAATGCGCCTCCAACCATCGAGCGCGTGAAGAACGAGCTCGCAGATCGCAAGAGTATGCCAGCCCCCATCTAGTATCTATACTACGGCTCTAACAAGTCCCCAAGACATCCACATTCTCCAAGCTGACCTGAACGACATCCCCGCGCTCAGGAAAGCCGCCGCAGACACCGCCACCATCACTAGCGGCACCCTCGACTACCTCGTCGGCAACGCCGCGTACCTCGACACGTTCGACCAATTCGCCGGCCCCGGCGACCTCCTCGCCAACTCCTCAACTGAAGAGTTCACCAAGCAGTTCCGCAGCTTCTTTGACACAAACGTCCTCGCGCAGATATTCCTGTACGAGGCCTTCTTGCCGCTTCTCCTGAAAGGTCCAACCAAAAAAGTGCTGTCTATTTCCAGTGGCATGGGCGACCTCGACTTCAACAGGGAGTGGGAACTTGACCAGGCCATCTTGTACTCGAGCACCAAGGCTGCGCTGAATATGGTCAACATCAAGTTCGGCGCGCAGTACAAGAAAGACGGCGTGCTGTTCATCAGCATGTGTCCTGGCATTGTAGACACTGGGTATGCCAATAATAGTAGGTTCCTCGGGTCCTATTTGGAGCGTTGTGGTGCTGATCGCCTGTGTGTACAGTTAATCCTCAGGAAGCGGCCAAATTCCAGGAATTCGTCGGTAAGATGCAGGTGTACTCGCCGGCATTCAAGGGGGCGTATGAGCCGGTAGAGTCCGTGAAGATGATGTTAAGCGCGCTAGATAAGCTGAGCATCGAGAATGGGGACCAGGGGAAGTATCTGTCGCATCTTGGGACAAAGAGGTGGCTGCCTTAGATATTGGGGGGTGTGGCGGTAGATCCAGAATTGGTGCGATTGCAGAGACGTTGAATTGTTGCATGAATCTTATGTTGAGCTTAGACATGCCGTGACTGTAGTCTCGTTGGTATTCCTACACTATCCAATCGCGTCTACAGGGCAGCATATCCAACGAAATAGCAACTTCTTGATATGTGACGATCCGCAGCCGCTGTCTGCGTCGCGATGCAACAACGCAATACATAGATAACAGGCCAGACCACGTATGTCCATAGGTGAGACACCCCGCGCGCGACATCTATATCTCACTGTGCGACTCAAGGCGCGACTTCGTCCCCAACGTCCATGATGTTCTCAAACTCATTGCAGCCCTCCCTGAGCTTCCCCAGTGAAACGTTCACGAACCAGCACTGCGCCCGTCCCGCCTCAGCCTCTCCATCCACCGTAAGAAAAAACCTCCTCCTCTCGAATCGTCACCTGCTCTACCAACCGCCGCTCATTGCTATCCGCAAGCTCCCACCGCAACCCCCCTACCGCATCCAGTACCCATGAGAAGGATCCGACCCAATCGTTCTCACTATCGTCACGATGCCCCACCTTCAGTATCTCATCCTTGTCAACACAGCCGAGGGTAAACTTTCTCATTTTGCGCTGTGCGCGGGCTAGAATGGTGCGCGATGTGCAAACGATGGTTGTGTTGACGGCGCACTGTTTACCGATTTTGCGAGCGAGCTTGATGAGCGTGTGAGACAGCTTTTCGACGTCGTAAGTGGCGGATTTTGCGTGCTCGAGAACAGGGTGATTTGGGAGGGGGATTTCTTCGTCCTCATCTTCATCTTCATCTACGTCTACGTCTACGTCTTGGACTTCATCATCGTCGCCGTCGTGGACGTCTTGCTCATAGCCGCCCGTGTTGTTTTGTCGGTGTACTTGTCCTTGCTGCTACCATTGTGCTCGTCCACATCGGAGTCGGCTGCGTCGCTCTTTTCGCCAGCATCATCTTCGATAGCACCCTCTTCCTCAATGCTCCCGCTGTTCTCGGCTACTAGGAGGCGGATATGTACCGTCTGCCCACCCATCAACTTCAACAGTCCTACATGACCAAATTGGCGGGCAAAACCCTGCACCTGTTCAAGGCTCTTCTTGGGTTCCTTGCTGCCTTGCTCTTGAGGCCAGACCATCGCTCCTGAGCGTCGGCCCGCAACCAGGGCCCGGGTTTCGCGCTTCGCTTCGCGTGCTGCCAGACGTTCCGCACGCTCCTCTTATTCCATGAGCATGACATACTGGAAACGCGTTTCCTCCACCAATGGCTCAATGGCAAGTGCGCGCCCAGCACGCCCTCCTTCCGTGACGCTTTCTCCACTTCGTCATACATGACTCCGTTCTGGATCATTGCCGCCACGTGTGTGCTGAGTGACCAGTCCTCAGCGCTCTTGACGGACGCAAGAAGCGTGAGGCCACCCACCCGACGACAGCATCGCAAGAGAGCGCGGGCCTCGTCGTAGATGAAGCGGCAGGTGCGGAACAGTCCGAATGGTGAAGGGGTGTCCTTGTACCACAGCCCCATCTGAGCGTGAGCGACTGAGTGGCATGTCTGCCGCGTGTAGGTATCGTTCTGTTGGGACATGCTATGGCGCTTACATCGCAGCCTAAGCAGTCGTAAACCATGAACCGCACTTCCTTGGGCAGATCCAGGAAGCGGAAGTGCATCTGCTTTTTTCCGGCCACTAGATTGCTGGGCTCAGTGAGCGGCAGTGGAAGTGGGGGATGCTCGTGGCTCGGGGTGAGGGCCAAATGGGGAGGCGTGGATGCACGACGGGTGCAGTCGAGACCAGATCTCTGAGCCGGGCGCAAGAGATATCGTGGAGCTGCTGTGCGGCAGAGTCCAGCTGAATTCCAAAATCATGTCCCCACTCTTCGAAGCAAGACCTGTGCTTGTATCTGCGTGTGAGTCAATACCGAGGCTGGAGAACTCGGAAACATGGTCCGGTTCACGAGGTCTGCCTGGGGAACCGGATGCCCGAACAGATCCACCAGTGGGATATCCGATTGTTCGAGTGGCTGTTGAGCCAGATGAACCCGGCGAGCGGGCTCCGACGGGGAGCTGCGCGGTGCTGCAGGTCAAAGACTCACGTAGCATGGGTAGTACCAGGGGCAGGCTCGGCGTTTGATCCGCACGGATATTGGAGTCTTTTCGAGTCTTCGTACGCATTGTGGCGGAGGTCGCGTCCGACGCCGCATCCAACTGGTGTTTCTTCGTGGGGTCCTCGCGCTCCCGTCCGCTGTTCTTGCGCTTCGCCATCTCGACGGCCGAGTTCTCTTCCATGTTGCTGGCCGCAAGTTACCGGGCGTTTCGTGCTCTCGAGCAAATTGGATTGATACGAGCGTTTGAGCAAGCGTGTGTACGGGTGTTTGCGCGCACAGGTCCGATCTGATGTGTTATATACTGTCTTGGCGGTGTTGTTGAAGATTTGCGGTGAAGGCGAATCGCTCTTCGTGTTGACGCCAAGGAGCCAACTGCTACTCAAATCGCCTGCGGTGAACGTGAGGGGCACGTGCGCATGCCTCGTGAAAGACCGGCTAGTTCCGTGGACCTACAATGTGAGAACTGTGCACTCGCTCATGCAGCGAAAAAGTCACGAGTATCACCGGAAGTAGTTGTGAGAATGATATGAACAAAGAGGACATGAAGTGAAACAAATACAGCGTGCGTTCATTCCTTGAAGTGCTGGTTGGATTCTCGTCTACCACCCATACTTATTACCCGCCTCCTTCTTGTTCCGACGCCCGCTCGCAAAATGCTCCTCCAGCGCATCCTTCTGCGTGCTTGCCACGTTGATCAAGCTCCTGAGACTATTCTTGCCTGTTCCGGAGATGCTCTTAAGTGCATTGTGCTGCACCGTCTCGCCCTGCTGGCGCAGCATCTCGTTGTGTGCATACTCGCGGTCTGTGTTGAAGTCGACAATCTTGGCGCCTGAGAAATCGGGCCCTTGACCTTTCCTGCCAAAGAGCTGGCGTCGCTCCGCTTCGGTGAGGTTGAGTTCGGAGGCGATGTTGGTGAGGTCGTTTGAGGGAGGTGGGGCGTGGGAGATGGGGGCAGGGGTTGGGTGGGACGAAAAGGCCGAGTCCGGGATGGCCATTTCCTCGTCGTCCTGGTCGGCGCCGTAGATTAGAGGTTGGTACTCTCCGGCTGGCTGTTTCGCTGGAGCTTCCACCTCCTGTGACACAGATCCAAAGAGCGATACTTTGGGTTTGGGCGGCGGCTTCTGTTCTGCTGGAGGCGCAATAGACGATGCTTGGGACGCGGTTCTGGCATCGATTTGCGCCGAAGCTGTCGATGCTCTAGCGGCTGCGGGCTTCTTTTTCTTCCCCCATCCCATTCCCTTGGGCATGAACCTGGGTCTTGCGGGCGCTTGTTCGGCAGTTGATGCAGGCGGTGCTGGCGAGTCTGAAGGCGTGGATGCTGGAGGTTCTGCAGCCTTGGTGTCGGTCTTTGGCGCGGGCAAGTTCAGCAGTGCGCGAAAGTCCTCCTGTTTCCGTGCTTCTTGCTTGATTGGGTTCCCATTCTCATCATAGTCGTCCAGGTCGAGTGCTCGCTGCCGTTGGAAGGCAGGCTCTGCGCCCGTCTTCAGGTTCACGCCTGCTCCCAAGCCCTTGCCTAATCCCCTCTTCCCGGAAGGTGCGTCGGCGGTGGCTGCTTCCACTCTTGGTTTTTTAGGCGCAGGCAGCATCGCATTGAAACCGCCGAATGCGCCGCCCCCGATGCGCGCCTTCTTAGCCGGCGGTGCTTCGGACTCGATGTCATCCGTTGCGGCGTGCGACTGGGATGCGCTGGGCAGATTGAGCTTGATCTTGCCGGGGTTCGAGCGGTCGACGACTTTTTGGAAGGCGGGCTTGGGTGCGGGCTTTGCGGCAGGTTGGGAGACGGCAGGGGTGTCGTCGCCGGAGTCTTCGGAGTCGGAGTAGCCTGTCAGGTTCATGGTGCGCGGTGGAGAGGTTGTCGTGGTGTTGGTCAAGGCCAGGCGGCGATGAGGTCAGACGCGCCTGTTTCAGTTGCACGGGCGGCGATGAGCTCGGGCCAGGCCAGGGTCCCCCAGAGCCTCCGACGTGGGGAAGGCGCGACTGCACCTGGCCAGCAACCCACGGCTCCGTTGCATGACGACGCTCTCAGCTGGCCTGGACGTGCATCTGCGGCTTCACGACATGCGACGATAGGACGGCCCGCCATGTCGCTCCTGCAGAACGAAGAGTGAGCCTCGCAAGACGGCCGCGCAGCCTCCGCTAACCCGCGCAGCTTCGTGCTCTTCCAGCTGCGCAGCGCGTACCTGTCGGCGATCAAGGACGGCGTCGGCGAGCGCCTGATCAATGTAAACACGGCCGTCCTCAACAACCCCGCCTTCCGCGCCGCCGGGTGGGTGCCCAATGCCGCCGACATCAAGCGCACCTACTCGCCGCCCATCCCCACCGCAATCACCTCCGAGTACTTCCAGGCCCCGCGCTCGGCCGGGCTCAAGCCCCCCGAGGGCTTCGAGGATGACGAGGAAGGCGGCATGGTCACGGGCGGCGGCGGCAGCAACGACACCGTGGGGCCTACCCTGAATGCGAAGCGCCGCCGCCGCCGCGAGCAATTGGACGAGGACGACAGCAGCGACCTGAGCGACGAGAGCGACGAAGAGGACGATGCCAGGCCCGCCAACCAGATCAAGTTCCAGAAGATGCCCGTCCGCACCCGCGCTGGGTCCTCGCCCATCCGCGGCTCTGCCCTGAGGAGCGGACTGAACGAGGCAGCCGAAGGCCCCTCGCTCATGGTCACGTCGCCTTCGCGGCCTCCTGAGGCTGGCCTGCGCCGAGGCTCATCCGACGGCGTCCAGAGCGTCACCGGCCGCCCCCGCAGAGACACCATCACCAGCAGCGAGATGTCGTCCGAGAATGAGATGGACTCCCTCTCCTTCCAGAAGCGAAGATTGAACCCCCGCAAGGCTGCCAAGGCCAATTATCTGCTGTCGCAGCGCATGGGCGAGGAGGACAAGGAGCCGCTGGAAGCCCTCGACGAGGGTAATGAATCAGACAGCTCCCTTTCGTCGGAATTCTCCGGCACAGCTGACAGTGGCTCCTTCATAGGTGAAGGTGACGATCCGCTCGACTCTTCACCCCCGACCGAGCTGCCCAACATGCCTAATCTGACGCCTTTCGCCAGCAACTCTCCAAAGAAGCCCAGGACGCAACTACAACCCACGTTACAAGCACTTCCTCCGCCAAGACCAATCAGCTTTATACCTCCAGTCAGCGCGTTAACACAGGCACTTCAAGCCAAGGAGCAAAAACCCTCGAACCCCTTGCAGCGATTCGCCGCCTGGGATGCGGCCAGCGAGGCCAATTCGAATCCCATTTACATGAAGCTCTACTGTCCATTTTCTTCCAAGCCGTCCAAAGCCCTCGAACTACTCATAAGGAAGACTGCCGATAATGGCCAGGTCGTGACTGTGGCAGAGGCCATTGGCTATGCCTTGTGGCGATACCAGGAAGAGAAGTTGGAGCCTCCGTTGGCTCCGGACAAGGTCAATGTGAACTGCTGGGTGCTGCGCATGTACGACGACGGCGAGATTGATGACGAATTTCCTCCCTTGACGCGAAACCGCCCACTCATGGACTTTGCTTCCAACAACAGTAGGGGTATGCGACCGCGCGCTAGGGAAAAGCCATGGGACGAATTTGGTCTCGTTCAAGCGACCGACCGCGAGATGGTCGAGAACGAGAAGATCACTCCCGACTTCAGTCGCGAAGCGGCCGCTGCGGTGGCTGCTTCGCAGACATCAGAGGAAGCTCCGAGACTTAAGCCGCCGCCACCAAAACCGATACCGTCACGCGCCAAGAGCTTCCGCAATCCCATCACCGGGCCTTCTTTCGCGCCAACGGCTACCCGCAAGGACACTTCGAACTTGGCAGATGCTCCCACAATCTCCAATGTAACGTCCGCTAGCCGCACTGGGGCCCCCAAGACTCTCACCGTCCACTATACAGACGAACACTTCAACAACAGGCGCATTCCCATCCCTTGCACAACGGACACCTACATCGCTGAAGTCTTCGATCAAGTCTGCCGCGACCTCCGGCTCGACAAGGGTCTCTTTGTCCTCAAGGTATCCGCCAGCACCACGGTCGCGCCGCCTGATCGCACAGTCGAGGCCCTGGGCTCACGCGTCGACCTTGACCTCGTGCGCCGTCGCTTCGTAGGTGACGGTGTTTTTGGTATTGCTGGCAGTCCAGGATCATCGTCTCCTAATGCACCCCTCACCATTGCTACAGGTGGTGCCCCCAAGAAAACCAAGAAAGGCGAACGTACCGCCGCTGCTGTGTCCGGCCACGGACTCATCCATCCGCTTGCCAAGCACAACGACTCGAACGCAGGACTATCCCTCCCGTCGACTTCATACTACAAACGCTGGCCCGTCATGCGCAAGCAGCCCATGTCTTTCGCGTCTTCCACATCACGGACACTTGCACTAGACAACGAGTACATTCACATCATGCCCGGCGAAACAGGGAATACGAAGCAGATCTTTGACCAGCCGGCCAAGACGACAACAGTGCACTTCTCGAGCGTAGTCGGCAGCAAGGTCAGCAAGAAGCACCCGAAGATGTTCAGGGTCGTTGTGTTCAAGGAGAAGGAGACAAAGCGGTACGACTTCGAGGCGCAGAACCAGCAGGATGCGGTGGACATCGTGAAGGAGATCAAGAAGGGCGTAGATCGCTTCCACGAGGGCATTGTGTAACTTTATGTGAGCGATGCGTTCGGGACTCCTCGGATACGGGCTTTGGCCAATTTGCTTGGTATGCGCAGTCTGTTACGAATACGACTATATCGAAGAATATGACGTTCTCAAGTTTGCAACGTCCCAATGTATTTGCTGTCCTCCTTAAGCATGATGTGAAACCCGCGACCACAGTAGCTTCACCCCCTCCACACCGCCTCGACGAGACTCAGCGACGCACCCGCAACCGCAGTCACGCTCTGAAACACAAACCTGCTGTCTACCGCCGCAAATAGAGCGCGCCACTCTTCCTCCGTACGCTCTCGGCTGTTGTACGCACAGAGCATGAACAAGTCTAGGTATCTGAAGTCCCTTAGTTAACAAGCGTTTGCACTATAGGCAGTGGCTTGACTTACCTCTCCTTCTTCTTGCTGAGCAGCACATCGACGCCAGGCTCCACTACATGCTCGTAGACCATGATGCGCGCGCCGGGCTTCAATGCCGGGACCAGATTCTGGAGGATCCGGACACAGTACTTGTAGCTCCAATTGTGGAAGATCCACCGGAAGAAGTAAATGTCTGCAGCGAGGGGCTGAGGAGTGAAGAAGTCATGCGTCTGGAACTCCACTCTGCCCTCCAACGCGGCAGGCAGCACGTTGCGCCCCTCCGCAACGGTTTCCTCCTTATCCTGGACTATGAACCGCATGTGCGCTGTATGCCCTGCAAGCGCAACTGCCACGCTACCGTGCCCGCCCCCGACGTCTACGACGACGAAGTCATCTCTATCATTGGCGGCGTCCGTCCAGGGGAAAGCGTCAAGAAGAGCCTGGATATAGTTCCCGCCGCCACCGCTGAAGAAGCGCATTGCGCCGCCGAATCTGCGCGCGCGCTCAGGGTGCTGAGCGAGGAAGTCGTAGATAGCCAGATCGGTGTCGTTTGCAATGTTGTACGCTGTTTCGTTTGGCTCTTCGCTTGCAGCGAAGCGGGTCAGTGCTGCGGGAAAAGCATGTGTCGAGGGGCCGAGCTCGTTCAGGATCATGCCCATTGCGTCGAATGCGTCGGGGTTGACTGCTAGCAGGCGGGATGCGGGCGAGTGCGCGACGTGGTCCGGGATAGGCTCGGTGAAGTAGCCGATTGTGATGGCATAGCGGACGAGGCGGATGAGATGGTCCAGAGGGACGTCAACTTGAGCGGCGACGGCGGTGTATGTGGTTGACCCGACGAGCGGCACGTGCCGGGGGAGGTTGAGGGTGTAAATCATGCGGAGGATGAACGTGTCGGTTATCTTTCAGGTCTAGTTAGTGCACATGCGATCATGAGGGATGTTGGAGGGGCGAGGCAAACGCACGCTCCACATCTGCTGGAACATGTATGACTCTGGAGACTGGCTCTGCAGTATCAATCTATGCGTTGCATCGAGGAGCGCAGTTCGAGCTGTCTCGACGTCCAGGCCTGCCGCATCTTCGGGTCGTGAAGCCGCACCGTCAATAAATTCGGCATTGCGGAGGATTTCTCGGGCGAGATCGGCGAGGGTAGGCATTTCGGGGTGTTCAAGAAGACAAGTCGATCTCCCAAATAAGGTGAAGACTATCGAGTATATACTGTTCTTACATTTACAGACTGTGCCGCGTAAAGCGCCGCTAGTCTAACCTGTTTTCATTTAGGTCGATATGGCCTGTGTTAAGACTAACGCGTGTCACCGACAATGTTCCCTGCTTGTAGGCTTCGGCCTCTATGATAATTAAGTAGATAGGCATCCGCTTTACGCAGGAAGCTCGTCAAGGCAATGTCTCCAGGCAGGTTTCCGCCCTGCTGGTGTGGATACACCTTCTCGCGCGCGGCCCGAAAACAGGCGAATACTTGTATTCATTGAGCAGGGTTCACCTGTATGGATAGGATTTCTCCAGGGCGTGGAGAACATAAGTTCCAAAATTTGGCGATCTTTCATTCGTGTGGCCGGTCACTTCAGAGACGGCTTTACCTCGGATCACGAACGTAGCAACAGTTACTTCGTTCTGCCTCCGAAGAGTACATTAGCAAACCGCTTCGCACGACTTGAACTCTTTCATCTTTTCGGACGTCGTATCGGAATCCAGAGAGATCTATCATGCTGCTTTTGAAGCTTTGAAACAAACTTTCCAAGCAACCTACGGGTCTGATGGGGACGGCCCGTATGAGGACGATCCGTTGCAACAGATTGTCCTTCGATATTTGTATATCTTAGACGATCAAATGCTCGAAAGATCACAAGAGAAGGACCCTCGCGCTCTCATCATAACTGGACATTATGCCATCCTACTACAGTTACCAGAGCTGGTAGATTTTCTGTTTTTGAAGAGTTGGGTCCATCATCTCCTAAAAGGAATCTACAGGATCCTTGAAGAAGACCGACATCGCTGTTGGATTAAATGGCCGTTCACGACTGTTGGATTGATTTGAGCCATGCCTTGATCTCAACGTGTAGAGTAATTCCACGTCTTTCTCCCAGTACACATGCTGTCTACAGGAAGTTGTTGTCGGTTCGCGGTTTAGTATTACGTGTAATGTAGCACTTATCGCCACGAGACCTACCAAAGCGACCAATTGAATGGCAAGACTCCCATGACAATGAGTGTTCCCTTTCTTGCTCCTTCCTCTCCGCCCAATAGAGCCGCTGATCACATAATTTGACATACACAACCTCGCAACTTCGATGAAGACGTAAAGAAAGGTGACCTTACGGGGGCTATGAAGAGCATGTTCGTAGTGCTAGCCCAAACAATGGGTCTACTGTATCAGCTCCGAACAAAATAAGAAAGTCGTGTCTTACTATAGCTAGAAGAGTGGAGAGATAGAGGTCAAAGGTCCCTTCGCCCTAAGAGGGCAGATGATGGGCGTTCATTAAGAGTGGATGGAAGAAATAGTGGATGCGCTTGATAATCGGCAAAGCACTGTTATAAAGACGGATTAATATAATTGAAGATGGATAATCTAGATAAGGTCTTATGGAAATGTATATAGTATGCCTCAGCTTACAACTAAGAAGCACTGAAAGACCTTTATAATTGAACGCCAGGACGCTGCTGGTATAGCAGTACCTATGAGACACAGATCAATGGTGGCATGTACCTGGAGAAGTGTGCTGACACTACCATCAGTTAAACGAAAATTATACAATTGGCGAATCTATACCATGTGTAAGCCGAAGCGAGGCTTGGTCAAGCGTTGTGAAATTACTTAGCCCGCTACCCTGTACATGGAAGAGTTAGAGGTATATCTACGTGCGATTAAATTTGCATCACAACCAACTACCAAGGTTAACTCAAGTAGCTTGACGTATTAGGACATCTAATTGCTGGTAGCAAAATTGCAAGCTCAAAACCTATAGACGCCGCTCTGAATCCCGTTTGGCATAATGCTGGTGTTCATCTAGTAGTGAAAGCCAGCTGGGACCAGAGCATTCCTACTACAAAGATTCAGCAGATCCGAGACAGAATGACTGGTCAAATCGGATACACTATTCACAGGTTGAGCCCTGATTCCGAGTGCTACGTTAATGAGGTCGGCTGCCATTTCTTGCACGGTTCACGGGCCAAGCTCACCTGGTCCAGTGTGATCAATATGAAACCAATTGGCAATGGGCATTACGTGAGCCAGCTTACTCTTGTTTGCGACTTTTCAAGGCCAAATATGATCTGGCTGAGGTTCTGTGGTGTAGAAAGTGCGTGGGAAGTGACGAGTGGCGGTCTTTATCGTCAAGGCTTGACCATGAGATGGCCCAGCTACGGTCTTTCTAACTTGGTATGAGACGCGACACTAGCAAAGGTGATTTATAACAGCATCGCATACCTACTTCAGCTAGACATGAAACTATACGGCCCTGTATCTGTATGTCTCACTCTTCCAAGTGCTCTTAAGGTATCTTAGAGCAATCCAGATTACTAGAGCTCTCAGCATGGGCGCTGTTAGTAGATTCTCAATCAGTTAGTAGACATGAGAGTTTACTTTCCACGTATATAGGAGTCACGTATCTGTAGTAATATTAGACTATGACTGAATAATATTTTGGTTAAGGGAACTTCAGTCAATACTCTACTATATGTAAAGTTCCAGTCACTCTTTACCATTCTCTCATAATAAAGTTTTCATTTTTTTTTTATCAAACCTATTGTATAATAGTATACGCAAACACGCACTAGAAGAAATTCGTCCCTTACTATAACTTCAGTGGGCCTACTAAGAGAATTGCCCTCTCCTACCATTTCGTCATGTTAGCCACCCAACCTAGGTTTTGGAAGATACTTAATCCTGGGAATCTCCCTCCTGGTCGCAGTTTCACAGCTCATTTTTCTCCATTAATGGCTGAGTAATCCGGATGGATCCTATAATAACTCTTGAGCTAAAAAATTGTTATATAGACATAGGCCCTTCTCTTGATCATCACCCTTACGCTGCTTGGGTCAGCGCAGAAGTTCAGTGACTATATGCGAGCTCTGTAGGCTCTATAATCAAAAATTAACGAACAAATAGTGAAATGGAACTTCCCTAGCGTTAAGGATGAGTGTATGATATGGAGACGATAGTATACTTGCTTAAATGACGCTAGACTGCATAGTAGTTAAAAGCCCTTCGCCGACGCTGAAGACGACAACCTTGTCAGGCACCACATCAACACGGCCATCCTCGAGAAGAACGACATCGCCCATAGAGCCTGTCTTCTAATCCCGAAACCAAGATAGACTGGACTATCGATATCATCGTTGCCGCCTTCTCCATCCCGGCGACATCTTTCGGATAGCGGATGTGGAAGATGTAAAGGGTAAAGACAAAGTCAACAGCTTCAGCGAGTCAGCAGAGATGCGTAGATGAGACTGAAGTCTTGATACGATTGACAGATACTATGACATACATGCTAAGCAAAGAAGTTGAAAGCATTGAAGATGGAAGGTATTGTGGGAATGGAATTTCGCCCCTTGATGATGTCTGCAGCTTTCTCGGCGACCGCATACATGGTGGCTTGCAGGTGTGTCGCCGGCACCAGCGGGATAATGCTTCCATCCACGATGCTTAGACGCTTCACTCCATACATAAGTAGATCGCTGCCTACAACACCGCCGTAAGCCTCAGGCATCATTGAGCAGCTTCCAGACATGTGCGCAAAGCTTGCCTCGAGCGCCTTGGTTTGGATGAGTGCTTCGATGATCTCGTCGTCCGTCTCTCCAGTACCGGGCACTGTTTCAACCGGCTGGAACTTATTCAGCTCGGGTCGCGCCCAGTGCTGACGAAGCCAGCGCACCATCTCAACTAATATTTGCCGATCAATGGGGTTTTGGAAAGTGTTCCACTGCACGACAGGCATACCATACTTATTAGATGAATTGAGAGTGACAGTGCCGCGTGATAGAGGGCGTTGTAGGGCACCAATGGCAAGACCAAAGGCTACCATAGGAAACTCGGCGACCGCTGCGTCAGTGCGGGAGTGTAGGTCCGCGATGATGTCGCGTTGCTTGATGAAGCCAGCAAGGAGCTTAGAATCAGCATAGACTGCTGGGAGGTACGTGCGTGCATTCTGGCTCTTGATATTTGCGACGATGGACTCGTATTTTTCGGAAACGGTCTGCAAGCTCAGGAAGGCGAGGCTGCTGCCATGAGCTTGAGTGATGGGGCCAGTCCTATTGGCATAGTATTGTGCCCATGCGGACGCATTGAAGGCGGGATCTTGGCCGGAAAATGGGTTCGGAGTGGCCAAGTTTTTAAGGTCGAATTGCATATTGGCGTTGGGGTGGTCTTGCATGTTCGCGCCTATTGCTGGCCTATCTTGTTTGACCTGTACTCCTGCTGCGCTCAAAACGTCCTTTGGGCCAAAACCACTAAGCTGGAGGAGTTGTGGTGTGAAGACAGCCCCGGCCGCCAAGATGACTTCTTTGCTGGCGTAGACCTGTGCGACAGAGTTGTCTTTGCGTGAGACGTACTGGACACCCTTCGCCGTGTACCCAGTGAGTAGGCCTCGATCAAAGAGCACCTCGTTTACGGTCTTGCCAGTGGCGAGGATGAGATTGCTACGGCTCTTGACTGGGTCATAGTAACCATTCCTGGCATCTGAGCGGGTCTCAGTCTTTGGCTGAAGCGCTGTGGGAATCCAGTAGGCGCCGACAGCATTTCCAGAAGCATGCTCCTTTGGCAAAGGGACGCCTTCTGATTTGTACGCTGCCCAGATCGTGGTGATATCAGGATAATCGAAAGGGGGAAAGGAAGCCTGGATAGGCCCGTTCGTCCCGTAGTAGGATGCGTCGTACGTTGTCCCCCATGCCTTCACATTCTCAGTCGATGGTGGTGTGAATGTAGTAGACTTCTTGAAATAAGGCAGCAGACCATTCCAGCCCCAGCCGCGGTTCCCGAGCTGCTCCCATGCATCATAGTCAGCAGAAGATGCACGGTCGAACGCCATGCCATTCACGACTGACCCACCCCCTACCACGTTCCCCACCCAGACGGGTTTCGCCTGGCCACCGATATTGACATTGGGAGCGGACGTGATGTTGTACATTAATGCTTTGTTCAAACTGTTCGCATACGACGGGACTTGGGTTGACACATCGTCAACAAGGTAGCCATTCTCCAAGACGAGAACAGATTCTAATGGTTATTAGCCATCGGAATACAAACCATTTGTAGTATCTTACGGCGGCTCCCCTCACTCAGACGATTTGCGACAGTGAGTCCGGTAAGGCCACCTCCTACAACGATGTAATCGAAGGTCTTTCCAGCGATGTCCGGCTCGGAGCCAGGGATTGGCTGCTTTGGTGTGCTCGAGATTATTGGCAGCCAGCAGTTGAAGAAGCAGAAGCCGTTGAATAGGGATCGCATGGCTAAGAAATTAAAAACCGGTCACCGATGAGGCGGCTAACTAGAACGGCAAGAAAGGAGTGATCTGCAACTCCCGGCTGGACTTCAGCCCGCAAGGTCGAGTATTTGGGAGTATCAAACAATGGACCAATGTCAAATGCCAAAGGGTTGCGAGGGTGAACTATTGGTCTTCAGTACTCGGCATAACGTCACCGCGTCGAGCCGACGGAAGCGATTTATCGAACGATTTTCTGTGAAACGAATACCTTTATGCCTTGGCAAAACCTCCGGAATCACGATCGCTACGTCCGCCCCGACATCGTACCGATATGTACGAAGCGAAGGACGATCTCAACAAAAGTAATATCTCCGGTTCTACACCTGATAGAGGATTTTTACGTTTGTAATTCCGCGGTCCAGGGGTCCTTAAACCCTGTGCCAGCGGAATTAGTGCTTGCCTTGATCGCTGCTAGAAAGCCTCCAATATAAGTGAGGACTACGGCAGGTTGCGATTGTGGGTAGCGCGATTTGACGGAGACCCAATGTGGCGAGGCTTCGGCTTACAGGACTCAAACTTGCAAGTATGGCGGTCGCTGACTTGGTTTCGAACGATGGTAGAGGCTCGAACAAGCAGAACGCACGCCGCCGGTGACATGAATCTGTCGCAGTGAGGAACGGAGGATATCTGGCACCATTGTTACAGGGGTCGATGCTCCCAGATCTACGAACGCAGGTACTAAGAATTGGATCTATGAATCCAGAACACCGATTTGTCGCTCGCACGATCTGCCTAGCGTGGCGCTAGTGGCGCTAGTGTCGCTAAGCGACGAGATCCACGTGGCCGCGCATGCATCATCTCGCTACGAAGATGACCCCGTCCTCCCCCCTCAACTACCAGCTGGTCGTAGACTGCCCCAGATTCGACTCGAAAACTCCGAGAAAAGATATCGCTGCAGGACCATTCATCCAAAGGGCTGCAGATTTCACCAGTCTACTCGATGCATTACTAACAGTAATCGCCCATCAACGTGTTCGGTGGTACTGAGCTTATCCAGCTTGCTCTCTGTGTGGCGTTCTGTGGGCCCAGCCATAATCGTCACGCCATCTTCGATGCTGCTACGGTTTTAAGTTGACCCTAAAACCACCCTGGTCAGTAAGCTTTGGCTGCACGGCCAGCCCTAGCTTACTTTTCCAGTTTCTTAGCTAGCAAGGTATCTTTACCCGCCTTCGACACACGCAAGAACCAATAAGGGAGCGATACGCGATCGTGTACAGCCATCGCATCGGTCCAGCTGGCGGCGATGTCCGATGGCGGAAGATTTGCCAACCATCTTAACGGCCATCGTGCGCCTCTGCGTCTGGCAACCATATCATGATCCCCAGGGCTGTTTCTGAATTTGAAAGGCGACGATATGTACATATGGTGAGGTTTTCTTGAGAGAAGATTTGGTGAGTCGGCTGAAGGCATCTCTCCCTCGAATTCCTCCCCAGATGAAAGACATACGGTTTCCGTGTTCATAGATCCCAATTTGGAGAAGCTGGCAACAAATTTGGATGATGGCGTTAGGTAGTGAACTCTAAACCCACAAAAGTTTATTATGCAGGTACGACGCAGCCACGCCAAAGCTTGTTCCTTCAGCCGGAACATCTAGCCCATAATCCACAAACCTCGGCATTCGGTCGATGAGATCACAGGCCCTGGCGCAAACACTCACACCAAGATACTCGATACTAATGCCCCTTTGGTGGCCATAACGATGCATCTTTAGTAATTTTTTACTTACTCGATTGGTGGGATTTGAGATATTTTCGACCGCTGAGGTATTAAACTCGTGTGTCGGTAAATTTACTCTCAGCGGCGAGTGCTGAATTTGCCAAGCCACCCACACCGAAGGGCTCCCTGCAAGGCTAGAAGCATCTTCCAAAAACTGGCTACCTCGTGTCGGTAGCCCTGTCGCTGGGCCTTTATGTGACCTTATACTCAATGGCAGCCCGTCCGACCCATCCATGGACGATTCCGCTCCATGCACCCACCCCTCACTCTTACACACAACGAGCTGCATGGCGTGGCCCAATCGTCAGCAGCGTTAGACGGCATCCCTTCTCTTTTTCACTGATTCACGATCATGTCTGCAGCGTCCACAGAGGCTCTTCCCTTGGACGACCGTTCCAGTGACCTTAAGATTTCCGTCGTCACTTTGCTTGTTTTTAGTTCGATATTCGTTGGCTTACGTCTTTACGTAAGCTGGAGAAATCGTAACTTCTTCCAGGCGACTGATCATTTCCTTTGGACGGGACATGTAAGGCTTGTCGTTTCCCTCAGCAATGTCTTTACTGACCATTGGCAGCTTCTAGCCGTGAGTGCTGCAACCCTCACATATAAAACGGCCGACGTCGGTGCAGGTAAACATGTTTGGGATCCATCAGAATCTCCAGAGAATTTAGAGAAATACCTCAAATGGCTTTGGTTCAGTCAACTATTCAACCTTTACGGTATGGCATTGATTAAGCTCAGCATCTGTGCCTACATTTTGATGCTAGACTTCACCAAAGCATATCGCATCATCATCTGGATGTCTGTAGTCGTTCATGTTGGCATGAATTTCGTATTTCCTTCTGTCATTCTATTTGGGGAGTGCCGACCTATCTACAAGCACTGGGACGTCGCAGGCTCCCAGCCGGGCAGCTGCTGGGGTGACAAGCCTAGGGTTATCTCAGGTCAGCACAAAACCTTGAACACACGCCGAATCACCAGAGCTGACAACGCAAAGGTTACTCAGGTGCTGCGACAAACATTCTTACCGACATGATCTATACCGTCGCCCCGTTAGTTTATATCTCCCGCGTACAGCTCCCCAAGGCAACGCTTTGGGGTGTCCGTGCAGTTTTCCTGCTTGGTCTCCTGTATGTGTCTACATTTATCACGCTGCTTACGAGATTAGATCTAATCATGTGTGTATTAGTACAACATCTATATCCGCCTTGAAGCTCTACGAGATGAAGTCCTTGAACGCATCCACAGACCCTACATACACATCCGTCAACCTTTCTATCTTCGCCGTGTCGGAAGTCTTCGTCGGTGCATTTACCGCTTCCCTGCCTCCCCTCCGTAAAACTTTCGAAACACTGCTGCGCCGTGTCCTTCCAGAGAGTGTCTTGGGGTCTGCAGCACGAAGCAGGAAGTCAGTGAGTCGGAAGTCGGTGGGCAAAGGCATCGGAAACAGCTACCAAATGAAAGAGGTGGGCAACGATTATGTTTTGAACGGCAACGCTATGGGAAAACACATCAGGCCGAAGCATGACCTAGACAACGATAGCGAGCACTCCATGCTCGATGCGCAACGGAGTGCCGGGGGGAAAGATGGTGTTGGGTCCATCACGTGCACAACGGAGATTAGCGTATCGGGTGACGACAAACGAAGCGTTGTGGATCAAGGACACGAATGGGTTTGATATTGCAGAATATTTACAGGAGCTGAATCACACTGAAAACTAGCAATCACTCGCACAACTCTCACAAAAGCGCGTACCAGTCTCCACCACCTCTGATGAGCTATGTTTCACCGACCATCGAGCGCCGAATACTTACCGATGCGACAGACGTCCCACTGCGCCGCAAAACTACCGGTGACAGCACTGCAAGTGCATCCCATGCACATGTCCCACTGCACAGCCAGCTTTGTACGCTCCATTCTCTTCCATTCTTTCACACCTGGGCACAAATACGTCTCGCATTCTCCTGTCGTTCATAGAGATGTCCGCTCTCGCAATGGCATTCGCGCTTACTCCGCCTACTTCCCGTTCTCTCATTATCGGCCACACTCATGTGTGCTATCGACGGACACTTATTCCTCGGCACCTGGGTCCTCCCCTCCATACGTGATCGCGCAAATACACATCTGCTTGCCTGGTTTCAGCTCTGGGGCCGCCGAGGTCTTCGGGTCATACTTCTGGGATACCCCGCCAACTAGACCTCGGCCTGCTCAACCTCGTCCTAGCACGCGACGAATTGTACCCCACTAGGTCTGACAAATGGTACCTACTCAGATTTCTCTTCAGCGTCTGTTTCATTGCCATCTACGCAAGAGGTGCATTAAAGCTGCCCACAAAAGATTAAGAACGACATCCCCCGTGGCAATGTCACCCTTTCGATTGCTGCGTGGCTGAAGATGAACCGGGTGCGTGCATTCACAACGGACTTGCTTGCGTGGATCCCTACCTATCAGAGCCATGGGTGTGTAGGCAAGCTTTGGGTAAGACAGTAGATCAGAGGAAGTGATGCACATATAAGGACAGCTCAACCTTAACATAAGTGATCTGAGTGATCTTGGAGATAGCTTTGATGGTCGTCGCTTTGACCTCCAACAATCTAACCCCGCCAATCTTCCCGCTCTGCACATACTCCTCGTACACTTTGAATGTCACATCAAGAGGAGTATTCGGGTCGATCCGTCCAGGCTTTAAGAGGTCAATCTTGTTATGGCCTTTTAGCTGAGCAATGGCGGCATTAAGAGCCTTGCGCACACCTTCTGGGGTGCCATTAGGTGAGGTCCCGGCTCCAGATGCACCTTTGATGCTTAGCACAACCTTATTGGCATCTTCGGGATGCTTAGTGAAGTATTTCTCGAGCAAAATGAGACTGTTCGCCTCCGGTGGGCCGTAGAAATCCGCGCCATTCCACAGGTTCACGCCGCTATCAAGCGCCGCCTTGAGGACTTTGATAGCATCTTCAGTAGGGATGGGGTCTTTGCGCCATGTTGATCCTTTGAAATACGTTAGTTTGTAGAGTATGCCTACAGCTCTTCTTTTATCCTACCCATAAGACCACGGCCAATCGGACCAACCTCTTTTAAGGAAAGTTTTGGCAACAAACGAAACTTGCCTGGTAAGGAATTGACTTGCATCGATGAGGATGCAAGATGCCTTTTATACTGTTGCGCTTTCGATACGAGAAATTGGGCTTAATCGAATTGAAGTCACCAATCGCTTACCTACACGAATTCCCGAAATGGTGTACGTTGACCGAATCCTAAGTACATCGACGACTACGCCGCACGATAATGAACTTGCGTCTAACTCAGAGCCTATGCCATTTCCACTCGGTAGCCTATCGTAGTGAAGCTCATGGCGGCTTGTGCAACCTGTAGCCTTATCAAAGAGTGATTCAACTCCTCCGGGGCGGTTGACGCAATGCGATCCATTGCTAATTCAGTGCACTAGTTCCCAACGTGTACATCTGCCTGCATAAAATTCATACAACACGTTTGTGTTCAAGCAATGAAACAACCGGTTACTAGAACGCTACTAGTAATATAGCGGTCAGATTACGCCTTATGTGAGAATCACGAAGTTCTTCATGTTATGCCTACTGCTGAAGCTACTTCAATGCAAATCCACATTCTCAGAAGGTTTACGCGACCGTATTCCAGCTCGGAAGTATCTTCTGATGTTGTGGACTCCAGAGAAAGATCAAGGACGGATGAAAGTCGCGCTTGGGCGCCGCAGCTCTTCGTCTAATCATCTCAAAGGACCTTCGCTCCTGCTCACTCATGGTCTTCGACACCGCGGTATCTCCCCAGGATTCCCCTAGTCATAGCCTAAGGTTCTGCTTGTAACTTGCTTGTACTCCTTAATCGTTCTATATGCGTCGTTGTCATCGACCTCGACTATTAAATTCGCCGTCGCTCAATTGGTGCTGTTACTTGACCACAATTACGACAAGTCTGTCTTGTCTGAAAAGCGCACTTTAGTGCGCGGCCAAGCTGGAGCTGAGTGAACTCAAGATCTAAGCTAATATTGACGACGATCGTGGACGGATGATCTTAATGTTTCTGTATGTTCGATACCTAGGACTTATAAATTTCAGCCATATGGATACATGCTTGCTCACACGCAAAGACTGATAGTTGATACACGAGCCAAAGGAGATTGTCATGGAAGGAATGGTATGCTTTTCCGGCAAGGCTGTTAGCTTGAGTATCTTCCATCAAGCTGTCTAATTGTTTCATTTTCCCATGATGGGGGCTTCGAAAAAATGACCTCAGAGTCAAATATATCGAACCTCAAAGCCGAACTCAGAATGTACATGTGTGATCACTAGATAGCTTTCCCACTGAGTATATTTTCAGCCATTTTACGCATCAAAGTCCATCCTATTCTGCTGTTATGCTTCGCAACAATCTCAAAGTCTTACTATAGGTAGTATCCTTACGAAGTCTCACAAAAAACCGCATCTCCCACAGAAGCTGATGCATTCGCTATATGATCAAAAGCCTCATACATGTCTATATATCTCCTCCTACGACTCATGAACAGTTGCTCCTCATAGAATTTGAGTGCCAGGTTGTTTGCTCTTCACGGCTGTTCAGCTGTTTCATAGTATAGCTAAGTATATGTAATCAGAAAATCTAGTTAAACTGATGTGTATATTGATGACTCGCGCATGGAAAAGTAGGGCGACATACACCTCAAGGTACATAATTCACGTCATCGGCTCAGTTATGTCTTCTTTTGGCTTCTATCTCGGCCTATTTCTCCAGCTCGTGTGGGATCCATCGATCTTGCAAGGCCGCTGTCCACTCTCCATCAGAGATAGATATTGCAACATTTCTCCAAACGCAGTCCAATACTACGAAAATATAAGAATTAAGCTTTGGAGCAATTTCTGTTTGAAGATACAGGCGCACGTTATGAAGCTTATTCAATCCTGCAGTCAGCGATATGCATTAGCTTCCCATCTTCAAAGCATCGCTTGTGTCATAAACCGAATGGTCACTGAACGATTTCGTCTATACGTGGCTCTATTGATTACCGAGTACATAATGGAAAGGACGCAGCAGTTCGCTTGAGCCTGATAGCTTGCTGCGTTCCATCGGACGTTGGCTGGAGACGGCTTCGTGTAGCGAAGCTGTTTTGTATCAGTGAGCGCAGGGTTTAAGGTCACAGCGCGGACGATGAGATCTCTTGTAGACTTCGTAGACATGTGGTTGCAGCATGGTTAACATAGGATAAGCCTGATCAAATGTGTAAAAGTGGTTCGCGGACAGGATAGCATGCATAGCTTCTGAAAGTTGAGCAACTAGACATTGACATACCAGAAAGGCCCAGGGAAAGGATCTAGAGTCGGAAAGAGTGAGTGTGGAAAAGAGTGTCCAATATGGACAGCAACAGAAAGGACCTGAAGTCTGTCGAGTCAACGAAACATGGTTTGCAGAGACAGAGAGACGAATGCTCGTAATTCAATGGATATCATTATTGTGTTCTATTCACATAGTAACTTTTCTAAGAAGTTGCTGCATCTATGGAACCTTCCCGACACTTCACACCTAAGCCGATTGATCGAGGTTGGTAGTGACCGAGAGGTCCTTCCACGCCTCGACGCTCTTTGTCTCCTTCTCAATGACGCCAGTCACAAAGCCCACCGCATCGGGTCCAATCAACAGCCTCCGGGGCAACTCGCGACCCTCTGCCCTGCCCGTGCCAGTCAGCGCCTCGACAATGAGCTGCGCGCCCTTGACTGGGTCACCGGGCTGGTTGCCATTGAAGGCCTGGAATGCGCCCTTGATCGGCGCAAGGACAGGCTCATAGTCGGCAATGGGGTTCTTCGCGAGGAACTTGGAACCGGAGGCGAGGAAGTTGGTGCGGAAGTAGCCGGGCTCGACGACAGTGACTTTGATGCCGAACGACGCGACTTCCTCGCGGAGTGACTCTGCGATGCCGGCGACAGCAAACTTGACGCCGCAGTACAGACCGCAGGCGACTCCGCCCTCCCAGCCGGCAATGCTGCCCATGAAGGCGATGGTGCCACTCTTCTGGGCGCGCAGGTAGGGCAGGACAGCTTGGGTTACGGCGACGTGCGCGAAGACGTTGGTGTGGAAAGTCGCTTGGATCTCCGCAGCTCTGTTGCGCGAGTCAGGTGCGTCATACAGTAGCGCGGTGGGTACTTACGAAGCCTCCTCTACGGCGCCCTCCCAGATGTAGCCGGCATTGTTGACGAGGATGTCGATGGTGCCGTAGATTGCGGCAGCCTCCTTGATAGTGTTCTGGATGTCGGCCTCAGAGGCGTTGATGTCGAGGCTGAGCGTGGCCGCGCCGAGGTCCTTTAGCTCGGAGAGCTTGCCAGCATCGCGGGAGGTAGCGATGACCTTGTGGCCGGCCTGCAGGGCCTGTTTGGCGATCTGCGAACCGAAGCCAGAAGAGGTGCCCGTGATGAGGAATACGGCCATGATGAGAATCTGTGGAATGTGTATGATACGATGGAGTCAGGGTTCGATGTCAGAATGAAGCTGAGTGTAGAGATAACCAACGCTGTTCAAACGGGGTGGCACCTCCGTCTTAAGTCTCCTGGTCCCCGATGGTCGCCGCCTGCGTTCATTCAACAATGGGCTGCTCATTCGCTGGGCAATAGGGTTTACCATCCTGCAGGTGTGAACAAAGGCGGACAACGACCAGAATGGTGGAGTTCCACTTGGCGGGAGCTTACCGAGCATAGCGCGAGTAGCGGGTATTGCTGTAATCGCAGTAGCGAAGTGTCTAAATCCGACGGCGCAACAAGTCCGAAACTCGGGCCGCTTGGGCCGCTCCTGGGGGCGGAAGCTCAACAGCGCGTGGCAGAGCGTCATGTTCCAGTCCTACGGAAGCAAATGAATCGATGATTTTCCGTCAGAAAGCAAGGGTAACTGTTAGGTTAAAGAGTAGACACAGGAATAGCAACTCTGGCAATACACGAGGCTACCAAAGGGTGCCATTATCTTCAACATCATGGCCGAAGTTTCAACCTCGCCAGCAAAGCCCTTCAAGGTGATTGTGGTGGGTGGTGGCATTGCCGGACTGGCAATGTCTCACGCACTGCAACTGGCCAAGATTGATCATGTGGTCCTGGAGGCATATGGCGAGGTCTGCTCGCACGTCGGAGCCAGTATTGGCTTATGGCCGAACGGGATTCGTGTGCTAGACCAGGTATGTCTTGTTGGTTCCCGTTCGCTTATGCGCCCCCGCTGAACCGTGTTCTAGATGGGCGCGTGGAAGCAAATAAGCGAGCACTGCTCACCAATGAACCACTCGTACAACCGTCTGCCCGATGGCAGGGCCGTGAGCGTCAGCCGCATGGCTGATATGATCATCGAAAGGAACGGTTACGACTTCGTGGTGCTGGAGAGGGAGCACGTTGTCAAAGGTCTTTGGGACAATATTCCCGACCAGTCTCTCATCAAGGTCAACCAGCGCGTCAACAAGATTGACGAGGACGCCAACGGCGTTACCGTCCATACTACCGACGGTGAAAAATACGAGGGAGACATTGTCGTGGCCTGCGATGGCGTTAACAGCTTCGTACGTGATCACATGTGGGACATGGCGAACAGGTTCTCGCCAGGCCTGATCCCTGCGGCGGAGAAGACGTGTAGGTTTACGCCCCATGCTTGCATCGGGATTCACACTGATGACCCCAGCGCTCGCGACTACATACTGCTGCTTGATTGGCTTTGCGCCCGAAATGGCCGGCATCGGTCTTGGCGACTGCCAGACAGTCCACAACCAAGGTTTCTCATTCCTCATCATCACACAGCCTGGACGCACCTTCTTCTTTGTGTTTATTAAGCTCCCCGAGGTAGTGAGATGGCCCAACCGCCTGAAGTTTACTGCAGAAGATGCCGAGCGCGAGGCAGCTAAGCTAGCTGCGCTCCCTGTGACGGAGAGTCTGCTCTTTGGTGAGATCTGGAAGAAAAAGATCCGAGGTCAGCTCATCCCTCTGGAGGAGGTGGTATTCGATCACTGGCATCATGGCCGCACAGTCCTGTTGGGTGACTCTGTTCACAAGGTATGCGGTTTGACTTGCTCACTCCGATCATGATGCTAATGCAGCGACAGCTGACTATTAACCTTGCCTTTGGAGGAAACTCCGCCCTCGAAAGCACAGCTGCATTTGTCAACGTGCTGAACCGGGAACTCAAGGCTCTCCCCGCCGGCGAGAAGATGAGCCAAGAGACCCTCTCAGAAGCCTTCGAAGAGTACCAAGGTCTTCGCAAGCCGCGTATGAAGAAGGTGCTCAACCTTGCGTACCAGCTCACCCGCCTCCAGGCATGGGACGGCTGGTTCATGAAGTTCGTCCAGAGTTGGGTTATCCCGTGGGTGGGCGATGGGCAGGTTGTCGACCACTTTTCCGAGCTTGTAAGGGCCGGTCACCGCCTCGATTTCGTTCCGGTTCCGCCTCACAAGGAGGGTTATGTCCCATTCAACGATGAGCTGAAGGACAAGGATGGTCCGCTCTACGAGACCCACAAGGCACCCTCTGACTTTGGCTCCGTCATCCGAAGACTTGTGCTTCCATGGATCGCTGTATCGTCGGCTCTTGTTGCGGGTGCTGCCTACTCGCTCTCCGGTTAGCCACTTCAGGGGCCGCGCAGACACATGGCTATAGAGAGTGGGCCTGTATACATAGAAGAGGACTGGAATTGTATGGGGCGGGGTATCCTAGATTGCTTCGCTGGTGTGACAGAATCAGATTCTGTTGTGAAAAAAAGCACCGCACTACTCCACGCTAGAATGTTTGGCTTGCTCGGTTACATTGCAGAACAAGATGTCATTTTAGCAGCACTAGACTAACACATGCAATGCGATGCCAAATCGGGATGTTTATGTAAGACCGATTAAACTTATACGCCATCGTGTTGGTAGGAAAACTTTAACACCACATCAGCAGGACATGTCACCGCAACAGTGATTTGCCATCAAACGGCGTTCCTCCTACAAGCTTCCTTGCACATGAGATGAGGCAGTGTGCCCTGGGAGATGACCTGATTCGATAAGACATGGCGTTGTTGGTGAGGCCGAAACCGGAGCGTACCTCCCTCGGCGCTGATCACGCTGCCTGGGTCACGTGCGGATCAGCCGGAAAGAGGAAAGGTACCACACAGCTGGAACACCTGTTCTCGGATTCACGCGCGGTTTCGTCGCAAATACGAACCCCAGATTTCGATATTTTGTGAAGGCGCGCGATATCCGCCGCGCTCAGCTACGATAACGGGACTAGGAGCTCGCCTTCGTACGCAGGGTCCTCCGTTCCAGGACAGGGCGCGGAGTTTCTTCTCCGCCCCCTGCAACACCAACCAACTTCGTCGTGGTCAGCAGAGCTTGGACTTCCGCGCACGCGACTTGTGCATGGCTTTTCTAAATTTCCAGCACATAATTCGTATTCGCTGCATGAATGACGGTACCGGGGGTCATAAAGCGGAACAAAGGTTAATGGAGAATACAGAGGGCTTGACTGCGATTGCTACCATAAATATGCTACTAGACTATTTACGCATATCCCGAAGCTCTAGCATCTTCACAACCGCCAAGCTTGGCACATCACAACGTATACCACTAAGCGGTGTCTAACCTTACGTATACTGAAGGCTGAAGGAAGTGGCGGTACTAGCAACAGGCACAAGGTTCTTCAAACAACGTGAAGCGGACTATGACCTCCGCCCCCTGTAGAAGAGGATTCAACGAGGCAATACGGTCATGGATGACGACTCCTATCTGGCAACGCCTCGATACACGCGCGTTTCTTTACACGCTGGGGAAGCTTGTTCACTCATGGACTCGACAGGGTGCATGAACTTGTCAGAAATCGACCTCTTGTATCTGATCAAGGTCACGCTGACGTATAGCGCTCAAGCGTGTTCATTGGTGCTCCGAACACCATCCGATATAGTTCATTCAGCTGGGAATAACCACTCCTCGGGAATCATCAATTGAAACTCGCCCCGGGCTCGCACGCTAAGTGCGCCATCTCACTCCATGTCTGCGATCCAGTGGCACGACCATCACCGCGAGACACTACGAAGGAACCGCAACCTCTCCAGCTGGGGCCACCAGATGCTCCTTTGTGAGGAGGCTATGGAGACAACAATACGCCTCCTCCGTCTATGGATCCGACATTTCCGTTCTGAATGTATATTTAAGTACTACAGAGTTCCACTGGTTGGACAGTCACTCGCACTTCATCTGTACCTGCATCTTCTGTGCCTCAACTGTACCTGCATTTCATTTCAACATGCTTGGCTTCCAGAAAACAGCGGGTCTGGCCCTTGTAGCGGTCGGTACCACGCTCGCCTACCCCGAGCCCGCACCGATCTCTCGTGCTGCCACTGCTCAAGTCTGCGTATGCTAGCTTCCCAACTTTGCAATGTGCGACCGAATCTAACGCAAGTATAGTGCGATGCTCTCGCCAAGAAGTACGGCGCGCAGACTTCACAGCTCGGGACAACCTCCTACTCCAGCCTGAATGTCTTCTGGTGTATGTTAAGCACTGACACACTGATTGTTATCATTGATCTAACCCAACTTTTATCACTCTAGCTAGCTCGGCTGTCCTCGCTCCGACTTGTGTCTTCGCACCCACCACCGCGGACCAGGTTTCCTTCCTTGTCAAGACCGCAGTAGCCAATAGCTGCAAGTTCGCCGCCAAAGGAGGAGGTCACTCTGCCGTACCTGGAGCCGCTGACGTCGACAATGGCATTCTCATCAGCTTCGACAACATGAAGAACATCTCCCTTCAGACTGCTTCTGACGGGACCAAGTATGCCGCTGTGCAGCCGGGGCTTCACTGGGGAGATGTCTACACCTACCTCGACCCCCTTAACGTCATTCCCGCTGTCGGTCGCTTCTATCCTGTCGGTACTGGCCTTGTTCTTGGTGCAGGCTTCAGCTTCCTGGGCAACGAGAAGGGCTTCGCCACCGACTCTGTGTACTCGTTCGAGACTGTACTGGCCAACGGGAGCATCGTGACTGTGTCCCAAACAAATGCGCCTGATCTGTTCAAAGCGATGAAAGGCGGAGGTAATAACTTCGCCATTGTCACCCGCTACAACCTCCGGGTCTTCCCGGGCGGTAAGATTGCCGGCGGTATGGTCATCGCTGCCGAGGACCAGACCGAGAAGTGGCTCGACCTTACTTACGACTACGCCACCGTGCAGGCTGTCCAGGAGGTCAAGTCACATGCTCTGCCTGCAATGGCATGGGTACAAGCCACCGATGTTGCCATCTCCGAGACTCCCGTTGTCTACGTTGTACCCGGTGCCACCCAGCTCCCTGCAATCATGTCGGGCTGGAACAACATGACCGCCATCTCGAACACCGTCCGCTCTGTGTACCCGCATGAGCTGGCTCAGGAGTATGCCGCCGGATTCTCCAACGGGCAGTTGTAAGTGATCTACCTGCCAAACGATCAAAGCACTGAACACTAATTGCGCCATTCCCTACAGCCAAGAGCAGCGCGTCTTCACCATCAAGGCGAACCGCGCCGAGTTTGCCTACATTTGGTACCAATTCCTCGCCTGGGCGCGCGCCATGAAGGACGTCCCCGGCTTCAACATCCTCCACTGCAACATGCCCGTCACCCCCCGCATGGCCACTGCTGGCCTCGCCTACGGCGGCAACTCGCTTGGTCTCGACAGCAACAAGGATGTCCTGTCTGGTACGTTGCCGACGCAATATTCTGACTTCAAACATCGCTGACAGTAACAAAGTGATCTACTTGGGCATCACCATGGATACCCGCGATGACAGCGTCGTGTCTTCGTTCCGTAGCTTGTTCACTACGCTGCAGTCGCACTCTAAGTCGGCGAACTTACTCCACCCGTGGCTGTATGTTCACTTCCTATCTTATACAGCCTGTCATGTTACATTGCCTTGTCCGGATGCTAACTCTCAACCAGGTTCTGGAACTACGCTGGCATTGGCCAGGACGTCATTGCCTCGTACGGCACTGCATCCGTTGCGAACATGAAGAAGGTTCGCACCAAGTACGACCCCAGTGGCGTTTTCAAGACGCTCGTTCCCGGTGGGTTCAAGCTGGCTTAAGCGCTTTCAAGTCTTGTCGAAGCTTTGACGCTCAACTTCGGGCGTAGTATAGGTGCTCTTCTGACGTCGATCTTTTTTGGGCAAAGTGGGGGATTTCAATGCATTGATATATTCTCGGAGACGAGAATAGATGTAGTTGCTTGCGTACATTATAGATTTGGTAGTAAATACACTCGCGTGTACTTTGTTTGGAACCTCTAGGGCGATGATTCTCGGAAGCTGTGCATAGGTGACTTTCGCTGCAACCGGTCACCGACCTGGAGTCATGTTTACTATAACAAGGGTACAGAGAAGGTTCTGATCAACGCATGACAGAAGTAGAAGTGGAGCGCATGCGTCCGGAGGAGTGTCTCGATCTTGGTTCCTTACCAACGGGTAAAGTCAATTGTCAGATCTACCAGACCTGCTGCGAGTCATCCACGGGCCGATCTTCATCTGCCGTTGTAGCTCAATGCAAGTAAATCGATGTGAGCCTTGAGTGGCATATAAACTGATCAGGGTTGTTTCAAGCTCTAACTGACCACTGCCATGCAAATTGAACTGGTCGTGAAGATTTGAACATCAGTCCAAGCTCATGCTCGAATGTTCATTTTGCCTTAAATGAGATTTCGTGTGTGCTCGATTCGCACAGCCTGATGACTTTAGCTGGCGTCATCTGCAATGCTCACTTCCAATTCGATCATAAAGATCCGAGGCTATGCCCGCTGCTTACACTCCAAGTAGGGATATATAGTCCCCGCATCCATTCGTCCATATCGTCTGCGATAATCGGATATCCGAGTGTCGCAGACTACAAGATGCATGCAATTGACCCGACAGTATGGTTCAGCGGGTACCGTGCATGATGATTCGTGGAATCTGATACGCTGACGGGTGATTGATAACAGGATTAACTTCTGGAGGATTTGCCGGTCGCTGTGGATTTGCTGTAATCGGCTCCGGCTAGCTTAATCGGCACCGTGGACTGATGGTTGCTTTGTGGATCCGAGGCATCATAGGATTGCCGCATAGATGCCCGCGACCCACAACGGCGGATCAGAGAGTAGAAATGCGTGCTTGCCGCGTTCCGCTGTCGGAGTCCCCTGGTGGTGCATACAATTCAGCCTTCTCTGTCAGCGACTTTCGTATTCCGATACCTTCCCCGTTCTATATTGCATGCATCACGACGATGAGATGCAAAATTTTGTTTGAGACAAAAACAATGACTGTAACTGAGAGCTTCAATCGAGATATACACGCGTTACTCGCAAAACCAAGGTTCTAAAAACCCTGCATGCGCAAGAACAAAGTTCCAACGATCCTACATGCGCGATGGCGTTCACTGTTGGCATGTTCGTACACACGGGGTGGCGTTTTCGGTACGGCACTGCCAGTCGTGCATCAGTTGCCCTGCAGGACCTATATTTCTTCGCTTTGCGGACGTCCTGGTTGTACAACATGTGCGGTACGCGCTAACTGGTAAAGAAGTGGGCAGAGTGATGTGGCTGGCCCCCCGTATATCGCACTACCTTTGTGGGTCCTCTCTTCTGACCTATCAACAGAGCAGGTACACAACAGCTGACCAACATACTTAACGTACAAAGGATGCTTTCGCTTACCGACTGCGTGCCTTTTGTTGCATTGTTGAGTGCACATGAACATATGGGGACCAACATTCAAGCCGACCTGGTGTATGCTGCTCTCAGTCTTCAAGACTTACCATCAGTGATATATGTAATGATTCAACGGCTGTGTTCTTCCGCTAAGCTTACTTTCACATTTAACATAGATCTTTGCCCCCAAACCCTTCCATTATATGGAATCACGAGTTTGAGTACTCTCTTTTACGCAACGTGCTCGAATTCCATGGACAACGAGTACGTGTCATCCGGACACATACTTCGCAGAACCCGCCGCATTGCTTGCGATGTTTGTCGAGAGCGCAAAGTGCGCTGTGATCGTCGCCGACCAAGTTGCGAACGATGTGTGCGCTTGGGGAGTCGGTGTACCTACACCTTAACCCTCATTCAGAAAAGGCCCACTAGCTCAGGCGAGATGGATGTGAGAGTTCATGAGTTGCTAGCGCAGATGCAGTCAAGATTAGGTACGGCCGTTTCGCCGAGTGATACCAACCTCGGAATATAGGGCTTAGCTGACAGCCCCGTTAGCGCGAGCGGAAAGCCAACTAGCTCTGGGACACATGCAGCCCCAAACGCCACCGGCTATTCCCGACACTAACAACACTATGTCGCTTGCCCTGCGTTATAGAGACCTACCTGGCGATTTACCAGAAAGCCCGGCGGACTGGAGTACAGACTCTTCGATGAACAATGCCACTGTTTTCTCTTGCGACGCACCTCAAACCGATGAATGTGGTTCAGGAACTATCACACCCCTGGATTTGAGTGAAGCATCATGGCAGAATTGGATGTGTGGCTCAGACTTTATGTCACCTTTAACTCCTACGGATGGCGTCGATCTCAACATGGACGACCTCTTTGGCTACATGGGTCCGACCCCAACGCCTACTCTTCCTGACCCTGAGGTTAGCGATTTCGCTATAACTCAATTGTAAGTTGGTTTTCCGAAAGTCATTGATATTAGACCTAAACGTAAGCAGTCATAACTCGTATTTTGACACCGTTCATCAAATGCTACCGATGATCAACCAAAGCAGGTTTGTAATTGTAAACAACACGAGTAAACCCGAGCTCAACGCCCTGAAATATGCTGTGGCCATGGCTGGAGCCACAGCTCATGAAGATGGCATTGAAGCAGCCGAGCTCTGCTACAACCTCGCACGCAGTAATCTGGAGCAAGCGGAAAGGGGCGACAATGACGAGCCGTTCATGACGATAGCCGCAGTGCAGAGTCTTGTTCTCATAGTATACTACGAGTTGAAAAAGAAGACTTTTACAAGGACGTGGATGAGCGTTGGCCGCTGCATGAGATTAGCAAAAGCTCTTGGATTGGATCACATGGATCGCGACACCGAACTCGACGACACACCTAAGTCGATTTTAGCTACTTGCGATCTTGCCTCTACGAGTGACCTGACAGAACTAGAAGAGCGGCGAAACACCTTTTGGTGTGCATACATTATTGATTCCTATGTCAGTTCGCGCACTGGATGTGCCAACACGTTTGATCCCATGGAGGCAAGTGCCCCAAGCCACTTTTTCCACGCTCCCTTACTGATTTCCATCATGTACAGACAACTACATTTCTACCAATCGGATCTTCCGAAGACATGCAGGACTCACGACTGCGAGTGCGTGATGTCACCATAGAGCTGACGTGTTTTGAGGACCTGACGCCCTTCCGTGGCCTTGCCATATCCGCGGCGCTTGCAAGCTTGGAGTCGATACATCGTCAGGCGGCACAAAACCCAAACTCGCCACGCAATAATGCTATAAATAGCTCATATCCCTTCTGGAACGAACATTTCCGCTTGTCTCAGATCATATCAAGCGTTTCGAACGAGCTAGTAACCCCGGACCCAGAAATGAAGTCCACCCCAGACGTGCGGATGCTGTTTCTGGTCATCAACGTTCATGCAATCACTATTAGACTGCATGAGCTGGCTATTGAGCGATCTGAATGGGACGGCGAGAGAATAGTACCAATGGCATTGTTCTCGGAGAGCCATAGTTGCGTGTATCGGGCGGCAATGGCCGTGGTATCCACATTGCGCGCAGCCAAGTTGCTGGACAGCAAATCAGTAAGTTTTCTTGAACAATAGCCCTCATACGACAGTCACTTATCCTTATCAGACGGTGATTTTCCGACAAATGAGCGCATTCGCTATGTTGGCGCTTTCTGGAGTCGCAAAGGTTCTCACACGGACCCTTACACTCTCACGAGATCCTGCTATAGCACAGGAAACCATCAATGGGCTTCACGTGCTAGAATCCGTTATTCTGGAGCTATATGGAGACTGCGCACCCTTTGGAACGCTTCTCAAAGAAGTAGGAGCGCAATTAGCTATGTACACATAACGACGGACGAAATTAAAGTTAAAACAAAAAATGCATGAAAACTATCGAAAGAAATCATGCTGTCACTCTAACAAAGGCAGATCTCTGCGATGAATCAGTGTGCGCGCAACGGACATACACCAGATTTGAAGTCTCTCACAAAATCACACAATATCCTACCTGAAGCCTTTTTAGCAAGTTTGACCGTGATATAGCATGCTTAGATATCTTTTGCTACCACGATAGGTCGTCCATGGGGTATCTGATACTAGGCTCCAGTCGGTCACTTCGTTCTGGCAACGAGGCCTCGTTTACAAGATCGTAAAGCATCACCCATGTCCAACCCGGCTATTGCGGCGGCACCAGCGGCAAATAGCTCTTCCGCTTCTTCCGCCAGCGATACATGGTCTCATCAGATTTACAACTGAAATGTGGCTCCATGTAGATTCAATGCAAGATTATGTACTCTAAGCCGATGCGCGACGAATCCCCCATGTGCCAACGGACCCCTCGGTCATTATTTCACCTCCGAGAAAATCCACATGTTGAATGCTATCCTGGCAAACTTTCTGTTGTGTTCTATTTTAGTCCATCACAGTACTCGGCACTACCTGCGATATCCGCGACTCCACAGTTACAGTCCTACCACCCTCGGCATCCTCGCCAACAACGATCCTGCCGTTGCCAATCCACTTGTAGTTCTCCAGGAACTTGAGTTCCGGAGCGCCAGCCTGGAAGCGGTGCTCGGTCACTGCAGTTGCATCAGCGACAGAGTTGCGCAAAAGATGTATTTTGCATTATGACTGCAAGAAACGCACCTGAGAGACCAAACGGAATGGTCTTTGCATCAGGCTTGCCGGCAAAGATGTCGACGAACTCCTGTGCAAGTGTCGCAATCCCATCGTACTCGATGGTGAGAGTCTTGCATCTATTAGTTAAGTTACGCTGCAGACGTAGCGTGAGGACTGACCTGGCCTTCAGGCGTCCTGTCGGTGGTTAGCATTCGCTCCAACAATCTCCATTTTGACATTACTTACTTGGCGACAGCCTTGACGTTCGGCCTGGCGAACTTCTTATCGTTGTCAAAGTACAGCCAGTCAGCGCCGAAGATAACATCTGCTTCGATTTTGGGCTCGAACCCCTCAACGGTCGTCAGTTTGCCGGATGGGCAGATCTGCAAGCGTTAAGCCTCAGCCGATATAAGCGAACTCGAATAGGTGGGTCGTAAACGTACCCAGTGGATCAACTCGGATCCTGCAGAAGTGGGGCCTGCGTTACGCCAAGATGTTAGCATACGTATGCGCATTGCAAGGGTCCACATGTTGTGTTGGCGCTGACGCACCGACGGCACCAGGAGCATTGGCCTGAACGTCGATCTGGAACTGTTAGTACGAAATACTAAAGACGCCACTAAATTCAAATTGGGCAATACCTTCAGATTGAAGGCAGGCTTCAGAGTTGGGAACCCGGTGAGCTGGTTCTTGGCTGACTCAGCCCCTATCACAGCCTGGGAAGTGCCGGTCGCAGCTCCCATGATGTCTAGGAAAGAGAATGCGAGCTGAGAAAAGTAGAGACGACTAAACATATGGAGGCGGGTTATGGTACGTGAGCTATTTTTTGAAAGCGCTCATTCAAGTACTTCACTCTCAAAAGGACTGGTATTAATACATGGTATATGACATTGAAGCCCACAAAGTCATCCCGCATTCGTAAGATTTTCGAAGTTTGGCGGACATGATGGTCCGTACCCGCTCCGCTCTCCGCCGCGGGGAGTAGGGCCGGGCCGAGATCGCCGCAGTGCTACCAGTCAGCTACTGTTCACTGGTACGCGAGGACTAAGGCGGCATGGATCAATGTAGTATACAAACACACGCATGCCCTTACCTGAGATCCACAGGTCACGTGTGGTGTTTAAACCCGTGAGCTCATCCTGGTTTATTACCGAATCTTGTCTGGCACTTTTGGACTGACTGGTCAGGTCAGGTCCTCTCAGTTTCAGTGCCTAAAGCCATCCTCAAAGGCACAAATTACATTGGATTTGACTCGCTATTACGTCTGGCCACTGCAGGGATAAGCAATTCTGGTACAGGCGCAATTAGACATTTAGATCGTGGTCGTTATCAAACAAGCAATGAGACCACTTATGCATCCATGCATCGGCTACCTGTAATCCTGCTTCGTATTTCACATTCCTTACTCTGCTCTTATTCGTATTCGCTACACAGCACAGCGACTCTGCTATGGCATCGCTTGAATGATCAAATGCTGATAGTCGTGATGATCTTGAACCAACGCTCACGGAGTCCCGATACGTACCATCACGGACCTGTGCACAACAAGCAAAATCGCACTCGAAACGAGAACATGGCCAATTCTCTGCATCAATATTCATGAGTAACTTAATAAGATGGGTCTTCTAAACGCCCAAAGAGACCTTTGCGTGGGCCAACTAGTTTATCCTCCACCTCTCCCCTCTTACATACCAACCAAGCAATCTATCTTGCTACTGTTCGCCCCATCGTTTCGGGTTGTTGGACAGCCAGAGCATGCGAGAAACAGCTCTTTCTCGCGCTCGTCGCTCCCTCAGCGGATAAAGGCACTGATAGCGGAGTACAAAGTGGCCAGCAAAACACCAATAAACAACGTCCATGCACTCAATAAGGTAGAGCTGCCCGTCTGTGCAGCACCACTCTTCTTGCTACCCAGGGTACCAGTGACCCTTTTTGTCTTTCCTTGCTTAGCCTGCGCAGCCAGAAATTCATCGATGAGCCCGTTGTAATCGGAGGGCTTGTACGGGGCGAACATCTCTGCTACGGGGTTGGATTTGCGGTTAGTCTTGATGCCGAGTTCGCGGCACAGTGTGTCAATGTACTGTTGAGTAATCAGTGAGGGTTGACGTGGTTGCGGGGTCATAACACTTACTGCTAGGTAATCGTAGATAGAGTACGCATGACGCTTGCCCATAGAGCCATAGCGTTTCGCTGTCCATGCATTCCAGACCGCGATCTCCCGGTCCATATCCTCGCGAGGCGGCGTGTCGATCATGCCTAGCATCCAGGCGATACCCCAGAGCGCTTGGACTTCGGCGACAAGTGGCGTGTACACCGAGTGAATCTGGCCTGGAAAGAAGATGGAGCGGTCGTTGGCGGCAGCCTGCTCAGGCGAGATAAGCCGGCGGTACAGTCTCCACGGGCGCTTATGGCTGGGAGACTCTGCTGTCTTGGGCGGGTTTGTTAGCATGGGTAGGAGTTCGTTGACGGTCTCTGCGCCTTCGCGATCGAGATTCTTCCATTTTTCTGTCATGTCTGCGGGAGACGGGAGACCGAGTTGTCCACGCAGCTTCTCGTCGAATGCAGAGAGGTTTGCTGTCCAGCCTGTGCAGAGAAGAACGTGGTCTGTGTGGATTTTGGTGCCGTTGCGTAGTTCAACTACATCGCCAGAGTGGAATGAGACGGGATCTGTTCGATGTACAGTACATTGGCCTTCATGAAATGTTTTCCAAAAGTGTGGTACAGACGCAAGACCGAGGCCTGAGTTGCACCAGAAAATGCTGCAAAGGTGTTAGCGACAGAAAAGTGTAGCTTTGCAAAAGACGTACCCGTATCCCGGGGGATGCGGTCGAAGTTTCAATGCGTTTGAGTTCTTCAGATACCCAGCATGTCCCTCCGCGAACGCTGCAGTAATTCGCCAAAACACTTTAGTAAAGGCGCGTCCCAACGGATTTCGATGTAGTGTCTTATACCAAATGCCCTCAGTATTCAAAATGGCGGGACTAAAGGAAGCTAGTGCACGTGTAGCCATAACATCAACTGTGTTCAAGACCCACATGAGTCTGGGCGGCATAATGGCGAGGGGACCCGATCCTTTCCCATCTTCTCGGATGACCCAGTCCACTTGCTTTCCAGCTTTCAGTAATAGGAAGACAGCATCATAAGAAGATTTTGCAGCACCAACAACAAGTGCACGATTCGTCTTAGGACCCCTGAGGTCTTCGAGGGATGAGCCCAGTTGAGATGAATGTATGATAGGCTTGTTGAAGGAGGCCTTCGGTAGGTCGGGAACGTACGGATCGGATGAGACGCCTGAAGCGTATATTATTTTATCGGCAATGACAGGGTTCTTGTCACTGAGCGAAAGAAGCCATTTGTCATTGTAGATCCGCTCAACCTTTGATACCTGAGTGTTGAGTCGGGTGCGTCGCTCAAGGTCGTGGTCCTTGGCGAACGAGAGGAGATAATTGTTAATAGTGCGGCCGGAAATGTATCGATCTGGTGACAGTCCTTCTTTCTTCATGGGGTAAGACGAGAACTCGAAGAGACCATGGCCAACTTGGGCGAAAAGATCAGGGTAGATCTTCTCCTTGCTCCATACACCGCCGATAGACGCTGCATTGTCCAGTATGACCAATTTTGTATTTGGTGCAAGACGCAGATACGTCTGTGCAGCAATTAGGCCATACCAGCCTGATTCAGTCATTAGCGTTCTGCTCGTAGGTGGATTGATGCTGAGCTACTCACCTGCGCCCACGATGACCACATCAAAGTGCTCCATGGTAGCGGTGTTGATGCGCATCGAGGCAAGCGGAACAACAAGGGGCTGATTTGGGGAGGAAAATCTATGCATTTTGCTGTTGACATCGGAGTGAATAAGCTCGGAGACACGTGCAGCAGCTCGGACCGGCGGTCTCCGTCCCGGGCCCCGAGACTACCACTCGGCGCAGAGGCCGCGGCCATCATACGAGTCTCGACAGATACAACAAGTAGTTTACCGTCAGACCACTGAAAACACTGGTTGTTGTCAAGCCACCGCAATTATCGACTGTCTCTTTCTTGTTAACTCTCAAGGTTCAATTCTGTACAAGACACAGCACGAAAAACTAGAGACAGCTACCATCATGGTATCCTGGAGGAATCTGTTCGTGTCGTACGCCGTCATGGGCGTGGTTGCACTTTGGGGGAGCATGTTAGTGAATGGCACGCTGGACGCAATCGACACAGCCAAGGCAAGCAGTGAGCTTCCGAGTGGTCGCATACTGCTCACCAGCATTACCGGTGTTCCTCTTATCGATGGCGCACTTGCAACACTCGTCGCTTTCTTCGATGGCATTACCAACGGTTCGGTCCTGCAGTCGCATCTGTTGATGGTGGACCTCCTCGCCGTGATCCAATGCGCTACCATCTGGCTCATGGTGGACGGTTTTAGTCTGCAAGAATTCGACCCCTTTGTGCGTAGGTAAGGAAATAGAATAATCCAGACGCATTTTGAATGTTAGACTGACTTCTACGGCACAGCCCCGCGAGCTGGGGTGTCGGCTGGAATGCCATCGGTATGGCTGTAGTTCTTCCAGTGTATTGTGCCTTCAGGGTCGGTACGCCGTATTCGCGCGACAGTGGTCTTTCTATCGGAGATAGCTACGCCTTGTTCTTCTCGTCGGCTGTCTCTTTCGTCCCAGGGGTGCTCATGGGTCTGCCGCCGTTGAAGTCCTGGAGTACGCATCAGCAGCAGGTCATCATCCTCTTGTATCAATTCACGCCTGTCATCTTCAGCGTTACGCAGATGGCTTTAGCGCGTTTCATCAACCAATTTCAGTACAAGCTGGAGACGAATGCCAGCTGCCGCACCAACGCAATCCGGGTATATATCGTGGCTGCTGTAGGTGCTAGCATTGGACATCTCTACGTCATGGTGAGGGCGATATCATTAGGCCTCTTGGGAGATGTCTTCGTGCCTCGTCCTGCCAGCCTCGGTCGATTCCCTGCCGATCGTCTCACAGCTGGTGCCCATCTCTTCACCCAATACGACTTCATTATCTCGGCGTTGGCAATTCTCACCTGGATATGGTCACAGATGAGCACATACGGAGAGTCTTTTGGATCCAAGCCGACCCTCATGATCGCATCGGTACTGTCAACTGTCGTGCTTGGGCCGGGCGCGACGCTGATGTTCGCACTGTGGGCGCGGGATGCGTACGTCACACCGCTTGCAATTGCGGAGAAAAAGAGGTCGTTGAAGAGGTAGATGATAGAGAACCTTCGCAGCTAAATACGACTATAGCTACATGCGAAGAGTGGGATGAATATGGGCATGTTGCTGGGATACTTGGGGGGACGATGGAAGTTGGGGAGTTGTGACGCTGGGCTAGTAGAAGCCTGCGCTTGGCTATTGTTGGACTAGCGTTGAGTGGCAGGAGGAGATCATATAGACAGTCCTTGACGATCAATTTGCACGAACCTTGAGAAGATCATGGAACTCGGTCTTTAGTTTGGGAAATCGATTGTGGCGATATGGCGACATCCGTGATGCCCTTTGATGATCAGAATATCATACCTAGTACTTTCGCTTACGGTATGGCTTGCACCTTCGGCGTGTCGTCTTGGCGCTGTTGCACGAATTTCGCGTCCATCAGGAATTCCATCTTCACCCTCTTCCATACGCTCCGCAATCCACAGCTTTACTGTTCACAGTAACAAACCGTAGTCCTGAGTGCATCACATACAAATGCCTCGTCGCTGTACCTGTTGAAAGATGTAACAACCGACGGTGCCGAACCAACAACAACTCTCGCTGACTCGCTTCGCATCATCTCCTACCGCGATGCCCACCATGTGCAACGCAAACTGGGGGGAACTATGGCTGCCTCCCTCATAAAATAGTGGTTATGGCAGGCCCATCGCTGAAAAATTAGAGTGTGAATGAGCTGGGCATTACCGGTGTATAAACGGGCAGCGAATCTCTCCGCTGCAACCCCGTCCCGGGATATGCGGGCGGGAGGATCACCAGTGCCGACCAAAGTCCGTTGGTGCAAGCAAGTTGAGCCTCAACACCCGTGGGTGCATCTCGGTGCTTCGGAGCGTGGAGGCCGTTCCATGCGCTGAGAATCGAACCAGCACCTATAATCCCATGGCCTGCTGTGTGATTGAGAGATCAGGAGCCCGTACCAGCAGCACCTTGTACCAGTCTTCAGTCTTTGGCTCCACTAATACGCACTCAACCTGCGAACACATCAAAAATGCCGGGCCTTGTCTTCAAATCAAAGTCTCACGAGACAGTCATCGATGATGCAGCCTACCCGGCTGTCTCATTTCCAGACTATGCCGAGGCACCACTCTCGGAGCAGTTGGAGCCCATCGCAGTTGTTGGCATGGGTAAGCTCCACCATGACTGGACAAGATAGCACAATACTTACTGATTGTTTCAGGATGTCGCCTACCGGGCGATGTCAGCTCTCCTAAGCAGTTCTGGGACATGATGATCAACCAGAAGACTGGAAGGAACGCCAAAGTACCGTCGTCGCGTTTCAACATCGACGCCCACTTGCATCCGAACAATGACCGTCCGGGAAGTTTTAACGTTCCGGGTGGCTACTTCATCAACAGCAGCCTTAAGGAGTTTGACCCAACTGCGTTTGGCATCACCCCCATTGAGGCTATGTGGATGGACCCCCAACAGCGCAAGCTATTGGAGGTGGTCTGGGAGACTTTTGAATCTGCTGGACTGTCACTCGAAAAGCTGGACGGATCGAGAACTGCTTGCTACGTTGGCAGCTTTACGAGTGATTATCAGCAAATGACCTTCAAAGAGCCCGACTTTAGACATTCCTATGCCGCCACCGGTGTGGACCCAGGTCTGATTAGCAACAGGATCAGCCATGCTTTCAACCTGAATGGTCCTTCCATTGTGGTCAACACTGCTTGCTCCAGTTCTGTCTATGCCCTGCACCACGCCTGTAATGCTCTTCGTAACAACGAGTGCGAGGGCGCTGTAGTAGGTGGCACAAACTTAGTTCTTACCGTCGACCAGCACATGAACACGGCCAAGCTCACTGTTCTGTCCCCAGACTCCACCTGCCTTACCTTCAACGCGGAGGCGAACGGTTATGGTCGTGCTGATGCCGTCGGTGCTGTCTACATGAAGCGACTCAGTGACGCCATCAGAGACGGCGATGCTATCCGTGGTGTCATCCGCTCCAGTGCCGTCAACTCCAATGGCAAGGTCGCTGGTTTGGGCATAACTCACCCTGGACACGATGGACAGGAGGACGTCATTCGGGCTGCCTACGTCCGAGGTGGTAATCTTGATCCTAGGCTTACCGGATTCTTCGAGTGCCACGGTACGGGAACATCCATCGGTGACCCTCTCGAAGTCCATGCTGTCTCTCGAGCCATGAACGACCGCCGATCAGCCACCGAGGCTCCTCTTCTTATCGGTGCTGTCAAGACAAACATCGGTCACAGTGAAGCTGCGTCGGGTCTGTCTGCCCTTATCAAGGCAGTGCTAGTTGTTGAGAATGGAGTGATCCCGCCTACTCGCGGCGTTGTCAACAAGAACCCAAAGATCAAGTGGGATGAGTGGAAGGTGGATGTTACGACTAAGCCAACTCCCTTTCCTGCGCATCTGCCCGTCAAACGTGTCAGTGTCAACAGTTTCGGATATGGTGGCACAAACGCTCACATGATTGTTGAATCCGCCGAGTCGTTCGTCTCTGCGCCAAAGTATTTGACCCACGTGACCGGAAAGAAGCTACCACCGCGGGATCCAGTCGAACAGAAGCGCCCGCACTTGGTTGTGCTGTCGGCCCACGAGAAGGCAACGCTAAAGCAGAACATTGCCGCTCTCTCCAAAGAGGCTTCCAACTACCGACTTCTCGACTTGTCCTACACATTGGCGAACCGCAGATCTCATCTGCCCAGCCGAGGCTTCGCTGTGGTAAGCCACGCGAATCTCGAAGCCACCCTTACCGAAGATGCCAGCGCCTTCTCGTTTGCTGACAAGAAGAAATCCCCCACGGTCGGTTTCGTATTCACAGGCCAGGGTGCGCAGTGGCCGCGCATGGGTGCCGAACTGATCCACTACTACCCTAGTTTTCTCAGGACTATCAAGCACTTGGACTCGACCCTCGCCAGCCTTCCTAATGGACCTTCATGGACAATCGAGGAGGTCCTGCAATTGCCCGCTGATCAGTCCCCAGTCAACGACGCTGAGTATGCTCAGCCTTTGTGCACGGCGATCCAGATTGCCTTGGTACAACTTTTAGGCGAGTGGGGCATCACCCCCAAGGTCACTATTGGACACTCCTCTGGTGAAATTGGCGCTGCCTATGCTGCTGGCCTTTTGACTGCATCAGAGGCTATGACTGCTGCCTACTTCCGAGGCAAGGCCGTCTCCTCCGTCAAGACAGACGGAGCCATGATGGCCGTCGGCCTGGGCGCGGAGGCTGTTCAGGAATACATCCAGGACTTCACCGGTCGCGTTTCAATCGCTTGCCACAACTCGCCCTCCAGTGTCACCCTCTCTGGTGATGCTGCAGCTCTTGAGGAGGTAAAGACCAAGCTAGGCTCTATATTCGCCCGAATTGTCAAGACCAACGGCAAAGCCTACCACTCCCACCACATGGCTCCTGTTGCTGCTATTTACGAGGAGTACCTGTACAAGGCAGAAGCTCATATCCCGAAAGATGTGAAGGTCCAGAGGCCGGGTCGTATGGTCTCTTCAGTCACCAACTCATTGCTTCCTGAAGATGCTGTCGTGGACGGAGCTTACTGGAGCCAGAACCTTGCCAACCCTGTGTTGTTCAACCAGGCGTTCCAGACGATTGCTACCAGCGATGAGTTCGCCGATGTTGATATGTTCATCGAGGTTGGCCCTCACTCTGCCATGGCTGGTCCTATCAAGCAGATAAAGGGCGAATTTGGGTACAAGCACGACTATGCGCCTACTCTATTGCGCAACACCGACTCGGCCGCACAGCTGCTCAAGCTTGCTGGTGAGCTGTACTTGCGCGACTACAAGCCTCTCAATCTTGAACGAGTGGCTGCGATCGAGGAAGAATCAGGTCTCTTGAAGGGTCAGTTCCTGGTTGACCTACCGACTTACCAGTGGACGTATAAGAAGGAGCTCTGGGCCGAGCCTCGCGCTGCTGCGGAGCACCGCCAGCCTACCCATGCCAGACACGACATCCTTGGCTCTCGTATACCTGGATCTGGCAAGCCCATTTGGAGGAACGTTCTGCGTATCCGCGATGTGCCTTGGTTGAAGGGCCATACTCTGGGCGGTGAAGCCATCTTCCCCGCTGCAGGTTATTTCTCCATGGCGATCGAGGCACTGACTCAGCTCAACGAAATCAGCGATGCTCCCAAGGATATCAAGGGCTTCACCCTGCGCGACGTTTCGATTAAGCAGGCATTGGTGACTCCTGATGATGACGATGGTATTGAAGTCTTGTTCACAATGGCTCCGTCGGTCAAGAACGAGACAGATAGCACGACAGAATGGTTTGACTTCACCGCTTCATCCATCGCCCAGAACGGTGAGCGCAAAGATCACATGGGTGGATCAATCTCGGGTATCACGCATGGCGAGAGGCCGTCTGCCAAAGCTGTTCCCTTCCTTGCGAATCGAGCAAGTGGAAAGGCTTGGAACCAAGCTCTAAGGGATGTTGGATTCGACTACGGACCCGGATTCCAAGACATGGATAACATTCGCTCCGACGGGTCCAACTACCATGCCTCCGCAGACACAGCCATCCGACAGGAATGCGGTGACATGATCGGAGAGTCGCGATATGTTATCCACCCCGGCATTCTTGACTCCTGCCTGCAACTAATTATCGTCTCTATCTACGCTGGCCGCATCAACGATATGGCGTGCGGAGCTGTGCCGATTCAGGTCGATGAAGTGGCCGTCTACCGGCCGACGCAGCAGCAGCTCGATGACACAGCTGCAACTGCTTTCTCGTGGACCCACAAGAGGGGCCTGCGAAACTTTGAGAGCGGGACTGAGCTTGTAGCCAAGGACGGGACCTTACTCATGCGCATCACTGACATGCGCTGCACCGCGTATGAGTCTGCAGTGCCTCAGAAGGTTACCGCTGACGTCGACTCACAACCCTACCAACAGTTGGTGTGGAAGCAGGACATTGGCCAGCTGCAGACCGGTGAGGGTGTCGAGAAACTCAACGCTGGCGCACTTGCACAGCTTGCCCTTTTCAAGACTCCCGACGCAAAGATTCTTGAGGTTGGCTCCAGGTACGCCACGAGCGTCCTCGAGCAGGCGAAGCACTCCTATTACAGTATCCTTGAGAAAGACAGTTCTGTCGATGTCTCCCCTTTCACCAACGCCCAGGTTCTTACCTCAGACATTTCCGAACTAGCTGAGAGCTCGTACGATGTCATTATCGCTCCCGCTACCTTGCTTCAGGATGAGGCTGCCTCTGCAAGCATTCAGACTGCCCTTATTCCAGGCGGTAAAGTGTTTTGGGATGCTGAGTCCGGCGCGGACATCTCAACTAAGGCGATTGAGGAGACAACCGGAGAAGCCAAGCACGTCAAGATCTACTACAAAGAAGCCGCTACCAAGGCTCTTGAGGACATCAGCGACAACTTCAAAACCAAGGGCTTTTCAGTGACAAGCGTGGCGCTCCAGGACGCACTGCAGAACGCACCAACGAAGGAGAACGTTGTAGTCCTAGTCGATCTCGAGGGCCCGATCCTACCAACAGTGACCGAAGACCAATTCTCCGCGATTCAAGCCGTCATCGACAACGCCGCCTCCATCACCTGGGTCAGCTCTGGAGGCGTTATTAATGGCAAGAGCCCTCAGAACGCCATGATTGCAGGTTTGGCTCGCTCTGTCAGGTCGGAACAGGCCATGCTTAGGTTCGCGACGCTCGACTTTGATGCTGAAAACTCTTCAATTGACCGCGTGGCACAAGTCGTTTCTGACATCGTCAGCGAGCAGACCACCAAGCCGCAGGGTCGTCTAGAAAGTGAATACAGCATTTCGGATAACGAGGTCTACATTAGCCGTCTAGTCGACATCACAACTCTCAACGACCTGTACTTTGGCAACAACGACGCTGTGCCAACGCCCTTAACGGATGATCTTCGCTTTAAGGCTAAGGTCAGCAGTGGCAAGGTCATCTTTGAGAACGACCTCCGCTCAGAGGGTCCGTCGGCACGCGAGGTTGAGGTTCGCGTTCTCGTGAGTGGCTTAACGCAAGATGGTACTCGTGTCATTAATGGAACCGACTACCCGACCACCTTCAGTCAGGAGATTGGTGGCGTTGTCACCAAAGTCGGTTCTGAGGTCAACAACCTTACGGTGGGAGACCATGTTGCTGGTTTCCACCTTGACAACTTCGCCAGCCACCAGACTGTCTCTGCTAGCCTTGTACAGAAGGTCTCCAAGGATGACTTGAACAACGCTGTCTCCCTCCTCACGCCTTTTGCCACAGCCGTCCACGGTCTAACTCTAGCGAATGTTCAGCCTGGCGAGTCTGTTCTCATCCTCCAGGGATCTGGCACGGCAGGAGCTGCTGCCATCCAGATTACGCAATCACTCGGCGGTGTCCCCTACGTGGCTGTTGAGAGCGACGCAGAAGCCAAACTTGTTGTCAACGTGCTGAACGTTCCCACCGAGCATGTTATCCTTACGCCAAATGGTTCTAAGCTCGCTCAGTTCGAGCACCTTACGGGGCTTTCAGGCCCAGATGTTGTCTTCAGCTCTGGCTCAACCAACTCTGCCCTTGCACGCGAGGCCTGGAGGTTCATCGCTCCCTTCGGTCGCTATGTCGACTCCGGCCGCAAGGAGGTTCTCAAGCGCGAGATGACTGACAACGTTCCCTTCCGTCGCGGTGCCAACTTCCTCTCCTTCGACATCTTCGACCTCTACAAGCATAAGCCTGCTGCTCTCGCGAAGACTCTGCAATCTTTGGTCACTCTCTACCAACAAGGCTCAATCACGGCTGTTGGTCCTCTCTCAACTTTCCCCATTGCCGACATCCAGAAGGCAGTATCCTCGCTCAAAGACACCTTCACTTCCGGCCGCACGGTGATTGAGTACAAGGCAGGCGAGACTGAATTTGCTTTGCTCCCAGTTCGGCCTACCGTTTCTTTCTCTTCAGAAGCTAGCTACCTTCTTGTTGGCTGTCTCGGAGGTCTTGGTCGCAGCCTCACCACCTGGATGACGAAGCACGGCGCTCGTCGCTTCGTCTTCCTTTCGCGTTCTGGTGCGGATGCTAAAGCCGCTTCCCTGCTTGTGCAAAGCCTCGAAGAAGCTGGCAATGACGTCTTGATTGTGCGAGGCGATGCTTCTTCCAGGGAGGACGTCGAGCGCGCGGTCGCCAGTGTCGACCCTCAATACCCCATCCGCGGTGTCATCCATGCCGCCATGGTGCTTCGCGACGGCCTGTTTGCGCAGATGCCGTTCTCTGACTGGCAACAGTCGACACGCCCCAAGGTCCAGGGTGCTCAGAATCTCCACGATACCCTGAAGGACCAACCCCTCGACTTCTTCCTCATGACTTCCTCCGTCTCTGGCATCTTGGGTACTCCTGCGCAGTCCAACTACGCCGCGGCAAACGCCTACCTTGACAGCCTAGCCGCTCACCGCCGCTCGCTCGGCCTCAACGCGACGTCCATCGTTCTTCCTATGATTCTCGGTATTGGTGTCGTCGCCGAGAACTTCGGCATCGAAGACTCGCTCAAGCGCAAGGGTATGTACGGAATCGAAGAGGAGGAACTCCTCGGTCTCTTCGAAGCCGCCCTCAACACCGATGCCGACCATGTCGCCGGCGGTCTCGACCCGCTGCGCCTGAGCAAAGCGCGCAACGAGGAGACGGAGAGCTTCTGGGCCGCTGACACGCGCTTCGATGTGCTCGCAAACACCATGACTGCGGGCTCCTCCGGAAGCGGCGGCTCCGCGGGCGACTCCATTATCGACTCCATCAAGCAGGCCGAGTCCCCAACCGCCGCACAAGACCTCATCAAGGAGCACTTCAACACGAAGATCTCGCGCTTCTTGCTCGTCGACCTCGATGACTTCGAGGACAACCGCTCTGTCGCTAGCTATGGTCTTGATAGTATGATTGGTGCGGAGCTGCGCACCTGGATTTTCAAGAATTACGGCTACGACATGTCTATCCAGCAGCTGTTGGCGCCTTCCTTGACAGTGCCGGCGTTTGCACAGACGATCTGCGGCGTGCACGGTATCGGTGGTGGTGCCCAGGCCGCCGCCGCTCCCTAGGTGGCTCTACTCTAGACCTGACCTGATCTCGTACTACGTGTTCTCGTCTAGGTGAGTAGAAGGGCGGCGTATAAAACGAGTTTCCCTGTCACTGTATTATACCTTTCCTGAGTGTTTAGACTGAATGATAGACTGGTACATGCTCCTTACGTTCCCTTCACGACCAAAATTTAATTGCTCTTATGTGATGGATCGGCTTATGCTGTGTAACACCGCAGCCGATGATATAAAATTAACTTAGCCTTGCTTTCCCCAAATCAATACGACAAACTTAGCCCCGTCCGAACGTCTTTACAACTTGGCGTTCGGCTTCAAAACGGCAAGCTCGCCGCGACAAGCTTATCCATATCCTTCCGAAAATACAGTACCGCGCGGCGCTTCCACTCTTTACAATCTCCCTTCACAGAAACTTCGTCATCTACACCTTCTTGTTCCTGGTGTAAGACCACAGAGATCGTGCGACCGATAACTTGTTCTTGGTTGTCAAAGGTTCGTGCAATGGGAACACTGATTCGATTGAACTCCACCAAATAGTGCCCCTTCAATTTGAAGAGGAGGACAATGTTGTCTAAATTCATACAATTTGGTATGAGAGCAGCTTTCTAACGCCGTGACACAAAAGACTCGCTTAAAAGAGCCCGTACATTGCCATCGTACAGGGGGCTGGAGGCCATGATTCTATTGTAAACGCGGCGGGCGATAGCGTCGAAGCGGTAGATGTCCGGCATGTTGTCTGGAGAGGGAGACGTAAAGAATTTGATATCGTGTGGGGATTTGGAAACTTAGATTGATTGCGCAAGCATTCCAGCAAGATAAATGTATATCAAGGTTCGTTGACAGGTGTTTGTCAGTGGGTCTGGAAAAGATATGGCGTGAGTCATTGGCGAACAGGCAAACGCATTTAAACTTCCAGAACAACGGCAGAAGTCGCCACAAAATAGATTTATGTATAACCTAACCTTGGATAGCACATGGTAGTCGGAGCAGAGTTCATGACTCAATTGGTCTGAGCAGCCCCATAAAACTCATCCCTGTACCTCGCACCTGCGAATGAGCACTCCCATATGATGCACTCAGATGTCACCAGATCATGACTGGCACCTTGGGTAACCTTCTCCCCATGATTGTATTAATCTATTTCCGGAAGTCCTCTGTATAGCGAAGAGCAACGACCTTAGGGACTTAGGTAGATCCTTAAACCTATTTATATATTTCTATTCCATGTACGTGACGCAATTAGGATATAGATATATATATTATTAGGGTTATATATATATGATTTAATTAACGTACCCGGCAAGCGAGCTGCGCAGGCAAGCGAGCTGCGCACCCCACTAGACTTTCATGCCTCTATAGTGGTATATCTCAACAACACAATAAGATAATAGAATATAATTACTATGCTAA